AAAGGTTGAAGTTTTTGCTCAAGATGAAGTAGCCAAAGAGAGATGTTAAAGTCAAGGGTTCATTCTTTTTTCGAAGTAATTGAGCTTAATCTTGTACAAATGAATAAAATAAGGTGTGGCAAACTTAGGCCGCCCTCAGGTCGACCTTGCGACAACACAGAACAGTCGGTGACTGACTTTTCAGGATCAAGCCCAGCCTGAGCTACAGGTACTGTACGACTGCCAGGAACACATCAGTCACCGATTGTTTGCAATATCAGTGTAACTGTGACGATATTAAGCCGATCGGCATCAGTCGGAGCTTAAAAAAATCAACAGTTGCAAGGGTAGTAAAAGTTCAACTCTGTGTTGCAACGGAATGTGTTCTCGACAGGCAGGAAGTTACATCGCTGTGCACGCATCCAGGTCATCTTATTTCATTAGCCAAGCAGCATGTGGCAAAAATGGACGAATGAACAGACGTGGCCATGGAAGATCGTTTGATTTGTTATCAACACGTGCACCACCATTTTGAAGAGGTTACACCATCAAGTTTTTGCCGAGGAATCGTTGTTGCGTTGAGATGCCACTTGTTCCACGTTAACCTAACGATTGTTCAGTTTTGTTACCTGAGCCTGACTTTTCTGCTTGATGCTGACGGATATGTAGCAACGCAAGCAAATCACAGGTCGACCTAAGGCCGCCCTTACATGTTAGACTTGTAAAACAGTACAAAAAGTTACAACCTTGTGTACATTTCCCTTTATGGTTATGTAGCATCAGAGGGAAGATTAAAGGGTTTAACCCCCCTCCCCCCCCCCCCCCCCCGAGTATCATCCGTTCTCCACGCAGCCCATCTCCAATATAACGTCTAATACATTTGTATCTAAGCATGCGTGACGTCATTTCATTCCGAAATCAGGACTAAGATTGTGATTGGTCAATTTCGATGCCATGTTTTTGTAATATAATTAACAACCTGTACAAAAATGCTGCGCATCGTGGGCGTAATGTTTACGCACACAGGGAGCTCGCATTACGCGCTTATAGAAGGCACCTGCTGATTGGTCAGTTTCTGGAGGTCATACACAGTCTAGTTGCATAATTTATCGCCGAATCTGTTTACATGTACGTATCATAGACCATGGTCGGCTTCGCCAGGGCCAGGGTCTATTACATAGACCTCCCCCCCCCCCCCCCCGCAGCAAAAAAAGGAAAGTAACAGAAAACATAGTGTATGCCTGCTAAACTCCAGACAGATTTCCAACACCCCCTCCCAGAGCCACACCTGGATACGCCCCTGTTTTAGGTCACTGTTTAAGACACTGACATTTAAAGCCCTTGAGAATTTTCCGTACTTAATTTTTGTCTCATAATTTCACAGAGACAAAAGCGAACGTATGGAGATGCCTTCCCAACTATGATGGAAGAATATGAGCAAGATGAGGGAAGAAAGAAGAGTAAGCTTTGTCTTCAAGAGGTAATTAAGGCCATGACCTTTAACAAACTGTACATAAGAATGTTTACATGTACATATATTTTTTAAATTATTTTTTTAGTATGACAATCAATTTTGATGACCACACATTGTTCCAAGAAGAATGAGAAATGGAGGAATAATGTTTGTTATATTGTTTATGGACAGATAAATGGAATAATCGAAGAAATTCCTGAAGATCCTGTGGATGAAAGGCAAATGAACATAATGCAAGAGGTAGGCTTTCAGTTTTCTTAAATGATGCGTTGATTTCTTGTCAATGGGGGCTGACGACCCAATTGAAAAAATTGAAGAAAAAGAGGAAAATTTGACGAACAAAAGGTAACGAGTAGAAGTTGAAATACTAAAATATGATATAATAGAGGAAAGATAATGTTTGAATGATGCACACATCGTATAACATGGAGGTACCGGTAAGTGTGAGAAATGCAAACGGGCAAGTATCGGGGTGAAAAAAAAAACTTTCAAAATTTTGGGGAAAAGTTTGAAACAAATGAATATAAAGTGGAGAAACCAAAAACTATGTTACATCAGGAGAGAGGAAGTATTTTTTGTAAGCACGCTTCTAGCAGCCCGCAGAGGGTTTTGTTTTTACAATTGGTAATACCGGTAGTAGGGAAACAAATATCACAATGGAAAGAGGGACATCCGTGCACTTGAATACATTAATAGGGGGGGGGGGGGGGGAGAGAATGAGTTGCAGTGAATCAAATATATGTACATGATTGATCAGTGAACAAATCTACATACTGGTACGGTACATTTATACATTTTACGTGCATGTACCTATTTTCTTTCTTTTTATAGATCTGCGAGGGGACTCAAAAACTCACGCTTGCATGTGAACCACCCGCTCCAAATTACCAACCAGCCATTGCATACTGGTCTGATGAGCCACCAGCACTGGACCCTGGAATGCACATGTACAAGTAGCTGGCACAGCCAAGTCACTCGCATAAAAGTACCGGTATGTGGCCTGTTAGTTTAGCAACAAAATTTAATGAAATATTGTACCATATTGAACCTGTGCACGAACAACAGATGGAATTGTCATTTCCACCCCCCTCCCCCACTTTCCCCATTTGTGATCAATTTTACTTTGTTTTATTATTAGTAGAGGACACCCTGACGCTTGAACCGAACACACAAACGACGGGAGCTGAGAGAAATCGAGGCCTTCAAGTTTGTAGCTATATCCCCAGACCATGACTTCTTGATTATTATTAGGGCATGAAATTGGATTTTTCCTCAGTCATGAACGAAGTCCTTAAAAAAATTTCAATGGTAGACTTTTTGCCAACTTGTTTACTAAAAAGTACAACCACTCGTTGGTATCCAAGATGAAATCAGACTGGAAGCAGCAACCTCGGCAACAGCAAGATCTTCACAGGAACCAAACCACCTTCTGTCACGAACTGGCTCCCAACAGCATCTGAAACCAAGGAAGCCGTTTGCCTCGGATGCCAAGGAGCTGACTAAGACCTCTCAGCCAAAAGAGACCACCTCACACTGGACCACCAGGACTCAAGTGGTATTCAGCACCGCCGCCCTTGCAGCTGTTTCATAGTGGATCCGTGAGTGGATGTATATGACTGAAGAAAAACCAATTTCATGCCAAAAGTCACAATTTGTTTAAACGTTTAACCTTTAAATTAAAGGGCCCATGACATGCATTGACCTATCGCCGTTTGCGAGTTAGCCACGGCCCTTAGACAACTCTATGAAATTTTTGTACACTAAGTTTTGTTTGTCTCACATTTTGCGTGTTCCGCTTCCATTCGAATATAATTGGACAATAATACCACAAACTGCGTTGACGTGATTTTAACGTGATTCTACCACGATAGGTCCATTTTACTGGGGCTAATATTGCCGGGTATGTGCAGCTTTCTACTCCTTGGAAATGTATGAAAAGTATTTGACATCCCTTTTTGGTTGTTATTGAAAAGTGCACTTTTTTTTTTAATATTTCAAGTTTTCCATGCTTTCCTTGACAAATTAAATGAGGGCGCTGCTGCTGTGAATTCATTTCAGGCAGACACTGTTCAGCTGCATGGGCTTTTCTGTTCAAGTAGTGAGCCCAAATGTTGCTCATTGAAAGCATTTGTGGGGAAACTTTGCTCACTGGCCTAATGTCATGAACTGAAACAACAACGAATCGCCAAAGAAAAGAAAATTTGCCATATAGCAGAATATCCAAAATTGAGGAAAATTTTGATGTTGAAATAGCGGCAATATTGAGGTATCGGCCTGAAATGACATCACACTGTTTGTTCATGAATATGCAAAAAAACAAAAAGCATAAAAACCAAAAAAGCACCAAAATGCCCTTAATTGAAAATGGCAAAATCAGTGTTGTAGTTCTTGCACTTGGTACTCGTACTCGAGTACTATTTGAATTTCCAAAGATTGCATTAACAAAAATTACATTGCATGGGCCCTTTAAATGAAATTTGAAAATTAGTGTACATGAAAATTGGAAGTCCTTTTCACACTATAAAAATCAACACAGCTCCACCATAAGCAGTAACGGGCCCCATTGAACACACGGGTGGGCAAAGCATACAGTTCACACTTACATCGGTGTGTACCCAGGTCAGCAAATGTTTTGTTTTCCTACCCGGGGTAGAGCTTCTCAACCCTGGTCCCGACCTGGAATTTTACCCGTGCAGAGAGTACCTGACCCGTGTAGAAGCCGTGTTGGATTCGTTCTAGTGTGAAAGGGTTTCCTGAAATCTCTGAGATTTGAGATAGAGTGAAAGGCTCTATAGGTGCAGGAATGAGGGGAAATCTATTATGCACCGTTTTGCTTTGTACCATTGCTTACATGTAGTCAGTAGAGCCATTTATAGAAGTAAGGCTGATTGATATTTTACTTGTTTAATTAAAGCAAGACATTAGACCCTCAGGATAGAAGGAAAACGTGTCCTGCAGACCCCTAGAAGTGTAATGTCTACACTACAGAATACTGAAAATGGAGGAAATAATATGAAATGAACAGAGACACAAAATCCTGATCATTAGGAAAGTATCAGGCCTGATTTGAATAACAGTGACGGTCCGCAATTTTAACATTACAAATTATAATTAACTCTATCTCCCTAGGCATTTTTGCAACGATGCAACCGCAATCCTGCAAACTCCTCCAACTGCCTCTATATGTAAAAATTGCATGTATTCACTGACTCAATCATCCAAAATCATCTGTTATTTCTCAAATGTGGTCCTTAGAGGGGTGAACACTGCCTCAATCCTGCAAAATCCTTCAGCAATCACTTTCAATATGTTGAGGCAGAGCCAGTGACATCCTGGAGCATATTGCAGAGGATTTCAAGTACATTGTATAATCTAGGCCTAAATTTATGCGCGGCTGAGCATAAACAACACAAGGTCCGCCCCAAGACCTTGACACAGTGCATCCTCCAAAATCAGCAACACTTATCCACGTAGCCAAAATCGTCCATTTTGCAAAGAGGATTTTGGAGGATTTTGGAAGGTTAGTGTAATAAAATTAATTACTTACCGGTACTTCCTCCTGATAATGAAACCAGGGAGTCCTCAAAAGTCCCCAACACAATTTCTTTCAAGCCTGAGGAATACTGTAGAAAGTGATAATCAAGAAATGCTCGGTGTCAGTGAAACGTCCACAGGACAAAAAGCCAGACAAATATTCGGGCGCAAAAACCTACTGAATCAGGCAGTGATAAAAACAATTTGTATATCATTTGGCCCGGGTGGGAATCGAACCTCGGTCACTGAGGCAGAAGGCAAGGAAAGTACCTCTGTGGCATGCACCAACCTTTCTCCTGGAATCAATTCCCAAATAAACAATATTCATAAATACAATGTACCTAAGACAGTTTACCCATTCCCATTGGTCAAGAGCCTGTCACATGGCCAGTCTTCAACAGGTTAAACACTGCTAATACCGCTGATAATTACCAGCATTCCAGACTCCTATCCGTCTTAAATATAGTGTGTAACACCTCCCAAGCACAAATTTATTCCCTTAAAGGGCTCAGTTTAGTTTTACGTGAAACTGGCGCTGTCAAGTAAAATATTTATTAATTCGCCTTACATGCAAATATTATATAAGTAGCAAGTTTTTAAGCCTGTGCTTTCTAGAGCTAATTCATATAGTTATTGCAACACATTGCATAATTTACATGATAATTATTATCACAACTGAAGTGCTGTGGTAGCTAAATTGCATTAACGGTGCAGGGATTTTTTTAGTTTCCCAAAGTTTGTTTTCTTTACTTTTAGTTTTATTGATTAAAATCAAATCCTAAGTTTTTTTTTATATAAATTATGTAATTTTTCTTTCTAATTTTGGGGACTCTTTTGTCGCAAATTAATCACTTTTATAATTAGCGTAATTAATGATGATGCAATTGGGTGTCTCGAAATTTGGTAATTACGTCGCGGCCATTACAAAATGTTAAAATATCCAAAAAATCTCAAATTGTTAGAAATCTTGGTTTTGGACAGATTCGTCACTCCGTCAAAACGGTGACCACATATTGGTGAATGGACCTTTCAGAATTTGTTTCTCACTCACGAATACGTATGAGGTATAGTAATCGCCCAGTACCTTTGATATGTAGCGTTATAGTGCGAGGTACCCGGTAACACTGTACACGGTCCGACAGAAAGTTCAGATCATCGACTGACAGTCACTTGTAGCTCATACCGGTATTTGGGCCTCTGCTCTTGCACATTTTACCTGAAGAACAAAATCGAAATGATCAAGATTCAGAACACCAAGGTGAGGCTAGCATATGAGCTTGACCCAGAGTGCACATAATTATATTCAACTGATTCAGACTGGCTATTTATCTGCACTTTCAAAACATGGAATTTTGGGTCGGGGTGATGTAAGTGGAATTAGGTTTTGACCTTCACCGACGTACCATATAAACACTGCATGGTCAATGTGTTACCTCCCGAGTGAAAGTTTAAAAAATCAGTTGGCTGGGACTCGAACCCATGACCTCCTGCTTTCCAGTGCAGATGTCTTACCACTCGACCACCGAGCTAACGGATGGGTTGGCTGGTTTGAATCTGATGTACATAATAGCAGGTACTAGAAAGCACTAGAAAGCAGGAGGTCGTGGGTTCGAGTCCCACCCAGGTGATTTTTTCCAACTTTCATTTATAGCAGAGAACTAAAGGTCAACAAGTGGCTCTCCATAATTACCCATAATCTTATGCAGGCAGGGGCCCAAATGGTGTCTTTTCAATGAATATTCAATGTCCGAAAAATGAAGTCAAATTCATAAATTATTGAAAATAACTAATAGTTTAACTACATGTACATTCAATTAGTTTCCTCTTTTTGCACTGTAAATAAGCTTGTTTTTGATAAAATTATGCACATCAATTGTTATATGCCCCCCCCCCCCCCCCCCCCCCGGCCCCTGTGCTACCCTAATGACCAAAACTTAACATACCATACAGGGCAGGACGGGGTGGGGGTAGGTTGGGGAACAGTAGGCCTAATTATACCTAAGACCATAAAACTAAATGGGTAGAATTCATTCCACACGTAGCTGTATTTAGAATAACTTTTAAGTTGCGGTAGTTTTGTTAATTATCTTACTGGTATTTGGGCAATAAATCAACGCAAAAGGCATGAAACGCATATGACATCAGTGGTGAATTGTGTTAAAGATTTTAAGAAAATGACCATTAAATCTGCAGCCGATTTCACAAAACAGTGCGTAACTTACGCCACGCAAAGGATTTAAGCGACAAATTTGTTGCACAACTACCTGCGCAATAAGCTTAACACCTATTTCATGAAACTCGGCGTAGCTGCGCAATGTTTCAAATAATCTAAATATATTGGACGAGAGAGCACTACACCCTGACTACAATACCCATCTACACATGGGAATAACCTAAATATAGTTGGGACAGTCCCATCTGTAGTTGGGCCATTGCTGTAGTTGGGACGTTTCAGTGCCATTTAATACACCTTCACTAAGCTTGCAAGGGAAACCCCAATTAATTGAATTTTGTTGAATTTCCGATAAATTCAAGAATTTCCAATAAATTTCCAAATTTTCCAATAATTAGAGCTGGGATATTCAAATGTAATACTCCTTGGAATTGGAAAGGTGTTCCCATCCGATGATGATCAATTTGTTGAATGAAACAGTGCAAGCAATATTATCACATTAATTGTTTTTGCACTATCAATGTATTTCCCCAGTAATTTTCAGAGACATTTTTGGTCATCAAATTAATGCATCCAAATCAGAAACAATTTACAGCACAAGGTAGTCTATGTTATGCCAAAAAAAACAAATTCAATGGCAGATCCAAGGTTATTTATTTACATCATACATGGGAAAATCCCAAAATTTCCTTACTCAATATAGCACACCTTGATTCTCAGTTTATAAACTGAATGAAACGCCTGATCTCCCCCCCCCCCTTCCCACCCACTGACCCCCCCCCCCCCTCCAAATCCACTGGAAAAGCCTGGGACTTCAACACCCACCATTTTTTAAGTATCAAAATGGAAAAAAATGTTGCAACCTGACAGTAACGGCACTAGTACCATTGTGTACAAAGTCTTTGGAGAGTCCAAAAAATGGAAGAAAAATGCAAGCTGACACCACTTCTGCAGTTGTGTACAAAGTCTATCTTTCTATGGAGAGTCTCATTTCCTAACAAAATTGGAAATGTTTCTCGGTCCAAGATTCATGTCTTATCATCATGCATTGTCATGACCATGTTGACCTTCAAAGTTCATTGAGATGATATGAAGAAAAAGTGGCGTAAGGTTGCAACATTTCTTCCCAAAAGATGTTTAAAATAATGTTATTCCCAATTAACAACAGTGAATAATGCAGCAATGTGAATGGAGGAAAATTGATTGAAATGAAAGTTTTCTGTATTCAAACTTGTTCAGTCATGTTTGTTAAAATTACAGACACATCACACAGCCATTCAGATGTGCACAAATTGTCGCCGGATGTTGGTAAAACAAGGAACGGTGGAACGGTGGAAGCATGCAAACACACAGACAACAGTAGCTATTTACTTACAGTCTGTACAGTGTAATGTCACTTCTTTTATCTAGCATTAGATCTTTGATTAGTTCAAGAAAAGTGGGGAACAGACATGCAGCTATGTTTGCACGGTACGTGTGCGGACTCGACATTGCGTGGGATTTAAATTAACGATGGCGATAGAGGGCGCAATTACATTAGACCAACGTGTAAGTGACCTCGAAAAATAGATTTTGTCAAACACATCCAGGGTCACTAAAAGGCTTGAAAAAATTGTTATAAAGCTGATTTTTGATTTTTACTAGAAACACTTCTCCTTCCAGATTCAAATAATTAAATTACTTGGCACAATGACGTGCATTGAATAACACGCGGCCGGATTCGATGGCCCGCATTTTTCGAAATATGATCCCGATCATTTCGAAAGTTTTTAGAGGCCGGAAAATTCTTCTTTTTTTAAGGCCAGCACAGGGTAAAGTACGGGAACTGATACCCATGTTATTTCCGGACTGGTTTTTTTTCTGGGGACACAATATCTCGATCACGCAGTAAACAATTTTGTAATTGTAAAAGTCCATTTATTTTTGCGACAAGTTATAGGCTGATTTTCAAGCCTAGATATATGTCCTGCTCAGCTGCACATGCCCAGAAATATATCAAACCTAGAATGTAAGTATCGTTATAAGGAATCTGTGTGACATGAACGTTAAAATAAACTTGTAATAAGTTTAAACGTGTACAGTACAGGAAAAGTTGACCCATCGGAACTATGTGACCCAGTTTCATGACGTGAGGAAGTTTATAAACTGCTGAAGGGAAGACGGATAGTAAGAACGGACTTGTAGAAGTCTACGGGGAATCCCCTGCACTTTGTTCACCCCGGATCTATCTGCAAATACTACATTTGTATTGCGTGAACAGGATTACCCAGAACTCTGATGAGATTGTACAGTGTTCGGGGAAAACTGTACAGTTGCTTTTGTGTACTTAAGGTATTACACGTGCCGCACCAACTCCGGAAATGTGTAAAGGCTTATATTAAACTGTTGCACGCATAACATGAAGTTATTTATTAAGCTGAGTGGAGAAGATCAACTTCGCTATCTTTTTTGCTGGTTAGAGTTAATAATCATTTTTAGTTCGTCACTCAAAACAATATATTCATGCGAGAAGAAGATGCCTGTGACAGCACTTCTTACGAAAGGTAAGATCAGCGTTTCTGTCCGGATTTGTCATTTCAAAGCATTACGTTCGACTATTTTTTCATGACCAAATTAATTCCCAAATGAGTTAGAATTAATGCACATTAGTTAAAGATGGAATGTCCGGGATCTCTTTAACGTCTTCGTTTATTATCCATGTAAGATTTGATAGACATGAATTGAACTTCGTTGACATTGAATGCTTGCAGTCAAAAGATCACACACAAAAATATTCCTTTGAAAAACAGGCGAAGGTAGTGAAGAGATGACGATTCACGAACTAAATGGTCACGTGGACCATCTTGAGATGGATGTCCCGGATGCGGTTGCTAAGGCCACAACTCCTACACCTACAACTCTCGGGAAATCTCTCAGGTACTTTCAATAGAAACCAGCTCTATTCATATGGGCGTCGCCAGGATTTTTTTTAGGGAGGTACAAAGCTCATTTTCCCAAAATCGTTATACTTTCTCTAGCATTTTCTTAATTCATCATTTTTGTTTTGGGGGGGGGGGCATTAACCGCCCCATTGACATCCTGGCAGACGCCCATTTTGTTAAATGTGTGATAAAATATAGCAAATATGACTTCGCACCTCTTTTTTCCCCTTCCTTCCCCCCCCCCCTTGCCCCATCCTGGCGACGCCCATGCATACAGCTCTATTTTCTTCCCCTTTGGGGAAGGGGGGGGGGAGGTTGAGTAGTCTTTATAATGGGCACCGTGGATTACGGGTGATACTCAGTCTAGGGGGAGGGGGAGTTGAAAATCCTTGTGGTTAATTAATGTGGACATCTTTGTAAGTTTTCATCATTTTAAAACTGGGAAAAATGTTTTAAATTGGTTATTAAAAATACTGGAGCATTTTTCTGTGTGAATATTTGTATCATTGAACCATATTATCCTGACTAATTGTGCTTCCACTTAGTAACCGGTACGTTTGATATGTAGATGCAGTTTCCACAACGACGTATCACCAAAGAAAAGAAAAGTTGCAAGAGCAGAATGTCCAGAATTCTGGCCAATTTTGGTGCTGAAATAGATAGCTGACATTGATTGAGCCTGAGATGAGGTTTCTGTCTGAAATGACGTCATACATTTGCTCTTGAATATGGAAATTCGCATCCGCATAAAACCAACAAGTTACATGCCGACAAACATCCACGTTGGGCCTACCGACTAAAACCACGAATTGACAAACTGTGATTGCTCAATCCACAAAGGGACAAATTGTCATGTGGTAATTTGTGGTTTACAAGTTTACACATTCCTGTTGTTATTGTCATCGCATTTTGGGGGGGAAAAGAAAAAAGAAGAAGAAGATATTTTCACTTTTTACTCACCGTATTACGAAGACCCAGAGGGGACATCTGGGACATTAAGATTTTTGCTCCAATTATCGTACATACGTAAAATTATCACGTATACGTACGTGATGATATTACGTACGTACGTGAATACATACGGGTACGTAATACGAAACAAACATCTTCATGTCCCCGATGTCCCCTCTGGGTCTTCGTACCTTTTGCATTTAAAACATAATTATAAGACAACGTTTGTTGCACCGGAGAATTCAAAGACAAAACGCACTTTGATCATCACAGTAATAGTAATAGTTCAATTTGAAAAGGTGGTTATTCTTGGATAATTTTTTTTACAGAAGTCTGAAAATTAACGAAGTGTCGGCACAAGACGATGACGAAGAAAGTCTGCCGGCAACTGGTAGCCAGTCAACGAGCTGCATTCATCGCCACATGGCCACCGAGTTCACGTATGACATGTCCCACGCGTCACGCGGCAAAGTGCTCATTGTCAACAACGTGAACTTTGCGCCGGCCACGAACATGAGCAAAAGGGCGGGAAGCGAGAAGGACGCAGACGAACTGGCGGATGCCCTGCGACTTTTGGGATTCGGCACGGAACGATACAAGGATCTGACGTGTTCTGAACTTGAGAGAGTTTTCCAAAATGGTGAGGACCAGCTAGGCCTATATCCTCCGTGATATGTGAAACGCCAACAGAGGCATATGTATAATGTCATCACGAATCGGTGATGCACTTTTGCAATTTGGTGATGGACTTCCGCAATCGGTGATGGAGTTTAGCGATCGGTGATGAACTTGTCGATCGGTGATGGACTTTGCATTCGGTCGTGACCGTAGAGCTATATTAAATTAATATAGCTCTATGGTCTTGACGGACTCTCGCAATCGGTGATGGGCTGTTGCACGGATGATGGGCTTGTCGGTGACGGACTTTCGTGATGTTATCACAGTCTCGATGCTCACTTAAATACCGCTTTGGCGTTCCATACTATACTAAGATATCTGCTCGTGCCCATCAACGAATTCCTTTTCCTCTCTTTCCATGAATGTTAATTTTTTATGTTTTATTTGACGAAAAAAACACACCCAAATGCAACCCTCTAAAAAAGGCTTTGATTCCGTTTTTGTTTTAACACAGTTTGAGAATTTAATAAATGAATGAATTTAATAAATTTGCCTTGTGAGTAAAAGGTTCCCAGTCCTCATATTGTGAATTCTGATGCATGAGGCGGGAACAAGTTTACCCTTTAGAATTTAATAATTTCCCGACCACTAAAATAAAATGTGAAATTGCAAAACAATTATTGCAAAACTAAACGAGGGCTAATTTTAAGCTCGATGTTTTATATTTAAAATTAAACAAGTTTTTGTATAGCATTTAAAAAATATACATGCATGTATTTTTTATTTTTTCGGGATGATACTCGAAAATAAAACGGGTGTCCATCTTTTCTTTTCTTGCAGTGTCTGCGCAAGATCACAGTGACTGCGACTGTTTCATGTTTTGCATTATGACGCATGGCTCAAACAGCGTGATATATTGCACAGACGGTGTCCTGTACTTAGAAGACCTCATGCAAGAGTTGAAGGGAGATCGGTGCAAAACTCTTGCTGGAAAACCCAAAGTCTTTTTCATTCAGGTAAAATATTAGAGTGTGCTCTTACCTGCCAAATGCAAAGTTAAACCAACAGAGGGCGTCACAGCCTTACAAGTTTATTATCAAGTTCATTAATAAAACTGTTATTTTTGCAAATATGTTGCAAACTTCGGAAGAAGAAAAGTGCGCAGTAAACTGAAAACCAAACAAAAAAGTCTCATTGCCCACGCTTTTCAGCTATTCGAGTTGATAAAATCGAGAACCTATTCTTCCTTTGCTCCGGTCCCCGTCCATACAGGCTTGCCGTGGGGAACTTCTCGACAACGGAGTTGAACTTCCCGTGGACGACCAAGGCACAGACGAAGTTGACAGCGGTGGCACACTGTCTATAACGCCGGTGATTCCCGCTGAAGCAGACTTTCTCGTAGCGTATTCATCACCTCCCGGTAAGCAACATTGACATGATTGTGAATTCACATTCGAACTTGAAATAATTCAGAGAATAACAAATAATCGTGCAACCAAGTAAATTATTTTTGTTATTAAACAAAAAGTGCTCCGAATTCACCTGTACACAGCCCCATTAGATATCAGAGGAATAATATCGATTCTTCTGACATAGTCCGAATATCATCCGCTGCATGCCGCGCTCCGAGCCCCGCTCCGGCCGAACGAACGTCCCATTGAAACGCAAATCTAATATCGATCGGTGTGCCAGCAAATCGGAGCCGATTGGTCGATAGCTGTCAGCTCCCGAAGTCACCTACAGAAGATTTCCACTGATTGGTGGAAAGTTCGCTGCGTGGTCGGTTCGTGAACAAAACCCCCCAAAAACCACGATTGGAAGGCTTGTGATTGGTCGATGGCTGTGAGCTCACTAAGTCACCGACGGAAGATTTCCACCGATTGGTTGTTGTATTAAGCTCAACATGCGCATGTCTTCCACTGCACATATAAATTTAAATAAAGGCACTATGGAGGAAATACTCAAAAGCATTGCGAGCAATTGGGATGAATGTTATTATTACACAAGTTGTATTTTCTTGGGAATAGGTTACTTCTCATGGCGGAATGTCTCCTTGGGGGCGTGGTTTATCCAAGCTCTGGTTAAGGTACTGAAGGATCATGGACCATCGCTGGAAATCAACCAACTCTTGACCAGGGTGAACCACGTGGTGGCGTACGAGTACAGCTCCAACTCGAGCATGCCTGACTTCGACAACAAGAAACAGATGCCGTACTACACGTCAACGCTGACTAAAGAGCTTTACTTCCATTCAAATAACCATTAATATGTGCAGTAATTTCATCTCAGTTTTCATTGCTGTATAGTGCATCTGCTTTTGTTTGGATGTTATCCATTTACTTTTTACATGTAATGTATTAAAGTAATAGTATACTTGTCATAATAATATAAGTAGCAGTATTATAACTCTATCTTAGTTGTAAACAAGGGCGGATCGGGGGGGGGGGGGCAAAGGTATTCCTAGAAATACAGGATGTATTAAATTGAATTTTCGTGTAGTGAATTGTCATTATGTTTAACATTACGAGATATTATTTCATAAGACACCGACAAATGATGAAGCTGTAGTGACCGTAACAGTACAGTGTTTTAAGCGCCACCAATGCAATCCGAATGAAAGTCAATGTGGATTTTTCGCGTGTAAGACACTATATTGTTACGATCATATTATTTTTATTGATGGACTGTTTCTCCTGATATTCAATACACCTCTGACACACATTGTGAAATAACAGTGGTCAAAATTTGAGTTAAATACAATGTGTATTTCTTGAGTTTTTCATCGGAAAACGAGTTGTTCATTTTGTGCAAAAGTGCAGCATCGGCAGGTCTCGCACGTTAATATTCTTTCAGTAGAGGGCGCGCCACATAAATAGTGGTCTCTTTAATCATCTGCCACCAAACTCGTTTGGGGGACAACAACTCCAGAAACACAAGATGTATTAAATTGAATTTTCGTGTAGTGAATTGTCATTATGTTTAACATTACGAGACTTAATTTCATAAGACACCGACAAATGATGAAGCTGTAGTGACCGTAACAGTACAGTGTTTTAAGCGCCACCAATGCAATCCGAATGAAAGTCAATGTGGATTTTTCGCGTGTCAGACACTACATTGTTACGATCATATTATTTTTATTGATGGACTGTTTCTCCTGATATTCAATACACCTCTGACACACATTGTGAAATAACAGTGGTCAAAATTTGAGTTAAATACAATTTGTATTTCTTGAGTTTTTCATCGGAAAACGAGTTGTTCATTTTGTGCAAAAGTGCAGCATCGGCAGGTCTCGCACGTTAATATTCTCTCAGTAGAGGGCGCGCCATATAAATAGTGGTCTCGATAATTATCTGCCACCAAACTCGTTTTGGGGGGCAACAACTCCAGAAATACAAGATGTATTAAATTGAATTTTCGTGTAGTGAATTGTCATTATGTTTAACATTACGAGACTTAATTTCATAAGACACCGACAAATGATGAAGCTATAGTGACCGTAACAGTACAGTGTTTTAAGCGCCACCAATGCAATCCGAATGAAAGTCAATGTGGATTGTTCGCGTGTAAGACACTATATTGTTACGATCATATTATTTTTATTGATGGACTGTTTCTCCTGATATTCAATACACCTCTTACACACATTGTGAAATAACAGTGCTCAAAATTTGAGTTAAATACAATTTGTATTTCTTGAGTTTTTCATCGGAAAACGAGTTGTTCATTTTGTGCAAAAGTGCAGCATCGGCAGGTCTCGCACGTTAATATTCTTTCAGTAGAGGGCGCGCCACATAAATAGTGGTCTCGATAATTATCTGCCACCAAACTCGTTTGGGGGGCAACAACTCCAGAAATACAAGATGTATTAAATTGAATTTTCGTGTAGTGAATTGTCATGATGTTTAACATTACGAAATTTAATTTCATAAGACACCGACAAATGATGAAGCTATAGTGACCGTAACAGTACAGTGTTTTAAGCGCCACCAATGCAATCCGAATGAAAGTCAATGTGGATTTTTCGCGTGTAAGACACTATATTGTTACGATCATATTATTTTTATTGATGGACTGTTTCTCCTGATATTCAATACACCTCTTACACACATTGTGAAATAACAGTGCTCAAAAGTTGAGTTAAATACAATTTGTATTTCTTGAGTTTTTCATCGGAAAACGAGTTGTTCATTTTGTGCAAAAGTGCAGCATCGGCAGGTCTCGCACGTTAATATTCTTTCAGTAGAGGGCGCGCCACATAAATAGTGGTCTCGATAATTATCTGCCACAAAACTCGTTTGGGGGGCAACAACTCCAGAAATACAAGATGTATTAAATTGAATTTTCGTGTAGTGAATTGTCATGATGTTTAACATTACGAAATTTAATTTCATAAGACACCGACAAATGATGAAGCTATAGTGACCGTAACAAGTACAGTGTTTTAAGCGCCACCAATGCAATCCGAATGAAAGTCAATGTGGATTTTTCGCGTGTAAGACACTATATTGTTACGATCATATTATTTTTTATTGATGGACTGTTTCTCCTGATATTCAATACACCTCTGACACACAAGATTAACAACTCGTTTTTCGATGAAAAACTCAAGAAATTCAAATAGTATTCAACTTAACTTTTGAGCACTGATATTTCACAATGTGTGTCAGAGGTGTATTGAATATCAGGAGAAACAGTGCATCATAAAAATAATATGATCGCAACAATGTAGTGTCTTACACGCGAAAAATCCACATTGACTTTCATTCGGATTGCTTTTGTCGCGCTTAAAACACTGTACTGTTACGGTCAATAGAGCTTCATCATTTGTCGGTGTCTTATGAAATTAAATCTCGAAATGTAAAACATAATGACAAATCACTACACGAAAACTCAATTTAAAGCATCTGTTATTTCTGGAGTTGTTGCCCCCCAAACAAGTTTGGTGGCAGATAATTATCGAGACCACTATTTATGTGGCGCGCCCTCTACTGAAAGCATATTAAAGGCGAGACCTGCCGATGCTGCACTATTGCACAAAATTGACAATTTGTTTTCCGATGAAAAACTCAAGAAATACAAATTGTATTTAACTGAGATTTTGAACACTGATATTTCACAATGTGTGTTAGATGTGTATTGAATATCAGGAGAAACTGTCTATCAATAAAAAAATGATATGATCGTAACAATGTAGTGTCTCACAAGCGAAAAATCCACATTGACTTTCATTCGGATTGCATTTGTGGCGCTTAAAACACTGTATTGTTACGGTCGATATAGCTTCATTGTTTGACGGTTTCTTATGAAATTAAATCTCGTAATGTTAAACATAATGAGAAATCACTACACGAAAATTCAATTGAATACATCTTGTATTTCTGGAGTTGTTGCCCCCTAAACAGCTTGGATGTAGATAATGTTCGAGACCACTATTTATGTGGCGCGCCCTCTACTGAAAGAATATGAAAGTGCGAGACCAGCCGATGCTACACTATTGCACAAAATTAACAACTCGTTTCCCGATGAAAAACTCAAGAAATACAAGATGTATTAAACTGAAATTTTGTGCACTGATTTTTAACAATGTGTGTCAGAGGTGTATTGAATATCAGGAGAAACAGTGCATCAATAAAAATAATATGATCGTTACAATGTAGTGTCTTACACGCGAAAAATCCACATTGACTTACATTCGGATTCCATTGGTGGCGCTTAAAACACTGTATTGTTACGGTCAATATAGATTCATTATTTGTCAGTGTCTTATGGAATTAAATTTCGTAATGTTAAACATAATTACAAATCACTACACGAAAATTCAATTGAACACATCTTGTATTTCTGGAGTTGTTGCCCCCAAACGAGTTTGGTGGCAGATAATTATCGAGACCATAATTTATGTGGCGCGCCCTCTACTGAAAGAATATTAAAGTGCGAGACCAGCCGATGCTACACTATTGCACAAAATTAACAACTCGTTTTCTGATGAAAAACTCAAGAAATACAAGATGTATTAAACTGAAATTTTGCGCACTGATATTTCACAATGTGTGCCAAAGGTGTATTGAATATCTGGAGAAACAGTCTATCAATAAAAATAATATGATCGTAACAATTTAGTGTCTTACACGCGAAAAATCCACACTGACTTTCATTCGGATTGCATTTGTCGCGCTTAAAACACTGTACTTGTTACGGTCAATATAGCTTCATTGTTTGACGGTTTCTCATGAAATTAAATCTCGAAATGTTAAACATAATGACAAATCACTAAACGAAAATTAAATTGAATACATCTTGTATTTCTGGAGTTGTTGCCCCCCCCCAAGAAATAAGTTTGGTGGCAGATAATTATCGAGACCACTATTTATGTGGCGCGCCCTCTACTGAAAGAAAATTAAAGTGCGAGACCAGCAGATCTGCACTATTGAACAATTAAAATTAACAGCTCGTTTTCCGATGAAAAACTCAAGAAATACAAATTGTATTTAACTGAAATTTTGAACACTGATATTTCACAATGTGTGTTAGATGTGTATTGAATATCAGGAGAAACAGTCTATCAATAAAATTAATATGATCGTAACAATGTAGTGTCTTACAAGCGAAAAAATCCACATTGACTTTCATTCGGATTGTATTTGTCGCGCTTAAAACACTAAATTTTTTTACGGTCAATATAGCTTCATTGTTTGACGGTTTCTTATGAAATTAAATCTCGTAATGTTAAACATAATGACAAATCACGAAAATTCAATTTAATACATCTTGTATTTCTGGAGTTGCTGACAGGCGCGGTTCTAGAACCAATATTTTTTTGGTGGGGGGGGGGGGGGGGGGGGCTAGCAGAGTGGATCCAGATTTTTTCAGGAAGGCGTGCTGAAATGTAGACCGGTTATTTTTCCAGACACTTAGGCCTCCGAAAATCAATAGGTGGGTGGGTGGGTGGGTGGAGTGTGGGGGGGGGGGGGGGGCTCATGCCATATTTTCAATGGGGAGCGCCAATAAATCCTAAAATCATTCACACTATATTAAGTACAAATGCACCCTTGTCACGACTAAAGCCCCCCCCCCCCCCCCGTAGAACCGCGCCTGGGGATGGCATAATCTAAAAAGCACGAAGATGTGAGAACTTTATTCGAGCACCGTAAAGATGTGAGAACTTTATTCGAGGAAGAAAATAGGCCTAGCCAAAGTTACTTTTTCTGCCCATCCCGACCCCGCCCATTGAAATAATGTGTAGCTTCTGCTCAATTCTCAACACTGTGCAAATCACCTCCATTTGGCGGTTATCACGCACAGGTGAAACAAAACAACTACTTATTTCGATGGGTTTAATGTCACTAAAGTGACATCACGCGCTGATTTTTCAAACTCGGTGCCACCTGCTATCTAGTAGTAATTGATTGGCGAATAATTTTGACAGTCTATTGAATGCCACGTGTATCGGCTGGGGACGTGACACAATTTGTCAATGACTGGTACCTCGCTCGGAATGTTCGTAGTCGGAATCATGCATAGTTACCAGCGACCGGTCAGAAAAAATAGTCGGGTCCGTACCTCCCCGTCAAGTTGTGTGACCGACGTTCTGTGCTGTCGACGTGTAACATTACAACAACTAGTGAGTGCTGTGTTGTGACCGTGTTTTTGGAACGATTTTTGCTTTTTTTTAATGTACATATTGACTACACGAGTTGTGGTGAGTAGAGCTAAGAGAAGAGTCCCCGACGACAACCAATATTTTCACTGAAATTGGCTAAATATTATCAGATTTCACTGCGATCATGGCGAGTGTGAGGGCGACATATGATATTCAACGACTATTCAACTTGTGTTCAATATTGAATTTTTGTTTGTATTTTTTTTTACGTTATTTTGTCATTTCTTCATTTGGAAAAAAAGTTGCATTCTGACGCCACCTTTTTCTTCATATATCATCTCATTCTCAATGAAGGTCAGTCATTGCAAAAATGATGATAAGACTAAGAGAAACATTTCCAATTGTGGAAATACTGTGATTGAGTGTGTGAAGTGGTGTGGGGGGGGGGGGGGGGGGGAGGGGAAACAATTGATAATGATAGGCGCATATGTACACAGGGTTGTACATGTGCTGGTTCAAAATCCAATCTCATTTGGCTTCTGTCTACTTTAACTGTAAGTTCAAGAACTAGAACTAGTAGAAGGCAATCTGGATACACAGTTACTTGGGTGCTAAAACTCCTCCCTCCTCCCCCCCCCCCCCCCCCCCCCCCCCCCCCCCCCCCCCCCCCCCCCCCGAATTTTGATTTGGTTGGGGAAAAAAAAGGTTCTAGCACCCCAGTTACTGGGTCTAAAGGCAACTGTGCTTCTAATCCTGCTATCAGTTTGGTCAAACTTTCTCCAATTTTCATCTCAAAATAACATGATAAATAGACGTCTAGAGAGGGGGACTTGGATTTTTCCAGGGTTTGTCTTAACCAGGTAGGCCTTAAGTACCAAAAATTCATGGTGAATATCAAATGGGAAAACGAGGCAACTTCAGGGAAAACAAGTTTAGAACAAGAAGCTCAAAACAAGTTTAGAAGCCCAATTTCGGACAGTGTCTCTGTCAATGTTATCAGTTAATAATGACTTCAGAAACCTTTTAAACATTCAAACGCCCCTAATGTTTGTAAGTTTGAATAGTATTTCTTATAGAAATTTATTTTCTTTGAATTACAGTTGCCTGTACTCCAACCGGCTGAGTAACCCAATGCTACGTACGCCCTCTTCTTCAAGTCGTCTCCCCACCCCCACCCCTATAACTCCTTGCCGACCAAACTAAGTTCAACTTTTCTCTGTCACCATCGACGCCGATGAAACCCCCGAGGACCCATACAGACCTCGCAGCAACATCGTAGCCGGTAACCAACTGAGCACGGATACCGGCGACAGGAAAGAGATGGCCAATCACGTGCCGTGGAACGCGGTCATCAACCTGGGCAACAGCATCATCGGGGTCAGCGTATTGGCTATGCCGTGGTGCTTCAGAGAGGTAGGCTCAAAAAAAGTCCACGAATTCTGTCACAAGACTATGGGTAAAAAAAGGTAAAGGGGACGAACCTGTATTCGCAGGAATGGAGTGCCCATCTCTCTTTCGAAGCGATTGGGCCAGACTCAATGTAATGCTGTTGGGGGATCGCCACACCTCCTCCACAGCGAGTCTGTTACCTTCCCAGCATAGAATGATGCCGGTGTCATACATATAAAAATCTGAATCCTATGAAAATCGGACTCCTTTTCCCTACTATTGGTTAATCCCTCACACGTGACAAGTCACTCTCCTATAGGCCTATAAATAGGCTATTATCATACTTGCGCATGCGCAATGCTACCAATGAGTCCATATTTCATGGAGTCGGATATTCACGCTACTCTGGTACCCATTTAACACCTGGGTTGAGAGGAGTAATTGAGGTAAAGCACCTTACTCAAGGGCACAACATGCATGGCCAGCGAGGCTCGAATTCACAATCCAACGATCACGGGGCCTGTGCTTTACCGCAAGCCTGGTAGAGATGGCTATGGGCTCTGTGCGCAAACAACAGAGGGCGTTTTTTTTACCGCTTTTGGGTGTCCCTTGGATGGGACACACTGTACGTACGTTCCTGCTCATGTTGGGCAGAGTATGCACAACTAGTGTTATTCTGAATGTACACAAAGCCATAGCATCTTGGCGTGAGCGTCAGGCGGCGTCAGCACTGCGCTCGAACGTCTCTCCTAGTGGTCGCCCCCAAATCACCCTTTCTCACCATCTCTCTCCAGATTTTAGTCACTGGAAGATAAATACAGTTTTCTTGTTTCAAACTAAAAATATTTTTGGGTCAACCTGAGCTGAGTCACTCTTCAACCATTCCATTACAAATTTCAACTGCCCTGATGCAAATATTCAATATGAATCCATCTTTTGATCCAGTGCGGTGTTGTTCTCGGCATTGCCTTGTTGTTGTGTGGAGGGCTTTTAACCAAAGCCACGTGCTACCTGCTCCTCCGAGCATCCAAAGTCAGCAGAAGACACTCGTATGAGTTCTTAGGTAAGTCAAATTATACAAGACGCTGAGGATGTGAATCCCGTTTAAAGGTGTGGCAGATAATTTGTCATTTGTGCAATTTTGTGTGCGTTTGAAGCAACATAAGGTGCTTAAGATTTAAAGATGGGTGCTTAACAACTAACTTGGTGAAGTTTTAGCTCAGTGAATGTTGTGTATTTTGAGAAAACAATATTGTGGGTCCTCAATTTCAATAAAAAAAGTTGTAGAGTTACGTTTGGAATTGCTGTCTCATTCAGCTGATAGCAGCTGCGCGATGTCACACACTGAACTGATGAAGTATAGCAACCGCGCGCACGTGTGCGTCAATACTTGCGCGCGCACCCATTCATGGATTCTCTGAACTGCTTTATGGATTCTCTGAACTGCAAACCAACTACAAACAGAAATTTCCAAAAATGAGTCACTTGACTCTTTTCTTGGAAATGGCCTTCTTTGATTGTTTTCTTCAAAATGACAGCATGCCAGAAAGACTAATTTCACAGGAGGTTTATTGTCATCCCTATCTTTAAAACCAAGTTAGCGTTTCAACAATAATTTTGTCAGTTACTTTTGGGATGGCTGCAAATTATCTAACCTACCTTTAAACATTAATGCAAAAAAATATCAAAATTTTCACAGATTTTCCTAAATGCTTTAATGGAACCCAAGTTTCAAAACTGGCACCTCGGATTCATGTTGCCTGCCTTTCAACTTAATTTTCCAAAGGATGTTTGCAAACTGTTATATTTACAAGTGGATACATTTTTCAAGGAACATAAATTTGTCAAAAGAACAGCTACTTGCTACTCTAAAAATCCCTCATGTTTTTACTTTGACCGGCACATAATTTTTGTGTTTTTGTTTTGTTTTCCACAGCACAACATGCATTGGGAGCAGCGGTAAGATGGCAGTGGAATTTTCGTAAGTGTTCAAATTGTTGTTTTACCGCAACGTTGCGAACCTAAAACTTAATTTTGTGAAAAGTAACTCTCCCATTGCAGTGTTGTAGTTGCGTCCATCACAGATCCCCACGTGTCCATCACATGTCCATCACAAGTCCATCACAAGTCTATCATGAGTCCATCACAAGTCAATCACAAGTTAACCACATGTCCATCACTTGTCGATCGCAAGTCCATCACAAGCCCATCACAAGTCCATCACAAGTCGATCACATGTCCATCACAAGTTAACCACATGTCCATCACAATTCCATCACAAGCGCTTCACATGTCAATCGCAAGTCCATCACAAGTCCATCATGTGTCTATCACAGGTCAATCACAAGTCAATTGCAAGCCAATCACAATTTACTCTGATGTATTTTTTTATGTTCTTCACGCCCTAATACTTTGTGACCGGACTTGTGATGGACTTAATATGAAGACTGACTACAAAACTGTCTTTGACGCAATGTTTGTTTGGAAAATTCCCCGGATGCTCCACAATCCATCCCTCTGTAGGAACCCAGTGTCACATTCTCTGTCCTTGAAACTTTCAAGATACACAAACAAGTCCTCATTGACGTAATAATAGTTGTGCTGTACATGCACAACTTTAAAAGATTTGGGAGAGTTTTGGTTCTTTTTTAGTACATGTACATGTGACATCACTGTCAAAAACTGAACATGGAAAATAAGGCTAAAAATGTTCACTACAGCCAAGTACGCTTGACAAATATGTCTTTATTTCATCATCGTACTTTTTGTTTGTTTTCATATTCAGCATCATCGGTCTGCTGATGTGTACCTGCATAGCCTTCTTTGTTATCATCGGGGACTTGGCGCCTTCTATTGTGGCCAGGTGGCTGGGTCTAGAAGTAAGTTTTGTCCAGGGGTTATTTATCTCATACATTGGCATTACTGGGTATTCCTCTACGGAATCCGAAAACAAGACCCCCAAAATTGTGCATATGTTTTCACAAAGTATCTACTGAGCTGAAACTTCAACAAGTTAGTTGTCATGCACCCTTCTTAAGAGTTTGAACAATTTTGTTTCTTGCTAAGTAAAAAAAAATGTACAAACAGCACATGATCCTTTGTACAGGGTGAGTAAAAAAAAAAAGCGGAACCCAAGCCTCAAAAAATATATTTCATATTTTGAAAAATATGTAGCACCAAATATAATAATAACTTGAAAGCCAATTTCATAAACTACTTTTACATGAATAAATTACTTAAATGGCTCAATCCATTCAAAGAATATCACCATTTAAACACAATGGCCCTAAAACCTCTGTCATCCAAAAATGAGATTTCAAGAATTGTTGTCACAAATGTCTTCAAACATCACCAGTGATAAAACCTCAGTTTAAAAGTTAAACATAATCGACAAAGTCCTTTTGAAGGCCTGTCTTTTGAAAAAAAGGTGGATTTGATAACTCCTACTGTTTGCCTATTAAGCATGGTTGTTTAACAAAGATATTGTGTACTGCAGTTGTTGACAGTTGTTGAAACAAGTGTTCTGTGTCATTTTCTTTGTTGTTCCAAACAGTCAGAACACACAATAATTTGCTTTTTTTTATGAAACAGGTTTTAGGGTCATTGGGTTTAAATGTTGATATTCTTTGAACGGATTTCAGTAATTTTTTTCATCTAAAAGTAGCTTATGAAATTGGCTTTCCAGTCATTATTATTTTTGGTGCTGCATATTTTTTAAAATATGAAATATATTTTTGGGGGTTTGGGTTCCGCTATTTGAATCATCCTGTAACTTTAAAGGGAATATACAACAATTGCAAACATCGAAAAATAAAACTACCAAGTTTTTACGAAATACCTTACTAGGATGTTGGTAAATGACAGTCTCAAGCGTCTTGTAAAATTATGGCACCTGGTGTGAAGTCATTTTCAAGAAAATGGTATTTTTGTAAACATTTCCAACGGTGGTCGGCCGACCAGTGTTGGAAAAACCTTACTATTTTCCAACTACTGCTCCAAATTTACCATTTTTTTCAGTCCAAATTTTGTTTGCTATTGGTTACATGTTCATGAACGGGTGCAGACCAGCTAGACTGGTTCCCTTGCCTTACAATTTTCCATCATCTATAAATTGATCCATTTTATTTTTTGTGGAGTCGGGGAACCAGACAACTTGAACATTTTGTTTTTCTTGGTTTTTCCAACCTTTTTGAACACCAAACTTCAAAAATGTCAGTTTAACAATATTTGATCTATTATACTAACCTCTCAAATAGTTCATTTCTGAAAATTACAGCAAAAGCCAATGATGTACATTCCCTTTAAAAGATATGTACACAATTATACTTATGTACTAACAGCCATACAGAAAATGTTGATAGCGTGGGATTTCTATATCATTTTGTTAACTGTTCTCGTTTCAGAACTCTTGGCACTTAAGGTGTTGTCTGCTGATCCTAGTCGCCGTTTTCATCGTGTTGCCTCTCGGAATGAAACGCAACGTAGAGAGCCTGGGTAGTCTCAGCCTCATGTCCATTTGCTTTTATCTCCTGTTCACTTTAGACGTGAGTATTTTTTTCCTTCTTGTTGTGAAGTAACACCCGTTTAAGACTTTTGCGTTCCAGAGTCATGTCGAACCCAACAGATTTCAATTAAGTTCTACGTTTGAAACAGTTAGGCATGACAACATGAAAAAGTTGTCCAAAGATAGAGTGTAATACAAAAGGGGCAATTCAGAACTTCGATTTTTTTTTTCCAAATTGTTTTGACCCACCCACCCACCCACAATTTAAATGTATGATTGTTGTTTGACTATTCAATATAATTTTCAGTTATTTTTTTAGACCCTCCGAACACAATAACTCCCCCCCCCCCCCCAAAAAAACAATCCAATTTTTTTTAACATTGACTATTCTTAATGGCCCGTTACATGTATGTAAAAATCACTATGGCTATGATATTTGAGCAGATTCGCTGATTAAGTATGCAAGACAAGCGCCTCTGGACCTCTAGATTTTGACCAATCAGCAGGCGCTTTCTACATTGTCGCATCATAGACATATGCATAAGAAACCTAGACAGCAACAAATGCTGTGGCCACGCGCTCTATATTATGTAATGCGATAGGCGCCCGGCCGTTGTTGTATTACAAAACACTGCATTCGAATTGACCAATCAAACATTCATGACTAAGTAAAGTCAACTCCAGTTGGCTGAGTCATCTGCATGCTTAGATATATCAGACATTATAAAGAGATTGGGTTCCGTGGATAACGGGCGATACTCAGACTACATGTACATGTCTGGAGCCATAATCTATTTAGATGGACCCCAGTTTCTCCTAATATTTATTTGTTCGGCGCGATTTTTGGATTTCCAGTGTGATATGGGTGTTATGTGGTTAAAGGGGGTATAAGGGTAATCTCAATAATCCTTGGGCACACTGATTTACCAGGGACAATAGACCCATGATGTTTTCACTAATCTCAGTCCTGATTTACGCAAACACATGTCTGACAAAAAGCCTAATCATGCATGCATTCAAAAATATTACACAGTGTGCGTGTGGCTGGAACATTGTAGTGTGGCATTTGGAGAAGTGCACGTATCAGGGGCGAATCCAGCGAGGTTACTACTGGGGGGAGGGGGGGTTCTCACAAGTGAAAAATGGCTTTATTTGAGAAAAATTCAGTGACTGCTGAGGGAGGGGGAGGGGGTGGCCCCTCCACAGTGGGTGGGGTGTAATTGATCAGTCATATTTGTTCACAAACCGACAATGCATGTGCAGTACAAAATTTGACAAATTGTGGTGAACCGTTCTGGAAATTTCTGACTATAATTTCAACCTCTGTGGTGGTCCAAAGAAAGGATTATTTGCATTATAACGAATGAACAGCTGAGTAAGCAAATAGAAATCGATCCTTTGAGTGCATTGGTTTATTTTTGTACATTCTTCATATTTAACTTGCGTATACATACATGTGTGTTTGCCAAAAATAGTACCTCTCATTGCCCAACACAGAGAAAATACAAATTCCAAAAAAGATTTGTCTAGGGACAAATAATTAAGAAAATGTTAGATAATTAACTGAAGGAGAAGGAGTTTTTTTTTATATATTTGGAAGTTAGGTACATTCAATTTTGTTAGTTTCAATGTTTAAAGGGAAGATACAACATTTGCAAACATCAAAAAACGCAATGATGAAGTTATACTGGATTGTTAGAGAATGACAGTCTGAAGCATCCTGTAAAATCGTGCTGACATTTTCAAGAAAAATTGTATTTTTTCCAATGCTGGTCGGCCGACCAGCGTTTTTTCAAAAACCTTTTTTCAAAAACTGCTCCTAATTTTTCATATATAAAGTTGTTCCACATTTTCTTTGCAATTAATTACACTCCCATTTAATCTAGACTGTCAGCTAGACTGATTCACAGACCCCAAAAATTATAAATTGCTCTGTTTCCTCTAAAGTGGGGTCAGGGAACCAGACTGCAAGAACATTGATTGGTTTTCTTGTTTTTTTTCCCAGCATCTCCGAACCCAAAATGTGAAGCAAGTCAGTTTAACATAATTTTCTATAACATCCTTATCCTCCAAATCCAAATTTCCTTTTGAAAATTGCAGCAAATGCAAATGTTGTACATTCCCTTTAACCCTAACATACCTGAATCCATCAAAATCCACACCCCTGTTTTGGAGGATTTGGGCGGATTCAGGATACCTCCATATTGAAAAAGTTGGGAGATTTTGATGGATTAAGGACAGTAAGCCTAGCGGTACTGCAGGATTTTGATGGATTCAGGATACCTCCATGAGCAGTTGGGGGACTTAGGTGGATTCAGGATCTCAACAGATACACTCCTACCTAACTGGTGGATTCTGATGGACTCACTGGCCACCAACATTTTTTGCATGGCAAAATTGATAGATTTTTGCGGATTCAGGTTACTTTCTAGTAAAAATACCCAAGGGGTTAGGGTTAATGAACGAAATGACAGAGATCCACAACTTTGTGGAATATACGTAATTATGTGCACGCTGTAATGCAATGGTGGCTGTATGCAATGGTGGCTGTATGCAATGTATGTGTGCTGGTACCCTGTTGAAAACAATCGCGCCTACTTTCAATGGTACTGTGGGCAACAATCAAGAAAAGGTTACCAGTGAATAGTAATTGAATATGTGGATTTGTTTGGTTGTTTTTTTGTTGTAATTATTGAAGTCATTTGAATAAAGGCAATTTACAAATCTGCTGGTATGTTTTATGGTCAAATGCAGAGGTAACTTTAAAAATGTAATTAGTTTTTTGAAGCATGCACACAATTGTCGAAGGGAACTTTTGACCATATTGCAAAATGTGCGGGTAGTTCCATTCAAGGTAACAGAAACCATTTGCAAACATTGAAAATGAAATTGTCAAAATATGAATCATATGCTACTTGATTGTAAGTTAATCCATGTAACAGGATCGAGTATCCTGTGAAATCGATGCCCCATTTTTTAGGAAAGAGCAATGACCATCATTTCCGCACAATGGGTAGGACCAAACCACTGCACTTCCATGTACGATTACCCAATAGCAGAGATGCCACTTTTCCAGTTTTAACCGGAATTCCGGTTTTTAAAAAAAATCTCACAAAATTCCGGCCGTCAAATTAACCAGAAAAAGAGAAGAAAAACTGTGGAAATGCGTTGATTTTTACCTCGATTTAGTACATTTAGGCGCACGCATGGCACAACGTTGTTCGTTGAAGTAGTCTTAAAAACAGTCTTCGTGTATGTTGTTGCCGAGCCTGCATGCGATACAAGCGGCCAACGTACTTCCACGCAGTATACAACGGCGCCTCGTGCGTGCTTCACCGCATGCGGGCATGCTGTGTGCTAAGCACACGTAGCATTCAGCCTGGAAATCAAGTCTATCATTTCAGCTATCGGTGGTTTCCGATTGCAGTGATATATGTGAATACAAAAAACGCCGGGTACCAACCATGTTTTCGTTGAGCGCATCGCCTAGTGTAAGGATCATGTACACCGACAGCAGTGTTGTGGAATCGTGCATGTTTCGTGTCGAATATTACATTGGAAATTCGGGTAGGCAGAATAAATATGAGGAATATGGAAAAAGTCAAAGTGATTGAACGAACCGACAGCTTTAAAAGCCATAGAAGCAAAATTAAAAAATAAACAGAACTTGGCTTGGCTACAAGATAAAGGTGACAACGGGGACTTTGTGTCAGACACGGAGTGGCTTTTTCACACACAAAAAAAGACCGGTTTTTTCAAGCAGCCGTTCCGTTTTTTTTTTCAAGCAGACCCAGTTCCGTTTTTTTCAAGCAGACCCTGTGACATCTCTGCAATAGGTCTCTCTCAAATGATGTCATTTTCTACAGACCAGCCATGTGCATTGGCATTTTTGAGCGTCAACTTGCATAACGCGCCTTGGCTGCGTCGTATTTCTAACTTATTTCGAGCAACAAGCGTGACTGTTTGGAACATTCTCCAGTATGCATCGATAAAAGTCCGTGAAATTACGTTACGCGTCTGAAATCAACTTCAGTCTTGTGATAAAAAACATATACTGAATCATGTTACATGAATTCTAAGTTCTGTTCTGTGTGATATTTTCATAAAATACGAAACTTTCTCTCTGCCTTAAAAACAAAAAATCACAATAACACTTGCATTTTGGAATGGGAAAACAAGATGTCAAAATGACCACCTAAAACCAATAATTTTAGCCCCAAACAAATTTGTTGACAAATACAATATATGTAACCACATTCTATCTCACTGGCACACCACTCAAATAAAAGGTCTTGTTGTCCCCGGCAATTGGATACCACATTTTAGATTGTGATGCTTATGTTTCTGAAGATGTCATAAATTTTCCACTTTTCAGCTATGTCCACTTTGCGTGGAATTGCCCATTACCAGAATTTTGAGTCAACAGTATAGGAATCAATGTAATCACTATTGATATTTCATTTTTATCTAATCACTATTGTTAATTTCATTATAATATTGATATTTCATTTGAAGCTGACAACCTGGCTGAAATAGATTATCAATTGGCATTCTCTCTGTCAACAGCTGTATCTTTGAGTCAATAACAATTTCATAGATTTTGTTTTGTTTATTTATTATTTATTGTTCGTTTGGTTCTTTTGGTTTGGTGTTTTGCAAAATATATCAATTTTGAATAGGTTTTTTTTCTCTGGAGTCAGATTGGTTAAAAAAAAAAATTCTGGAATTTTCTCATGAAATTTGCTAACAACTCAAGTTCTCTGAAAGTACTGACCATACAATACAGTGCATGTAAATTTTATTGGGCAAATACTTTTCAAATTTCAAATAACAATGTAAGGATGGAAATCCACCTTTAATTTCATAAACTTTCAATTGAAACTGTAAACATTAATTTCTTTCAGACTAAGACTGGACAAGCACTAAGCAAATCATTGATCGTGGCCCAGTGTGATGAAACTATTAAACACAAACTGCCTACAATGTACATGTACATGGCTGTCACAATCTAAAAAAATATCAGATGTGAGGCGTTCTGGCAAAATGAGACAGAACTGGGCACAGGTTGAAATGAGGGGTTACAGGTATTAGGAAAGAGAATAAAATTCTCCTTACAATACTGTTTGTTGCACTTCAATCGGACATTTCATTGAAGATTTATGGCTGTTTCAAATTACACTTATCAACAAGTCCAAAATGTAAAATACTGAGAAAAAGGCCTTTACAGTATTTGAAAAACAAAGCGCCAGTTTTTTTTTTCCAATGCTGGTCGGCTGACCAGCGTTGGAAATTGATAGAAAAATACAATTTTCTTGAAAATGACAGCACACCAGGTGCCATGATTTTACAGGATGCTTTAGACTGTCTTCACTAATAGTCCTGTAAGGTATTTTGTAATAAGTTGGTAATTCTGTTTTTTTGATGTTTGCAGATGTTGTATAAATTCCCTTTAAGTTTCTATTTGAACATTCAAATGAGTAAAATTTCACAAATCAAACCTTACATTTCATTGATGCCAAGTTCCAGTGAAAATTACCGACTTTTTCTTTTTTCCTTCTTCGCTTCCCTAGATTCTATGGGACAGTTTACCCAGTTTACTCTCTCTCAAGTGGATGGATACAATGGAACTATGGCGGTTACCAGGCGTGCTCAAAGGACTCTCCATCTTTTCAATGTCTCTCTGCTGTCAAACGTAAGTCAGGTCACAGTGACCAGTTTGCGAAAAAAATCGGCCGGAGGGGTGTAAAGGTCCTTCAATGTGTCTCAACGTCGTTTTCACAATAAACCACCGAGATCTTGTAGTTAGGAATGTCTTAAAACAATATGTCTCTTCATTTTTCAGGAACCTGCCTCTAAAAAGTGTACAATTTTTTTAGGGACCACCCTGTATGCTCGCAATTCAAGACAAATTCAACTGTCTTTTGTGAGGAAGTGATCAGCCTATAGACTCCATACACAAGTAATTGCTAAATGGTTAGGAAGAGTGTTGGGTGATTCTCTTTGCACCATTGCTGTTGCACACCTAGTGCTCACGTGCAGATGATGCAAATTGGTCTTGAGTACTTCACGCCGTATGCACAACTGCGCATTAACTAATGTTGTGCAAACCCGACCCAAAACCGACCCAACCCAAAACCGACTTAATTATATTATTGCAGAGTTATTGTGCCCAGTACGACCAACGTTCACCCAAGTACCGCATGAATGTGTATGTGGTTTGCGGTCTATCACGCACGGTCTATGTGGGTAAAGTTATGAGTCTTCACTGTTCCATACGGTATGATTTTTTACTGTGAGATGACGACTTTAATGCCTCGCAGGTAAGTTCAGGCGCAAAAAGCGGGCACAGTTGCCCAAGCAAGCGATTTGGGGATTTTCGGGTCGGGTCAGTTCAGGTCGGTTTTTGCTTGATCTTGGTTGGATCGGGTCAGGTCAGATTTGGTGAATTCAGGTCGATTTCGGTTTGGATTCGGTTTATACCTTTAGTGTTTTGGGTGGGTTTGGCCTGGTCAACCTGACCCGATGAACATCATCCCCCACACACAGCTGTCATCTACCATTCATGTACAGCACTCTTTGTTACATTGTTGCTGGTTAAGATAAATCCGAGATTGACTTCCTCCCCCTCCCTGCCCAGGACCCTGTTTGTCGTTTACGATTCCTTACAAGAGAAAACAGTCAAGCAGATGGAAGCTGTCGTGTCCAAGTCTGTCAACATGGTCTCTGGTATCTACATCTTGGTGAGTCCAAACGATGGACCAAGTCGGGGGACTATCAAATTAGGTTTTGCCCTTCACCGACATTTAAAGGGAATATACATCATTTGCTTTTGCTGTAATTTTCAGAAATGGATGGAATTGGGGGGTTGGAAATATAAAGCAAATATAGTTACACTGACTTTTTGGAGGTTTTGGGTTCGAAAATGCTATAAAAACCAAGAAAAACGATCATTTTCCTGTAGTCTGGTTCCCTGACTCCATATAAGAAGAAACAGAGCAGTTTACATACATTGGGGAATTGTAAGGTCAGGGAACCAGTCTAGCTGGCTCGTACCCGTTCATAGGCTTGTAATCGATTGCAAACAAGTGCAATGGTCAATTGGGGCCAGTATTTGAAAAAAGCCAGTTGTTTCCAACGCTGATCGGCCGATCAGCGTTGGAAATTGATACAAAAATACAACTTTTCTTGAAAATGACAGTATACCAGGTGCCATAATTTTACAGGATGCTTTAGACTGTCATTTACCAACATCCTATTAAGGTATTTCGCAAAAACTTGGTAGTTTTATTTTTCGATGTTTGCAAATGTTGTATATTCCCTTTAAACACTGTATACTCAGTGTGTCGAGGGAAAACTTATTGCAATGATGAAAATACAGTGTCCATAGTTTGAGCAACTGTCATAAACAAAAATATATGACTCGCGAGTCCTGAGTGTTTGAGTGTGAGACACAATTGCCAAGTCAAAGCTCTGACTCCATGTCCAAGTCCTAGTGTTTTGTCGATGTGACTGAAGATGGACTCGACTCACTCAAGTCTGACTCTACTCACTTGAGTCCGAGTCTTGGACTTGAGTCGAACGACTCAGGTTTAACTTTGTTAATTGAGGTACAGACAAGAGCATGTATGCAATGTTTTCCTTGCAGTACTCAACAGTTACAAGGTCTTTAACCCTCCTGCTGTCTGAACAGTCACAGACAGTCAAAAAAAAATCCTCTTCTCCTTCCATGCCTTATACACAGACTAGTCACCAACAGTCAGATCATATTTTAAGCAAGCACTGTGACTAGTCAAATTCAGTCAACCGACATAAGCCGGCAAGTGTTAGGCACAGCTGGCTTATCAAACACCTACATAGTTGTATCAAGTTACATAAACAGTCACAGCCAGTCAATTCTACTTTGTGTACGCTGGGAGCTCTTAAACGTCAAAAACAGTCACCTGACTGATTTTGACTGAAAGGACAACCTTGCACAGAGTGTATGTTTGCATAGGAGGGTTACAAAATATTGGATAGAAAAGTTAATTTTTTTGTTGTCTTGAATGTGCCCGCTTGATTTCAGGTTGGATTCTTTGGCTATGTATGTTACTACAAAGACGGTATAAAGGGCGACATTCTGCTCAACTTCCATCCCTCGCTACTATCAGAGGTCCTACGGATTGGTTTCACCGTGTCGGTAGCGTTGAGTTTCCCCCTCTGCATATTCCCATGCCGAGCCAGTATTTATACACTATTTTGCCACACAGTGAGTCTCTTTTTTTCCCTAAGTTTTAATTTGTATTCAGGGCCCATGTTTAATCAGATTCTTAGCAGAAAATATTAGTATGCAAATTTATGTACTAAGCACGGAAGGTGATACTTGGTACTTGGTTGGTTCTTCTCCTAAGGACTTCCACAAGGGAGTATAACTAGGAGGCCAGAAACACCGGGGCAAACCCCTTCTCTTAGCGATAAGTGTTACTGGGTTCTTTTACGTGCTTTAGGCCTTATACAACACATGGGACCTCCAGCTTAACGTCCTATCCGAAGGACAAACCAATAAGGGTTAAATGCCTTGCTTTATAAGGGCACAAGTGTCCAGGCTCGGGCTCGAACCCACGCCACTGTTGCCTCTGAAACACCAGAGCATGAGTCCGATGCTCTTAACCGTTCAACGTCATATTCAATGACATATTGATTGGTGTTGGTAATAAGGGAATAAAAATGTGCTTGGCCGGTTTTAAACAAGGATCAGGGGTCTGGACGCTGATAGTTGAGGGACATTATCGGCGACCCTGAGTCGGTTTAAAACATGCTTGTTTAAAACTGGCCAAGCACATATTTATTCCCATTCATAAATATCTTTTGGAATAAAAAAGTCATAAGTCAACAATTTTTAATTTCCAATGATTTTGTACAAAATTTTACCTCATGTTTTTTGCACATTTGAGGTTGTAATGATTGCAGTTTTGAAGATTTTCGTCAAGTTTCCAGTGCCCAGTCATGTCCTGCTTTCACATGGAATTGCCCTTGTGTTTCTTGATGTGTTATCTGGGTCCTATAGTCATTATTAAAGCAATTGAATGCAATGAAAAACCGGGTGTTTTTTTGGTATATTTTATGAGAAAAGTCAACAAGTTCTTCAATCACAGAATTTAGCAAAACCTTGAACAGTCCATATTTTGTTGAATTTTTCGGGACATTTGCAATAACTTACTGTGAACCGGTAGGTGTCAGAATTTTTTGTTTGGAACTTTTAAGACGTTACCAGTTTTTGATGTATAAAGGAAGTACAAATGCTGGGATGCGTAATTCATGACCAATGTATTTACCCCAGAACGCATTCCTGAATCCTATGACGATCATTTATTTGGCATTTTTTATCTCGTAGACCCACAGCGTGGAGAATCCCCATGGGGGCGGGGACTTTATACCCCCGGCCAAGTTTAAGCTCATCACCCTGATGATAGTGTCTGCAACTCTTGTGGTGGGCATCACGATACCTAACGGTAAGATAGGACAGAATTCTGTCTTCAGGTTTGGGGTGTAAACGTTTTTTCCTGCTTGAAAATCTTGAGTAAATTGTGTTTAATCTTTTAGTCACTGTATAAAAAAAATTGAAACCCAAATGTCGGGACCATTCTTTTAGTGAAGTTCTGCATGTAGCACTTTCATAATCTAGGATATGAAAGCCTAATTCATAAGCTTTCTTTTAGTACAAAAATCATTCAAATCACTCATGCAATTTTCAAGTTACGGAATTTTAAACACAACCACCGTTTTAAAGTTGTGTCCAAGGATCACAAACAGGTAAGTGTTCTTTCAGCAAAATGAAAACAAATCACATAGGGATGTGTGTGAATTGTTTTCATTTTGCTGAAAGAATGTACACCTTTTTTTGTGATCCGTCGACAGAACTTAAAAAACGGTGCTTGTGTTTAAAATTCCGTAACTTGAAAAGTACATGAGTGATTTTAGTGATTCTTGTACTAAAAGAAAGCTTATGAATTGGGCTTTCATATCCTAGATTTTGTAAGTGCTGCATGCAGAACTTCACGAAAGCAATAGTCCTGACATTTGGGATTCGTTTTTTTTTTTACTCACCCTGTATAAGGGTTATGCGGGATCAGTAACTTCATGCTATGTGGAAATTTCCCATTCAAAACTTTGTGGTGATCCCAACAATGAGTTATATGTGTTTCCCTTCTGTCTTCAGTTGAGACGATTCTAGGCTTGACAGGTGCAACCATGGGGTCACTCATTGGCTTCATCCTCCCGGCAATAATCTACCTACGCACGACAGGTGTTCCGAACAAGAACAACGCAAAGGTAAATAATTACATTGCATGTTCCTCACATCTTGGCCAGGCTGGTACTCAGTCATCAGCAAAAATAGGTCACCGGCCAAAATCTCATCCAATGCGTATGGTTTTTCACTGGTTCTCAGCTGATTTGCGCTAAACACATACAATTTTGCTTAGTTATATTTTCTGCTTAGTAGCCCCATCAAGTCCACCTCGCTTGTATGGGCTGCTTGCACGTTCCTTCGCTAATCTCTGACTGTGTAAAATGCGAAAAAGGACGCTGATTGACTATTTAGAGCATACTGCAAGTATATTTTGAAGGCTGCACGCACTAAATTTGCTCACGTTATCTCCTGCATGTCACATCACGTCCAATTTTTTTTTTCAAAACTGCGCGATGCATCTTCCATATGAAAGTCTGGAGGGTTCATTTTTTTTGTGAAAAAATATCTGTATTTTGTGTTGTGAAAGAGACGACAGAGGTACGCACATTATCTAGCAAAGTGATGTGGAATCTCATCTTTTAACCCTAACTCCCTAGGCCTATAAAATGGCATAAAGCCTCAATCCTGCGAATCCCTCCATTATTTTTTGAATATGGTCCGTAGAGGGGTGACCACTGCCTGAATCCTGCAAAATCCTGCAGCAGTGACTGTCAATATGTTGAGGCTTAGCCAGTGACATCCTGGAGCAGTATGGCTGAGCAAAAACAACACAAGGTCCGGCCCAAGACCTGGACAAAGTGCATCCTACGAAATCAGTAACGCACTTTTGCCCTGTAACCTCAATCCTCCAAATTCCTCCACTTTGGCAAAGAGGATTTTCAAGGATTCAGGGCGGTTAGGGTTAAAGGATTGATTCTGCAAAAAAAATAACTTCGAATGTGAACACTGTGAGTCGGGCATTAAACACAGAGACTACAGTGCTAATTTTAATCTCCCAACTAGTTGGTTGTTAAAACTGCCACTGCCGTCACACCTAATGCTGATCCTGATGGGTTGACACAAGCCTTTTGAATCAAACTTGCAGATTATACTAGTGATTGGGGTGCTGCTATTGGTGTGCAGTACCTATGACAATCTCAGTACCACCACAGCAAAACCCGAATTGGATTTAGTCCCCATTCAACCGGTTGACAATTTCCCCGACAAAGTTCCCGCGGACCAAGACAAGGTGCCTGTTAAACCTGATGCTGGTGGTAATGTAGATGCTGGTAAGATTGCCCTTCTTATTTATTTTTTTGAAAGCAGTCATGTTTGGTTTTCAGTTGTATCTGGATTCATTTTTCACCTGTTGCTTATGGCAAGTGAGGGTAAATGTAGAACAGGAGTTTGAAGTTCTCGGAAAGCTTTTTTTTTTTCTTCTCTTTATTTAAAGGTAGAGTAGATCATTTGCAGCTATACAAAAAGTAACTGACAAAATTATTGTTGAAAAAGCTTACTTGGTTTAAAGATAGCAATTAGTACATTAGTACATGTAGTTGCTTTGTAATTCCGCAAATTTGTGAATGAGTGCGCGCGAGCATTAACACGACATACACACGTGCGTGGTTGCTGTTATTCATCGGTTCAGTGTAGTGCGTGCCATCGCGTACATGAAAAAAAGTGGGTTTTTTTTTTCAAATACTGCTCGCAATTTATCAAAGTTAGTTAGTCCACATTTTCTTTCCAATCGATTACGCACTTGTGAACGGGCACAAGCCAGCTAGACTGATCCCCTGACGTCAAAAGTCCCCAACGCAACGTCTATACATGCTCCATTTCATCTTAAGTGGGGTCAGGGAACCTAACTACAAGAACATGATTGTTTTTCTTGGTTTTTCCAGCATCTACAACCCAAAATGTCGAAAAAGTCAGTGTGAAAATATTTGCTATAAAAGACCAATCTCCCAATCCATCCGTTTCTGAAAAATTACTACAAAAGCAAATGATGTACATTTCCTTTAACACATTTTGTGTTCAACGGTTCCTTAAAAGCTGCCACCAGTTGCATCAAAATTCTGATCTATTTCAGGTGGAGATGTCATCAAAGACCCAGACAAACCAGCGGATCAGAAGGCAGGAGACCAGGGGGAGGAGGGCAAGAAAAAGGAAGAGCCTGATGCGGGAGGGAACGATGCGAAACAAGACGAGAAGAAAGGTATTAAAACAAAGACTCAAGAGGATGAGGATTCATTCTGTCCTTTTTAAATGAGAAAACAAATAAGTGCTTTGTCGGTATTAAACACTCTGGTTTTTTTTGCGCCCTTAAGCGGGCCCTGAACCCCACGCCGTAATTTTGTGGACCCACTTTTTAGGGGACTAAACGTTGTTTGGGCCCCCCCCCCCAAAAAAAATTGTGTTCTGGATCCGCCCTTGTGTAACCAGAAACTGATGGCCCATAGTAGCCGAGATTGTAAGGCTTGTTGCGTTACCCTTGTTTGCAGATGACGAAGACGTGAATGACAAACGACAGGAGCCGCCAATACCACACGCCCCAGACTCCAAAGAGGTAGGTCATAAGTCAAATGTCGAGGGTCACTGTCTGGGACAAGTAGAGTTTTTTTTGCAGCCCATTTTCTGGAATCATGCTAAGCTTCACCTCTGGCAGGATTTTCCAAGAAAGTTTGATGTGCAGCTTTCCATTGCACTTAAGATAGTGGGGTTGATTTTCAAATCATTTTGCAAATCTGTGATCCTAAATATTGGGTGATATAAAAAATAAAAAAACCAAAACGTCAGGACCATTGTTTTTGTGAAGTTCTGCATGTAGCACTTTCAAAATCTAGGATATGAAAGTCCAATTCATAAGCTATCTTTTAGAACAAGAATTATTCAGATCACTCATGTACTTTTCAAGTTGCAGAATTTTAAAAGCCACCACTGTTATAAATTCCTGTCCACGGATCACCAAAAAACGTGTGCGTTCTTTCAGCGAAATAAAAACAATTCACACACATCCCTATGTGATCCGTGGACAGAATTGTAAATAGTGGTTGTGTTTAAAATTGCGTAACTTGAAAATTAAAGGAGTGATTTGAGTGGTTCTTGTTCTAAAAGAAAGCTTATGAATTGGGCTTTCATATCCTAGATTTTGAAAGTGCTACATGAGAACTTCACAAAAACAATGCTTGCGACATTTAGGTTTCATTCTTTTTTACTCGCCCTGTAAACATACAAGCTTTAGGCCATAATTTTAATTCCAGAAATGATTTTTTTGAACGATTTGTAAAGAGATACCAATTCAAGGAAAGCCTCTTTCTTTGATCTCTAAACGAGAAATTTGTATAATTTGATGATCTTCAACAGTTTTTAGAAACCTGTTTGCAACCAGCTACCTGTCTGAGTCTGTTTTCTTTCTTTTTTACAAAACATCTTTTTTTAACAACTTGAGTTTCAAGTGATTGTTTGAATACTAAAATACACGGTGTTCCCTTTTTTTTCTGCAGGATAAAAAGCAGATAGATGTAAAGAAAGATGTAGATGAAGTAGAGGTCAAGAAGGACATCAAAGAAGATCCCCAAGACGTGGAAAAGAAGGCCCCAGCTGACGACAAGGATGATGGTGATGGTGAGGCTGTATTACTTTGATGCAGTAATAGAAACAGTAATGCACTGTACATTCATTCTGACCTCTTGCTCTTTGAGTGTAAATGTTTGGACCAGTAAAGGTAAAAAAAAAAGTCTCCAGATTCTGGTAGGAACTCGCCCCAAAATGGTGTGGCGACAAGTTTTTGTCTCGCCTGAACTTTGTTCAGGAAAGAGACTATGCAATCACTATATGTCTGTCCGTATGTATATGTGGTATTTTGGATAGTTTGTAAAATTGGTCTCATTTTCAAAGTTGAGGTCCCATTGGAACCAAACTTGGGTCATAGATGCAACATGGCAACCATCATATGAAACTGATGACAAAGGTCATCTGAGGTCAAGCTTTAATATAATGTAAAATTGGTCTCATTTCAAAAGTTAAAGTCCAGTTGGAACCAAACTTGTGTCCTTGGAACCTTCGAATGATAATGATGTCATAGGTCAAACACAAGGTTAAAGGTCACTCTTAGTCGCGAAAGCAGGCGAGACGCAATGTTCAAGAACCTTTTTTTTTGGTCCCCCTTCATCAGATGTGAAGAAAGATGCTGAGGACGAGGCAGGCGTAAAGTCGATGGAGAAGGATAACGAGAGGAAGCAGAAGGAGTTGGAAGAGAAGGAACAGCAACTGAAAGACAAGGAGGTGAGCCCACTGATTCCTCTCATGAGCATCTCAAAAACAAGATGCCCCTACTAATGGAATGGCTGCAATCATGTATAGGAGTGTCGGCATTTACAACATTTTCAAGTTGGGAGCACATTAAATTTCAAGTTGGAAAAATCCACGTTCTCTTGACATTTGATATCGTTGACGTACAGTTCTGAAACAAGTGTTTGCCCATCACACAGGTAATATCTCAACCATTGTATGCTCTTTTGCCTTGCAAGAGCTTATGCCGAAGCCTAAGAAGCTCTTCAAAAAGACTATAGAGAAGAAGCGCGAATCCTGGTATGAATGCTTTTTATGTAAGTCTGTAGTGTACCTCATTAGAGCTCTTGATGCTGATTGTGTTTTTTGCAACATTGCAGGAGAATTTGGACAAGATCGTCGTGGACAAATTCGCTGAGCAGGAGCAGAAACAAGAGGAGCAGAAGAAGAAACTGGAAGAATTAGAGGTAAATCTGTTGAGAATGCTTGATGTGTGGAAGCAACACAAACACTTCAGTTAAACAAAGGAAAATTTTAAGAAATGGAGCCTACTTGGCCTTTTGTCTTGCCTTAAATCCCAGCCACAGTTGTATACTTGATGATAAGTCATTAAATAGTCGTATTTTGTCCGTGAACTTCAGTCAAATTCCATCGGCACGGCTGGTATAAGGCTAGTACGTAATCGGCTGGGTTGCAACAAATCTAACGACTTGACGCTCAAATTGTCACACAGCTATTGATATATGCAGTACATTTTTGCAGTGAGATCCAATGCGCACCGCTATGCAAATGAGGACTTATTCATTCTGTTACATGATCTGGCGCCGTTTTAACGACCAATACTCTCAGCTAGGTCAATTGTGTATAGAAATATATTGTTATTGTGATATACTTGATTTATTTGAGTCATGTATGCCCTATTATGAATGTTTTAATGATACACAACACAAAAGTACAAACCCTCGAAATAATCTGAATAATCTTCCGTGGCGGCCTAGAAAACACTGGAATCTGTAGTAATCAGAGTGCTTGCATAGAATTCGCTAGCGATTCAATATACTTCCATACAAATTTGAAATGTTTTCTCCAAGTCGGTAATTTTATCAGAAATAGTCCGCATCATTTGGTCTGGAAACCAGCCTGCGTGCATTGTAGGGATATTTTGTGTGCGCAGAGCCAGTAACCGTTTACCGTACGCACCAAGTCTACTACAGTCGCAGAGACTGAAGTTTGAATTTAACAGTTGGTTTCCCAAGGTTCTATCAGGTTTTATGGGGTACCTCGGGGTTCAACCTTGAGTTGCCGTTTGTTCAATTTTGCATTCTTCCCTAATGGCTCTGGCTATCACTTAGCATGATGCACAAAGCCCAAAAACATGATGTAGCAAAGTCAAAGCATGACGTATCAAGTCCACAAACAATCACAGCCAGTCAGTGGTGCTCTTAGTAGGCTATTAGATTGAAAAACAAGCAGTCATTTGATTGATTTTACTGCTGAGATACCATTTGTTAGTTATGTTGGGGGGGGGGGTTAGATCTGGGAAAAGAGGTTCCTGATTGATCTTTCTATATAACCTGTCGCAGATGAGACAACATGAGCAAGAGAAGATCATCGAGGCTCAGGCCGAGGTCATCGAGGAGCTGAAAGTCCAACACCAGGATGCCCCCGAGTTGGGAGGGGGCCTGCCAGTGGGAGGTGTCATCGATGAACTGATGGGTGTGCAGATGGACGGCCCGATGGGTGGTCAGATGGGTGGTCAGATGGAGAACCTGCAGCAACTACCTGGCGGAGGTCAGCTGCAACCAGATGCCAATGTGCCGGCTATTCAAGTGGGCCTGCAACAGCAGCAGCAACTGCAGCCTATAGTGCAGCAGCAACAGCCCATAGTGCAGCAGCCTATAGTGCAGCAGCAGCAGCCTATAGTGCAGCAGCAGCAGCCTATAGTGCAGCAGCCTATAGTGCAGCAGCCTATAGTGCAGCAGCAGCAGCCTATAGTGCAACAGCAGCAGCCTATAGTGCAGCAGCCTATAGGGCAGCAACAGCAGCCTATAGTGCAGCAGCAGCAGCCTATAGTGCAGCAGCAACTGCCTGCAGGCCAACAACAGGTGGGTGTTACACAACTTGAAAGGCTGAAGTTATTTTCCTAGCTCTACTGCGATAATAATTAAGCCGTGTCTGAATTACTTGGCTGCAGCTTGCAATTAAACATATGTACTTGTTCTCCATAACCCCGAGGACTGACACACAATGGGAGAACAACAGATCCTTTCAGTCCTCGGGAGTTGGGTCTGTTGTTCAAAACAGTCCTCTGTAGTAAGTTGTGCTTAGTCTATGGGAGAGTGTTATATTGCAGGGATAAAGGGAAACACAAAGCATTGTCCTCAGGAGTATAGTAAAACAAAAGTGATTGCCCACAAAAGTGATTGAAGCTGCTTTTCATTGACGTGTGTTACTGCCGGCGCTACCCAAGTAGCTGTGAAGCAAACCCGGTGGTCAATCATCGTCACAAAACCTTGAGGTCCTCGGTCCCTTCTGTTTAACGTGATTCATTCGGTTATGGGTTTCAAAGTAGCAATGTGACTAACCTCTGTTGGAAAAGTCTAACAAACGTGAATCGCCAGTGTCGACTAGCTGGCATTTGATGAAGGTCAGCTGAGCTGTGGTTAACCCATTTAGTCCAAGTACCTCCCCCAACTGCCCTAGGTACTTTTTACTCCCCGTACTGTCCCCCCCCCCCCCCCCCCCCCCCTCCACCCCCTCTAGTGCTGGTTTTATTGATTCAACAGGGAATACACACAATGTCACACAATGTTGTACAAGTGCTGATAGGTAACCTTGGTTCTTGATCTGAATTGCTCCGCTTTGTCCATTCTCATCACCCGAGAATGAACATCATGGTGGAGATGATTTTACTAGTGTTGAGTCCAGATTTTACTGGTGTTGAATCCTGTCTTGTTGAGTCCAGGCTGAGTATGGCTCTCTGCCTTTCCGTTGCAGAAAGCCCTGGCTGGATTTCAATTCAGCTCCCCAAAACCTCTCTTTGATCAATTATGATAAATTTCAAGGACGGGCGTAGCATATCATGTAGAACATTGTTATTATTCTTTACAACAGCAAGCTAACCTCTCAAGAGAGGCATGTGGTTCTGTAACAATCTTATTTTGTAAGGACGAAACAAGACTAATTGTTTGTTTCCTGTTGTATCCAGGTGGCTCCACAGGTCCCAGTCATGCAGCAGCAGGACATGCAAGGTTTGCAGCCTGGGTTGCAGCAAGGTGGACAGCCTCTTGTTCAAGTGGGCGGGGCAGGTCAACCCGGCTTAGCACCCCAAGGGAATTTAGGACCCCCAGGGAATTTAGCACCTCAAGTTGGCTTAGATCCTCAAGTTGGCTTAGCACCTCAAGCAGGTGGTTTAGCGCCACAACCTGTTGACACAGGAGACCAGCATGTAAACAACGATGGTCACATTGTTCGACGGGATGCCCAACTGAATCCCCAACTGCATCAGCAGAACCTTGATTTAGTGCAGCAACAGCAGGTACTACAACAACAGCAAGTCCCGCAGCAACAGCAAGTCCCGCAGCAATTTCAGCAGCAGCAGCAGCAGCAAATTCAATTTCAGCAACAGATGCCAAACAATCTGCCTCTTCAACAGCAACAGCTTGACGTACCGAACCAGCAGCTTAATGTGGCAGGCCAACAACCACTTCAGCCGAAAATACCCGGCCAAGAGGTTCCACAGCTAAACATGCAGGGTGCAGTGGCCCAACAGCGACAGCTTTTGCAAGGCGACTCCCAGGTACCTTCACTGCAGGCAGAACAGGACAAAGATGCAGCAGCGGATTTGGCACTCGATACAAAGGCTAAACTTATCGAGCCAAAAAGCGATGAGGCCATCGGGCAACTCCACCATGAGCAAGTGGATGGGGATGATGACAGAAATCAAAAGGTGGAAGACAAGAATGCAGAAGAGAAACCCATCGTACCAGTTGATGACCAGTTCGGTGAGAACAATGGAGAGAAACCCAGAGAAGAACAGCTTCAGCAAAACAGAGATGAACAGCTGTCCAAGGAGGAGCAGGTGCAGGAGAAGAAAGACGATCAGGTGGCATCAAGAGAAACACTTGTGGAGGAGAAAAAAGAAGACGCCAAGGTGTATACAAGGGATCAGGTGTTGGAGAAAGAAAAGCAAGATGCTCCATCCATGAAGGAGGCAGAGGATAAGCCCAAGGACGACGGTGAAGTCAAAGATGAAGACCTCAAGAAGGATGATGCCAAGGAGGAGCAGGAGACTGATACTGGCAAGAGGCAAGAGGTGGTCGGAAAAAGAGACAGTGGTGAAGACAAAGTGAAAGTAGAAACAGAGGAGGGACTGAACGAGCATGAAGTCAAATACAAGACCCGCCAGGAGATGTCTGTCAAAAGCACCGAGAACATCCCAGACAAGGACTCCATTCAGACTGTCTCGGGCTCAAAGACAGAGAAAGAGGGACTGACAAACAAGCAAACCCCTGAGTTGAAGGAGAATCGGGAGGAGCCTCACGATGAAATCAGCATTGCAGAGACCAATAAAAACACGGCAGAGGCACACTCTCATTATTTAAGAAAACGTTGGGAGCAACAACTTGAAAAGTTGAAGTCGCGTCACAGAAGGCACTGAAATCAGCCAGACCAATGAAAAAACAAATTGTTCAAACTGTAAACATCTGGAGGGAAAAAAGTCCATCTTAGAATGTACTGCCTTTGAGAAATCACTAGAAAAAAGATTTTCTTTGAACTTCCAAACAAAGAAGCACAAAGAAACCACATTTGGACATGCACTCGGACAACTGTTTCAAAAACAGAGGAGGCATTATTCAGGTCTAGGAGGTATTTTTGATTTTGTTTTATCATGTACTATGATTAACTAAGAATTTTAAGTTACTTTCTTTTCATTCCTGCTATTTGGAAACGTTACCCTAACAATTCTTTGTATTTCGTGCTGTCTTTCTAGAAAACAAATACCTCTTTAGCAGCGTGACGACTGATATTGGACTCTGTCATATGGACATAGAAAAATAATAGTAACATTTCAGAGTCGGTTTATAAAGCAGGACGTAGTTTACGAGGTCGTCACGACCTCTTTATTCCTTTTTGTCTAACACCTCTTTGTCTAACACAACCTTCTCCCCTTTGCAACCTGCCTAATAGGGCTCACTCAGTGACGGCCATCTCTGTAGAACTGCAACTGCATATTTTACGCAATCAAGCATGCATTGCGCAGTGTTGAAAATGTTCCAAACACGCGCGTTTGTTGCTCGAAATGTGTTCCCGATGCACGTTTTGGAAGTTGACGCTCAAAATGCTGATGTATGTGGATGGTCTGTAGGAAATGACATCATTTGAATAAGACCTATAGTAAGGGAATAAATGTGGACTTGGGAGGTGTTAAACACTATGTTTAAGACTGGTTGGAGTCTGGATGGTGACAATTACTCGAGCTGAAGACGAGGATAATAATCAGCATCCAGACTCCAACCAGTGTTAAACATAGGGTTTAATACCGACCAAGCACATATTTCTTCCCATTTACAAATACCTTTTCTGTCCAAAAATCAAAAATTTTTGGTCCAGAAGTCAAAATTTGTTCAACGTGTCAAAATTTGTTCAACAATTTTACTTAATGTTTTTTTAAACACCCCTCTAGCTATAAATGGAGTGTCCAGCTCGCGAGTAAGACATAAACAAGTCTTTTTATGGAGATTGGCGGGCGCATCACGCGTACTGCGCAATGTCGCGCATGTGCAACTGTGGCGAGTGCGTTGTGAATTTAGGACTATGAAATACTGATTCACTGGTAGTGTTACGCATGCCTACGTGAGAATTGTGAACATTCAGCCAATAAAACGATAAAACGCACTGGATTTCATTGAAGTCGAAATTTCAAGTGACCCTGGAAAAATGTTTAAGACCAGACAGGCATGTATTTATCACTCTGTATAAGACCGGCTACTTGACAGGCTCTCAACCAATGGTGGGTAAACTGTCCTACAGGCATGAGAATCTTCCTGTTTAAACAGGAATTCAGGTTTTGTTTTGTTTCACAATTTTTTTCTTTTTGAGCCTGTTTTGGGGCTTTGTGGCTTGATTTCACATCTTTTTGCCCCTATTTTTGCACAAGTTTCTTGTTTTCTTCAATGAAATTCATTCTCATGCCTGGTTTTGGGTTTTTACGAGAATCTGTTTATCCCACCCTTTTGTGTGTTTTTAACAGGAAATCTAATAAATGTAAATAATATTTTTTTGTGAGAGTCCCCTAATTCTATGTGAGCATTCCAGAAGAAGAAACGTGGGAAATTATTCTAATAGTATGTACATTGTTTTATATGCTGAACGTATGAAGACTGTTGGCATTTGCTTAAAGGTTCAGAAATAGACATTTGGCTGATCAGCTTTGAAGCTTTCGTTTGCACGCAGCGTATTGCCAATGTGGAAAAGTAACTAAGTAAATTATTCGTTGAGATTTTCGTTTGAAATTAAACTTCTATCAGCATTTTTACTGTGCCTTTGAATAAATAGTTATTTTTTTGTCTGTCCATGTATTAAAGTATTTTTGTGTCTGATTGTTCAGGGTTGCTTTTAAATTGTTTTAAGATTTGAATAATGTTTGTGTACCTGTCTTTATTTCAACTGTTGATACAATGATGTCAATTACCTATTGTATTGTGGATAACAGGGCGATGGTTTTTCCCTAAATTAATTAACAAAGTATTGTAGGTTGTCTTGATTTGTCAGACGCAGTATCTTTCACCTCGTTGATTAAACATAAGTACATGTAAATAATTAAATTTTGCTATCAAAGAAGATTCTTCGCTTGCGGTATAAGCAGAGCCGAAAAATTTACACCGGCTTCTTTGAAATCGAGTTTCAATTTTGTTGACAGAGACCCTTGGTTTACTGACTCAATTTGCCAAAAAGATCTTTGCACGGTCACCAGGTCAATCATTACAAATTTGTTGATCAGACACGTGTAAGGGGTTGAACAGTGACTCGCAAAGACCATTTACTTACGAAGCCATTTTCGATCGTGCGCCCTGAATCTATTGTATAAATTGTAAACTGTTGAGTGGGATGGTGCCAGACTATTTTATGAACGGAGGGCGTTCCAAGCCTCACTTTCGTGTTTTTTTTTTAAATGTGGCTTAAAACAAGGGTCTGTTTAACTCACAAGTTCTAAGAATGAAGAGTTTTACCTCAGATTCAATGTTTAATATGGCAATTTAGATAAAGCTTATTGACTCAAGATTGGACTTGAGATATCACTTACGATGTGACTTGCGATACCTTGTGATATCATTATAAGATCTCGTTCACAAATGCTCCTGAAAGTATTTCCCTGCGACCAGCAGGGCAGTTCAGCAGTTTAGGATTTCTTCACCCAAATGTGGTTCTTGTTTTGCGGCCACGTGAAATCTGTTCCCCGTTTTCTAAAGATTTCGTGCATGAAATGTCACTTTGAATTAGTAGTTAATTGCAGCAAGTTGGGTGATTACTGTTTTGCCAAAAGCCTTAAGGTACTTACACAAGAAAATTGCTTGGAAATCCCAATGGTGCTATGCTGAAGCCAGTAATGAACTACATGTATTTGCATATGAATTGTTCTCGTGGAGGATTTTAGTTTGTTAGTGTTAACAAATAACAATCCCTCCCCCTACTTTCTGTGGGACTTGTTCTTGATGCAAGAAAAACCTGCCTTTTGGGGATACTCATTGCTCTACTATGCAAATCTTAATATCCATTATGTGCTCTAAATAGGTGTTGCATGATACGTTTTGTGCCAAGTACAGAGTAAAATATTTATTTTGTGTGGCATTTGTCAGCTTTATTTTCACAGACACCGTAAGTTGTTGGGGTTATTTTCTCTGAATTAATTTCTGTTGTCATTCATTTTGGGCACTGTCTTAAGATGTATTTGCCATTTGAATGTCGCAATAAGTAAAATGTGATTGTTATATTTTCCTATTGTAGGCCAGGATCAACTCATTTGAATTGTGTACTTTTGACTTCTGTATTAATTAAGTGCCGAAACATGATTGTTGGCATTCATTGTAACTACACCAGGATTAATAAAAAATGTTTTGTGTAAAATTCTCATTTCTTGGTGTGATGTTTTCGGCTGCGTAGCTTCGGGGGCATTCCGACCCTAGGGACATTTCACCTTTCCCCCATAAAAAGGCAAGACAAGGCCATAGCAGGACTGCCCCAGGATGCCAAAAAAAAAATATGCAAATGAACGTATCAATTCTTTCCCATTCTGCAAAGTGCAAGTCATCTTTTGGCAAACGACACATTCCTTTGTATACTACAGTTGCACAAAGGTACTTCGCTCGGCCTGGGCGGGCGGGCGGGGGGGGGGGGGGGGGGGCAGGTACGAGGTTTATGCAACGGGCATGGGTGCAAGTGTGTTTGGCGTGTGGCCTTGCAAGTCATAAGCCCGTAAATCAACAGTAATATCAGTGACTATACAAGATAATTCGTCCGAAGAACGGGTGACAAGCAGAAGTACATAGTGCTTGCAAAGTTGACTCGCAGTAATACGGGAGCACAGTGTTGTTTTGCATGATCCAACTATACCACTACAGGTAAGTTTTATGTATATATCAAACAAAAACGTGTGTTGAGAGGAAGAAATGGATGGAAGATTACTGCTCCCCGGGTCGTAGGCTGATTTTGACTTCTTAATAGGAATGCAGGGCGGTGTTTTATGCACGCACAGCACATGCTAACGGTGTGAAAGTGGATCGAGGAAAAGAACATGTTCGATCGCGTTTATTTCGCTATAACATAAAGCAATATGACGAGGAATAACTCTCGATCGAGTCCCAACGGGTAACTTACTCGACTCGACTCGACTGCATTTTTTTCAGGAATTTCTATGAATTTCACCCCCCCCCCCTCTGGATCCGCGCCTGACTCGAGTGTCACTTCCTTAAAATGACTCGAATCAACTCGAGTGGCACAAAATACACTGACTCGTTACAATTAACTCTGAGTGAAATAACAACGCCCGCAATTATGATGACTCCTGATACTTTGTTCGACAGGACTTCAGATCGATTCGTCATCGGATTGTGCTATAGTTGTTGCAGTCGCTCTTCAGGTAGAATCCACCCAGCTTTCAAGCCTACATGGGCCAAACATTTTCAGAGTATTTTCAGGGCGTAATGGAGTCCATGCATCAAAGGCAGAGTGAGTATTAGTTAATTAGTGCGTGTAGTAAACAAATACAATTAATGTTACGGATCTCCACTGCATATATTTTGATAAGTCTGTGACCCATGGTTTTCTTAAAACTTTTCTTTTAAAACGAGACAGTTTACAATAGAACTGTTTTGGGCTTGCTTCGTGTCACAGAAATTGTGTTGTTTTATCCGCCAGTGATGGCTATCATGGCAAAGGTGAAACCGGAGGACATTCGTCTGATGGAGACCTACGAGTATGAGGGAGTGCCCCTCGCACTGGACACTTTGAAAAGTACCATGGATGACCTGAAGACGTTCGAGATCCGGGAAGACGACGTGTTCATTGTTACTGTGCCAAAAGCAGGTATTACTCTGCAAAAACTGCAGTGTTAAATTTACACCATTGGTATCTATATAGGACCATCTGATGTTAAATTTTACTGGTGTTGTCCTATATAGATACCGAATGGTGTTAAATTAACACTACAGTTTTTGCAGCGTATGCTCCAGAATAGAGTGGTCAAACCAGGGGTGAAGGGTCAGGTATACGCACAGTGTATGTGAATTGATTTTGTTTTGCTGAAAGAACACTTACCTTTTTGTGATCCGTGGACAAAACTTTACAACGGATGGTTGCGTTTAGAATCCCGTAACTTAAAAAGTATATGAGTGATTTGAATGATTTCTGTACTAAAAGAAAGCTTATTATTTGGGCTTTTATATCCTAGATTTTGAAATTGCTACATGTGGAATCTCATTTAGAAAATACTCCTGCCATTTTGATTGTTTTTTACTCGCCCTGTATTCCGAGCATAAATTCTTCCCTATTAGTTTGATTATAAACAATAAGGAATCGAGGTCCATGATTGATGGGTTGACACATTTGTGTGTGTGCATGGGTGCCGACATACTTATTTGATTGTGCGTACATGTACGTGTGATTCTTTAGATCGTGCAATAATGCATTGTGGGAATCGTAAATTCATGTAGGCGTATATCCCTCCTATCTTTGGTAATTTGCCGAAAAATCAAATCAGTTTATGCAAAACCCCGTTAACTTGTGTACTTTCCTATTTTCGGTCGGATTTTGGCCGAAGGTATTTCTATGAAACTTACATATAAGGACGTGAACGCAGATCGTTTGGTTAATAATGTTATCTTAACTTGCCTTTTGTTCCACTTGTGCAGTAGTGTTTGCATTGTTGTATAAAAGATGATGCATGCGCTCTGAATCTGCTTTCGATCAGGTACCACGTGGACGCAGGAGATCATGTCCGCCATAATGCACGACGGCGACATCGAGAAACTCAACAAGAAGCACACGATGATGAGGGCGCCCTTCCTGGAGATGACACACGGCGCCAACGTGCATGACGATGTAAGAAAATGACCATTAGCATCGGGCTTGCTTCAAAGGGCCGTCATCAACATAGGCCTTATGCACAAGTTGGTCATAATATTTGTCGTGGTGAAGCCGAGGGTGCTATGCGCCCTGAGGGTGTTCAAAACGTCATGCCCACGTCACATCAGTCATCAATTGTTTTGTTATTCCTCTGTCTTGAATTCTTTGGAGTTTTAAAAATACGAATACAAACAGCAGCAGTTCAAACACAACAGGCATGACAATCGAACGTCAACTCACGTGCATGTCGCGTATACCGAGCTCAAAACAGCTGATCGTCTGCAAGTACGCTGCCCCCACTCATGTGTGGAAACATGTTGAAAATAGCGTGGGTATACCAACGGTATAAGCGTTTCACACCGTAAGTACCGTACGTACAAAGTCAAACCACACTGTGGGATATCACGTACGTAATATAAACTTAACACGTGATCGCTTTAGGCCAATGAAAATATAAGTATATCAAGACAGATTTATAACAATTACTTTTATGAAGCATATTTATGTTATCGATACTATTCTTCCCAGATACCACGTGCTCACAAATTGTTACCCCGGATGCCGAGGAGTTCTCCCCGCCTCATCAAGTCCCACCTGCCGGGTCAGCTCCTGCCCCCTCAGGTCTGGGAGAAGAAGATCAAGATCGTCTACGTCATCAGGAACCCCAAGGATGTTGTGGTATCCATGTTTCACCACATCGACATGATGGCTGCGGCCGACCGTCAGTTTAGCTTCGACGAAGTATTTGACAGGTTTATCAATGGCACGCGTAAGGATTTCTGCTATTCTTTTCTGTTGATGGGAGGACCAGCCAAATATGGGTTTTTCCGGCCAATTTCCTGGTATTTTCATTCAAATCTGAAAACCAGTCATTCACTTTCGTCTGGATTTGAATGCACGTCTTTGATCCCATTTCAATTCAACGAAAGTCGTTTTCATTGTCCGTGGATTCGGTTTTGAGACGGCCAGACGGCCAATTACATTACCTGTGCATTCATCTACTGCGCAAGCATACATTTTCTAAATTTATTTCAGGTACAGCTAATTTGATTGACGGTTAATTAAAACGAAACCCTAATTGTATCTGGTGCCGAAGGCATTAAACTAAAAGTGAAATAGAATGGTGAATGTTTGAAATCGCCCTCTAAAAACGACGTCTTGTAAACTGAATGGACATAAACGAAAGGTGCTGCTCAATCACTTACTTGACGGCGAACTGAAATGGAATCGAATGCTCTGGTAGCGAAAATGAAACGTCTGTGTTCAGAGCTATTCTCAAATTCAGAAGAAAATAAATGACCGATTTTCAGAAGTGAATGAACATTTTAGGAAATTGGCCAGGAAAACCTATGAGTATTGCCCTCTTCGCACCTGACCTTTCGCTGACTGACTCACTCACAGACCCTTGGTACCAGACCAATACTTATGTTAACTTCGCTATTATGTCTTTGCATCACGAATATTCATGTCAGCTCGAAGTTTTGAATTCGTTCCCACTTTTACAGAAACAAACTTATTTCTCTTTTGAAATATGCACAATTCCTATATTTTGTATCCCCTCAAAGAGCCGTACGGCAAATGGTGGGCACACTACCTGTACTTCTGGGAAAGGCGTAACGACGACAACATTTTATTTCTTCGCTTCGAGGACACAAAGAAGGTATAGTTCTGAACAATGTCCTCATTAGAATCAGTAGCAATCGCGTTTGGTAAATATACCGTCACCGACACCACGAAGTAACACTCTACCGTGTTAAAGCATATTTTTTTCGATTTTCAGTTTTTTTGATTTTTAAACATTATTCATCAAGGCCTACCATTGCACGAAGTATCAAAGCTCCAAGAGCTTTACTTTAATAATTACGCTAAGTATCCATGGCAACTTTTGCGCAAAAGTGACAATTTTCGTTTTCACGAAGTAACACTCAAGTTCCATTTTCCATTGCAATGCATGGCGCGCACTCTGCTCATAAGTGAGCAAAAACGTTTTCACGAAGTAACACTCTTCTTGTAACAAGTTGTATGAGCGCGCGCGCGCTGACCTGAAGTTGCACTTTCCTCGTGTTAAATACATTGAAGAGTGTTACTTCGTGAAAACGAAAATTTACCGTTAAAATTCACAGCTTTTTCGGTTTCACGAACTAACATTTATCTTTTTTCTCTTATTTCTTGTTTATTTAATACACAAACGAGTGAAAAACAGCAGATTTAATAAATTCAATTCATCAAGTGTCCACAACGAGAAACCCAATTGAAAATACTCTGTCGTTTTGACGCAAAGTGTTGTTTTAGAAGGCGTTCAACTTTAGTTGCCGTTTTCTCCGATTGCTAGTTTTTACTGGTATGTAGATGGGTGTTACTTCGTGGTGTCGGTGATACAGTTGTACAATGTATATAATTGTCCGTGTAGGCCTGTATACCTCAGGTTTTCGAAGCATCAAGTTTTCGATGTTTGACCTTGTAGCAACGCGCACACGCAGATTCGTAACACTGTCAGCAACCAGTTTTATTGTTGAGTTTGTTTATGGTGTAAATCGAGGACAGACAGTTATATCGGTGAATCGAGGACAGGGACCAAATCGAAGACGACCTCGATTAAAAAAACTGTCGCTTGCTTGAAACAGCTGATCGTCCGCGCTAGTTCACTGCTCCCACATTAGCATAGGTACCAACGATAGAAGCGTTTTACACCGTACGTTCCGTACGTACAAATTCATAGCTTACTCCGTATACGTGATATCCCACAGGGAGTGTGCCATCACTTTTAATAACCTAACACGTGATCGTTCTAGGCTAGGCCAATGAAATGCAGTATTTAAGACAGAGGTGTAACAATTGTTTTTTAAACGTTACTAATTGCCAATCCACTATGCTACTTTTTTTTCATTACACCATAACGATTGAATAATGAACATTTACCGTCACAACCCGTATAGGACCTCCGTGGCACCGTTTTGAAAATCAGCGAGTTCTTGGGCAAGTCGCTGTCGGATGACGTCATCGATGCCATCACTGATCACTGCACCTTTGAGAACATGAAGAAGAACCCCATGACCAACCCAGACACTCTGCTCCAGAACGCGCATGGCGGCCAGATGCCCGAGGGAAAATCGTTCATGAGAAGAGGTAATACATTGTATAGCCCCTCAGTCCAAAATATACACACCCAAACAAAAGTGCTGCAACCCAAGCTTGCAGCCATTTTGAAAATGTATCCTTCCGATCTATATAGGAAATAGTTCTGTTTGCAACTGCAGTTTCAGCACAGGATCACTAATGTTGGAGGTTTGTATTGTGAGGTTCCCATTTATATCCTACAATTCTGCAATGGCGCGATTGTTATTAACTGTCTATATTTTAAGTCTCTGGATCTCCGTAATTTTGGTACCTTGTGTTCCTTCTTCCATTCTGTAATATATTAGATGGTGTTCAAACATCAGTGACTCGAATTTGAGCATAAAGTTGACTCGAGTCGACTAGATTCGACCACACACCGTGACTCGACTCATCTCGACTCGACCTTCTTGACCTAATGACTCGTCTCGACTCGAGTCATTTCCTTCAAATGACTCGAGTCGACTCGTCACAACTCGGGAAGTGGGGACGAATTTTTTTTTTTTTTTTTTAGAGCTTCCATGTTAATAATTAAGGTACCGGTATAACTGGTTTTCAATTCGTTGTTTTTGTCTTGAATCAGGGAAAGTTGGAGGTTGGAAGGCACAGCTGTCCGACGCTCAAAGCGAGGCAATGGATGCCCTTTGCAAGGAGAAATTGGCGGGAACCGGACTTACCTTCGAATAATAACAAACTGTCTGTGGCCTTTGAAATTGTACGCTTTCATAAATCAGCCTATTTTCCCATGAAGTATGTGTATGAATGGGTTTCACGAAAAGCTAACTTTAAAAACTAGGCTTTTGGACTTGTTAAAAAATACCACTTTTTCTTAGAAGTTAACCGTTACAGCAATAGTTTTCTCAGTAGGTGTGCGTGAAACCAAGCAATATGTGTACTTAAACATCTTATATTTTAAACCTGTAGCCTAATTTTATTCAACGAAAATTTTAAACCTGTCACCTGTAATTGTTACACATATTCTATTTTATTACATTTTATTGAACATTATGTGAAACCAAAATATACTTTGAAAATAATTGATCTATATTTTGTGCAGCCTTAAAATGAATCTAAAATACAACAGGTGACAACAGGGTTTGACATTTGTTCATTTTGCGATAATCTTATTTATTTATTGTAAATAGATATGGGGAAGAATGAAGTTAAGGGTAGAATTTGAAAATGAGTTTTGGATATTTGAAGATTTATACATGTCATTTTTTTATCGGAGATTTTTTTTTTTGCAATGAAGTTTTTCTTGAATTTTGAAATTTGAGATACTTGTCAATGATTCAAAGTTTTTAAAGGGGTATGTTGATTGTTTTTTTTTTGTTTCATTTGAATGTCCACTATGACTTGCACAATGTTTATTTGTTTGTTTGTTTGTTGGGTTGAGTTTGTTTCTGCATTCAATAGGGGACGTTGCACAATAGAGGACAATAGGGTCCGGCCAATTCCCTAGAGATCCCCGATTTGGATTCGTGTACACAACATATGGGAGGTCTTCTTAAGAAGTTGAGTACAAACAAAAGAGGGACAATAGGGGGTCCCCGATTGCAGGCAAATACACACTTGTCTGTAGGGCTGTTGGGGTTGTTGCAGTGTTGCAGCGTCAGAAGAGTCTCAGCGCGCAGTTTTTTGGCGCAAGGGTTAATGCCCGGACGTAAATGGGGGGGGGGGGGGTGTCTCTTATGACTCTAACACTTGTTGGCGCTAACATTATGACATTTAACGCGATGTTTGTATTCGCTGTCGGACCAAGGGCGGATCCGGTGGAACCCCCCCCCCCCCTAAAAAAAAGCGAACCCAATTTTTTTTTTCTTTTAAGTGACGTCGCAATAAAGGCAGGCACTGCGTACACCACCATCTTTTCCTGAAAAAAATTGGGAAAAGTGGTCAGAAATTGCCTCAGATCGCACCACGGAGCATCTAAAATCCAAAAGCTTTTCGGGGCCCTTAAGCGGGCCCCGAAGCCCACGCCGAAATTTTCAGTTGGACCCACTTTTTGGGGGACCACATTTTTTTTTGCTCCCCCCAATTGTGTTCTACTTCCGCCATTGTGTCGGACAAACGAGGCGTCGGACTTATGAGGCGTCGGATTTATGAATCGAAGGACTTCTGGACCGAATTAGAAGTAAATTTAAATGTCGGACCTATACGAGACATCGGACCTACATGAGGCATATCGTATATACCTTCGGACCTCTGAGGCGTCGGACATATGGGCCTTTATTTGGTTGGGGATGAGATTTTGTCGGACTTATGAGGCGTCGGACCCCGTTGTTTTACATGATTCAACTACTACCAGGAAAAGTTTTATGATATACTATAGGTTTTTCCGCACATTTCAAAACTTATTTTCATTGAAATTCATAAACAATTAACTTCAATTGCATACCCCTTTATGTTAGTCTTTGGTCGCTCATTTTCGCACTTTGTTCAAACAATTTTATACCTTGGCCAGTACTTTTTCGTGAAAGACAACTCAATTTCGTCGTCCGCGCGCAATTGCCGAACGCACGATAGATGAAGCAATTTTGTCATTTTGCAATTAAATGTTATATAAAGTTATGATTCAAAATCGTCTCATGGTTGTATGCTATCTTCGTTTTTTTTACGTTTTCATCTGTTCTACTTTAAACATATTTATACTTTATTGTGTTTGTGTCTGTTTTGTATTTTCCTTGTTTAACATAGGTTTCATGTAATAATCATTATGCAAAATTGTAATCTCTTTTCAATACTTATTTGTGCATGTATTCATTTAGTTCTTTTGACAACTTTATGCGTCAACAACTGAATGAAATATATACACAGGCAACTCAATGCATTGAGTTGTCTGTGCATTGCAATGCATACTTTCCATTTCATGCAAGAAATAAGTAGGCCTAAACTTATGTAGTTATCAGCTAAATGCATTTATATTTTCACATCTTTTGGACTAACAGTCAACTTTGGATTGGTTATTAAACCTTCAATTTCTTGTCTTGCAAGGGCCTACACCGTGCCAAATAAGTGTGTGCATGGCGTGCGCATTCGTCTGGTGAATTTGATAGAACATTTCTTGAAATCGATTGAACAAAGACGAATTCAATCCTTACATTATGTAGATGCTAATCAGGTGAGACAAATTCCATTGAAATCATGACGAAAATGTACCATTGATCATTTGGAATGCCCAATGACTAAATTCATTGTATCATTTGCGGGTTCCGGTCTTCTCGAGACGAAATTGCACCGTTAATGAATTTGAATGAAAAAAAAAGTTTTAAAATGTGCGAAAAAACCTACATTAAAGTATTACAAAGGTGAATCGTTCAAAGGTGAACGAGATCGCTCACTACTATATGGTTCACCTTAGTACTACGTGACTACTGAGTAGTACAAAGGTGACAAACTTTGCAACGGGCATGCGCATGCGTGTTGCATCATAAAGCTCATTCACCTTTGTACTACTAAGTGTATGGAACGCCAAACGTACCAATCTGTGATGCTACTAGTTAAAAGTTATTTGGTTAGGACTTTCAAGGCCATTACGCCAACACACACCCACCCGTATGTGGCGTTCCATAACTTAGTAGTGCAAAAGGTGAACGAGTTCAACAGGCATGGGAAATCACCGTGACCATGTGTGAGTGGCTATCCTTGGCTAGTATGAGAAAGGGTGACTAGCAGAAGTAGTGCTTGCAAAGTTGACTCAGTAGTAATACACAGTGACGGGAGCACAGGTTGTTGTTTTGCGTGATTCAACTACCATACCAGGTAAGTTTTATAATGTGTTGAGGGGAAGAAATGCAAGATTACTAGTCCTTACGAGTGTAGGTTGATTATGACTTCCAACTAGAACCAATAAGTTAATAAGAATCCATCAGGGGGCGGCGGAACACGTACTTTTCAAACTGGGGGGGGGGGGGGGGGGGGGGGGGGCAACACCATATTTTCAATGGGGAGCGCTGTAAAATCCTACAATCAGGCACACTATTTTAACTAAAAGTATACAAATGCACCCTTCTCATTTAGGGGGAGACCGTTGCCATGCACGTCAAATGGAATGTTTTTGGATTTTTTTTTGGGGGGGGGGAGGGGCCATTTGCACCTCATGTTTTTAGCGTCATTATAAAAGGAATAATTGTAAAATTTGAATTATGATTTATTTACTCGATTTGTGCTAACATGTTTCTTCAATACAATTGACAATAATATGGAGCTACTATTGAAGGGAAAGGGGAGACAAGATCTTCGTCCAATAGACTTGTCGCCAGTCCCCTGTGCTCTAAGCAGAGTTGTAATGGCTCCAGTCAATTATGGCTCGACTCGAGTCCGACTCGAGTCACAATTTTTGGCGACTCAACTCGACTCGAGTCTCAACGGGTAAATGACTTGACTGAACTCGAGTCACTTCGAGCAAATGACTCGACTCGAGTCCCTCATCAGAAGACTCGACTCCCTCATCAGAAGACTCGACTCGAGTCGGCGGCTAATAACACTCGAGTCTCAAAACTGTGCGAAAATGTCTTACTTACGGTATGAACTTATGTATGTTCGCGTACTTTACTTTCAAGCTCGACGCAACCTTCTTGCCCTAATGATTTGACTCGAATCGAGTCACTTCCTTAAAATGACTCGACTCGACTCAAGTCACAAAATACAGTGACTCGTTACAACTCTAAGTGAAATAACAACGTCCACAAAATGATTGCTGATATTTTGTTCGACAGGACTTACCAATACCGAAGATCGATTTGTCATCGACTTGCGTTCTTGTTCCAGTCTCTCTTGAGCTAGAATCCACCCAGCGTTCGAGATGGGCCAAAAGTTTTCAAAGTATTTGCAGGGCTTTATGGAGTCCATGTATCAAAAGCGCAGTAAGTTTTAATTAGTGCGTGTGGTAGTTAAACTAAAATTAGTGTTACGGATCTCCATTGCGTGTATTTGATAATTCTAGGCCTAAATGTATTTTTGTAATGCAATCCTTAATATGCACCTTTGTGTCCTAATTAACTTTATTTTCAATTTTCATTTTGCCTTTTTCAAGGGTATTTTGGTGCCTTTTTGGTTTTTATGCTAATTCAAATTTCCATATTCATGAGCAAAATTGTGATGTCAATTCAGGCAGAAACCTCAATGTTACAACTAGTTTGCACAAAAAGTTGCCAGAATGTTGGATATTTCGCTTTCGTAACGTTTTTTTTCCTGAGCAAATGTTGGGTTTCACAATTGGAACAGAAAACACCTAAAATTAACTTACTGAAATGACATCACAGCAACAACGCCCTCAGTTGTCCGTAAAAGCTGTTGTTTAAAGAATTGCACTTTTCAATAAACTTAAGCAAAAAGGGATGTCAATTCCTTTTCATACATTTAAGAGAATTAGAATGTAGCACAAAATATGTTCCTAGGAAATATTCACTTCCGATGGGCCCTTTAAACTTTTCTTTCAAAACGAGAAAGTTTACAATAGAAAGGCTTTGCAAGGGCTTTCGTGTCACAGAAATTGTGTTATTTTATCACCCAGTGATGGCTATTATGGCAAAGTTGAAACCGGAGGATATTCGTCTGTTGGAGACCTACGAGTATGAGGGAGTTCCCCTCGCTGAGGATACTTTGAAAAGTACCATGGATGACCTGAAGACATTCGAGATCCGGGAAGACGACGTGTTCATTGTTACCATGCCAAAAGCAGGTATTATGCTCCAGAATACTAGTAAACCAGGGGTGAATGAGGTGGCCAGGTATACGCATTTGCCAATATGGAGGACAATTCGCTCTTTTCACACTTCCGCCATGGGCTTGCACAGCCTCGATCTGGCAACTTTACACAATACATATAGCCGGTTCAGTGATTCCGGCGTCGGGGTTCAGATCACCGACTGAACCGGCTATTTTTATTGTGTAAAGTTGCCAGATAAGTCGAGGCTCTGCATGCCCAATGGCGGGGGTGAAAAGAGCGAATAGGGACCACGATTCTGTGAATTCCATAGTTGGAAATCGTATACAAAAGCTATTTGGGCATTATTCACTTTTTGGGTAATTGATTATTAACAGACGGACAAAATTAACGCTACGGATCTTCATTGCACGTATTTGATAATTCTGTGACCTTGGTGGTTTTCTTTAAATTTTTCTTTCAAAACGAGAACTGAGTTGGAATGTCATGGTTTAGCGGTTAAGAGCACCTGACTCATGCTCTGGTGTTTCAGAGGCAACAGTGGCGTGGGTTCGAGCCCGGGTCTGGACACTTGTGCCCTTAAGCAAGGCACTTAACCATTATTGATTCGTCCTTCGGACGGGACATAAAAGCCGTAGGTCCCGTGTGTTGTGTAATGTAATGCACGTAAAAAACCCCAGTAACACTTATCGCTAAGAGAAGGGGTTTGCCCCGGTGTTCCCACGTGGAGTATTTAGAAGAAGAACCAACCAAGAACAAAGGAATCGAGGTCCACGATTGATGTGTTGACACATTTTCGTGTTTGCACGGGTGCCGCCAGACTTTTTTTGAATTGGGGCGTGTGATTCTTATAGATCGCGCAAAGCATTGTGGGAAGCATAAAGTTCATGTACTTAGTTTGAAACCATGCATCAACTCAGATTGTGCACATCCCATTAACTTGTGTACTTTCCTACGGTGTACCCAGCCTTTGCTACTCACAAGAAAGCATTAACTGCTTTTGCCTTTTGGTTGGACTTTTCGTCTTGAAATACCCGAAGGTATTTACATGAAAATTACTATAAGGACGCGGCCCAGATCGTTTGGTTAATTGTTGTCTTGAGTTACCTTTTGTTCCACTTGTACAGTATTTCTTGCCGTGTTGTATAAAGATGATGCGCGCTCTAACTCCGCTTTCGATCAGGTACCACGTGGACGCAGGAGATCATGTCAGCCATTTTGCACGATGGCGACATCAAGAAACTCAACCAGAGGCACACGATGATGAGGGTGCCCTTCCTGGAGATGACACATGGCGCCACGGTGCATAAAGATGTAAGAAAATGGCATTTATATATTCAGAAGGTTTGCTTCAAAGAATCAGCATTTAATTCGTGTAACTGACGATTCACCCTTTATGGTGCGCCCCCTAGAGGTTACCACCGAGGTGCCATATTTATTTGCATATCCTTGCGAACATGTCATTTCTTTTGCCAAAGGCGCTGCATGCACAATTTTTTAATCTTCGCGCGCAATAGATGTTAAAATTCTCATGCATTAACGATGTTTATTCACTTGTTCGGTGACGTCACGTATAGGCCTAGTCCCAACAGGACGGAATAATGTCATGCGTCGAAAGCATCTATTCATTTGCAAACCAGTTTCATCGTTTTCTATGTAATATCATTCAGACTCAACAACCATGAGTTTCAGGAACATAGGTATGCTAGCTAGCCGATGTAAAGCACATTCCCGGATGTCCGCGCCCACCAGCAGTACCATGGAGGAAGCCGTACGTGGTACGTGTGGGATATTTACTTTTACGTGTAGCGTTAATCGGCCAATGAGAGAAGCACATTATACCTCATACGTGGTGTGACACTTACTTCTTGCCAGATACCACGTGCTCACAAATTGTTACCCCGGATGCCGAGGAGTTCTCCCCGCCTCATAAAGTCCCACCTGCCGGGTCAGCTCCTGCCCCCTCAGGTCTGGGAGAAGAAGATCAAGATCGTCTACGTCATTAGGAACCCCAAGGACGTGGTGGTGTCCACGTTTCACCACGTCGAGATGTTGACTCCGGCCGACCGACAGCCTAACTTCGACGACATATTTGACAGGTTTATCAATGGCACGAGTAAGGGTTTCTTTTGCTCTTTTGTATGTTTCCATACACTCTAAAAACAACTTAGTCAAAATGTTGACTGGTTTTCCCAGTTATTGAAAATTGACTAGGAATTTAGTTAAACATGCAAAGTTTCATACTTTGACTAGAAAAAGTAGTTGGGTTCGACTCCAATTTCAGTTATTTGCATAACTATTTTTCCAAAGTCAATAATACTGACAGGAAATAAGACTGATTTTCAGTTGCACCCAGCTGACCCTGAATAGCTAGTCAAATTTGACTAGTTCTCGTCAAATCTGACTAATGCTTTTCTAGAGCACAGGGAGGATCAAGAGGGTCAACCTACTGCCCTCTTTGCGTCTGACCTACTGGCTGACTGACTCCCCCACAGACCCTCAGTACCAGAGTTAATTAACAATGATGTGGGATAGTACGTTTTGAACACCCGCTCGGTATATATTTTTGTTAACTTTGTCAAAAGGTCTCTGCATCGTGAAAATCCGTTTCAGCTTGAAGTTTTGAATACGGTGCCCCTTTCACAGAAACAAACTTACATTTTCTTTCGACATGTGCACAATTCCTGTATTTTGTTTTCCCCTCAAGTGCCGTACGGCAAATGGTGGGAACACTACCTGTACTTCTGGGAAAGGCGTAACGACGACAACATTTTATTTCTTCGCTTTGAGGACATAAAGAAGGTATAGTTATAGTTCTGCAAAATTTCCTCGAATGAATCAGTGGTAAGCGCTTTTGAGGAATGTATATATGTTTTGGAAAATATTACTGATCGCCAATCCACTGTGCTACTTTTTATTACCGTAATGATTGAATACTGAACTTTTACCATCACAACCCGTAGGACCTCCGTGGCACCGTTATGAGAATCAGCAAGTTCTTGGGCAAGTCGTTGCCGGATGACGTCATCGATGCCATCACTGATCACTGCACCTTTGAGAACATGAAGAAGAACCCCATGACCAACCCAGACACTCTGCTCCAGAACGCGCATGGCGGCCAGATGCCCGAGGGAAAATCGTTCATGAGAAAAGGTAATACATTGTGTAGCCCCTCAGTCCAAAATATACACACCCAAACAAAAGTGCTGCAACCCAAGCTTGCAGCCATTTTGAAAATGTATCCCTCCGATCAAAAGGAAACAGTTCCGCTTGCTACTGCAGTTTCGTCTCAGGATTACCAATGTTGGAGGTTTGTACAATGTGAGGTTCCATCTTACAATTCAAATAACAATTGAGGGCACGCAAATCAGGCCCGCGTGGGATTTTGTGTTTATACACAACTTCAGCAAGTATGCTCCCATTACATGGATTGGGGGAATCAGAGTTGTAATGACTCGAGTCAATGACTCGACTCGAGTCCGACTCGAGTCACATTTTTGGCGACTCGACTCAACTTGAGTCCCAACGGGTAACTTATTCGACTGGACTCGAGTTACTGCGAAAAAATGACTCGACTCCTCTCGAGTCCCTCATCAAAAGACTTGACTCGAGTCTAAGGCTAATGTACAAAGGTATTATTTTCGCGTTCTTCTCGTTAGCGTCAACGGTTGTAGCCGTGTTCAAATATCAGCGATTCGAATTGACTCGAGCGAAAAGTTGATTCGAACCGACTAGACTCGACCCCCACAGTGACTAGACACGACTCGACCTTCTTGACCTAATGACTCTTCTCAACTTGAATCACCTGCTTAATGTGACTCAAGTCGGCTCGTCAGAAGTACAGACGAGGCAGTACTTCTGTACGCAGCTGGAGAAATGTCTGGATGGATGTTACACCAGGATGCTGCGCATGGCCCTGAACATCCCATGGCAGTATCACATGAGGAAGCAGACCTCTATACGCTGGCTTGCAGAAGGTGACGAAAATATCAGGGAACGCCGTCTCAAGCTTGCAGGACATTGCGTCCGTCACCTAGAGCTGGCCGCTAGCCCAATCATTCTCTGGGAGCCCAGCACATGGCGCACTGCCTCACGAGGAAGAAAAAAGTCTCTCCTTCGTGGACATGCTGACACCGGCTCGACAGGCACCGCCGAGGAGCTCCGCTCCTGCATGCTGGACCGGGGCTTCTGGACAAAGATTATTGGGCGGGCTCGACCTGCCTCGACTTGATTGAAGTCGACTCGTCACAACTCGGGGGGAGTGGGGACGAATTCGTTTTTAGTGAATTCTTTAGAGCTTCTATGTTAATAAATATAAGCTACCGGTATACTATTTCTAGTTGACGCAACTGGAGTCGTACTCGACTCAAGACGTTGAGACTAATTGTTTTTACTGCTTGAGATTCGTCTCAGCCATCCAGCCCGGTCCTGGGCAGCATGAACAGCCTGATTATTTTGAGGCCGAGGTACCGGTATAACTGGCTTTCAATTCTTTGTTTTTTTGTCTTGAAACAGGAAAAGTTGGAGGTTGGAAAGCTCAGCTGACTGACGCTCAAAGCGAGGCTATGGATGCCCTTTGCAAGGAGAAATTGGCGGGAACAGGACTTACCTTCGAATAATAACAAACTGTCTGTGGCCTTTGAAATTGTACGTTTTTAAAAATCAGCAGATATATTGTTCCATTTGGTATATACATGCGTTTAAAGAAATACTAAATTTACAAATTAGCCTTTTGGACTTGTTAAAAAATATCACTTTTCTTAACGTACAGTTAACGTACAGGAAATAGTTTTCTCAGTAGGTACATGGGCGTCGCGAGGGGGGGGCGGCAAGGGGGCAAGGGGGCGCTTGCCCCCCCCCCCCGGAAAAGCAAAAAAAAAAAAAAAAGGAAGAAAAAGAGAGAAAAAAGAAAAGAAAAAGAAGACGCAGTCATAGTAGTGTAAATGTAATGGGGTGGGTGGGGGGGGGGGCGAAATGTCCCTGCCCCCCCCCCCTCCTCCCTCTAAAACTGATAATTCGAGAAAATGTTGAGAAATACAGGATTTTGGGGGGTAAAAATATGTTTTGCCCCCCTCTAGAAAAAAATCCTGGCGACGCCCATGAGTAGGTATGCGTGCAACCAAGCTAAGTGTACTTATAACATTTTTTTAAAACCTGTAAACTATATAGCATAGTAGGGTTTATTCACCTAAAAATAAACTGTTGCATATATTCTATTTTATTTACATTTTTATTGTACATTATGTGGAACGAAATACTTTGAAAATAATTGATCTGCATTTGTGCAGCCTTAAGGGAATCTAAAATAGAAAATGCAGGTGACAACATCAGCTTTGACATTAATTGTTCATTTTGCGAGAATCTTTATTTATCTATTGTAAATAAATATGGCGAAGAATTAAGGGTAGAATTTGAAAATGAGTTTTGGATACTTCAGATTTAAACATGTAATTTTTTTAGGGCCAAACCTAATATTGAATTTACATCACCCCAAAGCAGATTCCATCTTATGAATAATAACATCTTCTTAATTGTCATCATTATTATAATCTTTTTTCCCTAATATGCAAACAATGATTATATAACTCTGGATTAGCGGCTCCCGGCCGCGTTTGTTCCATGAAAGGTGAATTTACTTCGGATTGTATTTTGCGAGATTAAAACACTGTAATGTATTGTTTCGGTCATGTTGTTTGTGAAATGTTTGACAATTTCTCAAGAACAATTACTGCACGAAATTTCAATAAACGAGCCTCAACTTGAACTTGTGGGCCTGTTACAGGCGGGGGCTACATTTAGACCTAGGCCCTTTGGGTAAAACATCGTTAATTCAAAGGTCAATCCACCAAAAATTGAAAAGAAAATGAAAGATGACATATTGATCATCATTTTCTGTGCAGCTGAAATACATGTGAGAGGTCTGAGTATTTCAAAAAGAATGTTGAAGTATGGGCGTTTAGCACTGCTGTCTCTGGGAATTTTGCTGAAGTCATCGGCTCCACCGGCTCTAAAGACTAGCGCCCTCTGTTGACTAACACATTTCAGCCTCGAGTCTTGTGTTTACATCGTCACGTGCCAGTTTGCAACGTCCATCCATTTCTTACTCGAAAGCGTCAGTATCACACTGGGAGGAAGGTACACTTATCATAATTTATGCTTACGTCACCATTTCGCCACGGAGGTCATTTAGCATCACTGGAAACATGAATTATGCAGTACGTATGCACATGGATGTCCCGGATGATAGTAGTAGATGCATACCATAATGCATACCTTATTGCGAACACGTGCATCGCATGCACGGCGCTATACTATACTAGCGCGGCCGCGTCGTGGACTGACGCGGCTCCTGAAAACTGTGCAGAAGCTTCGAGTATAAAACAGTTCTCGTTTCATTTATTTAAATTAAACAGCAGTGCAGGGTGAGTTAAAAAAAAAAGAAGCTGAACCCAAACCTCCAAAAATATATTTCATATTTAAAAAAAAATATGTAGCACCAAAATAAGTATAATGACTGGAAAACCTATTTCAGAAACTACTTTTAGATAAAAAAAAGAAATTACTGAAATTGCTCAATCCGTTCAAATAATATCACCATTAAAACGCAATGACCCTAGAAACCTGTTTCGTCAAAAAAAAGCAATTTATTGTGCATCATTCTGACTGCTTGGAACAACGAAGAAATTGACACAGAATACTTGTTTCAACAACAAGCTCTAGTCATTAGCAATTCGCAAACAATATATGATTTATAAAATCCACTTTTTTTTTTAAAGATGGGCCTTCAAAAGAACTTTGTTGAATATTTTTAACTTTTAAACTGAGGTTCAAGTTATTTCTCAGTGGTGATGTTTGACGAAGTTGCAATCAGGTTAGTTGTTCAATTAAGCACCGGCCGGCCAAGTTAAGTTTTTAGCACTTTTGTTGCAAACGAAAAAGTTGATGAACATTACTGACATTGCTCAGTGTTTTTAAACTACTTTACGGGCACGTACAATTCCTTGTAAGTTTGCATGGACATGGATATCAAAACTGAAAGTTTCGTAAAAAAAGGAACGGGAATAATATTGTATCAAGATCTTTTATCTACAAAAATGAATAAACTAGAAAGAAAAAATGCATTGTCGATGTCGTTTTTGTTTTTATGCCGTTCAAATGTAATGTAATTTGATCAGGGCCGGTTACTGTGCTTGCCCGCCGCGTTGTCCTTTTTTGAGTATCCTAAGGCAATCTCGTCAGTGTTTTAATAAACAGATCTATTTAACCATAAATTGATACAGCAACGGATTTGCTTTCTGAATGCAATGATTTATTCCTTCCTTTCTTTTCATCTTTGCCCGTAGCTGTACTAATAATGTTTGACTCGCCAAAACGGGCTAGTTCGACCATGGGGGAATAAACCGCCGCTATCTTGAGTTGACGGTCAGCTTTGCTAGGCTATCGTTTGCGCATACGAGCCAGCGCTTTCATCTGGCGCATGCATGCCTCGGCCGTTGTTGGCACGGATCTGCATAATTCATGTTCTAGCAACGTCATACGACCAGCTCATCGACTTGGTGACGTAGGCATAAATTATGATAAGTGTACCTTCCTCCCAGTGTGATACTGACGCTACCTTCTTACTCATTCTCTGACTTCGAACTCGAAGACCATGAACACGGAAGAGTCAAACTCGAATTAGTAATAAGGAATGGGCTTTAATTTGATTCCACTCCAGCGTCGTTCGTCATGTTGAGGTTTTCCTTGAATTTTTATGTGAGGTTTTCTTGCGAATGGGCCTATTGAAAACTTAGTTACTCTGTGACTGTGTCACAATCATAGCCGTGCCGCGCCGTAGTACTGGCACTGCGCGCGTCAACACGTCATTCACTCAAGAGGCAAGTTCAACTTCAAGTTCAACTTAAGGCCCTGAAATTGCACAAGGTAGGCCCTAAATCATGTTTTTCTTCCTTGCAAGTGCTACTACATGGAAGATTCCGCGATCGAATCTACTAGTTTTCTTAATATAATTTATGTTTTTAATCAAATCATATTAATTCATTTTCTTCTTTGTAAATCAGTGCATTAGCTTTGGAGGTTTTTTTTGAGGAAGTGTATATTTAGCCGGCTAGATTTAACCGGCTTTCTTCTAGTAACGATATTAAGCCAGCTAGATTGTACAGTGCCCTCTTTGACCTGTGTACGAGTAGGCGTACATTACAGTGTTGGAGCAAAGGCTTTGACCCTCAAGGCCAAGGCCAAGGCCAAGGCTTTGACCTACTCCTAGAACTATGAGGCTCCGCGTGAGCGGAGCCTCATAGATCAAGAAGCCCGCAAAATTGCCTGCAGCACAAAACATTAATAAAGTACAAAAACGTCCATCAAAATGCAGCCATTTCACACAGAACCGCTGCACAGTTTGCCCCTATACTCCGTACTTTATCTCTTGACATACTCACGTATCTTGTGCGGAACTAACATGGGTGGATTCTGTCGGTTTTTAGGCCAGAATGATGAAAAATATGCCCTTTCCGCACTGAGCCAACCTGACACTTGAAACGTGCACGCATATGATCGAGCGATGATTTTCGGTTCGCTCGGAGCGCGCCGCGGGGGGTACGATACATGCACTTGTACGCATGTGCATACTATCATTTCGCTTGTACCGTACCCCCCGCGGCGCGCTCCGAGCGAACCGAAAATCATCGCTCGATCATATGCGTGCACGTTTCAAGTGTCAGGTTGGCTCAGTGCGGAAAGGGCATATTTTTCATCATTTTGGCCTAAAAACCGACAGAATCCACCCATGTTAGTTCCGCACAAGATAGGTGAGTATGTCAAGAGATAAAGTACGGAGTATAGGGGCAAACTGTGCAGCGGTTCTGTGTGAAATGGCTGCATTTTGATGGACGTTTTTGTACTTTATTAGTGTTTTGTGCTGCAGGCAATTTTGCGGGCTTCTTGATCTATGAGGCTCCGCTCACGCGGAGCCTCATAGTTCTAGGAGTAGCTTTGACCCTCAAGGCCAAGGCCAAGGCCAAGGCTTTGACCCTCAAGCCTCGAGGCCAAGGCCAAGGCCTAACCCTCAAGGCCAAGGCCAAGGCCAAGGCCCTGTTTTATGAAATGACCACTGATATAGAACTAATTATAGTCACATGAGTGACACGTCATCACGCAATGGCGGATCCAGAACACAATTTGGGGGAGGGCAAAGAAATTTTGGTCCCCCCCCAAACAAAGTGGGTCAAAAAATTACGGCTTGGGCTTCGGAGCCCGCCTAAGGGCCCCGAAAAAAAATTGGATTCGAGATATGCTCTATGGTGCGATTTGAGGCAATTTCTGACCATTTTTACCGATGTTTTTTTGAGGAAAAGATGGTGGTGTACTCATTGCCTGCCTTTATTACGACGTCACATTAAAAAAAAAACGGTTTCGTATTTGTTTTTTTGGGGGGGGGGGCAATGGCCCCTTTTGGCCCCCTGGATCCGCCCTTATCATTACGAATTGCTCGTTACGAAGAACAACATTTCTTTAATTGCAATCAACATGCTCGCATAGGCCTACACCGTTTTATGACTGCACTGTATCTATTAAAGTATAAGTTCAGGTCTTCAATATGGTTTAACTAGACAAAATAATGATTTACTTCTATATTGACACACAATTCTCCCAATTGTATCAAAAGGGGATCCGAGAAACTGATTTGGGAATTTTTTTATTTGCTGGCCCAACTTGGTCAGAAATATCAGCATTATCTAAAACAGATACATGCAAATCTTTAGCACTTATCAGGGAGACATATACAACCAATCAGATCTATTCCATAGTTATATGCGCCTTGAGCGTCTTTTTAGACGGATTTTGGCGCTATATAAATGTTCTCTATTATTATTATTATATGCAATTAAAGTGATCATCTCACTAGCCCCACAAGTGTACGGAATATTTTTGCAGCAAATCTACTACAATGGTAACAAAATGTGATGCTACAAAAGTGGAAGTGTGCCCAACACACAAATCTATAGGGTGCTTCCCTCCTCCATGGTAATACGATTAAAACGGTAACAGCAAAATTTTGAACAGATTTATCTGGAAAATGCAAAAATCTATGGGCCTTGAAGAGCCTTGACTCAAAATTGCAAGGCCCTGAACCCTCAAGGCCAAGGCCAAGGCCAAGGCTTTTGCCCTCAAGCCTCGAGGCCAAGGCCAAGGCCCTAAAATCCAGCCTTAAGGCAGCCTTAAGGCCAAGGCCCAGCATCAAGGCACTACATCACTGGTAACATTACAAAAAGTATTAAATTACCATCATCGTTTGTGCACTATCGAGGGCCGAGTGGATAGTGTGTGTATCTCATGATTGAAATATCCTTGGTACAACTTCGGCTAGTGACATTTTTCGATATATTTTTTTCCATCCCCCAAAAAATTAAGAACATGCTTTTATTGTTTTAAATTGACTCAACATTTAATTAGGCCTACAGTGTATGACATTTTCCTAATCTGATTCTTGGCTCTGGAGAATTTTTTTGAAAAGGGAAAGTAAGTCTGAAATTGTAAAATGCTCTGATTCCCATCTCGTGAATACAAAGTCACAACTGACAGTGTTTAGGAACATTTGTAGGAAAAAATGTTGCAACCTGACAGCACTTCCGCGAGTCTATTGTCTATTGAAAGTCAAGGAAATTTTCTCTAAGCATTGGAAACAAAACTGGAAATGTTTCTCAGTCCCAGATTCATGTCTGTTCATCATTTTTGCAATGACTGACCTTCGTTGAGATGATATATGAAGAAAAAAGTGGCGTCAGTTTTTAAATTTGGTTCCCATTTGTATTTTCTGCATTCAGACAAACAACAAAGCCAGCGGTATAGAGTAACAGCCTGATACTCACTTCCTGATCACTGGAGAAGTCCCCACCATAATACCCAGCACCTGAAATGCTCCACCAACCATGAACGCCGTGATCGCATTGTGCCATTTCTGCGAGCTACACGGACCAAGCATTCTGTTCTGTACCCAGTCCTTCCACACCAATGAGGAGCGGCAGCCCACAGCGTTCGATGGCAAGAATGACCAGGGTGCGTCCGGGTTGTCGGGACACCCGTTGTTCCGTCGGTCCAGATCCACAGACTCAACCGTGTCCACTGCCTCCGGCAGTGGGGACCACAAGTCCCCCGCCTCCAAAACGGAACTTTGTGAGGTGAGCCATCAAGATGGTATTGCACTTGAAACCAGAGGTGTGAATCTGTGTCGAAAAATTGGGCGATGAAAATGAAAATGAAAAGGTCATGACATTTCTCTTGATGTTGCAAATTTGAAATACGGGGGGGGGGGGGGGGGGGGGGGGGGGGGGGGGGGGGGGGGGGGGGGGGGGGGGGGGGGCTGGACATCATTTGACACTTAAGTGGTGAGTGTTCGTAATGGAATCTTTATGCGTGCATTTGTACATAATGTGCCCATGGGTACAAGTCTGCCATGGCAATGGTCCCAACTATGGCAATGGTCCTGATATTTTGCAATAATAGTTGGGGAATTCCTAATTATCGTTGGGACTATCCTAACTGAAGTTGGAATTGTCCCAACTATAGTTGGGATAGTGCCTTAGTTGGGATGTAACAAGTCCATTAATTACAGTTGGCACCGTTAACTTTCAATTATTAATGTACTTTATTGTCACAATTACACATTTTTTGTTTAGCACCAAAATTGGGTCGGACGATCATATGCCCTCCCCCCTCAGCTGCCTTCTGCATATATATGTGACCCGCTCCGAAAAAAAGGGTATTAAGTCGCCAAAAAGTGAAATTGAGTTATATACATGGTTGGAAAGCCCACAACATAAGCTTTCATTCGGTATATAAAAGAGCTCCATAGCCCCTCCCCTTCTGGAGATATAACGTATTTGCATATTAATCACTTCCTTGGAGTTCGAATTACACAACTGAGAAAACAGGCTTTGAAATAGCTGGCTCTGATGTAGATTTGGGCACGATGCACTCAAAATTGTCGTATTTTCCCACTTTATTCATCGAAATCAACATGTCTGTGAATGAACCCTGAAACTTTAGGTATTAAAGATGTCATTCATAAAAAAAATGAAAATCACATTTTGACAAAATTTTCACCCTCTCAACATTGAGCGGGCCATTACACGATAATGCACAGCGCGACTTAATACCCTTTTTTGTGGAGTGGGTCACATATAGGCTCTGTGGGCCAACAAAAGAGGGCGCGTTTTTACCACCTTTGAGAGCTCCGTGGACAGGACACACAGCGTGCGCGTATTGTACTGTATGTATTTGTGCACGAAGTACGCACAATTTCCTGAATGTGCAAATTAGCTATAGCCACCGCGTCTTCGTGTGAGCGTCAGACGTCGTCGGCGCACAAATATGTTCAAATTCAACCTGCGATGGTCTCCGAGACGTATCCCCACCTCCAATAACTTTGGATCATTCGAAATATGCAGTGTACGGATCGCGAACCAGTATAGGTCTCCCCAACTCTCCTTTTCTGGCAGTTGATTGGGTACTTGTGCACCTAGCCCATAGTAATTGTATAAGGTGAATCCCTGCTGTTTACCAGTCATGACCTTTCAGCTCTCATCCCATGACCTTTCAACTCTCATCCCGTGACCTTTCAACCTCTCAATACAGGCGTGCAGGTCCTTCCAGCCCGGCCAGCCAAACTTCATCAGCCACGACCACGAGGTTGGAATCAGCTACATCAGCACGCAGTACCCACAGAACCCTCAGATCTTCACTATGGTCAGGCAGGCTTGCGTCCGGAGCCTTAGCTGTGAGGTATGAAAGAAGTGTTGTATAGTCAAGTCCGTCACAAGTCCATCACCGGTCCAGACACAAGTGAATCAGCTCCAGTCGCAAGTCCAGTCGCAAGTAACCGGGGATGAACGATAAGCTTTGTCTCATTTCATTTTAATTCCGTTTGACTTGACTCGGGACTGCATGACTTGTGATCAACTTGTGAGGACTTGGGAATGAGTTGCTGAACATGTGTGCCATTTTGTGCTTCAGAGCAATATTGGCCGCAGAAACAGGGCTTTTGTTTGAGTCTGCCATTTGCGGTTGCTGCTACTAGAATAGACCTTATAGCTTAGTCTAGGGGCTAGACATTGTTATGGTTTGATACGCGAAAACCCACCGCCGCGATAACCCACCGCCACTAGAGGGGGCTATCACGACATACCAATATCGCCCGTGGACTTGTCGGGAACAACGTCTAGGGAATCTGCTGAAATCTCCCCCCGAAAAATGGGGGAAACTAGTGCGCATGCGCGACTTCTGCAGGCAATTACGGTCCATTTTCAGTCCCACACATACTACACACAACAAAAGAGCTGACCAGTGAAGTTGCACAAAGGTCTTGCTGCATCTTTTATTGCACTGGAAGAAATTTGAGAGTTTGCTTCGGAACTACTATAATTTTTTTGAATTGCATGCTGCATATATTAGGCCAAACAGGTGTGCACGCATTACACAACCTATACAACATTCCCTAGACGTTGTTCCTGACAAGGCCGTGGGCGATATTGGTTGGTTGTGATAGCGCCCTCTCGCAGGGGCCGGTTGTCACGTATCGACCATAACAACGTCCAGCCCCTAGACTTCTGATAGCTAAGTGTGTGTACAAGTACGAAGTGTGAAACAGTGGAATGGCGGATAAAGGTAATACAGACAGTTTAATGTACGTGTATGCGTATCCTTTCGCATTCAAAACCTTTCAAATTCCTCATTCTACAAAACTGAAGGTTTGCCAAGGTCGGGAGGGCCCCATCTTCTTCGGGGACGAGCACCACGGCTACGTGCTCAGCTACACCTTCTTCATCAAGGACAGCCACGCCCGGGGCTTCCAGCGCTGGTACAGCGTCATCGTGGTCATGATGGATCGCATCTTCCTGCTCAACTCCTGGCCCTTCCTGGTGGCCAACATGCGCTCCCTGATCGACGAGCTGCAGGCCAAGGCCCTCAAAGTCTACGAGCAGGAGCAGTCAGAGCACCCGCAGCGGGCAGAGCGCATCAACCAGGTACCGATTAAGTCTAGGTTCAAGACTGGGTTTGGATTGTCCTCTCCTAATGCGGCTGGTCCTGATCCTTTACAAGCATGGCCAAGCTACAACAGTTGTAAAGCATAAAACAGGCCTCGTAAAATTTTTAAAAATGTAGTTGCCCTTCGGGCAGGGGTGTTTGTAATCTGGTTGTATTTCTTGGTTTTTAATGTTTTATTTATATTGGTAAGTGTCACCATTGGATATTAAAAAAAACTTAAGGAAAAACTCAGAAAAAAAGTGAAGAAATTTGGGACGTGGATTATAGAGTCCAGCACAGTTCCAAAGCGCAACGTAGCGCCCGTAAAAAGTGTGATGTTGGTAATCTACGAATAAAGCAATAAGGGGTGTCAGCCAAAAGGGAACAGTGGTCAATCTCAATCTGTACGTACGGTCCAGCTACATCATGCAGCGACGTTTCGCACATGTAATGTATGTAGGCAGCGAATGCATTCCTTTATGTACGTGTGTTTCCAATTATATTACGACTGGACCTTCCATGCGTGCATGCAGAGCGCCTGTACTGTACACACGCACGCAGCCACGGCCGGTCACACACGCTTGCAAAATGGTGACAGCGCAGCAGCGTAGTACCAAATGTCGATATTATCATGGTTATTGTTCAACGCTTTGCACATGTATGGGATTCTGGAAATTTTTGAAAATCCCATGGACTAAAATAAAGTGTGAAAATGTGTGAGTATTGGTGAAAAAAGTGGTTGTTGGGCAGGCAACCTGGAACTTTTGGTTGTCTGACAAAATATTGTGGTTTTCCCGGGACGTCTGACAACTGATTTTGCGAGCCCTGTACAAGCTAATTTTGTGTGTGAGCTGTCTCAGAATTTCTGGGGTCCTGCTGTCAAAGTTCCCAAGACTGATTCATCTTGTTGGTAGTGCGCCCGCTACAACTGCAGTAGCTTGTCCATGCTTGCAAGGGATCCGCAGCTAATTTCACGAAAAAGTCCCCCTAGCGCCTCAATTCATTGCGCAACTTTTCAGTTGTGACAATTTCATGAAAATTTCGAAATGCGCAAGTCAGTGACGTGTGCAACAAATTATGCCGTAACTTGCGCAATCATTTTAGGTGACGTTATAGCTGCGGAGTATACATAGTAACTGAAAATGACCTATTTTACCTGCAAATCGTGATGGTCCTGGAGCCTGTTATTGTACAACTCATCAAGGTTGATACAGGGCAGACACCATGCCTGAGCCGTCTTAAAACCTTAATAAATACCTTATGAAGCCATCAAATGCCTCCAACTTGCCACTGCATTGGATCATAGTTAACACAGCAGCTTGAAATCAATCTGGTCTCTTCCTTCAAAGTTACCCATGTATACCTAAGGGTCACGACAGGCAATCATAGTAAAGTGTCTTGCCTGAGAACACAAGCACCATTCAGGGTTCAAACCTATATACCACCGCACGAGAGTCTGACAACATAACCTAAGTGTGTCACTCAGCCTCGCAGAAAAAAATACATTGCCTAAATTCTTATGCATAAGTGAAACACTGTGTTTGGTAAAAAAAAATTTGCAGGAGTTTCTGGCCCCGGGGGATTTTTACCGGAGGCGGAGGGGCGGCAGCAAGACCTTTCGATCCCTCTTAGAGCTGACCAGAGACAAGAACGTCTTCCGCTATCTGCACATGGTCTTCGCGTGGATACTGAAAGCCGGCGGCAGCAGGATGACGGAAAAGGTCCTGGAGGGACCGCCCAAAGAAGAGGCTCTGATTGACTTGGACAACGAGGAAGGTTGGTCCTACCTCAAAATTACAAAGGAATAATTTAAAGACAAGGTTTGCCTAGTCAAACTGGACTCAAAAGTTTCAGTTTAGTTACTCATTTATAGTCGGTGTCTCATTGACTCGGACAGTAAGTAAGAGGATAGGCTGACCCTTCGGATTCAGCCAAAAAAACAACAACAACAACAAAACAACGCTTGCTCATTTTGAGAACAGTTCATATAATAATAATAATAATAATTTGGGAGGCTAATCATCCTTACTCGCAGCTGGTATGCTGAATTGCGAAGGACGCGGCTACAACGTGGTCGGGCCGCTGGCACGTAAAGGCGCCTATGGCTGCCGGCCACATCGACCCATATATGACCACGGAGCACAGCCTGAGATTGGAAAGTGTTTGATTTTTCCAGAGGAAGGAAAACCGGAGGACCCGGAGAAAAACCCTCTTGGCACAGGGGAGAACCAATGCACAACTCTACTCACATGTGATCCGCGGCCAGGATTCAAACCGTGGTCACCTTGGTGAGAGGCGAGCGCTTTACTCTTAAGCCACCCATGCCACCCAAATGGAGGGATAGAATAAAGACACATGGGTACAATCCTCTCCCCTCCCACCCCCCCCCCCCAAAGGACAAGTAACCATAGCAGCCATTAAAAGTCTTTGTAAATTTTGTATTTGTTTTGGGAAACCAATTTTCATGATGAAATAGAAAGGGAAAATTTGGTAGCAAAAACATTTGTTTTAAATTTTTTTTTACAGAAACCGAGGAAGGTTTCATCAAGGTCTCCACCATGACCATGGACCCCGATCCAGCGGGAGGGACGGCGGAAGGCCCAACAGCCATCCAGGACAGCCGAGAGGAGTGGCAAGATGGCGGGCCATCTGTCAAGTCATTGCATCATCTCAGACGAGTAAGGCCGCGTCAAAACCTACATGGCTACGGCTTAAAGTTACACATGCGTCTATGGAAGAACGGCGTAGCCACTTCCCATAGACACGTGTGTTACAGCTGGCCGTAGCTAAGGCCAAGTTCGCGCAAGGACTATAGTTGACCAATGGTTAACTAACGTTTGCCAGAACTCTGTCTAGTCGACGGTGGTTGACTACGCTAGTCGACTATTTAGAACCAACCTACTGGGGTTGGTTGCTTCGCTGGTAACCAATAGCCGCGCACATTCATAACGCTAGCAGGGAGCCAGGATCCAGAAGTTTTGCGATGACATTTTGACCAGCGTTTGACTAGAGACGTTCACACGTTGCTATTAGTGCGCAGGCGTAAGGTACGTCACAAATCAACCACTAGTCGACTAATGGTCCTTGCCCGAACTTGGCCTAAGTAAAACGGGTGTGGCCTTTGTGCGCAATTCTTGTGTAGGTTCTTAAAATTAACCAAGTTTCACATAGCCTTGGTCAAGGCGTTCCACGATAGCGTCCGATGATTGATGGCTGGCCTCTAACCATAGCCGTGCACTATTACTCACACGTACTGTACACGTGTAAAGCGCGCTCAGAGACCTCACATGGCTAGGCTACAATATGCAAATCCGTTCGTGCTAGCCGAACGTCTTACAACAACTGTTCACCTTGGCTTATGTTTTTCTTTATCTTTTCACCTATTTCCAGCGACGACCAATAAAGATGAGATTATTATTCGGTACTTGGTCATGGAGGCTCATATGCTACATGGACATGGAGCTGGATTGTGTGGCTACATTCTCCAATAAGTTTCGAGTCCAAACATAAACAAACATCCAAGTACAGTTGACTCAGTTATAACAAATTGCACAATGGAGCCTTGGTCCTGACTGTGCATTTGTGTGTACAATGAATGGGACCGGCACTCTCCTTTTTAACACACATTTTGGCCTAGGTCTTGCTGAGTTTGGATTGTCCATTTTATTTACAGCTATTTGTGTTCTGTTTCAGCTCTTGGGCAGTTTGAATTTCCACGATCTTGCCCACCACGTGCTGATTGGCAATCAGATCATAGTCAGGTGCACCTTCAAGAGCACCTTGCGTTCCTTCTTTGAAGTTCTCAAGGTAAGCAAAGTACAACGTGAGAAAAAAAAATTGGGGTCCCCCCTCCCCCAAGTTTGCCCCACACCTTTTTCCCATGATTTACTGATGGTATGTTTAACAGTAGAATCTGAGTAGAAACTGTTTGAAGGGACCTATTGTGTTGCTGTTCAGGGTATGGGCTCCGTGCGCCACTTTTGAGAGCCGTGTGGACGGGACGCAAAATGTGCGTACTGTACTGGTTGGCGCGCGAAGTACGCACGACTTCCTGACTGTGCCAAAGCTATTAGCTAAAGAGTCTTCGCGTGAGCGTCAGGCGTCGTCAGCGATGGTCTCTTAGACTAGCCCCCACCCCCCAATAACTTTAGATCATTCAAAATACATAGTGGATAGATCAGGAACCAGTCTAGATCACCCCCAACTCTCCTTTTCTGGCCGTTGAAGGGGTACTTGTGCACAGAGCCAATGTTGTACATGAGTGTGCATGTATAATGAACAGCATGTTGGGAAAATATTTTGCAGTTCCCCTCCCCCCCCCCCAAGAAAAACTTTTTCTTTGCTTATTATTTGTTCCCAGTTTGGACAGTCTGGTGCCCCTACTGATGTCCTGGTTATATTGCATCTTTGATACTGTAATTTCATTGGTCTAGAACGGCCGAGTGTCCAGTCCATAAAAATAACAGTTTACTCCATATACTCAGCGTAGCATGTAAATTACCTCTGCGTTGCACACACGAGGGCCTGCCCGCGTGCCTTGCGACTGAGAACTGTGACCACGCTCAGTCTCGTGTCCAACAGGAAAGCTCGCAGTTATCAAAGGTTACATTGCGGCGATTTGACTTATTTCTTGCATAGTAGTTACAAGCCTTTATCTTTTTAACTTACTATGGGCTCTGTGTGCCAACGAAAGAGGGCGGCCTTTTACCTAGCAACGACGTCCTATGTGCTGGACATTTCACTGGTTGACGCGCACCGTTTCTTGTGTGTGACCATAACACACGTACACCAGGGGATTTAGTTGTACTACGTACAGGCAGTGCTAGTGGTGGCCGCGCGTCGCGGCAAAATTGCAGTCAGGCAAGATGGCGTCGGTCGGTCACCCCCAACTGTACTTTCTTTGCCGGTGAGGGGGGTACTTGTGAACGGAGCGGATCGGTACAATGTAAACAACAAATTGATGACTGCTGTGATGTGGGATGTGTCATTTTTAACCCACTTGAGCGTATAGCATCCTTGGCTTTGTCTTGGGTGCTACGCGCCATATCCCACATTAGAGCAGTCAACAATTGTAAAATGTGACATAGCAAAGGAGAGGTATATGCTTGTTACTTATTATTATCTTTTTAATTTTTCAAACTTTTGTCTGGTACCCAGACTCTTTTGCCAGTCGGCTGCTGCCACATCATCACCCACAGCGACCACTACGAGGAGTCCTTCAAGTGCAACTTTCTGGGTCTGTCCCCGAGCACCAGTCTGCCGGGTCACATCAAGTCGTCGGAGTTCTTCATCCTGTTGGACATCATCAGCCCCAGCCAGTCGCCCAGGGAATGTGAGAGGGTCGTCGTCAAGGAACCTGACCCTTTCCATGGGTTTGGCATCACTATGAGTAGCACGGGGTCATTACCAGACAAAGGTAAGGCCCATTAGCCGTAACAGAACTCAACCCATTAAACCCCAGCAGCATGTAATGTTGGAATCTGTCAGGATGGGTACAGTACCACAACACTGACAGTCTTTTATATTGGGTTGGCACACCTTCAGAATCAAAGTCAGAAATATGTGTGTGCAGTTTCCCATATGGTGTTGGAATTTGCCGGGATGGGTATGGTTCCTTGTAAATCATGCTAGGGAGTTAGTGTTAAAGTTGCATTCCCCATGCTATTTTCAAGTTTCAGCTAAAAAAAATAGAATTTTTTTCAATTGCTATTTTTCTAACATTCCAATAGTTCACAATTCACTTTTGGATGAGACAAAGACCGAAAAAAATCGACCCATGTTTAGTTATTGAGTTATTTCTTGACACTTTTCAGTTATTGGTTGTGAAACAATAATTCCATTCATGTTGGGTAGTCTGGTTCCCGCCCTACAATCAGTATCGATAACGTACAGGCTGGGAGCCAGTCTGCTTGCAAAGCAAATGTGTTTGTGCCCAAAACAAAAACGCTGTTTTTCAGAGGTTTGCAGATGTTAAAAAAACAAGTGGCCATGTTGCAAGAAGTCTTGCATGAAATCGATGAAAACGATCCCTGCCGGAGCTGACAAATGCGACGTCGAAAAATGCGACACCGATGGCACATCTGAAACACCATTCTTTTGATCAATTTTCCGGGGACAGACAGACAGACACCACGAAAGACAGACAGACCGACAGACAGACAGACCACCAAGAGACATGTTGAAGCTCCTGCCAGAGCTTAAAAAGGAAAAAAAAAGGAGCATTTTCGTTGGGAATAAAACACACAAGTTTAAAATGTATTTATTGTAACAAATAGAATTTGTTGAATGCGTCATTCAGGGGAATGCATCATTATTCATAAAGTCAAGTCCCATGGGGGACTTGAACTTTCGTCCTTTTTTTCCCAATTTTTTTTTTTTTCTTTTTCTTCAGCACCTACCATTCTGACCAAGATCGAGAACGTCTTGGACAACAGAAACCTGAACCAGGAGGTGATCCACACCTTCCTGGTTGCTCTGAAAGAGGAATGGATGAAGTGAGTCATTCTTTCATGATGTAGATGAGTATAATTCCACGTTAACATGTGTTAAATTTAGGGGGGGGGGGATTCTTTCGTCAAGTCTGTGTTGTTATTATGTGACATGGTATGTGAGAATCAGGCACTTAAGTTTGGGCAAGAAGTCCATTTTGAGTTATTGCAATATTAGTAAAATGTAGACCTTGCTCTTTCAAATGCCGCTTTGGTTATCGAAATTGTATATTAAACAGCAAAGTTATTAAAATTTGAAGGGTAGTTCGAAATGTCATGCTAATTTTTTGCAATTTCAAAAGAAAATCTTGAACAAAGCGTAACTTTGTGAAATGGTATGTAACATTTCAGTTTGAAACCTTAACAGGTCTCCCGTTTAAAACATTAGTAGCATCAAAACATTTTAAAATCTCAAAATTGCTGAAAATCACTCCCATGTCATTTTGCTGCTGTTTCTCAATTCGTAGCTCTGCCAAATTGTTCCTAGTTTTGAATACCATGCCACATTTTGTGCACATTGCAGTTTATTTTTGTATCACACAAATTTGACAGATATGAACCATTTCTTGTGTTTGGGTTTTTGTATTTTGCAATATACAGTAAAGTCAAGCTGCTTTTCAAGTTCACCCGGGCCGGTTCCCACACCGAGGAGGAGACGGAGCGACTGTTGGAAATCCTCAAGGCCAAACCCGAGGACAAATCTCTCCTGAAATACTGGATCAACGGCCTCAGCTCCCAGTATCGCTCCCATCTGCTCACCACTTCCAGCATGGGTGCTTCCAGTTCATGAAGTGAGTTTCATCCTGGAGTATTATTGGTTGGCTGGCAGTTTGGACGTGGGAGATTCCGAACCGGAATATCCGCACCGGAATCGATAAAAAATCGATTCCAATCTGGGAATAGGAATCATGATTCCACCTTTTTGAGGAATCGATAAGAATCGATTCCAAACTCGGAATCGGGATCGTGATTGCACCTTTGTAAGGAATCAATAAGAATTGATTCTAAGCATGGAATCGAAATCATGATTCCAGATTTTTAAGGAATCAATAACAATCGATTCCAAACTCGGAATTGGAAAGTAAAGTTTGTGTTATTAATGTTATGTTCTTTACAATTCGGCTGCTGGCGGCGAAAAAAGATATGCGTGTAATAATAAACCAATTATGAATAATAATAATAATAAAATAATAAATCATGATTCCACCTTTTTGAGGAATCGATTAGAAAGGATTCTAAACTCAGAATCAGAATCATGATTCCACCTTCTTGAGGAATCGATTTCAAACTGCAAAGATGAAACTTTTCCGATTTTAATCGGAAATCCGACTTTTTGAATTTTCCAACGAAATTTCCGATTTTTTTACAATGTGTCCCACAAAATTTGATTTTGTAACGATTTTTTCACAAAATATCATTTTATTTCAATCATAATTTGGAAAAAAAGTCGATGAAAAGTCGATGGAAATGGCACGTTAAAATCATCGTGAACGTAGTTTTAATCTCTTTCACCAGTCGTTATTGGAGTGTTCAACGGTAGAAACACGGGCCATAACACTGATCGGAGCCTTTTCCGGCTGGACAAAAGGTTAAACATTGACGGAAAAGTCACTGTGTCGCACATGCGTGCATATACAAAGATGATATACAATGGTTCCAGCGTACCTACGTACCGCACCGTCCGCTAGCACATGGCCGGTCGGGAATGAGTGGCCTCGTGAACGGTGGATAAAATCCATTATGTTGTGCGATTTTCGGAGGTTTCGATAAGATTCGACTCCAAACTTGGAATCAGAATCATGATTCCACCTTTTTGAGAAATCAATAAGAAATTATTCCAAACTCTGATCGGAATAATGATTCCACCTTTTTGAGGAATCGATTGCGAATCAGAATAGTAATTCCTGCGTTTTGAGAACCAATTATTCCAAGCTCTTATCAAATCATCATGCCACTTTTTTTGAGGAAACGATAAGAATCAATTCGAATCTCAGAAGTGCCAAACATTTTTAGGCGACTCAGACATGTTCAAAGATTCCACGATTCTTTGAAGAAAGATAAATTATATGGCCTGAATAAATTTAATTAAATGTAGATTTTATTTTAAATGAACGAAGAAAGGGGTTTATTGCACTGTGAAGGCATTTATTTTTCATGTTTGTCGTTTAAAAATCAGTTGCAAATACTTTTGATTGTCTTGAATTGTGTGCTAATACTAATTTTTCAGAAAACCTATTTTTCAAAAAGAATTTTTTGGAGATAGATGAATCATGTTCTACAGAGAGATTACAAGTCTTAATAATCTCTAATGAACAATTAATCGCTATTCACACAGACGCTTTATAGATGGAGGTTTTATACCAATGTTATTTTTGCTGGTGACAACTGCGATTCCAAATAGAATCACAATTCCTTGACAGAATCAGAATCAATTCTAAAAATGCTGGAGTTACTTAGCCCATAGCAGTTGGTTAGTGGTGAAACTCATGTTATTTTAGTCGTAGAATTATTACTCAACAATTTCGAAGTATTGGCTGCCAGACAATAACTTTGTTGTCATGGGGTAGGCTGGTTCCCGCCCCACAGTCAGTATAGATAATGTCAGTCTGCTCAAAAAGCGGATCTGTGTGTATCTAAAATGAGATCCTTTTTATTTCATAGTGTTGCGGACGTCCAAAAAAGGGGAAAAAAAGGATGTTTTTTGTAGCAATAAAACATACTTGTTGAAAATTTATCGATAGAAAAAATATCGAATTTATGGAGAGCACGAGGAACGCAACTTCAAGGAAAATGTATTATTTATCAGCTGTTTCGGCCTGTAAAAGCTGCAGTATTGCGCGATTTTCTTCATCAATTATGTCATCGGTTTGCCAAGGACACAATAACAGACACCCACTGGATTATCAAAATCTGGAGGTCGCCGTCTTTGGACGAGTGATTACTGAATCTGCTAGCATACGTGACCTGTCACCACGAAATGAGCACGAATTCAGAAATTTGCCCTTCACCGACGTATATACACTGTAATACTCAGTGTGTTACCTCCCGAGTGAAAGTTGGAAAAAAATCACTCGGGTGGGACTCGAACCCACAACCTCCTGCTTTCTAGTGCAGACGTCTTACCACTCGACCACCGAGCTAACGGGATCGGCTGGCCGGTTCGAATCTGATGTATATAGCAGCGGGTACCGCATTAACTATTCATATTTTTCCAACTTTCACTCGGGAGGTAACACACCGAGTATACAGTGTATATATGTCGGTGAAGGGCAAAACCTAATTTTTTTTTTAGTTTGTGGGGCAAAGTCAAAAACTGAGGGGGTGGTCGATGCGTCTTGTTCTAAGTTTTCCCTATTTTTTTGGTTTTATCAAACATCTTTCCCTACTTTTTTGGTTCTTTCTAACATCTTTCCCGTTGTACTAACTCACTTCACTTTACTGCAATACAAAAGCGGGACTTTTAACTTCATTTTCTAAAAAATTTGTTTGAAAACGTTGTTTTATTTGGCAGTCTATATTTCTGTAACTGAACTCAGTACACCCCAAATGTTATATACCATTACAAAGATTTTGTTCTGCAGAATCTAGAAATAAAAATTAATAAGTCCCACTTCATGCTTATTTTGAGTCGCCAGGACACTGTTTTGACATTTGACAAAATGGAAAAATGTTCAACACTCTAAACCCTTTCGGAAAGTTGGCAAAACCAGAGTTAATATGCACTTTGCATTGCCAAAGGATTAAATTGATTAAAAAACAAAACAGTTACAATATCTCTTCAGACATTGAGTGCATGTTACGTTCATTTTATTTGGTTTAATTTAGTATGATGTAACTTTGTACATAGCATATTATATTTACAACTTCTCCATAATGAATAAAATTTATATTGACAATTTGTGAAACTTCATTCTGATAAAAATTGGTGTTTTCTTATGACTTAATTGTGCCCAAAACGCTAACACAAATTTGCAAAACGAGAGAGCACACAGTGAAATCCTGAAATGACGTCAGGAATGACATTTCATTCTTACGAATTCAATCCAATCTTGGTTCACATTAAAACTGAGAATATTAAAAGTGAGAATGGTAAAGCATAAACCTACAAACAAAAATCACAATCGCTAGAAACAAAAATCTGAAGAAAAAAAATGAAAGCACACTGTTTTTAATTTTAAATATAACATCTTCCTTCGAAAAAAAAATAACTAGCAAACACTGTTTCACGTGGTGGTTAATCAGAAAATATCTTATTGTAATAATAATAATAATTGGCGACAAAACTGCTAATTCTAAATACCTAACATATTTTATCACAACGTAATATGTGTAATTATTTAATTGGAGTGACACTCAAGTAGTGTGCAACTCGTGCAGTTTTTTTGGTAATATTTCATTTTGATGGTCAAGAAGAAAATACAATGTTCTTCCTCACCTCCTGGCATACTGTTAACAAACCAATGGGGGTCTTGACCAATATTGACCCAAGTAATAACATGGTTCAGAATGCAGTGCCATATACCGTCGTTAATATTTAAGTCACTGTAACAATTTGCACAAATTCCATCTGTGTTACTGTAAACAGTTTGAAAAACGAATTGCATTCGCCCGTATGCACAGGATGATTTGTAAAGTGCACGAAGAACTATCCTATGGGTTGTTCTGTTTGTAATTTCTACTTTTAACTTCTCACATTATTTTGATTTGCACCATGTTTCAAACTTTGGACAGTTTGCCGACTAATATTCCTCTTGTGAAGATCTGGTGTGACCAAGTAAACACTTCATATTTCGGCCCTTCTCATGGCAAAAGGCATATCTTGAAAAAAAACCCCACACATTATCAAGAAAAATTGCATTAAAAGTTCAAGGTCTTCTATATTTTCTCTTTGGTAATCAATTATGCCAATATCGCTACCACAGATTGTAAACAATGCAAAAAAATATGGTACAAATTTCAGTTTCTTGTTGTGATTGGGGTTTTTTTGGGGGGGTGGGGGGGAATTTAAAACCAGTTGCACCGTTTGACCATGAGAATACTAATACAGGTTGGTTCATACTTCAAGCGAAAGCAAGTGCGAAGCGAAATTCATGTCATCAACAATGGTGGGCGTGCTTTGAACATAATTGTTGATGTCACAAATTTCGCTTCGCTTTCGCTTTTGTGTGAAGTATGAACCGGGCTGACGAATGTACTCGTACTCATACTCGCAGGGCCAAAAAAATTACCTATGCTCTTACTGGTATCTTATTCTTTTTTTAGGAAAAGACATTTTTTTGGTACGGTATTGTTTTTTGGCATTCATTTAATACCCATATTGACATAAAAATGCCTGTGAGAGAATGTGTACCCACAAATATGTGCTTGTAGGCTATTCATAAAATAGTCATACTCGTACCGGTACTCACACACATTGAAATAATTTGTCTTGTACTCGTACTCGCGGCAAGGTACTTGTACTCATGGCAAAGTACTCATACTCGTACTCATGGAAATATACTTGACTACAATACTGCCGACCAATCAATGTTCTGCAGGTCCAAGTTTCGAATCCCACTCACGTAAATTTCTTTGTTCAACATCAGATTGTGAATTTCTAAACTCTAGATGTCAGGGTGGGACCCAAACTCATTGACTTTTCCAATTTCATCCTCACCACTTTGTATACTATATTATCAGTATTGCCCAGACATGTACAATCCCAGCAAAGATGCCAAATGTGGCGTAACGCCACAGCTGCTAGTAGCGTGCAGGCTGCACCAGCCACGCATAGTACATGCCTCCATCTGGATTTAAGATCGGACACAAATTCCAAAAAACAGATATTTCCCCCCCAAAACGCTATTTCCATGGAGGCATAACATCAACAGATCCTCATGCTACAGACCGACTGGATGTAGAGTCTTGTGTGAACTTTCGGGAATAACTTTGCTTATGCAGATAGTCTGGTTCCATTTTTTGGTCTACTTCTCATTAGCCTACTAATGATCTGCTATCTTCTCCGCCGTATGGAATGTGAAACAAACGTCCACACCACGACGATGGCCGCAAAGACCCCAAACATGGCGTAGCGGTACAACTGCTTGAACCGTGACGGCAACTCCAGCAACGCATAGTGAAGGTTTCCCGATTCGTCTGCGTAAAGCACAAAAAAAACCTGAATTACAATTAACAACTGGTTATTTTCTTAATTTACATGATTACAAATAGACAAATTTGCAACCACCTCAGTAAATGGCTTTAAGATTTCAATAGATTGGCCTATCCGCTCCGTTCACATGTTACATGCAGCGACATGGCAGTGGGAATCTGTGAGATCAAGTCCAGCCTGTTGAGTTTCAGTGAATGTGTCCTTGGGCAAGACACTTTATCACAATAGCTTTTCCTCACCGGGGAGTAAAATGGTTCCCTGTGCAACTCGAGATGATTTTGTTTGAATAACCATTTGTAGAATCCCATGGTCCACTGGTTACAGTGTTTGACTCATGTGCGGGGGTTGGAACCCTGCCAGGAACATAGCGTTTGTGCCCTTGGGCAAGACACTCAACTTCAATTGCCTGTCGCCACCCAGGAGTATAAATGGGTACCTGTGAGGGAAGGGTACTTACCGATGACTGCTGCAGCGTACGCCATGTGTCGCACACCCATCCGGTAGCTGCATGTTGGGACTCTGTACTCCTCCGTCTCGAAACTCTCTTCCTCCGGTGTGAGGTTAGCGATGGGCCTCTGCTCGGTTTTGTAGACCCCCTTGTAAGTGCCCATCAGCTTGGAGAGGCGGTGCTTGACAAAGCCTGACTGTGACGGAGAACGGGGTTAGGAATTGGGGAAGAGAACATTTTAAAGGGGCCATGCAATGTAACTTTTTTGAATGCAATCCTTGGAAATGCAGCTTTGTGTCCCATTAACCTTAGTTTAAATTTTCGTTTGGCCATTTCCAAGGGTATTCCGGAATACGAATTTCCATATTTATGAGCAGAAGTGTGATGCCATTTCAGGCAGAAACCTCAATGTTACAGCTATTTCAGCCCAAAAGTTGCCAGAATTGTTGATATTTCGCTGTCGCTTTTCTTTGGTGATTCGTTGTTGTGTCAGTCCACCGCAGTAAGCCAGTGCGCAAAATTTTCTCACAAATGTTTTCAATGAGCAAATTTTAGGGTTCACGATTTGAACAGAAAATTCCTTAAACTGAACATCGTCTTCCTGAAATGACATCACAGCAACAGCACCCTCAGTTGTCCGGAAAAGCAGGGACAATTTGTAAAAGGTTTTATTAGAAGTGCACTTTTCAATGAAATTAATCAAAAAGAAGTGTCAAATGCAGAGCTTTTATTCGGACAAAGTGAGTGATTCTATACCCACAACTTGTCCGGAACTCGTCCCAGATATGAATTCAGACGGGCCCTAAGAGCTAAGACGTGTATACAGGACTTCTGCACTGGTCTGAAAACTTACATGATGCGAATGGGCACTGAAAGCATATTGAGGTCTGAGCGTACGCAGGACCTGTGGACAAACCAAACCAACTTTGTCAATTACTGCAAATAGAATAATCACATTATCATAATAGAAAAAAAAAGTCCATTAACTTGACCCCAGCAGTGCCCATGAAGGAAATCTTGGTCCACAGAAATTCACAATTACAGTCGCACATTGTGTTTCATCCAGAAATATTGCACCTGGGCCCGATTTCATGGCTCTGCTAACCACAGAATTCCGCCCTTACGATCACAACTTTTTGCTAACAGCGCTAGCAGAAAAATTTTGCGTAAGCAGAGCATCCTTAGTTATGGGATGTACGTATGCGCAGAAGCCAAAATTCCTCGCTAAGCAGTGAAATATGGTTACCGTAAGCACAAGATTTTCTGCTACAATAAGCAGGTATATTTTTTACTAACAGTAAGTAATTTCATGGCTCCGCTTTAATACTATAGCAGACAATTTTGTGCTCATGGTAAACGTATTGCACGGTTAGCAAGAAATTTTGGCTTATTTGGCTTAATTTTGTTCTCGAAAAGTCATGAAAAGTTTAAGTTTTCAAAACGTATGGTGATGCAGATATCACAACAAAGTGGTATCATTGCAGATTTAAGTCCATAGGCAAGACACTTACCCCAATGTGCCTGTACAGCATTGAGCTACTCATGCCGACATGCGACAGGACTATTCTTACTGAAGACTCCCTCGATTCGTCGGCCATCTTTTCCAGTTCCACTTGCAGTAATTCATCTTTTTCTTTGCCCACGAAATGTAAATACGGTAAAAAATCGATCTGTGGAGAAAACAATTCAAAAAGTAAAACTAGGATAAACATAAACCAACTACAGAGCCCCAACAAATTAACTGCAAGGATAGGAATTTGGGCTGTACTATTTTTAGTGCGACAAGCTTAACCAGTTCGCGCCGGGATTATTTTGACAGTGACCGGACCCAGGCACGGGATTGTTTCTCATGAACCTCGATGCCAGACGGGTTCAGGCCGTCATCTGTGGGTAGCACACCCTGATATTTCTGGCCTCGCTCGCTGCAAGCGGGTCGCTGGCAAAATATTTCCAGCCTCGCTCTTTGTGTGCTTATCCGTCATCCGTTCCAAATACCGCAAAACCGTTGCATGTATACACGACATCCGACGCAAACTGGTTAAAAAGAAAGTGTTAAAACCCCGGCCCTGAGAAATGGAAAGATGAATCTTTTGGGATACCTTGAAGAACGCAACGTGTTTGTAGTGCACCGCTTCCGTCACGGGGCCAAAATGTTTCTCGAATCGTTTTCTCTTGTCGTCTGTCAGGGGGTCCGAACCTTCTCCGCCTATGTCATTGTCGCCAGAGAGGTGAATCACAATAGACTGGAAAAGGAATAGGAGAAGAACGATTGCTGTAATGAAGTTTTCGATGTTAAATAAACCACCTTGGGAACCGACTGGGTGGACAAAGAAATTGACTGGAGCGGGGTTTGAACCTGCGACCTCCGGTATACCACACCGGTGCTCTACCACCTGAGCTATCCAGCCCTATGTTGGCAGTCTATAATGTGTTGATTTTTTGTAAGGCCGTCAAACTTTTAACACTTGACTATTCATGGCTCCTTATTCCTAACAATTGGTGCATGGAATTGTATGACTCTTTTATCCTTGTAGATGGTAAATATTTGCTTGTTTGTCTGTTTAAATTTGGCAAGCCACACACAAGCTTTGCCTTTTCAGGTTTGCCACCTCTACTGGCCGTTATTTTGCTTTTAACGTTAATTTTATTAACCCTAACTCCATAGGCCTTTTTGCTAGGATGTAGCCTCAATCCTGCAAAATCCTCCAATAGGCCTCATGGAAAAATGGCATAATAGCCTCAGTCCTGCAAATTCTTCCATTATTTCTTGAATATGGTCCGTGGAGGGGAGACCACTGCCTAAATCCTGCAAAATCCTGCAGCAGTGACTGTCAATATGTTGAGGCTTGGCCAGTGACATCCTGGAGCAGAACGGAGGATTTCAAGCATAATCCAGGCCTATATTTATGCATGGCTGAGCAAAAACAACACAAAGTCCGGCTCAAGACCTTGACAAAATGCATCCTCCGAAATCAGTAACGCACTTTTGCCACGTAACCTCAAGCCTCCAAATTCCTCCACTTAGACAAAGAGGATTTTGAAGGATTCGGGGCGGTTAGGGTTTAATTTTGTCATATACATATAATAAATGTCTTCACTAGACGGGATTTTTGCTAGTGTTTGTACAAAGAAAGTATAGCCTATTAGGAATCACCTTGATATGATCAGGAACAGCAAAGAGTTTCTTGAGCCTCTCTGCGTATATTTCAAAGTCAGCGTCGGAGGATATACTGCCCTCGTCGATCAGGTCTCCCATTGTCACGACGACGTCTGGTTTGATGTATCGTATTGCCTCGTGGAAGTACTTCTGCAGGTACACGTCTGCGTCCCATCTGTGCAAACAAAAAAAGGAGAGTTGGTTGTTTTCCTAGATTGTTTTTTTACCAACCTGACTGTTTGTGGAGGAAATCCTTTCCCTAATTTTCATACCTTGTGATGTACCCTAAAATCGCTGGCTCGTCCTGGTAGCCCTGTATCTGGGGGTCGCCCACGAACAAAATCCGGACAGGATCCTGAGGAGGGGTCCCCGTCTGCTCTGCGTCCGCCGTGCTCGCTGTCGGGTGCAGGATGGAGTGCCGGGCCCCCGTCCACTGGTTCTGCTTGAGGAGGTAGAACTCCAGGTACTCGTTGTAGATGATGAGCCCCAGAGCGCTGACCATCAGCATGGTGTAGCAAGAGGACGGAACAAACTTCTGCATGATGATGAATGGATGGCTCTGCCCTGCATGTGGGTGTTTCTTTTAATTAGGGGGAGGTAACATAAGCAAGGTAAGTAAATCATTACTATTGTTGATATCAGATTATAACTGATGTTGATTTCTAGTTCTACACTTTGCGAAGCTCCCGGTAAAGCATATAATTCATTTGCGTACAGCAGTAAGTAAATTAAATAATAGTGCAACAACTGCATGCAGAATTCAGCAGAACCCTTCAAATTCGTACAAAAAAACCCACAAAAACCATCATATTTCACCCCGACAACAGCAAAAAAACTTATTTAAAAAAACGCCATTTGAGAAATCAGTACAGATCAAAGATTTAGAGGGTGGTGTTTTAAGTTGGAAAGATTTCCATATACGAAGTTCACTCAACACCCTGTGTACAAACCCTATGACTATGAGATTGGACTGAAAAATTCTAAGTCAACGTCAGTGTTTTCTAAGAAAATGCTTGTATTTTCTCACTGGTCAAATTGACTTTGATGACATGAAATTGCTATCTGGGGGCTTGTTAGTCAATACAGAGGAAAATTAGTGAACTTCTTATATGGAAATCTTTCCATGGAGCCATCCGCCAGACCCCCTAAAGCTACGCGGTCCTATTTCTACGCACTCGCATTCAATTTGTCATGTTTGTGTGAGACAACGCGCGCGCGTTGCAAGCGTTACCTGCTCAGCTGATTATGGATGGACACCACCATGGAAATTTCACCATTTCATCTCTTTATAACCATAACTTGCTCTATGCTTTAACTACCGAAACTCTAAGAACAATACGGCAGTCTTACCTTCTACGATTTTATGATGGGCACTTTGTCATTGTTTTTCAGCTAGGCATATTCGCCCGTGTGATGCACGATCGATCTGCTGCAAAAGGTTCAAAAGTCGGGGGTTGAGATGTAAATAACTAAAGGTCATGTGAACTGACACGTGACTGTCATCTGGGACCGATCAATTAAGCTCCGCCCACTTCGCACAAAGCGTGGCACCACTTGCGTCTCCCTCTCCGTCCATATTTTACTGAAAGGCCCCCCCCCTCCCCCCCCAAATTTCCTCTTTGTTTGAAATTCAGATTATTTTCAATTTATTTTGTGCTGTTATTTTCAATTTATTTTGTGCTTTTTTTAAAAAGTCAAATTTTCTGCTGGGAAAAATAAAAAAAAGGCATTTGAACGTTTTACAGAAACCAGAATCTCCAACATAAACATTAAAAACCACACTCTTGGGAAAAAAATGGTCCGGTTAACTTATCCTTTTATATGGGTCTTGTGGTTTTGCCGAAGTCAATTGAGCGTGATCGGCTGACTGATAAAAGGTTTAAACACATTACCACGAGCCAATGAGGTTTTGTACCGAAAGCTGGCCGACCACTTTTTGCGAGGGGTGCCGGTGAACGGAAAGCAGAATTGAAATTGGACGACCGTAATATTGCACCCGATCCTTTCTAACTGATGAGTTTGCTTTGGAGGTTTACGATTCATCCATATATGAGCCATATTTAAAGATGTATACTTCCCGTACTATTTTCCCCAGCACATATAACAGCTATATATACACTTTTGAATGAGCGGACAGACCAGCGACGTTACTACTTTACAAAATTCGAATTTTTGGATGCCGCAGGGTGGGTTAGTCTGTGCGCAAAATGAAAGCCCCCGGTTTGCAGACGCCCAGAATCGAAAAAAGGGAGTTTTTTCGTTTATAAACTAAACATATATCAAAATTCGTTCAATTAAAAATCTATTTTTTTTTTTATTAGGCATAATACCTTTAAAAATGTACTGTTATTGACCCTTGTTTTCTCCTGAATAAATTAGTGGATGTAAGTTCTGTACGTCGTCTATTCAAAATCTGTTTCCATTCCCGCGACTGAGCTGCGGCTAGCTGCAAAGGACAATCAGTTAGTAACTTGTCTTAAAAAAGAAATGTTCCGACACCCCTATATGGGTTAGGGTTAGGAATAGGAATATGTGCAGTCGGAACATAGGGGTGTCGGAACATAGAGGTGTAACCCTCTAAACATACTGAATTACGTTCGACCGATGTTTTTTTCCCATAAGAAAATTTGACTTTTCCATGTCCAAATTAAATTTCCAAAGGCACAAAATAGGGCCAGAAGACCGTGGCCTGCAATACGTTCCGCAACCCGCATTGCTGCTAGAAATTTTAAGTCACGGTCCACCTTTCTTTGGGACGCCGGGTCTTTTGCTTGCAGAAAATTATTCGTTTAGTATTTTTAACAATGAATGTGGCGCGACTTTGAAAAAAAAAATGAACCTGAAATGTGGGAAAATCACGATTTTCAATTGTTCTCCAAAAAAACGTGGCTCTGCCCACACAGATTTTTAGTGGAAAATTATTTTCTTTGCTAATAAACACCTTTTGTGTCTCAGATTAATATGAATAGAGAGATGAGAAAAATAACTGTATGTCAACAGAGGGCGCTATAGTCCGTATAAGCAATGCGCCCTCTACGGTGGCATAGTTGTAGGCAGTGAAAATCTGCAAGTCGAACGCAGATTTCGGTGGAAAAACCTACTAAAATTCGTAGAAACGAAGCGGTTTTTACAATCTTTTTTAGTGCTTTTTAACTGGAAGCATTCATGGAGATCGTATAAACTGAACATTAGCGAAGGGTTTTCGACGAAACCGGTCTCAAGATGGTAGGTTTTGGCTACTTAGCAACAGACGCTGATGATTGCATGCAGAGCTAGAGCCGAGGATCTGGAGTGCATGCTGTGCATGCTGGCCGATCAGCTGTGCATGCTGGCCGATCAGCTGTGCATGCAGTACGGTCTCGGAATCCATGGGTCATGTGTTGATGTTTTTTACACCCATAGGCCTACTACTAGTTTTGCTCTGTGTGTTTCTGAATTAAACAGAGGGCATGACAGGTGTTTGTGGACTATTTGTGTTGAAAGAATTTCATTGAATTTTATTTTAATATGAAAGTTAAAAAATAATTAACGCAGTGGCTATTGTTACGGCAGCCGTAACGCATTTCCCATTTTCTATCGTTACGGTAGACTGCAACCTGGCAACTTTTATAAAAAAAACATGACAAGAAAATATAAAATTAGAAGGAAAAAAGTGTATTTGAACTTTATGAAATTCGGACTTTATTTCCCTTTTTAAAAAAATCCTCCAAAGCCTCAGGTTAGAAAAGGAAAAAAAATTCGAGTGCAAAACTGAGAATCGAACCCGCAACCTCGCGGTGCAAAATCCTACCCTCTATCGGCTGAGCTGGCGCACTGCTCGATAAAACGTGGGGAAACAAATAATCATATACCTGCGTGCGTATCAAAAAAAAATCGTAGAGGGCGCTAAACAACGAGTGCCGTAACGATAGCCACTTCGAATAATTAAACCCTGCCCTGCTCCACTTCATCATTGACATTCAATGTAACATCATTGTCAAACACAATGCCAATAGACCATTAACATGTTGGAGCCATCTTGGTTTTTTCACATTCAAATCAACGTAACCAAAGCGACGCTGGAAGGAAAAATAGTCTGGTTCCTTTTTTCACAAAAACATTATCATAATTTCAGTACTGTTATTGGATACAGGGAACATGACTGAAATGGTGGCAGCATGATAAAGGTCTATGCAATGGCTAGTATAAAACCAAACATGTAAAAAGAAGTTTACATCACGGATGCTTTTTGGGCATGTTTTTGAAACGGCTCAAGTTTTTCGAAATATTCTGTTTGGTGAAAGTCCCAAAATCATGTGGTTTTTTGGCCTAATTTAAGGTAATGCTGAAAAGTGGCATTAGGATACTACATTCTTCCTTCAAATGTTAAGAATAAATGTAAATTCATCTATTTCGTTGTCGATTGATATGATAGAGAGTGTGTTGGATTTGTAATTTTTCCAAACAGATGCTGTCAAGGCAAAAGCCGGCCACTGGGCCTGGCTCCTCGACTCCAGCCCAGGAGAGCAAGAAGAAGAAACAGCTTCCCAAGCTGGAAGAATACCTGGATTCCAGGGACTACACCGGCGCTTTTACATTACTGGAGGTAGGGACATGGGGCCCAGATACTTCAGTTACCTCTCTATAGACTCCGTGCTTGGACCGCAGATGGCAGCCCTTAATAGACCGGTTCATTAAAATCTTAACCCTCCAAAATCCTCTTTGCAAAATGGAGGATTTTGCAGGATTGAGGTTACATGGCAAAAGCGTTTTGCTGATTTCGGAGGATGCGCTGTGTCAAGGTCTTGGGCCAGACCTTGTGTTGTTTATGCTCAGCCATGCATAAATTTAGGCCTAGATTATACTTGAAGTCCTCTGCACTGCTCCAGGATGTCACTGGCTCTGCCTCAACATACTGACAGTGATTGCTGGAGGCTTTTGCAGGATTGAGGCAGTAGTCACCCCTCCAAGGACCACATTCAAGAAATAACGGAGGATTTTGCAGGATTGAGGCTATGTGCTATTTTTACATGGAGGCAGGTGGAGGATTTTGCAGAAATGGCTAGGGAGTTAGGGTTTAAAGGGTCCATGAAATGACTTTTTCTTAGGAACACATTTCGTGCAACTTTGTACTGAACAAAACTATTTGATTTCCTCTTTTTTTGAGTTACTTGTATTGAAAGGTGCACTTCTTTAAACATTTAAACATTATCCATGCCTTTTCGAACAACTGAGGGCACTGTTGCTGTGATGTCATTTTAGGAAGACACAATTCAGTTCAGGGGTTTTCTGTTTTCAACTTACGGACCCAAACATTGGTTTATTGAAAACCTTTTGAGAAAAAAATTTGCTCACTGGCTTACTGCCATGTCCTCCCAGTACATCGACACTCAGCTTAAGGGCCGAATGGGCTGGCGTGTCGTCCGGTAGCCGTTGGACGTGACAAAAGAAGGAATGACGCCTCCGTAAGATGGTAGCACAGATATCCTTGAGAATGCCCTTTATAGAATTTATAGAATGTCAAAATTGAACAAGATAACTTGTACAAGATTACTCGTTGACAGTGACATCACAAGTTAACCAGGATTCTTGATCAAGACATGAACGTACGTATCAATTTCCATTTCTGTCTCCCTCTGTTTCAGTTCACGAGAAACAGCGGCAAGGGTAGTGATGAGACGGACATGTGGCTTGCTTACTGCTATTTCCACCTGGGCGACTACAAGGCGGCCATGGAAGAGTACGAGAAGCTCAGCAAGAAAGAGGCTGTGAACCCCGACGTCTGGGTCAACTTGGGCTGCTGCTACTTCTTCCTCGGGATGTACCCAGAGGCAGAGACCGCGGCCAGGAAAGGTGAGCCAACATGTTTATTTTTAGGATCTCATAGAGAGCTTTGCACAGAGCGCAGTCACTGTGGACAGGTTTGCGTGCGAAGCAGTTTTTGTGTTTTTTTCGCTTCTGCCGTCTCGACGATTTTCCTCGTCGGCACCTTCCACTCTTCCTTTGCCAGAAGTCATAGCTGCTGCAAGTTGGCGGTGTTGCGTAGGCGCTTGCCTACCGTCTTCAGGTCATTGTTTGAGAATGCTTGGTACTGTGGTACAAGGGCGTCCTCGCCGACCTTCAATGCCTGCTTCTGTGCCGCAGTACTCCTCAATGAATTTCTGAGCGGGTGCATCTCTCGGTAGCCGCAGGACATGGCCGAAGAGTCGCCAGCGTGCTTCAAGGGTCCTGATGCTGAGTGGACCACACTTGCAAGGATGGTAGAGTGCCTTGTTGGAGATGCCATGTGGCCACCGCATGCCAATGATCTGTCGTAATTGGCTTCAATGGAATGAGTCCAGTTGATCGTTCTGTTTCTGAGAGAGGCCCCAGGTACCCATGTTGTAGAGAAGTACAGGGAGCATGAACGCGTTGTAGAGGCACAGACGGAGTTCCTTGCTCACGTGGTGATGCCGTACATTGGATAACTGCTTACGATGGGCGACTTTCTCATCTAACAGTAGGGCAAGCTTGTTTGTCACGCGCCATTCTACTCCTTCATGGTCTCCTTCGTGGTCTTTTTTTATTCATTTATTCAGCGACAATGAAAACCCAGAGTGTCTATTCTAGCGTATCATACTGGAACGCAGACCTGTCCACAGTAAGGGCGCTCTTTGCATGCTCTCTATTTTCCAATTCAATATCAAAGTCTAGTTTCCTGACTGTCTTAGTAGAAACATGTGATGCCCCATGGCGAATCAATGCTGTGTCAGAATCAGAAAACTGCATCATTCAACTGACTCAATTTTTTTTTAAAGAATCCTTGTACAGTGGAAATCAAGTTAAATGTTCAACATTTTCTCCCATATTAGTGCCGACTTTCATGAGTAGTCAGACCGAGTGATATGTCAAAACGAGGAGCTTAGTACACTCTTTCTAATACATAAAAAGCAATAAGTGATAAAAAATGTATAAGACTCACTTTTTGCTGGATCAGGTCACATTTTTTGTTTGTGTCAATTAATATTCGTTTTTATTCCCAACATCCCAGGCCTGGGCAAATCTAGTCACCAGGCTGTGAATGAGGACGGCAGTAAGTTTTGCTTCTGTTGTGACTTGAAATCTAGTGTTAGATCCTTCATCCAAAGTCCAAACATTTCTTTGGTTTTTATGAGTTTTTCTCCCTGTCTTCTTGTGATCTTTCTGGTGGATGCTGTACCTATACAAAGCTGTGTCTGTCCTCACATTGTCGGTCCGAATAAACGAACGAAAAAATGAATGTATTTCACCAACTTTTTAATTCTCGGCCTGATTTTGATGGGTAAGATTTAAACAGCACTGCAATTCATGAATCTGGAAAAAATAATCCCCCGAACAACATTTCTTGATTCTTGACTGAAAATCCACTGGACAAAACAAAATGAGCAAAAAATAATTAAAAAATCAATCTGAAAAGAAATTGAATTAAAAGCAGGCGATTATTTTAAGAAGTGCTGGCAATGTAATATTACAGGCTCGTGATTCTAACACATTATTAGAAACTGCAATAAAGATGAACATTAGTTCAAACATTAAAGATGCATACTCTGTGCTCTTAAAAACATTTTTTTTTTCAATTTGTATGTTTTTTTTAAAGAGAAAACACTACTTATTCCTATTTTGGAGAGAGCCGAAGTACTGTCCGACAGCCAGTAATTTAAATTTTTGTGATGAATAAGATCAGTAACTAAGCGTCGGTGAATTATTTCGTTAGGTGTCTTATTCAAAAGTGAATAACTTTTATATTGCTAGGTAAATACCATAAAATAGCAATTCATAAAAAATAAAAAATTCAATGTATTTTTTGAGGTAAAACTAAAAAATAGCCTTGGGAACGCATCTTTTACAGAGATTGTAGAAATGTATATTTAATTCTTTCTTGTGTGCACTGACTGGGTATTTGTCCTTACCTGTGTTTTTTTGTCATGGTCTTTCCTACTAATCCATTCAAAATCTATTCCAACCCACCACCTGTGCTTGATTTTGATACTGTATCGTGTATATGGGACTGCATCTCATTACAAAGGACTCTATAATATTTGGTTAAAAATGTTAGCATGGACCAATACATTTTTTGTTGGTTTCATTTATGGTAACATTAGATTTCTGGCCTTATTGAACTTCCTTTACAGTCATTGCTCATCGCACCCCTCACCTCCTCTCCCCCTCTCCCCCTCTCCCCCCCTCTCCCCCTCCCCCCTTCCCCCTCCCCATCAAAAGTTGCCAGGAATTACGTTTTGGGATTTAAAGTACCACTGTAGGACAAAGTTATTTGCTTTTTGCAAGTAATGGATTCCTGATCAGAAATTTAACATGCACTTTGGAGCTTGCTTTAAATCAATCACTATCCATTTTCAAATCTTGGTGTTTTTTTTCCCGAAAACTTTTTGAAGGATTGTCCTATTATGATATTTTTACAATATTTGTTAGGTCTTATGTCATCTGTACAAAATAAATTGGATGTGAATCTGGATACAAAAGTTTTATGTTATGCAGATTAAGTGGCACACTCATAATTTGAATTTAGCACATAATTTCCTTCATTAACAAAGGTGCAGTCAGTTTGTTCAAATTTTAGCCGTTTCAGTCTGTTCGTCGGCGCAGTAAATTGGTCTGTCAGATGGTTATTTGATTTGCCTGTCTGTCGCAAAATTTCACAGCGAATCATTCACCCGTTTGGTTGTTGTTTTTATATTTTCTGGCTATTTGCATCATATAGGCCAAACCAAGTCAAATTGCTGTCAAAATTCTCTGCTTTCACCTGTAAATATAAAGCCAATCTGCTATTTATAATTCAGACTACTTTAAGAGTGCACAAAATTTGATGGAGCATATCCATGTTGTTCAGCGGAAAATATAGGAAATATAAGTTCACCCTCTTTTGTTTGAACTTGGAGATAAAAATGGAATGAGGAGTTGCTCGGAGTATCCTAGAAAAATAACGAAATACCCACTTTCACCATGCAAAGCTTCAGTTTTCTTTTCCAACTTGTTGGCATCTCATGTTTTCAGGGTGGTGTGTCTAGCAAAAGCTCAATCAAGTCAGTCAATTATTCACAATCAATAAGCACTTTTAACGATAAAATGCGCCACCTTGTTCACGGGGCAAAAAGAACACGTGTTGCCAGACAAGTCGCGAGCGCATTTTGGAATAATGGCATGATGACTTGAAAGCGCAAAAGTTTTTGATTGACGTGCGCGCTCAACAACGCATGTTTTTTGTTGCCTCTTGAACAAGATGGCGCATATTACCGTAAAAGTGTTTACTACAGTCGCCTCGCATTGATACAAACTCAGCCGGGCTTAGCCATAATCTTTGTTGTAACAGATTTGTAAGAACAGGAAAATGCACAGATCGGGACCGAGGCTTAATGTTCATTCTAACCAGAACATATGTATTAACCGAGTTCGGATTAACGAGAGTCGACTAGAACTCAATTTGTCTTTTCAGCCTCGTCTTGTCACCCAATCAATTGGTTTTCTTCTTTTTCTAGTGCCCAAAAGCAGTCTGCAAAACAGGTTGCTGTTCCACCTGTCACAGAAGGTGAGTGCGACATAAATTAATGCATCAGATTTGTCCCACGATTGCATCATATTGGGTGCTACAAGGCAAAAAGAAGTATGATTGTGAAATTTTTTTAAAATAACTATTTCCATCTCATCAGAATCTTTTATGGAGGCAAATCGTCGTAGTTTGATTATTTTTGTAAATTTAATTTTACTTAACCAAAAAGGAGTCTATTGTTTAAACTAATTAGCTTTTCCCATGTTTTTTATTTACCATTTTTCTTGATTACATGATGAAAGTTGTTAGTTTTCATTGTAATTGACCTATCGCCGTTTGCAACTAAGCAACGCCTCTTAGACAACCCTATGTAATTTTTTTTTACGCTAAGTTTTGTTTGTCTCAGATGTTGCGCGTTTCGCGTCCATTTGTAAATCGTGTAATAAAACAATATTTCACAAGCTGTGTTGATGCGATTCTAACGCAATTCTACCGCCTTAGGTCAATCATAAAATTTCTAAGCTTTCAAACGTGTCTTTACATTTTCATTAAAAATATTTAAAAAAACACACAAAAACAAAACAGAAGTCCGACTAGCGCACTTAAATAAAGACATTGACAAATTGGCAAACCACCAACATAGGGCTGGATAGCTCAGTTGGTAGAGCACCGGAACGGCAATCTGGAGGTCGCAGGTTCAAACCCGACTCCAGTAAATTTTGTTATTCAACTTCGAAAAATCTGTAGTAAATGTATAGGAGAATTTTGGGATCCTGGAAATTCAGATTTGGTTTGTGTGTTTTCTTATTTCAGTTTAACGATGAGAAGAAGCTGATGTCCCATCATCAGAATCTGCAGGATATCATCCAGGACCAGCTTAGCCTGGCCTCCATACACTACCTGCGCAGCCACTACCAAGAGGCCATAGACATCTACAAGAGGATCCTGCTGGATAACAGGTAGCCAGGCTAGAAATGTTTGAAAGTACAGTTACACACGTACATAGCATTCCGATGCAGAAACTGTCTACCTTGCAGTTGAGGTTTATTGCCCTGCAAGGACAGTGTTTCAGCCATGTTTATTTTTGTGTGCAGCATATTCCCTTGGACTGCATGTCAGCCGGGCCTTGGCCAGCGATGACACGACTTGGTATACCTCGAATTTCAGGCCATTTATCATGGGAAATTCCCCTGTATTTGTGCATAGATAGAAAGCTGGATAGTGTGGGTACATGCTACAACATGTTTGAAGTCCGCATGAATCACAAGCCATCACAAATCCATCACAAGTCCTCCAGTCCCAATTCAATTCACAAACCATTCAAATGGAGTGTGACAAAGGCATTCCTTTGTTATGGGGTGCATGCATAAGTACCCCATCAACGGCCAGAAAAGGAGAGTTAGGGGTGACCGAGACTGGTTCCCGATCCATACACTGCGTATTTCGACTGATCCAAAGTTATTGGGGTTGGGGATGAGTCTGGGAGACCATCGCAAGTTTAATTCGAGCATATTTGAAACGCGTGAAGACGCTGTGGCTTGGCTTTGTGCACATTCAGGATAAAAAAAAGTTGTGCCTACTTCGCGCGCAAATTACAGTGCGCACACGCGGTGTCCCGTCCAAGGGGCTCTCAGAAGTGTTAAAAGTGCGCCCTCTTTTGTTGGCGCACGGAGCCTATATTGTTCATCCACTGTTACTTGTGACTGCACTTATGATGGAATTGTGATCTATCGCAAGCTTGTGTAGTTTTGTGTACAATGTACATTGATGTTCAGTTCAGTAAGGGAGGCCTGGTGATTTTTTTTTTCTTATGAAGTCACCTATCACACAACAAGGGGACAGAAAAAAAGCGAGCTCAGATCAAAATGAGAAAGATAGCTATGTATTTGATTTGTCGTTTTGTAGAGACTACCTAGCCCTGAATGTGTATGTAGCCCTGTGCTACTACAAGTTGGACTACTACGATGTATCGCAGGAGGTCCTGGCAGTATATCTGCAGCACTTCAACGACAGCGCCATCGCCCTGAACCTCAAGGCTTGTAATCACTTCAGGCTGTACAACGGAAAGGCCGCCGAGGTAAGGGGTCATCCATAATCGACAACATTTCCTAAAGTGTACAGAGAGCACAGAGCCCAACACATATTTTAACCCTAACGTACCAGAATCCATCAAAATCAACACCCCTGTTTCGGGGGATTTCGGCGGATTCAGGATACCTCCATATTGCACAAACCGGGGGATTTTGATGGATTCAGGATTGTAAGCCTAGTGGAACTGCAGGATTTTGATGGATTCAGGATACCTCTACACTGAGCTGTTGGGGGACTTTGGCGGATTCAGGATCTCAACAGATTTACTCCCGCCTAACTGGTGGATTCTGATGGACTCACTGGCCACCAAAATTGTTTTGCATGGCAAAATTGATGGATTTTGGCAGATTCAGGTTACTTTCTAGTAAAAGAGCCCAAGGGGTTAGGGTTATAGAAATAATAGAAAATCCTGAAATTATTTTTTTTAAGGAATAACGATTGGCATCTTTCATTTTCAAGACTACAAAACTCGAAACATTTTTGACGTGGTCGATAAATGAAAACGTGAAACAACCATAACTTGTCAATGGAATGTCCTATTGAAGTGCAACAAACAGTATTGTAAGGAGAATTTAATTTTAGTTCCAACTACCCGCAAACCCTCATTTTGACCGCTACCCTGTTCTGTCTCAATTTTGCAAGTACGCCTCACGTTTATCGTCAAATTGGTCAGCTGAAGCTATCAACCAAGTAGTTTTTTTGTATGCACAGCTAAGTTTTCTTGGCATGGAATTAACTTTTTGGAGGGCTCTTCACAAGTCAATTTCCCGATCAAACTTTTGGTTATATATCAGATCTAATACGTGAGTTGGATTTTTTTTTTCCTCGCAGGCGGAGCTCAAGAATCTCCAGGACCTTGCATCCCCATCTTTCACATTTGCTCAAGACCTCATCAAGCACAATCTGGTAAGTAGTTTTCCTCTTCTTTTTTTAATTTGCTCTGTCCTTTCAGACTAGAACTGTTGCTCTTGATCAATCTTAATGTATTTAGGGGAAAAAAAACCTGAGATTCTGAGAAATTGCCTTGACATCTCTTATTACAGCACCTTAGTAGAAAGATCACAAGAAATCGACATAATCAGTGCTACGCTTCCTTGCAATACCGCACGCAAGCGTACCACAAAAATTCCTTTCCAAAGAAGATTGTAGACTGGAACGAGCTCCCTGATGAACTTATCCATCAAACATCATCCCAGTTTAAGACAGCCCTAGAAAAACATCTTGCATCACAACCTTAATTTCACGCTTGCACGGCACCGGCGTGAAGTCAAAGAGGATGATGAGGCCTAGCGGCGATATCCAGTCAACTTTTTGAGATTCTGAGATTCTTAGACTTCTGCTTCCGATTACATGCCTTTCAAAATGGGGTCGGTGGGTTGAAAAAAATGGTTTATTTTGCAAAATATGTGCGGTGATTCTCAGATTGGTCTGTTGTCACAGGATTTTGTACTTGGAAAACAATGTTTTGTGTATCTTCTTGATGAACAGGTTGTGTTTAGAGGAGGTGAGGGCGCCCTACAAGTTTTGCCTCCGTTAATCGACGTCATCCCAGAAGCGAGACTCAATCTTGTTATCTACTATCTCAAGCAAGGTCAGAATAAGTTGCTAAAGCATTTACCACTGTAAATTTAAAATACGTTAGCAATTTTAAACTTCGTAACATTTAAAGGCATATCGGATCACTTGCTTTTAATGCATTTTGTTTGTTTCCAATAGTAAAAACGCTAAAAATCCAAAGAAATATTTTCAAAACTTAACCTGTTGAAGTTTCAGCTCAGTGGATATTTCTGTGAAAACATTGAAAAAACATTCACAACCTTTTGATCATGAAACACGATTTCATCAACAGAATTCATTATTTCCAAAAATCAGTCAATTGACTGATCGTTGTAATTCACCTACATTTCTTGATTTCTTCTAAATGACAGCAAGCAAGATGGAATAATTTCATGGGGTGTTTAGTACCAGTACAATCTTTAATCCAAGTCAGCTTTTTGATTGTAATTCAGTAGGTTACTTTTGGGATAAATGCAAATGATCCTATATGCCTTTTATGGATCTGTCTGTTGAAAAGGAAGAACAATGTAAAGTATAAAACGATGAATAAGGGTCATATATTTTTTATCTAAAATATTTGTAGATGACGTTAACGAGGCATACAACCTGCTCAAGGACATTGAACCCACCACGCCCCAGGAGTACATACTGAAGGGCGTGGTCAATGCGGCACTAGGCCAGGAACAGGGTTCGGTAAGAGTTAAAAAAATAATCGCTCTTCAAATATTGGTTACCACCAAAAAATGTCATGTGATGCACATCGCTGATTGTCGCTAAGCAAATGAATTTGATAAAAAAAAAATAATTTTCTGAAATTGGACAGTTGGTATTAAATTTTCGCAGCTAAATAAATTAATGTTACTCGTGGATAAAAGTGGACAGTGGTCCAGAGAAGATGCGTTCTGGCAAAATGAGACGGAACTGGGCACAGGCCGTATTGGAGAAATTTTGCAAAAACTGAATGGGGGTGATTTTTTTTTTAATTTTCAGATCTATTGATATTTATAACCTTTGATATGTCTACCACGAATATTTAAAAGAAATAGTCTAAAAATTGTGGAGTAAACGTGTTTTTAAGGAAAACCAATCAGCATCTTTCATTTGCACGGCTACAAACCTCGAAACTTGAAAGGCCTTTTTCTCGGTATTTTACTTTTTGACATGTCGATAAATGTAAACTTTAAACAGCCATAACTTGCCAACGGAGTGTCCGATTGAAGTGCAACAAACAGTATTGTAAGGACAATTGTATTCTCTTCCCTAATACCTGCAAACCCTCATTTAGACCTCAGCTGTGTCTCATTTTGCCAGAACGCCTCACATATATTCATAAGGGTGAGAAGTGTTTAGGGGAGTATAATTTAAAAAACTTAATTGCGTTGAATTATTTTCTTTTCAGAGAGAACATCTGAAAATTGCTCAGCAGTATTTCCAGTTGGTTGGCGGCTCAGCGAGCGAATGTGGTAAGTTCACCCTCAAAAAGTTTGTAGAAAAAATGACATCTGACACTTTTACTGAACTTTACTTCTGATTGATTGACTGATATCCTTCTTGGATCCATATCGACTTCTGTGGGAACAAACTAGACGGCCGCCACTTTGGATTGTAACAAATTCATACAGTAACTGAACACTGCTAGGGAAAGGAAAACCGCTAAGAGTAAAGAGCACTGCCTAAGGACACAAATACAGAGTCTTGTAATTGGATTCTAATCCATATTCATAAATACCTGAGACAGTTGACCCATTCCTACTGGTCGAGAGCCCGCCACATGGGTGATTTAAAAAGTTGATGAAATTTGGACTCCTATGAAATATGGTACCTTTTACCCTTTTATTGGTTGAACATTCACAGTCTTGACTTTGGCATGCGCAATACTACCAATGAGTCCGCATTTCATAGAGTCTTAATTCACACTTCACCGGCACCGCTGCATTCTGCGCCACATTGCCATGCGCGTGCCAATCTCCATATAAGAAGAACTTTAGTACTACTCGCGAGAGGCACTTACCATAAACGTAGCTAAAACGTGAAGTAATTTATAATTTTTAACTTTTGAATTTTTGAACAAAAGGTATATATGAGAATAAATATGTACTTGGCTGGTATTAAACAAGTACGTTTAAAACCAGCTTGGGGCCTGGTCGCCGATAATGTACCTCGCCTTCGGCTGGGGCCATTATCAGTGTCCCAACATCATGATACCATAAATTCACAACCTGTTTTCTTCCAAAACATGTTGTTTATTCTCCGAGAGTCTTCCCACAAAGTATTGGTGAGGTTTGTTTGTTTCGTTTTTTGATAATTTCATAATTTCGATCTGCTTGATACCAGACACGATACCGGGACGGCAGTGCATGGCAGCGTGCTTCTTCCTTCTCAAGCAGTTTGAGGATGTGCTGATATATCTCAACTCGGTCAAGGTGAGTGCGTAAGGGCAATGGTCCTGCTCAGACTGTAGAGGGCGCTCTGCGACATTTACTGTTGGACATGAACGAGGGGCGCTCATTTCACCAATGGGTAGTTCTGAACCTGGTCCAAAAGATGAGCACTGTGTGTTTGATTGATAAAAGTGTTTGCAACAAATTGAAAACCAAAATACCTACAAAAGTGTTGCAAATGTGTGTTGCCATTTTCCCATGTGCTGTACTAGGTGAGCACACCATAGAGCAAGTTATAGTAAACCATATTTCGACTATTAAACTACTTTGAACGAAGGATGGTTGGACCAGATAATTTGGAACCAGACGTGGGGCACAGTTTCATCGCTGGTTACCGATAACTGTAGGCATCATGGTGCATATTATTTTGACTGGTCATCGTCTGACTAGAGGCAGTTGCATGTTGCTATTAGAGCTCAGGTATCAAGTTACATTACGAATCAACCACTAGTCTCGCCCCAACTTGCTCAAGTTGTTTCTGTGGCATGGTTTAGCTGTATTGGCCTTTTTTCTTTTTTTTTGGAAAAAAAAAGTAGTGCATGTGGGAAAATTATCAGAAAAACTAAGATGACTTTTTGTATGTTTACGTTTCTAGAGTTACTTCTACAACGACGATAGATTCAACTACAACTATGCCCAGGCCAAAGCCACGGCAGGCAACTTCAAGGAAGCAGAGGAGGTAGGTTGAACTCTCTGACCAAATTTTCATTGTTGCTACACGACTAAAACCCGGTTGATGATCTTTCTGTGCCACCTCCCGTGCCTAATAGACCACTGTTTTGGTGAGGAACACTTGGTTTTCCATTATTTAATAGGAGTGACTTTCTTTTTTCTTGTTTTCCAGATTTTTATGCTCATCCAAAGTGAGAAGATCAAGAACGACTACACGTATCTCAGCTGGTTGGCAAGATGCTGTGAGTATTACCATCAATTGTGAACGACGTTTCCTCTTCCAACTTCAAAGTTGCTAATTATGAGAATGAATCTATCCGTTAAGCTTCAACTCATAATGTTTTGACCAATCACAACCGCAACTGTTCAACTAGAGTCACGACACGCCACATGCGCACTTTTCATGTACTGTTGAAAAATGCAGCGCGGCATGTAACAGGCATGCAACATTTCTTCTGATCCGCTGATTTTTTCGTTATCTACTTCTCATGAATGCCATTACAAATTGAATAATACTGAACAAGTCTTGTTTGGTTTGGAGTTTCCTCTTTTTTTTCTTCTAAATTCCCAGTTACATGCCTGAGATAAGGGAGATGCACATGTGTGCCCATGTGTGAAGTAGAATGGAAGGGTCCCTATCATCGCCCTGTTCGTACATTAAGGATGTGACTTTGCGTTTAATTTTGTAAATGTTAAGCAAATATTTGAAGAACCGTTTAAACATTTAGCCATTCACGATGGCTTTTGCCTACCCATTATGTCTGATCTGCAGACCGGCGTGATTGACATGATAAAATCAACAGTGATTGACTTAGTAAATACCAGGCAGTCATTGATACAGTAAAAACGTAACTAAATGTACCCCGAATGTATTCAACCACTGTGGTGCTTCTAAGGTTTTGTAAATTAAATAGGTTTGGAGGATCGTTAATTATTTGTGCTATGTTTGTTTATCTCAAAGGCAGATTGCATGAACTGAGGTCCCTTTTTTATAACTTGGGTTTCGTTTACATGTTTTGGAAAATTTTGAAAAACGGATTTAGAATTTGTTTTTCGTTTGAACGTGTTAACGTCACATCCTAATTGTATTTTTGCCATTTGAGACTGTTTTATCACATTTTAAGCAGATTGTACGACAGATATTTGCTATGATGAACATTCCCGTGACACCCAAATGTTTAAGAGAGAGTTACACTGAACATTGCTGGCCGAAAATTGCTGAAACGAGCATCCATGCAACCGAGCCATCTTTTGTTGGCCCCATTGCATTTTGTTATAGTGGTCTCCTACTGTATTTATAACCATTCTGTCTGTATTTTTCGTTGTTCAGACATCATGAATCGTAAGGCCAGACTAGCCTGGGAGTTGTACCTTAAGATGGAGACGTCTGGCGAATCGTTCAGCCTGCTGCAGCTCATTGCCAACGATTGTTACAAGGTAAAACATCATCCCCTATATTTGTCCGTTGTATGGTTGGTAAATATTTTGGCTTAAGCCCCAAATTGGTATCCAGTCACTCAATCTAGACCTACAGCCGATTTCACGAAACAGATTTGTCACTTTGTCAAAACACAAATCGTAGAGGAGACATCAATCTAAATAAAGCACATGTGTAGGAAAGAATGCAGTATCCAGACGCCACTTCAGTGGTTGTGTACAAAGTCTATGGAGAGTCAAGAAAATCTGTGAACCATTTCCTAACAAAATGGGAAATGTTTTTCAGTCCCAGGTTCATGTTTTTTTTAAACGTTTTTGCAATTACTGAGCTTTATTGAGAAGATATATGAAGAAAAAAGTGGCGGCAGGTTGCAACATTCTTTCTCACGTGTAAAATAAGTGATGAATCCCTGTCAAAATGAAAAAAAAGACCCTGATTCGTTGCACATTTACCACTTTGTGTAATGAGCTTGAATTACGAAGGATGCACTTTTGTGTCTCGAACTTTGGTAAGCATGTAGAGAACATCATAAAAGATTAGAATAGCCAAAAACCCCAAATTGCTTAAAATATTGATTTTGAACAAATTCATCGTTTTGTGAAAATGATGGCGAAATGATTGAAAAATTCAGGCTTTTCACTTAAACTTCTGATTGTTTTTGCTCGACCTCAAATTGTAGCTTGTCACAGTCTCTTCTGAATTTTTATTTTCCAACTTCTCCGTCGGTAGATGGGCCAGTTCTACTATGCGGCAAAGGCTTTCGATGTCCTGGAAAGATTGGACCCCAATCCTGAATACTGGGAGGGCAAGCGAGGGGCGTGCGTGGGCGTATTCCAGCAGATCATTGCTGGTCATGAACCAAGGTGGGTGTCATGTCTGTCAATCAAACAGTGCACGCTGACCAATTAGATCTCAACGTTTTTGTCAGGTGACCACAGTAGATCAGTCAAACAGTGCACACTGACCAATTAGATCTCAACGTTTTTGTCAGGTGACCACAGTAGATCAGTCAAACAGTGCACACTGACCAATTAGATCTCAACCTTTGTTCAGGTGACCACAGTACATCAATCAAACAGTGCACACTGACCAATTAAATCTCAACCTTTGGTCAGGTGACCACAGTAGATCAATCAAACAGTGCACACTGACCAATTAGATCTCAACCTTTGGTCAGGTGACCACAGTAGATCAATCAAACAGTGCACTCTGACCAATTAGATCTCAACCTTTGGTCAGGTGACCACAGTAGATCAATCAAACAGTGCACTCTGACCAATTAGATCTCAACCTTTGGTCAGGTGACCACAGTAAATCAGTCAAACAGTGCACTCTGACCAATTAGATCTCAACCTTTGGTCAGGTGACCACAGTACATCAATCAAACAGTGCACACTGACCAATTAAATCTCAACCTTTGGTCAGGTGACCACAGTAGATCAATCAAACAGTGCACACTGTCCAATTAGATCTCAACCTTTGGTCAGGTGACCACAGTAGATCAATCAAACAGTGCACACTGTCCAATTAGATCTCAACCTTTGGTCAGGTGACCACAGTAGATCAATCAAACAGTGCACACTGTCCAATTAGATCTCAACCTTTGGTCAGGTGACCACAGTAGATCAATCAAACAGTGCACACTGTCCAATTAGATCTCAACCTTTGGTCAGGTAACCACAGAACATCAATCGAACAGTGCACACTGACCAATCAGATCTCAAGTTTTGGTCAGGTGATGGTCAGGTGACAACAGTACATCAATCAAACAGTGCGCACTGACCAATTACATCTCAATAAGTATCACTCTGGTGCTCTACCAACTGAGCTATCCAGCCCAATGTTGGTGGTTCCCCAGTTCATCAATCATCTCTGTTCAAGGGGCACGAGTTAGAAGCCATAAACTTGTATGTGCAGCCATGGACCACAGGCAGTCATGATGCAGACCTGGGAAATAGCAAACGGGCAACACTCAAAGAAGATGCGGCTTTTTGTTTCGAGTACTTTTCACCTTCTTAGCCCTCTAGTTCAAATTCATTGATCTTTACAGATTTTTCCTACTTTTTTTTCTTCTTTTGTACAGCTTTCATGTTTATATGTACAAAACCCAGTGAAGTTAACGACACTAAATATTTGTCATTTTTTCCTCTACAGGGAAACACTGCGAGACATCCTTCAAATCTTGCGCAACACCGGTAACCCGCAGGTGGAATACATCATCCGTGTCATGAAGAAGTGGGCCAAGGACAACAGGGTACCAGTTTCCTGAGCTGAGGAGGTCCCTCTCCTAGTCTTGACTAGATTGTTTAAATTTGTACATTCCAAAAACCCCTGCTTCACAAAGGGATTTTTCCAAAAATAAAACAAAAGAACAATACTGTTGTATCAAAGTGATTTGATCTTCACATAGGAATGTTGCCTTGAAATATGTATATTTCTTTTATATTAGCACTATTTCAAACAGTCTGATCTTTAACTAAAAATACTAAGCATGGAAATTTTCATTATAATTATGAAGGTTAAAGGCATATAGGGTCATTTGCATTCATCCCAAAAGTAGCCAACCAAATTATTTTCAAAAAGCTTACTTGGATTAAAGATCATACTGGTACTAAACACCCACTAAAATCATATCGTCTGTCACTAAGAAGAAATCGAGAAATGTGTAATGTCCACAGATGAGTTGAAACTTCGACAGTCTAGTTTTTGAAAATTCATCTTTGGGTTTTGAGTAGTGTTATTATTGTAAACGAACAAAATGCATGAAAAGCAAATGATCTTACCGTGAAATCTCGATAACTCAAACTCTAACAACTCAAAACAACTGTTAAGTCAAACAAAGAATCCATTGCCTTCAGTAGTATAACAATGATATACAACCCTGCTTATCTCAAAATTCTGCTTAAGTCACATTTCGAAACTGTTCCCTTGAAGTTTGAATTATCGAGATTTCACTGTATATGCCTTTGAGACAATCGGAATTTTGTTTTCTTGGAGTTTGTGGGGCTTGTTTAATTACACCCCAAGGGCATGAAAATGCGGGGCCAGGAATGATTATGCCAGGAGGGGGTAGTCATCGTGGATGTTAGGTAATGCACCTGTCATTTTGCTAATTAATGCTTCATATGTGAATATAAAATCACAAGTTTTCAGGATACGTTTGTGAAGTCATTTCAGGTCCAGAAGGCCATGAAACAAATTGGAAATAAGTGAAAGGAACAGGTTTTAGTCACGTCCATCGCAAGTCTGCACAAATCCTTAAAAACATCACAATTAAGTCATCCAGTTCCAAGTTGGTTCAGATGCTTCTCGAGTGTCAATTCAATGTTGGGTTTTGCCCTTCACCGACATAATTATTTTATAAACACTCTAAACTCGGTGTTGCCCCCCAGTGATTGTGAGAAAAATACGTTAATGAAGGGCAAAACCTAAAATTGAAATTACATCACCCCGATGCTATTTCCATTTTATGAATAATTACTCAACTGTACTTGTGACAAAGACATTATACTTAATATGTTCTTGTTCATTCCCTCAAACTTGTAACCGACATTGCGATTTTCTTGTCACTACATCCAACTTCAAAGTCAGAAATTTCAATCCAGCAGAATCTTTCTCATAATCTGTCACATTGTCAATAATATTTGTTTAATGTACAATATTGTGTGATATTCTATACATATTCCGACTTCATTTCTTTACTTCATTTGTCAAAACGTTAAATGTTTATATTTACTGCCTTTCTTTTAGTCCGATAAATCCTATCTTACAGTGCGTGTAAATATTGTGTAGGTGTATTGTAAATGTAAACATGTACTTAAAAGATTGTTGGAATGCTGTGCATAGTTCTTTGATTGAAAGAATATTAAATCATAAATAGAAAAATACTGTTGTTTGTTATTGTTTGTTTTCTTGGTTGAGTTTGCTTGGGTTTCTTTTGGGGGAGGGGTTTGTAGTTTTTATTTGGGCGGAGGGGGTTAGTATAGGTTCTATCTATAATAGAGATTTATTCGAAAGAGAGACCAAGAGTCAGGATAACTCCACTGCCGTGGGAGAATTTATATGATTTAATTTTTCCACAAGCAAAACGATTACCCTATATCTAGCCAGAATTTACTATCAATGGGCCTCAGCTGGTAACGATGCCGATATTTGAAAAACACCCCATGGCATCGGCACGCCGTTCAATAGATAAGGGGCTAGCCTTGTCTACAGGCGGCTAGATTGTGGTACTTCTGTGGTGCACGATGTGTACCATGGCAGCTGTCAACGAACAGATGTTGAACGGATGCAAGGGAGTCTATTTTCTTTGTCAATTTCCTTTGTTGAATCTTGCGTTAACAATAAAATGTTTCCATTGAGGCGAAAGGATTAAACGCCGCGATCTTTTTTCACGCTTGAGTGCCTCTGAATGGGGAATATTGAAGCGGAAAATCACGGAATACAGCACTTAGGCAGCGTTTTATCCCACATAATGATACTTTTTGCAGAGGAAATTGAACACTGAATACAACTATAGTTTCAAAATGCAAAAATTCGCCGTATTTAAAAAGTAGAGGTAAAATTTTGGGGGAAATTTTGCCAAAACTTTCCTCTTTCCAACGTAGGTGGCGCTATATATATTTCATTCTCGCATGTGCTGCTTTCTCTGCAGTGCGCGCGCTAGCCGCCCGATCTTACATCCGAGCATCACATTAGTTTAAAAAGAAATCTTAAGAATAAGTTGGATCGGTCAACAACTAAAACAATAGAGTGAGGTCAGCGAGAAAATTCAATCCGAATAAAAGGCAACTTTAAACGGAACAAAACAGGCGTGTATATAACGCCAAGGGCCTATCGCATGAAGCAAGAGGCAGGGGGAGGCGGGGATTTTTTTTCGCCGCGTGGGAACGGGGTTGGAAAGCAGTCTAGCCCTAGAAAAAAAATCATCACATTATTGTTATAAAATATATTTATTTAAAAGTCGTTAGTGGAGGAATAGTTTTTAAAAAGGTTTATAAATCGTATATGTATACCAAAAATCAAGCCAGCCCCACGCATCCCCTTTTAATAAGCCATACACACACGCTATGCGCTAGCCAACTGCGCGCTAAATTTATGCGGTACAAGCGTTATACCGCTAGGGGCGACAATAGTGGTCGCCCCCAGCGGTACGCGCGCGTTAATATATACCGCTAGGGGCGACAAAAAAGGTCGCCCCTAGCGGAAGTTCCTCTGGGGGCGATCAATATCGGTCGCCCCCAGCGGTATACTGCTAGGGGCGACAATAATGGTCGCCCCCAGCGGTACGCGCGTTAATATATACCGCTAGAGGCGACAAAGGGCGCCCCCAGCGGTACAAGCGTTATACCGCTAGGGGCGACAATAGTGGTCGCCCCCAGCGGTACGCGCGTTAATATATACCGCTAGGGGCGACAAGAAAAGTTGCCCCTAGCGGAAGTTCCTTACGGGGCGATCAGTATCGGTCGCCCCCAGCGGTATACCGCTAGGGGCGACAATAACGGTCGCCCCCAGCCGTACAAGCATTAATTTATACCGCTATGGGCGACAATATCGGTCGCCCCCAGCGGTGTACCGCTAAGGACGACAATAGTGGTCGCCCCCAGCGGTACGCGCGTTAATATATACCGCTAGGGGCGACAAGAAAGGTCGCCCCTAGCGGAAGTTCCTCTGGGGGCGATCAATATCGGTCGCCCCCAGCGGTATACCGCTAGGGGCGACAATAACGGTCGCCCCCAGCCGTACAAGCATTAATTTATACCGCTATGGGCGACAATATCGGTCGCCCCCAGCGGTGTACCGCTAGGGACGACAATAGTGGTCGCCCCCAGCGGTACGCGCGTTAATATATACCGCTAGGGGCGGCTACAAGAAAGGTCGCCCCTAGCGGAAGTTCCTCTGGGGGTGATCAATATCGCCTGTTTTGTTCCGTTAAAGTTGACTTCTATTCGGATCGCATTTTCTCGCTGACCTCATGCTTTTGTTTTAGTTGAAGACCCATTCAACTTATTCTTAAGTTTTCTTATTATAAAATATGCTTGGAAATAAGATCAGGCGGCTAGCACGCACTGAGAAATAAAATCATATATAGCGCCATGGCGCTAACCAACGGCACATGCGAGAATGAAATATATATAGCGCCACCTACGTTGGAAAGAGGAAAGTTTTGGCAAAATTTTCCCAAAATTTTTACCTCGACTTTTTAAATACGGCGAATTTTTACATTTTGAAACTATAGTTGTATTCAGTATGTAATTTCCTCTGCAAAAAGTATCATTATGTGGCCTAAAACGCTGCCTAAGTGCTGTATTCCGTGATTTTCCGCTTCAATATACCCCATTCAGAGGCGCTCAAGCGTGAAAAAAGATCGCGGCGTTTAATCCTTTTGCCTCAATGGAAACATTTTATTGTTAACGCAAGATTCAACAAAGGAAATGGACAAAAGAAATGGTCTTCTCTGCATCCGTTGAACACGTGTGTTTCGTACTGAAACCAAGGATTGTACAAGTTTTATTTCATCGATTTTCACGATTGTAGTGCAGTTTACACCCTTTACCCTTTTCCAATCAAATTTAGCTCAACTCAAACAGTTTAACTCAAAATCAAACGAGTGAGTTACATCATCAGACTGTGTATTACGTCTAAGCTTGTATGGGCGTCAACGTGAAAAGCCACGATAAGCCTGTCCCACAGTTATAATTGAGCAGAACAGCCTTAATACTTGAACACGCGTGTGGTTTTGTGGACCGGCGTAGGACTACCAATCAGGCGACCCAGGTTCGAGTCCCACCCTTACTATTTTATTTTCTTCTTTTTTTACCTTCCTAAAACATAAATTTACTGAATTTATTTTTTAACAAAATAGAAGTTTTTTTCTCAGTATCAATATATTTAAAATATAAACACCAACAAATTCATGTGTAGGCCTAATTTATATACACATATATATATATCCAATAAAATCGTCTTCTATCACAATTCACAGTGCTCGATACATCTCTGTAGAGCTATAAACATGCATGCATATATATATATATGCATGCATATATATATATATATTTTTAATATAATTTATTCCTCCATGATTGGATCAAGAAATTGAAAACTATAGGAGAGACAAGTTTGGCAAAGAACATGCATAAAACAGTGTTTTCTGGAAAGCATTTAAAGTTTTAATTCTTTCAACCTCAACAGCTTATATCAAACTTAACACAGGGTTATTACTGACTGTGCTTATAATATCGAACTATTTTGAAGTCTTGAAGAGCACTTTATTGCAAAAATAAAACATTTTTTTACCAAAATATTTAAAGCATGTCAGTATACTGTATGAATTAACTTTTAAAAAGCAATGATCAGGCAAGTAACAGGCATTTAAGATGACTCAGCGTCCACAAAATTAGCTAATTAATTTTTTCTTACTTCATATTTTCGATCTGTTTAACAGAACACAACCCAACTGTTTTGTTCTGTTTTGGGGCATTTGCAACCCTCTGAACAAGTAAGGCATGTATTTTTTTGTAGCTTTTGCGCACAAACAGATCCCCCTGTGCGAGAAGCCAGGCTATTTCCCAGCCCCTACATCATCATTTCTGAGTCGGGAACCAGTCTTCCCTACAAGAACTGAATTTTTATTGGGCTGCATAATCAGTGATACCACCAAAATGTCAATAAAAAAGCCTGAAACACTACTGAAAATCCTGAAACTACCCTTGCCCCCTTTCAGAAATGTGTTTTCTGGATGTTTCAGACCAAATCCGGCACTTTTAATTCGTCACAGTTTTTGAAAAAAAACAACCCCTGAATTCAGTTTAGAAATTGAAAAGTGACATCTCTATATAATTAAAATCTGTAAAGTTATCATTCCATAACCAAACATGGGACAAACTGTTCGTTCTCATTTAAAAGTGACTAACTGTTGTATTGTTAAAATAAACAGCAATATAAACAATTATATTTCTCTGGGAAGGGGGGGGGGGGGTGCTCGAAAATTGCACAGACAGTGGTAACCGTTTTATAAACAAATAAAATCTTAATACATGTATAGACGCCGACCAGGGAATTTAATAGGATTACTGAAATTATACTGCTATAACAGCTCCAGAAAAGTGACGGATCCAAGGATGGGCCAATGAAGGGAGTGGTGTCAAAGGTCATGAAGACAACACTGACATGTCTCTTCTCAGACTATATATCCAAGTCAGATATTTATGCTGTGTTCAATCGAAAGGGTACCATGCACCAATATCTGACTGTTAATATTGCAAGCAATTACATGTAATTACAAAACTTGGTACAAGGAATTTCATAGAGCACAAGACTTCTGTGAATAGCCCAAACCACACCACAGAGAGTTACTAAACATGCAAAACAGTCCAAATTGCATATATGGAAGTTTATATCAGTCCAAGTCCAGTCTGTGACAGCTGGGTGAGCCTCTCCATGATCTTGCCTCTCTCCACCAACCTGCTGATCACATTTTAGCAGGAGTCAGTCTGGATGCCAATTAAAGCAGCTGCAAGGAGCGTACATACCTCCTCAGCTCTGCAGTCTACTCTGCAACATCCTCCAGCTGAAGTTAATGTCACGCATCAGCACCCGGGTCAATTTTGTCCGAGTTGCCAAAGGCAAAGTGACACATTCACAGCACGTCCTCTAATCCAGCAGCTGACTCAACTACACTGACCCTCTGCAGTGAACATCTCGGTACATCGCTGTAGATAATCAGCCTTCGTCATTGTCTTCGTTCTTTGTCTCAGCTAGGCATCCTCTCTGCTGTGTCAGACAGCTGAGACCGTATCGCTGCTGCTTTTTCTGTCTGTGCTCTGCTGCTATTCTGATGAGTGCTCAGTCATCCAATGACTCCCGAGTCCTGATGAATAATAATATCATTAAAACAAATTAATGCTAAATACATTTTTAACAGTGACTTTGAATCTTGCCATGCAATCTGATTCTTCATTCTGAAAAAAACAACCTCACATCTTTGCTTTATCCTTTAATTAAGTTTTCCACAGGGACAGTAACATATTCAAGGTTTTTTAATGAAAAAATTCCTCCATGAGCTTTCAACAACTTCAACAAGCCCCAACATCTTCAACAAGCATGATGCTCAAGTTAATCGCTCATAGGTGTCTGCAATTAATAGTAGGTGTCAGCTATTTGGTTTGACTCCCAGTCAACAATGGTCAAGAAAGCGTACACATTTTTTTCCTCACAAGCTCCTTAAAAGCCTGGAACGCACCCACTCCTTTCATCAACTTTTGGGAAATTGAATGGAAATATAAAATCTGTGTCCCCAGGCCCAACATGCCCTGCAGCCCTATATTTCTATAACATCAACCCAGACTGGGACCACTCATGCCTGGAGTGCTCTGAAACGTGCAAAACACAGTATTGAGAGTCCCAAATTTTCGGACTAACATAAACCTACTTGTATCATCCCATATGCACATCCAGCCATGTCTGCTGCCATTGCATATCAACCTGCAATCTGAACTGCCATCATAATGCTGCATCTTCCCACTGACTGTGCCGTGGCTTGCATATCACTGGCTGCATGCTCACGTCGTCAACTATTAAACCCTAGAATACAGAAAGAAAGGCACTTTTATTACATAAATAAAGTTAGTAAATTGTGAGTTATTTGCCGACACTTTTAGTCTTAGTTGAACCTAGTCCGAAATTGTGAGACTGTTCTTGCAGTTGCAAACGCAAACTGAGTGACTGACACAAAGTGACAGTGACGTCAGTGGCACTGTAAAATTTTACCAATAATATTTAGTCCAAATCAGAACGGACACAAAATATTCATTCACGTTACTGCTCTTAAAAAAGAATCCTGTATTTTACTCTGAATTTACCTTTAAAAACGAGTTAACTGTACCTAGGCTAAACGTGCCTCACGTTGATATTTTCCCGTTTTGTATGGCCCGATAACTGGCGCAATCTGACGTCAACTGATACAAAGAACAGTGCCCTCTGTTGATCCAATAAATAGCGCCCTCTATTGACAAAATGAATGGCGCCCTCTATTGACCCTTCCCGTTTGGGGCGAACAAGTGGGGCGAGTTGGTAAGGGGCGAAAATGGGGGCGAGTCGGTAACTATATGGTCCGTAGAGGGCGCTGTTATGTTTCTCAATAGCGGGCGCTATTTATTGGATAAATAAATAGCGGTTTATGCAAATCAATAGAGGGAGCTGTTCATTTTTTCAACAGAGGGCGCTAAATATTGGACAAGTATAATGGCAAAACCTTTTAGTTTCACAATGAACAATACATTTTGTTTCTAAATTTCTTTTTTTCCCCTAGCAATACGAAAGCTTTGCACTTTGAAATGAGACATTTATAGAAACAATCCGCCCTCGTTTAAATATAGAAGGTTGATGTTAAAAAATTTCGAACTATTTAAGAGCCCAATAATCGCGGGTATCTAAAACAGAAAGCTTAGTATTTTTTTTCTGACGGCGTGAAACGTCCGAAAGCGAAATAGAAAATCAAGTGGTTTCATAGTTTAAATAAAACATACGATGCGGGTAGAGCTACTTCGAAAGCCTGAACTTTACACTTGCAATGCAGTGCGACTGTCGCAAAACACCAATTTTTTTTAAGGTCAATTACTTTCTCCAACATTTATTCACTAATGTTAACAAAATTTGAAATGATATGAAAGGTGAATTTAATTGTAATGCTTGTCTCATAAAAAATAACCTTCATGGGCAATTATAGATGTACTGTGCTATTAATATAGTCACTTTTCTCATGGCGACCTTTCGACTGTTGTCTAAAAAAAAAAAAAACTTTTCCCTATTGTTGGTGTCTTGTATACCCATCGTAATTAAGAAGGCGGCATTTTATCCACCCTGGGAGAAGACTGGTTCCCAGTTCCATATTATCAATAATTAATACTGAATGGGTGGCCTTTGAATTATTGTTATGCCGCAAATACTCTATTTGTGAAGTAATTATTACATAATAAAAGTGGGCAGATGTCTCATTCAAGAAATGAATATCTTTTGTGATGCTATAAAAATAGCTATAAAAACCCACTTTTGTTTTTAATATGAAACTCCAAAAAGAGCTACCACAGTTCATGTTTTAAAAAATAATTCAAATTCACTGACCGATCGCTCATAAGCATGATGATGTTCGAAGAAAATTATAGCAGGCCAGGGCTACTGTTATAATTGACACAGCTGTACATATAAGTCAAGTGTAGGTTTATGAGTTGGCAGTTTTTATGTTTATTTGGACACGTGCAATTTACTTTGGAATTTTCTTTGAATAACACAGCATAAAGACATATCATACATTCAAGCATTATACATTGTATATCCTCAGACTCGAGCATAATTAATAATAATTATTAAAAGTTTGACAAAGTCAAGCAGGCGTTCTTGAATAGGCCGGTGGAAAGATCCGCCTTTTCCTCCAGTTGGACATATACCAGTGCATATAGTCTTGTGCTTTACGAATCTCAGAACCAAATTTCTCTCTCAGTCAGATCTAAGAAAATATACAGAAGTGAGTTTTCTTGTTGGGCTATCCGTACGCGTAGGCCCAATCTCCATTCCTTCAACTTTGCTGGCTTGTCTGCCTTGCTCGCTTCTCACTGTCCGATGAGAACCTTCAAAATCAAAGCAAATATTGATGAAACTGCACTAAATATTTTGGAAGTATTCGAAACAGATCATCTTTGCAGAAAGCCTACTTACAAAGTTTTTGAAAAGACTTTTCTCAAAGCCCCCCCCCCCCCAAAAAAATCTCCGGTTTCTGGTATGGAGCTTGCCCAAAAAGTGGTGCGGCGACGCGGCTTTTTTTTTTTTTACCTGATTTTTTTTGCTTCAAATGTCAGCTGATGACTGCAAATGGTGCCCGACTAAACTTAGTGCAAATATTATGGGAGTCCAGAGAGGCCACATAAAGCTTATTCTTGACCATAACCCGATCTAAAAACACGTTAAAATTGTGCAGCAGCAGGATTCCAGTCAAACCAGTGAGTTTGGCGGTTTTGAGACATCATCTTTCATTGAAAAAAAATACTTTTTCATTTTGCCGACGCGCATGGCTACGGCGACGCGCGCGCATACCAGAAACTGGAGACTTTTTTTTTTTGGCCTAAGTCCATTAATCCCATTTTAGAAATTCATTCAACCGTCTGCATTTTGAGACTGCAAATGCAAACGGAAGGCAATCAGTAGTAATCTTGTGCTCATAGTCTCTTGTTTTGTTTGATATTTCAATCAATTTTTTGGACCATGCTTCGAAAAATCAGCTATCCGACGGCCACAATCTTTGATCTCCCTGTCATATCTCCTAAAATTCAGAAGTTTTAAAAACAGAAGAACCATGTTAGGCGGTAAGTTAAATGCAGGGGTTATCAATAAGAAACTAAGCCTTGAAAGAAACTTAAAAATATAGACTTAAACCTTTTTTTTTGTTGGACAGATTAATACAACATTATAATTTTCAAATGAAAAGAATGTTGCATCCTGTCCTGACGCCACTTGTTTCATTATCATCACAGAATAATAAACCAACTGGTTCTTCTTAGTTCTTATAACCCAGCACACAACTCAAACTGAGAGATGATTCACATGGTGTTACCACAAACCTCCAAATCATTATCTCCATGATCAGTTATTGCAAAAATGTTGAAAAGACATGAATCTTAAACTGACAAACATTTCCAATTTTGTTAGGAAATAATTTGGAAATGTTCTCGACTCTCCATGTACACAACCGCTGAAGTGGCGTCTGGATACATTCTTTCCTCAATGGTTCAACTGCCAATGACTTTGTCAATGAAAACTAAGTTGGCCCAAGGTTTCCTACCTTACTAAAAGTATATGTGTCCACAATAGAATTACGTAATCAAATTCATGAAGAGCAAAACAAAGACTGAAGAAATTTACAGAAACCTTAAATGAGTGAACTTTCACAGAAAAATGACATGAAAATGACAATTGGAGGATTTAATTGTACACAATTTAGACTTGTGCAGGACTATAACTTAATGCAACTTGGCTTACGTGTGTCTGTTACCGTGCTAGAATTGCTGTGTACTTAAGCATAATAACAACAATTCCGTGAAACATTAACAAGGCTTGACCCGTAAACATTGGCGGTATGTTTACAGGTTTATAACAAAGAGGTCTTCTTTTCTTGAATGCACGGCGTATATGAGATGTATTTATAGAGGGCGCTCGCCATAATATATGTATTATTTTTTTTTAAATAGAGGGCGCTCCAGCAGAGTTAGGATCGCACGTGCCCTGCACTGATGGTTGTTTACATTTGGCGCAACTTAAAATTAGAGCAGCATGTGTGAATCTGGAGAGCAGGTGCTGTCAGATGTCCATGTTTACGTCCCTCCATCTTCTCAGCTGATAAATGAGGGACATGGTAGGCGATCGAAAGCAATCGTTTGAAGATAATTGCTAAATTAATTTCACAAATTTACTCTCAAGTTTTTTACTCGAAAGTCGAAGCGTGACCCATTGGAAAGATCGACCTAGGGCGCCAGTATTTCAGATTAGAGCTCAATTTTTTGCAAATTTTGACTTTGGTACCAAAGTAAACAAAAGTCGAAAACAGAGATTTTATAGCACCCTAGTTTAAATGGGTCTAGTGGGAAAGAACGATCATTGAGGTCTACCTCCATGGAAAGATGTAAAGGCATATATATCCTGATCTAATTTGTTTAAAGTTTGTGGATGTGTTCAAAACCTTCTAACAGTAACAGTAACACTACAGCCATGCATGCAGCTTTTTCTAACACTTGACAGATTCGGAAATGTCCTGAATTTGTAGATTTTTGATATTTGTAATGATTGACAATCACCAAGGTCATACTCATACATGTCGTAGTGCAGACATGCACTATTACCCTTGGGATACTCTTGGGATACTGCATCATTACCCTTCTACCAAATCAATGTTATGAACTGGAATTCCTTTTTTTCTTTTCAAATTTAGACTTTGGTCGATCCTACGTACAAGGGATCAAAATTTGACAAAAGAAGTTGTAGCGCCACAGTAACTGGGTCTAGTTAAACCTTAATTGTTTACTTTACAATGTGCAGCAATTACAAGATTCTACTTTGAAATTCCTGATTCATCAAGTCAGCTAGTCTCATCGCCATCACGCAAGACACCACACACTGCACAGGAAAATGTGTGCTGGTCTAGCGCAAAGCAGAGATTGGAATCTAGGCACTTGGAATCACATGATGATGATGATGATGATGGGGATGATGATGATGAGTCTGTTGCCATGGCAACAGTAGATGAGGATGGAGATTTGGTGGTTGTTAGGAAGAGGAGGAGCCACTGTGAGCTGCAGAACGTCATTGTTATAAGTAAGCCTCCATTTCTGGCTTTTCTATTTCATGTTATTTTACGTTTTCATATTTTAGAAAAAAATTATATACAACTTGCTGTATTTGTAATTGTTTTACTTTTTTCTGTGTGTTATTTTTGCAGATCACTCCATGGCGACTACACTTGATAGCGTTGGACTGCAGGTACTGTCACGGCTTTCTATTGCAAAACTGCAATTCAAACCAAAGCTAACAAAAACAGAACAGTCAAAAAATGTCCTGTATTCGTGAAGCTATATATTCATGTGCTTTATTAAAGGTAGCTTACAAGCAGTCACATGCAATAAATGTTAGTGTTCTGGTCGAGTCAATCACTAGTCGTTCACAAGTCAGTCAGAAGTAAATCATAAGTCGGTCCACAAGTCCAGACACAAGTAACATCGGATGATCAACAACAAATAATACAAATGGTAACATGGTTTGAGGGTGGATAGGCCGTATTAGCTTCCGAGGTATTGGAAGTTGACAAGACCAGTTTGTCAACTTCCAATACCGAGGGGAGCTAATATTGGCTATCCACCCGAAATAAACCATGTTATATTTGTTTTACTATACCTCACACATATTCAGTTGCCAAATTTTCCCGTTGCAGTACACACCTCGACATAAAATCTTCGGAGAAACTTGTCCAGCTCACCAAAAGAATATTGCTCAACCTCAGAAAAGTTCAGATCTTTGGTAATACAGTAACTCCTAAGAGTTTCTACCGCATTGTGGACAACTTTTTTAGTAGCTAGGAGACATCTTTGTTGTCCACAATATTCTCCAGTTTGGCATCAATGAGCTCGGGAAATGCTGATGAACTGAACTGAATTAACATTTACATGTGCCCCTATCTTTTCATGTGTAGCTACGACGATGTTTGCGTGTGCGTACCACACCCGTACAATAGTTCCACGATTGCTTCATAAAGCGCATGCGTAAGGACTTTCACGCGGGTAACCCGTGCGACAGTCTACTACGCATGCGTATTTACCCCGTGTGTGAATACTGGCGTGCGCGCTTGGTAAACAGCAAAAATAGCGGCTGGCACGTGATGATGAATGGACCAGTGAGAATTCGGCTCTCGATCATGAATATGTATGAGGTATAGTAATAATGCCTTTGACACAGTTCATTTGAATAGCTTGTAACGTGACATGAGAATGGATGACATGCGATTGCACTGTGATGAATATGATGACAACACTGTCTCTTTTGTACAATACTCTCGCAGGTTTGGCAGGGTTGTCTGCTTCTCTGCGATTTCCTCCTGACTCACCGGGAGATGTTCAAGGGCCGGGTTGCCTTGGAGATGGGGTCAGGGGTCGGACTGGCCAGCATCGTCATGGCAACGGCTGCATCCCATGTATTCGCCACAGGTACTGATCTCTGAACCTTTTTGGGGAAAGATACAACGGAGTTGTTGAGAAATACAAACAAAATTTAAATTCCTGTCAAGTAAACAATGGACTTGGCACTCAAATTACAACAGCATTTGGGTAATTTTGACTTAGTTTTTTTACACAGTGTTTTGACATATTGTAAATTATCAGTGCGTTCCACATGTCACTTGAATACTGTTTCAGACACTGGGACAAACGTCTTGGAGATGTGCCAAAGAAACATCGACCACAACTGCCACAATTTGGTGGGTTATTCGGATAAGAGTGAGGAAAAGGCAGTCGTCCAAGTGAGAGAGTTAGACTGGCTTCAGTCCACCAAGAGTACAGGTAAATCAGCAATTGTAAAACCACTGGAAGCATTTGATGACATCGGTTCATGTTACTTTTTAATTATCAGATAGAGTGTTGCTGTAAAACTCTCACATTTTGGTCCATATGGAACTCAATTAATGAAGCAGGATTTTTCACTTCCTCATGTAGGATATAATTCCCAAGCTTGTAAAAAGACTTACAAAGGCTTGCTTTGGCAGGATTCGAACCCAGAACATCTTGCTTGTTTACTTTTTTTTTTCAAGGACTCAGGTACTCAACAAACTAGCATGCCAGGCCTACAAAGCTGGCAGGAACAGACGTTGAATTAAATGAACTTCAAATAAATCTCAAAATTGTATAATTATCTGTGACTTTTGAAGTTAATTTTTTTAAAGAGAATCTATTCTGGATTGTGTTGTTTTCCAGATGATCCTGGTCCTTTTCAATGGAGTGATAAAGATATTGAGAAACTGGAAGAAGTCACTGTTATTATTGCTGCAGATGGTGAGATGGTTTTTATTTATGAAATCGAAAGCAAAACAAAAATAGGAATTCTGTAATCCTGTTTTTTTATTTTCGCATTCATTTTTAACCTCTCAAAGGGGACAAACAACCAAAGAAGACAACCAACCTACCGAAATTTTGAATGATACCAACATTTGAGAGAACTTCCGTAAAACTAGATGTTTGATAAAATTTTCAAGTTTGTCCAGGCACAAACAACAGGGAATGAACGATAACGAAAGAATGGCTTTATCACGATTCATTTGAATTGTCTGTGAGTTGGACTGGATGACTTGTGATGGACTTGTGATGACATGTAAGGACATGAGAGGACTTGTGTAGGACTCTGCTGAATATACCAAATATTTGAATATTCGATCGTCAACCGAATATTCAAATAGCTTTATGCTGGTTTGGGTATTCGAAAGATAAAAAACTACGTATGCACTCACATGACTGTGATATTAATTTGATCGTAAATTTGTTGCTTTTTATTGCCAGATGCCATTGACAGTTATAAAATACTTACTGCAAAACACTCCTGCTGACCATGACATTGATCGTCACGCGCAGGTTTTAACCGGCGCGCTTTAGTCGTGCAACTTTTGACAGGTGCGGCATGCAGTTGCAGCTGGCATGTGTAAACTTGACCGCAGAGTTTCGAATATCTGGTCAAATGCAGTTTCGAATAATCAGATACTAAATCATTCAAAAATGGACAGCCCTAGACTTGTGATGACTTGTGATGAACTCAGTTAATGTTTTACCGCCCTTTTTTTCTGCAGTTGTATACGATGATGATTTGACTGATGCTTTCTTCAACACACTTATTCGACTCATGTCTACAGGGAAGGATAAGACTGCATTTCTAGCTCTGGAAAAAAGGTAACATGCTTGATTTCTTTAATTTCATGAGCAGAGTTTTTGGTGTTTACTTAGTACATGTTGTACGGTAATACCGTGTTTAAAAGATCTTTCACTGTTTTCCTTAGTTCAGTTATTTTCTCCTTCATTTTGCAGATTGAATTTTACAATTCAGGATCTGGACGTGACCTGTAAAGCCTACGACCACTTCCGCTGGCATATTACAAGGTTAACCTCCTCTCAAGATGTGAAATACTGTGTTGAGCTGCTGCCAATCGATTTCCCACTGTGTTTTCAGTACCGAAGAACTGAGCAGCTGGTAAGTGGAGTCTGCGATAATTCAAAATTAAAAAATGTCAAAGATTATTAGAGTATAAGGTGTATTATAGATATGCATCTCTTGTCAAATATTTCCTGTGCTTAGGAGAAAGAGAGTGCTGTTTCCTTGTGGTCTGGTGCATCCAATTACAGATCTTAAGATTAATTCTGTAGACTGTGGGTTTGAGTCCAGCAAGAGGGGTTGTGGTGCTTGTGTCCTTGAGCAAGGCACTTTATTGTGACTAATTGCTACTCTCATCCCAAGCATAAGGCCAAAAACAAAAAGTCTCCGGTTTCTGGTATGCGCGCGCGTTGCCGTAGCCGTGCGCGTCGGCAAAATTAAAAAGTATTTTTTTCAATGAAAGATGATGTCTCAAAACTGCCAAACTCATTGGTTTGACTGGAATCCTGCTGCTGCACAATTTTAATGTGTTTTTAGATGGGGTTATGATCGAGAATAAGCTTTATGTGGCCTCTCTGGTCTCCCATAATATTTGCACTAAGTTTAGTTGGGCACCATTTGCAGTCATCAGCCGACATTTGAAGCAAAAAAAACAGGTAAAAAAAAAAAAAAGCCGCGTCGCCGCACCACTTTTTGGGTAAGCTCCATACCAGAAACCGGAGACTTTTTTTTTTGGCCTAACATGGGTAACTGTGAGGGCAAATATAGATGTTGCATTTGAATAAGCCATTTTTGCCTGAAAAATGCCGGGTAGCATTCAGCTCAGTGTACAGACCATGTGCCCTGTGACGTCATGCCGACATCAACCAGCAGGCAACACAAACATTTATGCATCTTTTACATTTAATTATTTGGCCCACATTAAACAGCATATGTGAACACTTTTAAACCATTCATATTTCAAGAGAGATATACATGCAGTGCAGGAGAGAACCGTTTGCTGAAAGATGGCAGCACGTAATCACAACATTCAGTTCGTAAACAAATGTCACATTGTCTGTACTGCCGAGGGAACTGCGATGGTCTCGTTGTAAGGAATGGTTTAATGGGCCCTATGATCTGGGAAGTGCCCAATTAGGAACTTCAAACTGAAGTCTTCAATCGTCTTGTTTTACTCTTTCCAAATAGGAATTGTGGAAAATCAGTGTCATTGGGGACACTAATGCGAAACTAACAGGCCTGGGACAGCCCGCCAACTAGCCCACCACACAACGAGCAAGCCAAGCTGCAAGTTGACCAAACAAGCTGAACGAGTCAAACGGTTAATTGTAAAACAGCCATCTGATGAAGGAGTGGTTTTGGTCTGAAGAAACTGGTGAGTGTTCTATACCAGCACTGTCTTGCTCAAGTAAATTTGATTGATATGAGTGTGCTGCCCGAGGGTGATTGCTTCAACCCGCCTGGCTTGAGGTCGAGTGAAAAGTAATCCTGCTCCTTGTTTCGATCTTGTCAAAATAATCCCGGCGCGAACTGGTTAAACACCCAGTGAAATTATTCCATCTGGCTTGCTGTCATTTAGAAGAAATCAAGAAATGTAGGTGATTTCCAACGATCAGTCAAAGAGTGCTATGGATGACATCGTGTTCCATGACCAAAATTGTGCGTGGGTTGTCACTGTTTTCTCGAAAAGTGTAATATCCACTGAGATATGAAAGTTAAACAGGTTAGGTTTTGAACATTCTTTGTTGGATTTTGAGTGGTGTTATTATTGGAAACGAACAAAATGCATGAACAGCAAATGATCCTATATGCCTATAAATAAAAGGGTGTATAGTGGGAGATGTTATATGAGATTCTGCAGTTCTCAGAGTCGGCTTTAATGATTTCAGAAGTTTAATATAATTCAGTTGGACGTAATATTGGAACATGAAAATATGAATTCGCACCCAATATGTATCCATTCTTTTTCATTTCTGACAGGGCAAAGTGCTGCTGGAGATTCCTGCATTGTTGGACGGACCGCTGACAAGTTTTAAACCATCTGCCGTCGGTGGACAAGAGCATCATGAACAATGGACATCATTCCCATGATGATTTTAGAAATCACAGCCGAGACTGCACAACCCAATGACACCCTGTGCCTGAGACTGAAAATTGCAGTGTGGCACTGGAGAGATGCGAGTGCTGTTGATCATGTCCGCAGTTGGCTGGGCTAGTGGCTAGTCTGTAAATTTGGCACTCTCAATACTGTGTATGAGAGTCCCATGGCAGGGCTAATAGCTAGTCCTAAAATGTAACTCTCATTACTGTGTATAAGATTAAGAGTCCCAAAAGTTAAGATGGTGAAAACGTGCAATACAAGAAAATAGACTGGCACTTGAAACAACCAGTCCAACACCCTTTTAGTACTGCATCAATCAACTGTGTCAAAAGAAACATCTGGTATCTAGTCTCTTCTTCTACACACTCTCTCCATAGTCATCAGGTCATGCCACCAGACTACTGAAGGGTCAATTTTATCAAAAAAGTTGGACATGTACCAGTCTAGCTTCAGGCTTCAAATTGAAATAACTTTGTATCACTCTCAGGTGCAAAATCACTGTTGAAGAAATGTCTCCTTTAAAAATTGAATTTAGACCTCAAACTTGGCTGGTGAAATACTGAGCACCTTTTCTTTGCCTCATGGAAATTTTTGAGAATTTTGTCGGCTAACGAGTGAGTAAAGTTGGCCTGATGTTGTATTGCATGTTTTCCAGCACTTGAGGTCCCAGTCTGGGCTTATGGCAGAATTACGGTCCATTATCTTAAACGAAAGCCATCTTTATTTCTTAAATTAAAGAATTCTTTTGATGCAGTCAATTGGAATGCCCCAGTAAACATCTCGGCCTTCAAAATCAACAGACTGTTTTGGATTTATTTGTCACTGTTAAGCAATTATGTAATGTTTTTATTGATAACTGGTATTCTAGATTATACTTGTATAATGATGCCAGGACCAATCCCAATCCCTTTAAAACCTATGAGCTCGAGTTGTATCTATGTTCCGTAGATAATTCTTTATATCGAACTTATTTTGCCAGATGTTGTGCACACAAGCTTTATATAGAAATTGGAAGGTTATAGGTATTGAATATGACCAGCGAATTTGCCCTCACTGTAATTTGGAAGTTGAATCTGAGATCCATTTTTTATTCAATTGACCATTATACAGTGTTCTAAGGGAACAAATGTTGAACTTTGTAAGTTGAAAAAAATTAACATTTTCAGTTGCTTACAAACGGTCAAAAATGTAATTTCTTATGAGTTCAACAGATGAATCTATTATTAATTGTGTTGCCAAATTCGTCTGTTTATTTATGAACTTAAAAGACAATCTTAGCTCTTGATGACTTTGCTTTCTCCTGCCAATGTATATTGAAATGTTCAGGTTTAAAATGTTAAAGTAACCCTCCCTTGGGGTTAAGGGGTGTGTTCTAAGTTGGAATAAAAAACAAATGAAATGAAATGAACTGAAGTATTAGTTAATAACAAATTTGCCTCCAAAGTTGGAGGCACAGTACATAATGTACCTCTGCAGCTATAGGGATCCAAAAGTGTACTGGGAGGGCAAAAGACAAACGTATATTAAATGTAGGTGTGGTGGGAGATGGGGAACAAATTCCTAACCCCACTGTACCCACATCCCCTGCCTAGAAGGGTGGGATAGGTTTAATTTTTCTGGAGATGAAAAATGAGGCTGTCGAGTGGAGACGAACTGCACGTACATTGTCATTAGAGTGAAAATATGATCGCAGCTCGACTTGAAGACTCCAATTGCTGGCACTAAGTTGGCTGCAGCATAACAAATTGGTAAGAAATGTGCATGTTTTGATTTCAAAATTGGAAAGATGTGCGAGAAATAAATAATTTGTTATACGAAGACCATGTCTATAATGTTATAGGAACTCTAATCTCTGTTGCATTTATGTGCAGTGTACGCAACCGTAAACTGCCATCATGATGTTTGTCTGACCATAGGAACAAGAAGAAACAATTTGGAAATAAAAATGACATTGCAAACTGAGGCTTACAATTCAGGATCATTACACCCAACCCCTTGTTATTTAAAGGAATATTTACCAGATCCCAATTTTTTTGGAGTCAATTTATTTGTCAACAAAATTGGGTGAGCGCCGGCCCCCATCAGCCAGTGAAAGGTGTCTCATGGATCACACAAATTAAGAAAAATACAAACACTGTAGTGAACAAAACAAGTGTGAATAAGTATTAAAATATACTGCAAACAAAATAATGTGTGTAGTGGGGCTGAAAGTTATGATATTCAAATGCGGCGGGGGAATGCCGAATTTGCCGCCAGCATACTTCCACCCGATGACGTCACCAGGAAACGACCAATTATGGACCTCCCTCCACCCCTCTGCCGCGCGCTTTTGGGTCAGGTCGACCTGCATGTCATGCATGTACATACATTACAATACTACGCCTATCGTTGTGCATGAACTTTGCAAACTAGTGTATATTTTTGACAAGTGATGAAAATACACGTATGTACATTGGCTTGTCTGGTAAATTAAAAGTACAGAAACTCAACTTCATATGGAATTTGTGACTTTTAATTGGTATTTTTCCTCAGTCATTTTTTAGCCAAGTTAAATGTGACGTATATGATTCCGCTCGACCCGCATAATTGTTGATCTGTTCATTCTCTCTTTATTTGTTAATTAAAAAAAGAGGGAGAGAGATGAATTGATTTATAATGCAAAAAGAAAATCAATTTAAAATTTACCGTAACATTTGCTCGCTTACCTGGGTGTATTTGTTGAAACACATTGCCGGCAAATCTTGGGGGTGTACGGTGCGACGAAATGTTCCCATCATATCATCGCCTCCGTCACATCACATATGTATCTTGGGCGCGCGACCGTGACAGGCTTCGCTGAATTCCGATCGGATCGAGTCGCCCAGCCGCTAACAAACTAAACCAAAAAAAAGAGAAAATTTGCCACAATACAACAGGAAATTTTGAACGTTATTGCTACTTAAAATTGTTGAAATATTCGAGTTTTATTATTTTATTTAGAGAAGTGAAAATTTCCGAGTCCGATTGTCTCAGGCTCGCGGCCTGCAGCCCGTAGTTGATCGGATGCTCACCGCGCAAAGCTAGGCCTGATTATAGCTGGCCAACGTGTTTATTGTTATTTCGTATAATTTTATAATTAAACGAAATACAAACAATTGTCAAACATCCTATAAAAGAGTGATTATATGTGACAGCGATTGATGACATAGACTTCCCCAAGAAACTGTATTAAACTTTTTATTCACGATGCCAAGTATAAACTGTTCTCCGACCATGGTGGACGGGCCATCCTCAGCACTTGAAGTCTTGCACGCGATCAGTATAGCCTAGGATCCCCTAAAATTTCTCTCTATTTCAAGTTGATAAGAAAACAAATATATTCATTTAGTTAAAAAAAAAGGAATTTAACATTAGTTGACATGAACTTTTAACAAGGATGAATACAAGGATGAAACATTGGAGATTGCTGAGATTTGGGGTACACAATTTGTCAGAACCGACTGAGTTAAAAATAGACACCGTCGGAAGATGGAAAACAAAAAACAACAAAGAACTGCAGCACAGATTTTGATCGAAAAGACGACGATTTTTACCGCCAGGCCCTACATGTGGCAAAAATGTAAGCAAAATGTCACTTAATAGTAATCATATGATTACGGGGACAGCCCAACTCATACCAATAAGGTTTTTTGGGGTAGAATTGCCGTAAAACAATGACGGTTTTAACACTATCCGGTTGTAGTTTATGTATGACGTCAATTTTTTTGACCAAAGGTGACCCTCCAATACATGTTGAACACAACGCATATTTTCTCAAATTTTGATCAAATTCACCATAAAATCTGACTTTTTTAACTGGGCAGATGTCGATGATCACATTTAAAACAATTTAGGGTTTTAATTGTTTGATTAAAATGATGCTGAAATGTCAAATTTAGCCAAAGATTCGACAGCGTTAAAGCCCTTGTTGAGCGCAAAATGATCCGTGTCAAGATGGCGTCGTCTCGTTTTTCGTCCTTCCACCCGATTTTCGGACCCGTTTTTCACAGTAAATCCGAGATCTGTAACGATTGCAAAGTAACCCAATACATAAATTAATAATCTAAGTTTTGCATGTTATAGTAGTCGTTGGTTTAAAAACTTTCATTTCCGTGAAAAAATCGTCAGTTTTTGTCACCCTGATTAAACGCATTTCAACTTTTATGTTCGCCTTATTTTTTCAAATAATTAATGGGTTTTCCACACATCAATGATATATGAAGTGAAAGATTATTTCATCCTCTATCCAGTGATAGCAAAAATAATAAGGAGCGTGCATTTTTTGGGCCAAAACATTCGTTTGAAAAAATGACCACTAACACACATTTTCACACAGCTTCCATTTTGTGGTAAAATTACGCGGACGGACCTGCTGCCCGGGCAATCATAATTGGTGACTCATACTACGTCCGCATTGAGGCGATAAATGCAACACCGCGTCAGCGCAACATTATTGCTATTTCGTTGCTGAGTCGTACAGTCACTTGTCAAGTTGCAAAAGCACCTGTTATCAACCATGGCTGAACAAACTGTCGCCGTTGCCAAGCCCGTCAAGCCCAAGAAGAAGGCTGCGCCCAAGAAGAAGCCATCTCACCCGTCTGCCGGGGAAATGATCCTGGCTGCCTTGGCCAACCTGAAGGACCAGCCCCGCGCCGGAACCTCCCTTCAGGCCATCAAGAAGTACATCCACGCCAACTACACCCTCCCGGCCAACTACGACACCCACATCAAGCGGGGCATCAAGACCCTGGTGGCGCAGAAGAAGTTGGTGCACACCAAGGGCAAGGGGGCCAGCGGCTCCTTCAAGGTGGACAACAAGGCAGCCAAGGCTTCCGCCAGCCAGAAGGCCAAGAAGGAGAAGCAACGCGAGAAGGCAAAGCAGCTGAAGGAGAAGAAGAAGGAGCAGAACAAGGCCAAGAAGGAGAAGGCAGCAGCCAAGAAAGCCGCCAAGAAGAAGACCCCCAAGAAGAAGGCGGCAGCCAAGAAGCCAGCTGCCAAGAAGACCGCCGCCAAGAAGCCAGCTGCCAAGAAGACCGCCGCCAAGAAGCCGGCTGCCAAGAAGCCAGCAGCCAAGAAGCCAGCGGCCAAGAAGCCAGCAGCAAAGAAATCCAAGCCAGCGGCCAAGAAGTCTCCCAAGAAGGGGGCGAAGAAGGGAGCCAAGAAGGCATCAAAGGCCAAGAAGTAAACTGCTGGAAACGACCCAGTTATAAACCCAAACGGCTCTTCTCAGAGCCACCACATATTCAAAAAAGAGATGAGATTTCACGTCTGTTCAGTGTTTGTGTGGTTTTTTTTTAGTACTATAATCATAATTTACTTTAAATATGACGATTTAGATATGGTCATGGTAGGACGGAAAAATATAGACATCGAATGTCGGTAAAGATATTAGACTTTTTCATTCATATACATCAAACCTACCGGTAATTTTCGTGTGCACGTGTTTTCAAATGTTTCCAAAAGTAGTTGAGAAAATATGCATCCAAAAACATTTCCCCACTGGTTTAATAGCGACTATAGTATAGGCCTACAATTATTTTGCAAAACCACCTTGAAATTCCAGAGCACGAGGTCTTCATTAAAAAAAAGGTGCGGGGAGTGAAATAAGAATGATGAAATATTCGTTTACAAGATGAAAGGCACACATTTAGGAATTCTGGAAAAAAACGTACTTAACAAAAAACGCGGGAATTGAGCGGGCTCGTGTTTTCCCGCCCTTTACATAATTTTTTCGAGACGGCGTTTGTCCGTGCATTTTTCATGAGATTTTGTTAATTTCAAAGTTGTAACAATTTTCTAGCATTAAGACGACGTCGTCAACTCTGCAATGACACATCAATAGGGAAAACATGTACATGTATTCTGCCCATGCATGGCTCAAGTTTAACTTTTATAGTACACATTTTGCAGGCATGCAACTTTTTAATACTTAAATCTGCTGATTTCCTCGTTTTTTACTTGTAATTCTGTACAAAGTCTTGTGTGGTTAGGAATTTCCTCGTTTTTTCTTCCTCTAAATTCCCAGTTGCATGCCCGATTTTGAAACAGAGTGACCCACTTATCAGCGCATGTAGAGTGTACATGTACATTTGTGTTTTGATCAGGGCATTTTATCTACATGCAGTGATCACACAGCGCCCTCATTTTCCTTCATACACCCGCCGCTTTTAAAAATGCACAAAATGTATGCAAAGTTTGAAATGTACATGTACATTGCAGATGTACATGTACATGTACATGTACATGTAATGGTCTAAAACAGAATGCGAAATCTAAGTGCCCTGCCAATCCTTGCTGAATATAAGGGCTGTACTATCAAGATTAAATCAAGATTAAAGGTATTATTTTTAGGCCCAAAGGATTCGTATTAAAAACAAATTCAGGTGAGGTGTGGATGACTAGACTTGGGGCACTTAGGTAAAAATTGTCAATAAATCTGATACGAGTTTAATTTCAACATAATAGTCAGGTGCCCCCCCCCCCGAAAAAAACCCAAACAAACAAACAAAAAAATTTGGAAACAATTTTGGAAATTCCTGTGTACTTTGTACATTGATATAAATTATAATAACACACTAAAAGTTGACAATGGAAAGATAGTAAATACAGAAACATACATTAACTCAAAAAACCCACTTTTTTTTTACAACTTTAATGACGGGAAATGCGTAATTAATGTATGCCACATTTTCAGTTACACATTTCAGGGAAGATTTTGAAATATTAAAGGTAATATACAACATTTTGCAAACATAAACAACACAAGACTACCAAATTATTATGAAATACCTTACTTGACCGACAGTTAATAATAGTCTCAAGCATCCTCCATGGCAGCTGGTGTACTGTCATTTTAAAGAAAAGTGGATTTTATAAAAACAAATATCCAACGATGGTTGGCCAACCATCATTGGACAAAAATTGACTTTTTTTCAAATACTGCCCCCAATGTACCAAGTTTAGTGTCCATGTTTTGTTTGCAATCGGTTACGCATCCGGGAATGGGTGCAAGTCAGTTAGTCTGGTTCCCTGACCTGACAATTCCCTACATCTATAAGGTTGCAGACCAGTAAATAAGTTTCCATAGACCCCAACGGTAAATGCCCCGCCCACTTCAGAAATTCAGGAAAAATACTCACAACTCTCCGAGGTGTTCAAGACATACCAGTACATTAAATTAAAGCTTATTTCATCATCTTTCATTTTCTCTTCAATTTTCTGGGTGTAACTAATAACTTTTGGGAGAAAATTCCATCCAAAGATGATCACCCCTAAAGGCAGTCCTGAAGCCCATGGCCATTTTGAAAATGGACGCCTACGCTACATCGCAAAATAGAGCCATTTTCAGACCTTATCATCATCCACATTTCACAGAAAAACGAGCTTGAAGTTCTCTGCACGGCTTCCCCCCGTATTTTGTACAAACCCTCAAGTTCATGGCCCACAATATGCTAAAATACCGAAGAATTTGAGGGCATGCAAATCGTGATTTGGCCGGCGTAAACAATTTTGGACCGATTTACTGGTCTGCACCCATAAATTGCTCTGTTTCATCTGAAGTAGAGTACAAAGGGAACCAGACTACACAAAGAACATTTTTCTTGGTTTTCCAGCATTTATGAACACACAATTTTAAACAGGTCCGTGTTACAATATTTGATATGAAAAGGAAATGTTTTTGTTTCTTAGTTGACCAACATCTATGAACCAAAACTTTAAACTGGTCAGTGTAACAATACAAGGTGACTCGCCCTGTATTTGCTATGAAAAACTAAACCCCAAATCCATTCATTTCTGAAAATTATAGCAAAAGCAAATGTTGCATATTAAAGTACCTTCCCCCAGCAAACAATATCACCCCCCCCCAAAAAAAAAACCCCACTTAGATTAAACCATGCCTGCTGAAGGGTATTACATAATTATAATTATAAAATAAGTTGAAAGTTAATGCCCATTTTTTTCATACCAAATAATCAGAGAACAAATATCATGCATCGTTCAGCTGGAATGTCCAATAAGAAAACTGCTAGCGACATTCCAACACCCAAATCCAAGTGCAAATTTCATGGCAATGCTGAGCATAGCAGAAATTGGCGAAGCAAAAACGGGTTACCAGCCAAACAAAATCATACACGATTTATATTGCATGTGGCTGGTTCCCGGCTGGTCAATTCAATAGGCATTTCCCATGAGGCCCAGAACTCCCAAGATGGCGACCTTTTCATTACTGTCATCTGACTTTTGCTCGTTTGCGCTCCAGATAACGTTTCCTTGCCTCCACCACAGAATCGTCGTCATTCCTCTTACTGATTTTTACTCTTGTCTCTTCCGGCAATTCTGTGATTTTTTTTAAAAAAGGAACAATTCCAACATTAAAGGAAATATACAACATTTGCAAACATTGGAAAACAAAATTACCAAATTTTTACGAAATAGCTTACTAGGATGTTGGTAAATGAAAGTCTAAAGCATCCTGTAAAATTATGGCACCTGGTGTGAAGTCATTTTTTAAGAGAAGTGGTATTTTGTATAAATTTCCAACGGTGGTCGGCCGACCACAGTTGAAAAAGCCTAACTATTTTTCAACTACTGCTCCAAATTTACCATTGTTTTTTCAGTCCAAATTTTGTTTGCTATTGGTTACATGTTCATGAACGGGTGCAGGCCAGCTAGACTGGTTTCCTTGCCTTACAATTTTCCGGCATCTATAAATTGATTCGTTTCATCTTTAGACTTGAATATTTTAGTTTTTCTTGGTTTTTCCAGCATTTTCGAACACAAAACTTCAAACTTGTCAGTGTAACAATATGTGACCCGCTCCACAAAAATGAGTCTGTTGTGGCAAAACTGAAATTTTGAGTTAACTACATTAATAAAATGGGAATGAAATAAGCTTTCATTTGGTATATCATGGGCCTCTCTAGGACATTTGGTTGCACTGTTGTGCCTTTTTAATTCTGTCAAGTTTTTGCAAAGCAAGAAATGTCTCAATGAAGAAAAAAGGGTTTAAAAATTACAAATACACTGTAACTAACCAAGAAAAGCACCAAAACTCATAAATTTGTTAGTCTTTTTCTTACAATATTTAAATTTCTGTGTAAGATATCTGAACTAAAACTATCAAACAACCAAAATAAAACAAAAACAAAAAATCCAAATTTTGAGCAAATTTTCACTGTTTCCATTTAAAAGTGGTAAAAGCTGGAATTCAAGCTATGCGACATCAGACTAATTTTTGCAGAGCGGGTCACATATTTGATCTATTATACTAACCCCTCAAATAGTCACATTTCTGAAAATTACAGCAAAAGCCAATGATGTACATTCCCTTTAAGTTTTCTAATTCGAATTTTTATAAATATTTTACTCAATTAAAAAAAAAAAAATAGTTGTGCTACTGCTCTATAATTGAACACTCTACTACACACTCTATTCATAAGACATCCTGTACCAAACTAAGAGACAAAATGTTATTTCAAATTTTTCACAAAATCTGGCAATTAGTACATCAAATCAAATTTTTCACTAATTAATTCACTAAAACGAAATTCAGGTTCCAATTGCAGAAACATCTCACCTTTAGACTTTTCATCGGTGGAAGTGCGATCTGATTGTTCTGTATTATCGTTCTCAGTTTTGTCCATTGTTTCTGCAATCTTGGGTGCCAGACATCCACTCAAGGCATACACGTCAAGCTCATGTAACCGTGGCAACAGATCCTTAACCCATTCATACTTCACCTGAGTGCAAAATAGAATTGTTGGGAATCACAAAAACAAACAAACAAACATTTATTCATAAGATAAATTAAACCAACTGATTTAAACCAACATGTAATTGACAAAAACGAAATTGAATTTTTCATGCAAAATTGGGTCTGAACCTAATACCGAGTGCAGTGAGTTTTTTTAGAGAGAGAGTTGAAGGTAATATACAACATTTGCAAACATCAAAATACAAAACGACCAAATTATTATGAAAAAAATTACTTGACTGTAAGTGAATAATAATCTCAACCATTCTGGGAAATTATAGCACCTGGTGTGCTGCCACTTCCAGTAAAAAGTTGAATTTCTTTATCAATTTTTTAAGATGGTTGGCCGACTGACGGAAAAAAATCAGACTTTTTTCAAATACTGCTCCAAGTTTTACCAACTTTAGTTACACCACATTTTGTTTGCAATCATGGTTGAATTGCAATTGTTTGCAATTCCCCGACGTCTATAAATTGCTGTTTCGTCTGAGGCAAGATCAGGGAACCAGACTACAAGAACAACATTTTGTTTTCTTGGTTTTTCCAGCATCTATGAACACAAAACTTTAAACAGGTCACTGTAACAATTTTTACTATAAAGTTCTAACCCCCAAATCCATCCAGTTCTGAAAATGACAGCAAAAGCAAATGTACATTATCTTTTAATGCCGAGTTAATGATGGACTTGTTGGGAGTTGTAAAATTGGTTTATTTATGGACAAGTTTGTTTTAGAGAGAGATACCAAACAACTGTTTTGTGTGTTAAACTGTCTGCATGTCTGTAAGACAAAATCTTAACTTAATCTTCATGAATCTGAGTCCCATTGCTTGGTACGAGCTCGAGTTTGAGGCATCTGCAGGCCGCATGTATTAGTAAATTGCAACGTATACAAAACTCTGCAGCTAGGCTTGTCACCAGGATTCGCACACGTGAATCCATCACACCTATTCTCCATGATTTGCACTGGTTGCCGATACGGGCAAGAATAGATATTAAAGTTTTGGTTCTTACATATCAATGTATCCATGGTAGTGCCCCTGTTTATCTTCAAAGTTTAGTTCAGGAGGACAAACCGAAACATCAGAACAATTCAAAACCCGGGTCAAAACATATCTCTTCAATTTGTATAATTGTTGATTTCATGAGAGCGCATAGGGACCTCACGGTGATATGCGCTATATAAGAATGTTTTTTTATTATTATTATTATTAAGACAATGACGCAGGGTTCACCCTTGTCAGACACACTATACAATCTGTTTACGACAGTATGCTCTCTATAAATACTGCCATAACTAACGCTGACTTAAAGAGCCGCACTAGATTAAAAAGTGGATTGTAGATGGGCTTACAACATGCTCATATTCAAATAAGTCATTGATACATCTTGAAAATGTGCAGAAGTGTAAGGCGAAATTGGCATGAGTTTGTTTCTGCATCCAATAGGGGACGCTGAACAATAGAGGACAATAGGGTCCCCAATTCCCGAGAGGTCCCCAATTCCTGAGAGGTCCCCAAGTTGGATTCGTGTACAAAACATACGGGAGGTCTTCCCAAAAAGTACAAACAAAACAAGGACAATTGGGGGTCCCTGATTACAGGCAAATACACACTTGCGGGAGTCTGTGCAGACTTGTGATAAGGGCAACACACGTCATCACAAGTCAATCGTCAGTCATCCAGTCTCAAGTCACATCACAAGCTACTCAAATGAACGGTGATTCCTTTTTTCACTGTTTCATTCCTTGTGCTTGTGATTTGACTTGTGATGGACTGGATTACGCTTCTGAGTGTGTCCCAGGTTCACCTTTTTAATCGAGATTTTTTTTTCTTAATATTTGAGAGGGGTACACTTACAGAGCAGACAGTTCGCATGTAGACTTTGGATGTCCAGACAACCTCATGGTATATGACCCAGTCAAGGTCATCCCGACCAAACAACTGCAGGGAATTAAGTGAATTTATTAGTATCAACTTTTTGAGTGAACAATTAAGAAAAATTGATGAAAGCAAGAATTGAACCTGTGACTTTTAGAAGACCGTACTGGCGCTGTATTAACGGAGCTACCATGTGCTAAAAATAATTTTCTAGTAACAAACTTTTCAATTTGCAAGTTTTGTTTTAAAGAAAAAAAGTACTTTCTTAAATTGTGGGTGTCTGCATCCCTCTGAAGAAGGGCTTTCATATGGCACACAAAACTAGAATTTTGTTAATTTCTGTTTGATGTTTCATTCAAAAGTGAATAGCTTTTATATTGCTAGGAAAAAAGCAATTGAACAAAATCTACTTCGTATTTGGGCTCAAAGTCAAAATAGTGCAGGGAGTGCATCTTTCATTGATCAATCCATTCTAAGCAGTCTGTTGTTTTTTTTTATAACGTTTCTATGGAAATAGGCAACAGTGGCAGAATTCAAACATCTACTTGCTGGATTTAATTGCTGACAACTTTATGGACTTTGTGCAATAGCACCCCCCTACTTTAACAGTTACAAAGAGAAAAAAATGACATACTTGAATGCATCATCCCTGTGGGCCAAGTAGCCATGCAAAAACACTACATGCTTATGTTAATTCAGATGCATACTAGTTTTGCGTACTCCGCGGCATATGCCCGCAAACAGCGCGCCGCACACGCACAGTGTGTTCAACATACTTGCTCTTGCAAGTAGGCCACACAGCTCCTGTACGCCGAGTCCACTGTGAAAACGTTCAAAACCTTCTTGTTATCAAAAAAAGTTGATGACTGGCAAAGAAATGACTGGCAAAGAAATTACCTGGGAGGAGGGATGAATAAAGACCGCCGTGCCGTGTCCTTCCATGGTGCGAAAACCTCGCCCCGAAGTCGACTTCCTGGCAACGTTACAGAAGAGCCCTGCACACAGGGACCGACCCAACAAATCGCCATGGGTGGAGCTCGACGACACTCTCTCCTTGGGAAAATTTGGAGTCTGTATTAAAAGGGGGTAAAAAAACACTTATGTGAATGTAAAAATGAGGTACTTTTTGTGTGGTTGAGGTGGACAAGTTTGAAAAAACAAAATCGAAAAGAGGAGATGGCAAATTTCCCTTTCTGTTATTTTCGACCATATGTACGAATAACTTTAATGGGACTTTTTGCATCAGAGAGTTGTAAATTCTAATCTTGGATTTTCCTTGAAGCTTCAACTTTCCAACTTTGTGTACTCGGAGCTTTCGGAGTACTTGCGAGAATCAAAAATTGTTACCTTGAACTCGAACCCACAACCTTCTTTCTTACTACTGCATAAGAGCCAATGAATTTGCAGTATTTGCTGATGCATTTATTTAAACATCACCAAGTCATCCCTGACTTGCTTCATGGTTTAGTAATTAAGACCTCTGCACTAGTAAGCAGGAGGTGGTGGGTTCGAGTTCCACCAAAGCAAGCTTGTAATTATTTGGTTTCTAAGTCAGCATTGAGTATACAGTGCTTATATATAATTATTTGGTTTCTAAGTCAGCATTGAGTATACAGTGCTTATATATAATTATTTGGTTTTAAGTCAGCATTGAGTATACAGTGCTTATTTGGTTTCTAAGTCAGCATTGAGTATACAGTGCTTATATATAATTATTTGGTTTCTAAGTCAGCATTGAGTATACAGTGCTTATATATAATTACTTGGTTTCTAAGTCAGCATTGAGTATACAGTGCTTATATAAATTTCATCAGGTGAAGCCAAAACCCAATATTCATATTCATATCCACAAACCTTCATGGAATTCTGTTTATAATCTGGTATCATTGCATTGTTACTTTGTACCTTCATTTGTCTGTTCAAGATGCCTTCCAGCTGTTTGTGGATGCTGGCGGCCATCTTGACTGCCCTCAAATGGATGTAGTTCTTTCTGCACCACGATGCGGGAGAGTCACTGTTCAAGTGTTAAGAAAAGGATTAAAAAAAAAAAATTAACTCCCTTCAGATTGTTCTAAGTTTATTATAAATTTATACTTAAAGGGAATATACAACATTTGCAAACATCGAAAAATAAAACTACCAAGTTTTTGCGAAATACCTTAATAGGATGTTGGTAAATGACAGTCTAAAGCATCCTGTAAAATTATGGCACCTGGTATACTGTCATTTTCAAGAAAAGTGGTATTTTTGTATCAATTTCCAACGCTGATCGGCCGATCAGCGTTGGAAACAACTGGCTTTTTTTCAAATACTAGCCCCAATTGACCATTGCACTTGTTTGCAATCGATTACAAACCTATAAACGGGTACGAGCCAGCTAGACTGGTTCCCTGACCTTACAATTCCCCCAAAGTATGTAAACTGCTCTGTTTCTTCTTATATGGAGTCAGGGAACCAGACTATAGGAAAATTATCGTTTTTCTTGGTTTTTATAGCATTTTCGAAACCAAAACCTCCAAAAAGTTAGTGTAACTATATTTGCTTTATATTTCCAACCCCCCAATTCCATCCATTTCTGAAAATTACAGCAAAAGCAAATGATGTATATTCCCTTTAAAGGGAATATACAACATTTGCAAACATCGAAAAATAAAACTACCAAGTTTTTACAAAATACCTTAATAGGATGTTGGTAAATGTCAGTCTAAAGCATCCTGTAAAATTATGGCACCTGGTGTGAAGTCATTTTCAAGAAAATGGTATTTTTGTAAAAATTTTCCAGCGGTGGTCGGCCGACCACCGTTGGGAAAACCTAATTATTTTTCAACTACTGCTCCAAATTTACCATTTATTCAGTCCAAATTTTGTTTGCTATTGGTTACGTGTTCATGAACGGGTGCGGGCCAGCCAGACTGGTACCCTTGCCTTACAATTTTCTGGCATCTGTAAACTGATCCATTTTATAATTAGTGGAGTCAGGGAACCAGACTACTTGAACAGTTTTGTTTTTCTTGGTTTTTCCAGCATTTTTGAACACAAAACTTCAAACATGTCAGTGTAACAATATTTGATCTATTATACTAACCCCTCAAATAGTTCATTTCTGAAAATTACAGCAAAAGCCAATGATGTATATTCCCTTTAATTTATTGTAAAAATTTTCTTTTTAAATGCTGTTGTTTAAACAAAGGTAAAACGGCATGACTTCAGAAAAAGTGCACTAGGACATTACAGTGAAATCATACCCAAAAACGTTTATCCGAAACTGTATTAAAATGCAGTCAGTGCTTTGCCAAATTTTGTTTTTAACTTGCAACCTTTTTGACCTGTTAATCCCAAATGAAAGGACTCCATGATCAAACAAGAGATGGTGCTTTTTTGCCCCTTTAAAGAGCTCAGCAGAAAGACATATCTCACAACTAAATCTATACTCAATCTTCACAAATCTGTAATGTCTTTGCGTAAACGTCAGGCGCCTTCAGCAATGCTTTCAAGAGATCTTCCAAGTAGTCTTCGGCAAAAAAAAAAAATCTGTCTCTGGTTAGCGCGCACGTCGATTTGGATCATGCGCATCAATTTTTTTTTCAACAGCGCCCTCTTTTGCCGCACCACCTCAAATTTTTTGTGGGCAGCTCGACTCCAAATGATGGAGGGCAGCAAGGCAAATGATGGAGGACACCAAGGTATATGAGGACACAAAAAGCAAATTGTATTCACCTGGTCTGTACAATCCAAGCTTGAAAAAAAAAAACCTGCATCGCCACATCAATTCTGGAAATTTGGTCTGACCAGAGACTGACAATTTTTGTTGGGGGGGGGGGCCTTGTCACAACTCTCCCTTTGTTAACTGTTGAGGGGTACTTGCGCGTGAGTATAACATCCAATTTAAATGATACGTATTAAAAAGTCGTGGTCAAACTGACTTTGACTCGGCGAACCCCACACCGACCTGTCTGTGTAGTTTCTGTATACAGCCAGCAGGGTAGCAAAGTCATTGCTGCTTCCCGCCGTCTCTGCAAGCACTGCGTGGGCCTTAGCCGCTTCCTTCTGTTTGGCTGCGTCTCCTGTCCACACAAAAAAAAATCAAAATAAATTTCTCAACTAATCAATTTTGGTAACCTTCAATGGATTTTTTTGGTTAGGGAGATGTAAATTTCAATATTTGGTTGTTGCACTTATAAGCTTAAAATCTTATAAGCAGTGCGGTTAAATTCCAACTGACATGACTCCTGATAACTTGGTTATCGGGTAATCAACCCATTAGCCTCTGGCCAAAAAGTCACCCTGCCTATTACTTCCTGTACAGCCGAAACAGCCAAGCACACCATGGTTTTGTAAAATTTTTAGTGAATAAATACAATGCGAGTCACAATGTTGCACTGGCGCTAATGGGTTAAGAAGTCTCAAGTGGATATTACTGGTTGTGCATCCAAGTCCCACCTGAACAAGCTTGCTAGTTTTTTTCTCAAACTCCATGTAAATACTGACCCCGACTAATGACGGACAGTCACTTGTGAAATAATTAGACTTGTTTGAGCCTCATGGTGGCCCAAAAAAAGTCAAACCTTCTTGGATAATAATAATAATAATAACTGTATTTATATAGCGCTTTTTGCCAGAGGATACAAAGCGCTGGGGGAGAATGCAACCAAAGCCAGGTATAAATGAAGTATATGAACATATTATGAGACCCATTATGAAGCACCTTTTTGCTAGGTGCTGCGGCGCATATTGCTGCCACTACCAGAAACACCAGGGCAAACCCCTCCTCTTAGCGACAAGTGTTACTGGGTTCTTTAACGTGCATTACACAACACACGGTACCTACGGCTTAACGTCCCATCCGAAGGACGAAGCAATAATGGTAAAGTGCCTTGCTCAAGAGCACAAGCACCATGTTCCCACGGTCAGGATTCGAACCCGTGTACCACGGCACACAAGTCGAACACCGTAACCATTGGACCATAGCGCCCCAAGGATGACTACTTTGACCCTTTTAGACCAAATTGAGTTGGCACTAGATCTGTGAATGCGGCGTTGTAAAAAACGCCACGCTCCGTCCTCGCGAAAAAACACTCAAATTTATCACGCGGCATGTCATGCCACCAGTATTTTTGCCACAAGTACTTACTTATGAAGCTTTCTGTGAATTCACGCGAGTGTAGGATTTTGATTTGCCAAGAAATTTGTGGGGAAAATGACCTCAATACGACAACAAACGTATGAGCTGAACTGTTGATTTCCTGAGGTCACGCACGGTACGCTTGTACTCCGAGCGGGTGCGAAATGCGGGTGCGAAATGGTAGGAGCAGTCCGGGTCCGGGTACCCATACAATCTTGTGCGTTTCTACGAAACTCTGGAGTGTGGCTATGTATATAGCCATGTTCACGGGTCTAGTCTGGTACCTGCTTGAGTAGGCTTGCCTAGTCTAGTTTCCTTTGATTTCAACTTCTGCGCAAATGTTGAATTTGGACAGATTGAGGTTGAATACCTGGCCTTATGAAGACATTCTCCACAGACAACATGGCGGCTATTGGTAGCATCAACTCCTGACACTTGAGGGCGCCAGAGTAGATCACGGCTCTGGCTAGGCCTGGCGGGAGAGGATACTCAACCATCAGCCGCCCTAAGGAAGTGATACGACCGTCTCTGTCATGTAAAACACAGTATACAAAAAATTATTGAATGGTCAATGACATGAATTTTACACTGGAACATCATTTTGAAAATGTCAATTTCTCTAAAAACTATGAAACATCTTTTACTGGTTAAATGTTTTTCAGGTTTTAAACATTTAAATTATTTGATGCTTAGTCCCGACAACAGAGGGGGCTGTTGTTGTGATGTCAATTTAAGGCGCACACTCTTGAGTTCAGGCATTTTCTGTTCACATTGTGAACTCAAACATTTGCTCAGTCTTGCAACTTAAGGTGCGGAAGCTACAATCCTGGCCAAAACGGTTGGGACACTTCCTGAGCCTGCCACGGTCACCCACTCCCCCGCTCCCCCGCTCCCCCGGTCAATGTTGTTCTCTCCAGCTGATGGAGCACACACCGCACAATGAGAGACAACATTGAGTGGGGGCCGGGGGATTGGGGGCCCAGCGAGATTTGGCCAGGATTGTAGCTGCAAAACTCAAGTTTCTGCCACGAATGACAGCACAGTTCTGATACTGAATATGGCAATTTGCATTAGCATAAAAACCAAAAAGGCAGTTAAATGAATATAAAGGCGCAACTCAAGAGGCTGCATTATAAAACTCATATTTCATGGGACCTTTAACCAAGCATGGGTAAATTTTACGGAGGTGCTCAATCACAATAGGTGCACGTCACTGAGGAACATAGACCTGTTCACAGCGAGGGCGCTCTTTGCAGGGAGTCTATTACAATTATTAGCTACACCACCAACTTTACCATTATCATTGTCAAAACTTAGGAGGAAAAAAAGCATAAAACCTGGAACTCACTTGTCAATGGCACCAAAGTAGTACAGTTGTCTAAGTGCTTCTAACAGCATTCTCTCTCCCGGGGTATCAACGTATGGGAACCTGATGGTTTGCAGAACAAAATGAAAGTTAACTGAAAAAGGACAAGTCCACCAAAAGTTAATTACAAGTTCATCGCAGATCAATGTATGAGTAAGGTGACAAGTATTAAGGGATGAACAATGACAAAGGAATGTCTTTATCAGAGTTCATTGAGATAGAATGACTTAATTTCACTCCATGTTCAAACAAAAAAAGGGATTTTTGTTAAAATAACCTGATTTTTTTGGTTTATCACAAAACCCAAACTGCAATTTAGCCAGTTATGAAGAGACACTCGTGAAGAAGTCAATCTGTCGACAAATGCTGTAATATAATTCGCAAAGATAGTACACCACAGCCTGGGTTCAATGGGCAAATACAGGAACTGTTTACCAGATCTGTCTACAGGTTCACAAACATGGCCTAAGTAGGAAAACCCCCCTAGTGTGGGACCTTGTTGCACAGAGCAATCAACACCAGTGCATACTCTACCAATTCTGAGACAATGGGAGCCAGTCCTATTGAACAATGCCAATATGTATTCTGAGGTGGTTTAGCCATGGGATTTCTGACCTGATGGATCTTGTTACACTTGGCAAACTTCTTATTTAGGCCAAAAAAAAAAATAAGTCGGTCTCTGGTCAGCGCGCACGTCGATTTTAATCATGCGCGTCGATCTTTTTTTTTTCCTAAATGTTCCGCGGTGGCTCCAACAGCGCCCTCTATTTCCGCACCTCCTCAATTTTTTTTACAAAAGAGCACCAAGGAATGGGAAATTGCACCAAAGCAAATGATCGAAAGCACCAAGGCAAATTATGGAGGACACCAATGTACATGAGGACACCAACAAAGCAAAATAGTACCCCACCTTGTTTGTACAATCCAAGCTTGAAGAAAGAAAAAAAAAAGCAAAAAAAAAAAAAAAAAGCCGCGTGGCCGCGTCAATTCTGGAACTTTGGTCTGACCAGAGACCGAATATTTTTTTTTTTGGCCTTACAATGGAGGGTTAGGATTAAGAACATAAATGTCCATATTACTACAACAGAAGCAATAAATAATGTCAACCTACTCGAGTATGTTGTGGATTCCCATACATTTTAGGTTCAGCACAACGCTGGTCAAACTGGTGCGCTGGATCTCAGGCGTCATATCCTCCGACATAGCATTCTCGTAAAAACCCCTGCAATTAACCATCAGATTTTTTAATAAATATATTACTACACACTATACATATTTATAAGTTAACAACACTTCTATCATTTGTGGAAGTTCCAACACACCAGGGAAATACAAATAGCTATAGTGCATACACGGTGCACCTACTATTGCCCAACCATTTGGTAGTATCAGATTAAAGTCCTTTTTATATAAGCCAAAAAAAAAAGTCTCCGGTTTCTGGTATGTGCGCCCGTCGCCGTAGCCATGCGCGTCGGCAAAATGAAAAAGTTTTTTTCTTCAATGAAAGACGATGTCTCAAAACCACCAAACTCACTGGTTTGACTGGAATCCTGCTGCTGCACAATTTTAACGTGCTTTTAGATGGGGTTATGATCAAGAATAAGCTTTATGTGGCCTCTCTGGACTCCCATATATTTGCACTAAGTTTAGTTGGGCACCATTTGCAGTCATCAGCCGACACTTGAAGCAAAGAAAAACAGGTAAAAAAACAAAAGCTGCGTCGTCGCACCACTTTTTGGGCAAGTTCCATACCAGAAACTGTTTTTTTTTTGGGGGGGGGGGGCCTAATATACGATTGGCAGATAAAGAACCAATACAGCAAAAGGCAGTTTTGTGGACCAAAATAATGTGACCCTCCCCAACAAAAAGAGTCACAAATCGCCAGAGCTACTTTTGAGCAATTGGCCTTTTCACAGAATCTTACACAATGGAAATCAATGGAAACAGCAAACTTTTCACTTTAAAAACTGTGAGATATTATACAAATATAACATGGTTTGAGGGTGGATAGTCAATATTAGCATCCCGGGTACTGGAAGTCAGGCAAAGCCAAGGGAAATAGTTTGACAACTTCCAATGCTGAGGGGGGGGGGGGGGGGGGGGGGGGGGGGCTAATATCACCTATCCACCCGAAGTAAAGCATACTATATTTGTTATACTATACCTCATACATATTCAGTTGCCATTACAATTTCGGGCATAAAATCTTTGGAGAAAGTTGTCCAGCTCAACAGAAGAATATTGCTCAACCTCAGAAAAGTTAAGTTCTTTTGCAATAAAATAACTTCAAAGAGTTGTGGACGACTTGTTTAGTAGAGGAGGCATCTTTATTGTCTACAATATTTTTCAGTGAGGCATCGTTGCGGAGCTTGGGAAAACGCTGGTTAACATTTACATGAGCTGCTATCTTTTCATGAGTAGCTAGGGCGATGTTGCGCGTGTGTGTGCTACACCCGTGCGACAGTTCCACGTTTGATTGGTAAATTGAATGCGTAGTGGACTATCGCACAGGTAACCCGTATGACAGTTTACTACGCACGCAAAGTTACCCCGTGCGTGAATAATTGCATGCGTGCTTTGTAAACAGCCAAAATAGCGGCTGACACGTGACGGTGAATGGACCACTAAGAATTCAGCTCTTGATCATGAATATTTATGAGGTATAGTAAATCAACATGAAGCGCAACGTTTGTGCCTTTTTCTGCATGTGAAAAATAATAATCCCTTCTATGGATGGGCGGTGTCCTCGGGCAAGCCACTTTACAACATTCTCCACATTTTACCACATTCTCAGATCTTACTTGGTGTATATTCTGTAGCACTTGCCTGGCGCTGTTCTGCCAGCTCGACCTGATCTTTGTATTGCCTCCGATCTGAATACAAAAAAATTGATTAAACTGTCACGACACCACAATACTTACAAGGTGATGATTTATGGGGGAATAACTGCTTTCATCAACTGATCAACTAAGCCCCGACAGCCCGACTTCCATAAACAACTGATGAACACAACAAAAAGCCACTTTATAAAATAGCAGTATTTCTTTGATGTCATTAAGTAATTTATGAATGTCTTCATCATACCCACGCCTCCGTCATAAAGACTGAATACCAGAATTATCAAACTTACCTTGAGATGGGGACAATCTGAAGAGCGTCCAGCCCTGTCCGAGGATTGAAAGACAACTGCTTGACAAAACCGCTGTCCACAACATATCTGCCAAATCATAAAAAAAGCAAAAATGTGACTGTACAACAAACTGCATTTAAATTTCTGTCAAATGAAACAGACATGAAATAGCAGTATAACATTACTGTACAGCAAACTGCATGTGCATCCAATACATGTAGACATCAAATAGTTAAACCTGACCGAATATCAGTTTAGCATGACTGATTCTTACTTGATGCCGTCAATTGTCAATGACGTCCCTGCAATGTTGGTAGCAACCACGCACTTCCTAACGCCGGGCTCCGGGGGAAGAAAGATCCGCCTCTGCGCATCTAGATGGAAAAAAATGACACGAGGATGACGTACACATCATAGTGTGAATTCTACACAAAGTATCACTTCTGTAAACGTCTGTACCAGTCACATGTGACTTATAGTTTTAGACGAGGAATGAAAGTGGAGGGGTTAGAACTACTTAAAAATCAGGAAACTAGATGTTTGAAAAATTATGGAGATTTTCAGAATTTTAACTGGTACGTAAGACGTCTGCACTAGTAACTATTATAACACAACCTTGCTGGTCACTAATATTGGCTAGTGCATGAAATTTGCGTCAGTGTGAACTAGACATGGGTCAAGACATCGAGCGCGCGTAATTTCGGGCACCATACTAAACATTTTTGACTGGTTACAGCGCCCTCTCAAAAACTCAAACTCAAAAACTGAATCTAGGGAACTAAAAACGTTCCTGTAATTGTTGAATTGCTCACAGTTGAATTGCTTGTGAGTTAATTGTTGAATGAACGAGTCCACTTACAAAACCCTGAAAAGTTTCTTTTCTTATTTTATATTTTGGACAGAGGTGCGTTATAAAACACATATTTCCCGAGGCCGAAATAGGACCCACTTCTGGGGCCAATTTCACGGCGCTGCTAAGCACAAAAATTTGCTTAACATAAAAAAAGTCTGGCTTATAAAAGCAGGTTACCAGCCAAAACTCCATGTGATGTTTATTGCTCGTGATTAGTATTCAGCTGTTGTTTGCTTAGCATGAAAATTACATGGAGTTTTGGCTGGTAACCTGCTTTTATAAGCCAGACTTTTTTGTGTTAAGCAAATTTTTGTGCTTAGCAGCACCTTGAAATTGGCCCCTGGTCACTCACAGTCCCTAGACGTGCACTAGTTACCTCATTACCAGTTTATATTTGTATAAAAGGTAATGGGTTCAAGTCCCACCATAGTAGTTTAGTAAGCATGTTTGTTTGTTTTTAACTTACCAGTTGCCATGGATCCATACACAGGCAAAACCATGAGGGCTTCAACTGCTGGGTCCCTGACGTCGTGGCGATAATCGATCTTCTCTGATTTCTCAAAGATGGTGTCGCAGGCTTTCTCGATCTCCGCCTGGCCGGTCAAAAAGACCAAGATGTCGCCTGTCTTCTGCTCCAAGTGGATGTCCAGAACCGTGTCAACAACCTGCGAATGAACATTAGCAGGACTAACCTTGTAGAGATGTGCGGAATATACTCAATATTAGATATATTCAATCAACCACCACATATTCGAATAGCACTCTATTTGATTCACATATTTGAAAAATATGAGGGGTCTTGAGAAGATGAAGACAAACACCACACTGTCATTGTAATATTTTAAGTTGCGTAGTTTTATGGTTTTCAAATGCTACATTTTGGTCAACAGTCACTTAACAGTTTATACGCACGACTCCTGGAATATTAGCTCTTACTGCATCTTTAAAATCTTTCAAAGATCAGCCAGCTAGCTGCCTTGACATTCACTGACACATAAATGATATTCATTGTCCATTTTTGACAGGCGTACCCTCAGACCGATATTAAGTTAAGACAAGTTTAGTCGCATTGCTAAGGAAATGTTGGACGCGTCTTAAGTTTGGTGAAATCAATCCTAGGACGAGTCGCGAGTTAAGACGAGTAACCCTTCCTAAGAGGCGTCTTAGCATTTCATAAAATCGGCCCCAGGCGACTTTTCCTGGACTCGGGAAAAGTAACCAAGTAGAATATTTTCTGGGCTGCTTGCACCGGACTTTTGGGATACATGGGCCAAAAACCCTTGTGCTGAACTTTGTTACTTTATTTAGTAGTCATACAGCAGCTTTCAGCCTCAAATATTGATAACTTTCCAGAGTTGTAATGACTCGACTCGAGTCCGACTCAAGTCACAAATTTTGGTGACTTGACTCGACTCGAGTCCCTCATCAGAATGACTTGACTCAACTCGAGGAAGGCTAATAAGACTCGAGTCCCAAAAATAAAAGCAAAACTTTGCGAAAAATATTTGCAATGACTTACGCCGGTGCAGGTTTTTGTTCACGTCACGTTAGAATGTTCGCGAAAAATGTATACGTATACATACATTAGTTGAATTGCGATCACCTGGCACCCCGTTTTTATTTTCATTGAGAGTCAAATGTGGTGTCACCACATGTAGTAGCCAGAATGTAAATTTAAAAAAGCCCAAAAACAACTTTCTCTCTTGTGTTTATTTATTGTATAGTGTTCAAATATTTGTGACTCGAATTGACTCGAGCTAAATACTTGACTCGACTCAACTCGACTCGACTCGACTACACACTGTGACTCGACTCGACCCAACCTTCTTGACCTAATGACTCAACTCAACTCGAGTCACTTCTTTTTTCGACTCGACTCGACTCCAGTCACAAAAATCAGTGACTCGTTACAACTCTACAACTTCCATGAAAGAAAAATTGAATACCTTGGTGACATAATTGACAGTCAGATCTCTCCTCAGGTCGCTCTCCTCGATCATATCGCAGTAGAGGTTCTTGACCGGGTGCAGCCTGCCGGGAATCTCGAAGACCGGACAGCCGCCCAGAAAGTCAGAGAATTTGCCCTGGTCAAGGGTCGCCGACATGACGATGACCTTTAATGGGTGTCGCCTCCTTTTGGAGGATGGAGTTTGGGAACTGAGGAAGAGTTGCTTGACTAAACCAAATAGGATGTCCTGTTGACATATCACAGTAAAATAAATAAATAAATACAGGGGAGGTTTGTTCTTCACAAATATAGTGTAACTTTACATTTCCAGGTTACAAGTTTTCCACGGCTCAAGCAGACTAGCCACACCATCTAATTCAATGCAAGATACTTCACAAATAAACAAATACTTAATTTTAAATACAATTAAAGCATTAAGTAAAACAAATCCCCTCGGGCATTGAAACAATCGTAATAAATTTATAAAAACCAAGCTTTCCATTAACCCTAACTCCCTGGGCATTTTTGCAGAGATATAGCCTCAATCCTGCAAAATACTCCGTTCTTTCTTGCATGTGGTCCTTGGAGGGGTGACCACTGCCTCAATCCTGCAAAATCCTCCAGCAATCACAGTCAATATATTGAGTATGAGTATACACTCACATGTGCAGAGCCACATGAGGAACGTCTGATATATCCTAGCATGCAAATTTTATGTGGCCCCAAGTGCCAGCAAATCAGAGTCGACTTAAGAAATTATGACACTGTTTTAATCAGAAATGTGGACCAAACTGTTGATTTTTTAAATACGACAAAAGGTTACGGAATACCCGATAGAAGGTGCCCGCTGAATGGTCAGAATCTGGAGATCAATACGCAGTCTTGATTTACATAATTAATCGCCGAATCTGCTCGCATATCATAGACACTTGCTGTGCAAAACCGGAAGGAGATATTCCATAGACTAGTGCGGACAAGACCAAAATGATAAAATGTTGACAATTTTTTTTACCGTATCTAAGCTTCGTTCATGAGCCTCGTCCAGTACGATGACGCTGTATCGACTCAGCTCCTTGTCTTCAAGAAACTCCCTGAGCAGGCATCCATCTGTCATATACTTGATAGCAGTGTCTAGAAATTCATAGAATTATCAAGTTTCTTTCAGATCAAATTGATGTCAAGATACTGCAACATTTTTTTAGTGCAGTACTCGCAATTGTTTGCACGAGATTGAATGTACAACAAATCTGAAAGCGTATGACAAACACATTTTATAAAGTAGCGTGTAATTTTACTTAAGAAGGGTCACGATGTTTAACTTTTCATATCAAGCATCCTTAACTCTAACTCCCTAGGCATTTTTGCTAGGATGTAACCTCAATCCTGCAAAATCCTCCAACTGCCTCCATGTAAAAATAACAGACAGCCTCAATCCAGCAAAAAACCTCTGTTATTGCTTGAATGTGGTCCTTGCAAGGGTGACCACTGCCTCAATCCTGCAAAATCCTTCAGCAACCACTGTCAATATGTTGAATGGCATATCCTGAAGCAGTGCAGAGGATTTCTAGTATTATCTAGCCTAGTTTAAATTTATGCACGGCTGAACATTAATAATACAAGGTCCGTCCTAAGACCTTGATACAGTGCTTCCTCCAAACTCAGCCACACACTTTTGCCATAAAGTCTCAATCCTGCAAAATCCTTCATTTTGCAAAAGAGGATTATGGAGGTTTTGGGATGGTTAGGGTTATGAAAATGCTAAATGTTTGAAAAAATTCTAACATAAGGAAAGCCTGGCAGTACAAATTTTAACTGTACAGGTTATTTTAACCGCCCTGCATCCTTCAAAATCCTCTTTGCCAAAGTGGAGGAATTTGGAGGATTGAGGTTACATGGCAAAAATGTGTTAATTTCATAGGATGCACTTTGTCAAGGTTTTGGGCCAGACCTTGTGTTGTTTTTGCTCAGCCATGCATAAATATAGGCCTGGATTATGCTTGAAATCCTCTGTACTGCTCCAGGATGTCACTGGCCAAGCCTCACCATATTGACACTCACTGCCGCAGGATTTTGCAGGATTCAGGCAGTGGTCACCCCTCCACCAATTCAAGAAATAATGGAGGAATTTGCAGGATTGAGGCTATTTTTCCATGAGGCCAATTGGAGGATTTTGCAGGATTGAGACTACATCCTTGCAAAAAGGCCTAGGGAGTTGTTAAATTAAACTCTCCATATCCTCCAAAGTCTGATACGCTCTGACACTGTCTCAAATCTGGGATGGGAGGTTCAAAGTTTCTAAAAGAATGTGCAGTTTAATGTACAGTGTTTGATTTCTTTCAAGAATTTGGGAAACCTTCAGGCCAAAAACAAAAAGACAAGAAAGGAGAGAGAGAGATAGAGAAAAGGAAAAGCCAAGAGATATTGGGATAACATTGAAAGGAGTAAAGGTCAATGTCATCAATGTCGATGGATGCAGAAGCCTGTCAGAAATGAATCACCTGTGGATGTGCGATCGTCAAAACGCACCTGATAGCCCACTGTGTGTCCCAGGGTGCACTGCATTTCATCTGCCACCCTGGATGCCACCGAGATGGCCGCCACACGTCTGGGCTGAGTAACGCCCACCAGCCCATGTTTGCCGTAGCCTGTGAAAAAAAAAAAATTCAGTAACTTGTGAAGTGAAGCTCAAATAAGGTTGGCAGAAAAATCAGAGCTGCAAATGCTTCCAAGAAATTTGAAGTAATAAAAAACACGATGTACAAAGGGTAGGCCTAAAACTACATATTTTGGTTTATTAAATTAAGGGAATAAGCGTGTGCTTGGGAGGTGTTAAACACTATGTTTAAGACCGGTTGGAGTCTGGAATGCTGATAATACCCAAGGCGAAGCCGAGAGTGATTATCAGCACGCCGCCGCCCGATCATATGCGCAGCCCGATCATATGCGTCACATGAAGCAGACAGGTAGCTCGGAGGGCTCCAATAATCTGGCACGCAAGTGACCCTGGGTACTTGTCCAGTTAACGTTAAAATCTAATTTCTACACGTCCATATGGGTCTTCATTGACGGCAAATTTCGTCGAAATGACACATCCTGAACACGCGGGAAGGCAAATTTAGATTTCTAGGTGAGTACTCAACATGCATACGAAATTTTGTATGGCGGATCGATTTCGCCAGGTTCGAAATGAAACAACAACGCCACATTCACGGGTCTATATTCAGTCATGTCAGTTGAATGACAATGATAGTCTGGTTCCAACAGCCAAGGATAATGACGATGAATACCAGTATTGGGTCAGGGAACCAGATGGTTGATATGGATTCGCAAAGGTGTTTTTGCAATGCCATAATGATAGCGTTTCAAAATTGCGTTACAGCTGCCGTAACAATAGCCACTGCGAAAATTAGAAAAATTAAATGAAAAGTACCGCCACAATTTAATGCCTATAAAAATATATTAAATTAAGGCAGTGTATATTTTGCCGGAGACGGCAAACATTTAGTAAACGTTAGTTTGCCGGCACAGTTACTGTTTTTTTGTACTTAAACATTTTCCGGTGACAAGTTTTAGTCTGGCATGTCTGGCTCCATGCCAAACACTGCCAAAATTATCGTTGTTACCTCGTATTCACAAGATGGGATTCAGACCATTTTATAATTTCGGACTTTATTTCCCTTTTAAAAAAAATCCTCCAGAGCCACAAATCTGAAAAAGAAAATGTAATACTCTGCAAAAAATGTTTGAGACATGTTGTTAAAATAATAATAAAAGAAAAATATTCTTATTTATTTGGGGATGAGAAAAAAAACCTTAAAAATGTGGTGCGGTCGGAATCGAACCCGAGTCATCCCGCTTACTCGAGCCTTTGCTTAACCATTACACCAAACGTGCTACACAACTTTTGGTGGGAATTTAATACATCTTATAATTCAGCCCTATTTTAAAGAGTACAGCGCCCTCTGTTGATATGGATTGCCGCCGGCAAACCTTTAGTAATCGTTAGTTTGCCGTCATTACCTCCGGCAAAATATCCACTATCTTTAAATTAAACTAGGATAATCTGATTTATTCAAAAATAAAATACAAATATTCATCATCATTGTAAAAAATACTATCTGAAGTATTTTGCATGTAATAAACATCGCTGGTGTGATAACTCGAAATTTTGAAAAAGAGTGAATGTCGCGTCCGCTCCGTAGGCCCTATGTCCGGAAATTGGGCATTCAAGCCCGACAGCATAAAGCGACTTAAAATAAGAATACGAAAAGCCAACCTGCTTCATAAAGGAACTGAGCAAGTTGTGTTGACTTTCCGCTTCCAGTTTCACCAACAATCACAAGTGATTGTGAATTCTGTATGGCCTTGAGAATGTCTTTTTTGTACTTGTGAATTGGAAGCGAAACATTACTCATGGAGGTCGCCATCTTGAAAATGACCTAAACGTAGGGACCAGACTAGTATAATGTATTTCACAACGGTCTGAGTGGTCATATCTACTCTGGTTCCTGAACTTCTCACTTCTTCACAACACCGCGCCGTATTGCAGTAAACGATGTAAACAAATTGCGCCACATTGTGCAAGCAAGAGCTCATCCAACTTCAGTTGAGGGCATGTCGATATGTTTTGCAATCTTTTCCACCAAGTTACAGAGGTATAAAAGAAGAACGATTTAATAAAACACAGGTTGCTTGTATTGCGGTTCTGCTATAGGTGAGCAAGGACAAGGTAGGCAAACATGGCAGAGTGACATCCGGCATTTTATTTTTAAACAACTTGAACTTTGTCCTGTTTTTTTTGTTAACATATGTAGGGCCTACAGTGTATATAGACCCGTGAACGTGGCATTGTAACTTGTATACAGCACGTTCACGGGTCTAATATGTACAATGTACAATGTACTAGTAGTAGTAATATGTATCCTGATGCCACTTTGTTGTAAAAGAAATTTGGTAGACATGGCATGGTAGACGTTTAGCTTTAGGACACCTCTTTCATCATCATGTTTTACTAGTTCCATTTACCCCTAGAACTATGGTAATCCGCGTAGAGGAGCACCATAGTTCTAGGGGTAAGTTCCATTCATAAATCAAACCTTTGCCTCGTTCCACCAAATTAAGCTAGCTGATATTCAACATGGTATCTCAGCGAACTGTTTCTAGATGATTCCAAACAAATAAAAGTGACTTTTCCTGCTTGTATCGTAGCCAAATGTTTAGGTATCAAGCCCCAAAATGTTTTAATGATTTGTTGGTAGGATAGGACCATTCAGAATTTGATCCCAAGCCAGTTTTCTTCAGTCATTAAAATAAACATACCGTTTCTTTAATTTGATTTGACCATTCTCACATTTCATCCCAGATCATGGCAGAGGCTTCAGCAGATCCCCATTCTCATTTCTCGGAAGATCTGGCCAGCGAGTTGGAGGCACTCAGATCAATTTTTGGCGGCGATGGAGAATTTGAAGTCCAGGAGTTGCCACCGGGCAGCGAGTACTGTTGTGTCGTGCAGGTGAAACCAGAGGGTCTGGCTGTAGGCTTGAAGTTCTCCCTACCTGGTGAGTTGGCAGTCCCAGGATAACGCCTCATTAATCACAGAGAATATTTGCTTATAGTCAGGTGGCTTAGACCCAATTTTTGACAAGATCGTGACCCACTGGTCCAAAGCACCAAACTTGGCAGATAGATTCTTATAGCCCTAGAGAAGATATTTAGAAGGAGTGACACCTTAAAAATTTTTGGGAAGGATGCCTAATTTGCATAAATTGTAAATACCTAGCATTTAATATATTTGTTCCCATATTAAGGTATATATATTTTTTGATCAGTTTAAAACAAAATTAGGTAAACATGAAATCAAGAAAATTGAAGAAAGCCGCAAACTTTAGGAAAAATTGACATCCAAATTACAATGTATGAAATAAAAATTATAATTGTGGTTGTTATTTGATACAGACACCTATCCTGACAAAAGTCCAAAGGTTGAGATTCTGCCAACTGAGAAGAACGTAATGCTACTGAATGATGACCCAATCTTGACTGAGCTCCTGCAATTGCTGTATCAGTCAGCGCAAGAAGCCGACGGGGAACCGATGATGTACAGGCTGATAGACATTGCCAGGGAATGGCTGGAGGGGCGGAGCTTAGAAGGAGAGGGGGCGGATGAGGATGACGATGAGCAAGAAGAATCAGGTATGTGGTCATCTGTGTTCTCTTCTCTTTTTTTGCCCTTTTTTACTCCAACTTTGTCATCCTAACCCCCCAGTAGTTCCCCAGGACTTCCCTTCTAAATCCCACAGAGTCTGACGGTTACTCATATGAGTTTCCTGCTCAATCCAACACAGTCCTACACAACCCAACTTCCCAGGTTGTGGGGTACCTGAAAATATAAAATGACTGGCATGCTTAATGCAACAGAATCCAACTGAAGGTATCGGTCTCACGTCACGTGATGATGGAGCTATTTTAGGAATAATCTTCAAGCAAACTTGAATTCAGTGTTCATGATTGGTCGATCCTAGGCAATAACAGTGTGATATTATACCTAATAGCACAGTTGATATCGTACTCTGCGTATCACGCTATTATTATTATTATTAATAATCATTTCTGGTAATGAAACCAAGGATTCCTCAAAAGCGCCCTAGGAACTGTAGCTCGCAAACCTGAAGAAACCTGTGGAGAGAAGACAATGAGAAGTTACAGTTTTAGAGGTGGGAGGAAAAGCCCAGAAGAATATTCTGGGGAAAACCCACGGAATCAGGCAGGGACTGAAAACCCAATCCACATATTGGCCCAGGCGGGATTCGAACCCGGGTCACAGCGGTGGAAGGCGAGGAAAGTACCGCTACGCCAACCTGACTCCCTTATGCTCCGTTCCTTGTGCACGCACCTGCAACAGGATAATCGTGTGTGTACCCCGTGCATGTTCCTTCTTTACTGTGCGTACTAGTTTGCTCGGCAATAAATTGTTATCCCTCTCGCGCTTGAGGAACACAGAGAGTATAGTGCATCTTGTGTCCCACATACAGATGCACTATGCAGTGTACCTATGAGTGGCACTGGCTGCTGTGCCGAGTTGCTGCATATCTCTTATGGAAAGTGAAAGTATCTGATTAGTTAGTGGACGGTTAATTAGGGATAAAAATGTCGTCCATCCCCCTCTTGTACATGAACTGTGAATGTGAGAAGTTTCAACTATCGAGTTGATTGCACAATGAAATGTGTAACCAGACATTTGAACAAACCCATATCATCTTTGCATTTCAGCCAACAAAGAAGAGACAGCCCAGTCACTGACCCATAAACGCAACAAGAAACCAACAAAGCTTGATGCTGATGAGGAGGAAGACTACAAGAAAAAGGGGAAGAAGAAAAAGAAGAAAAAACCAGCCGAAGACAATCAAGGCCCCGTGAAGAAATCGCGGATGAAGACGGCCTCGGAGGTGATCTCTCGCATCCAGTGGGACAAACAGGTTCGCAAGGAGGACTTCATCGTTGGCTACCTCGACCGCTTCAGGGGCGTCATCGAAAAGCCCTTCACCACCTTCAGCTGGGTGGATATCGCCACCGTAGACGATTACGACTCGCTTGCGATTCCACGTCACCGTATCCAGTACTTCAAATACAAGGACCGGGTAGTTTGGGATAAGAATGAGCGGTTGGACGACGTCTTTGGATCGACGGGCAGCAAGAAGACCATCTTGGACACCGTGGAGGTGTTCTCTAAGGAGAACCAGAGCGTGGAAGAGAAGGAGGCAAGTGATGCAGTTGGGGATGATTCAGTTGTTCAGGAGGCGACTGAAGAATCAGATCTCGTACAGGAGGCAAAGTCGGAAGAAAAAAGGCGCCGACCTTCACGACGCCCCAATTACTTCCTCGCCATCCGTGTCACTGATCCAGTCATTCGCAGGTGCGTCAGGCGGATCCAGGACGCGCTCTGCGATGACGATCCACGTCTTGACAGTTCGCGCACCGACCTGGACAGTCTCCACATCACGCTGTGCACGATGCGATTAGACAGCCAGGATGACATGTCTAAAGCCATCGACGTCCTTAAGTCGCTTCAACGTGACATCTCGGAACTTCTCTCGCCAGTCACCATGCTCCGATTCCAAGGACTAGACCAGTTTCATGGCCGGGTCCTGTTTTCTCCTCCAGAGGAATGCCCAGCCCTCATAAAACTCTCCCAGATGCTCCAGGCAGCATTAGGAGAAGCAGGAATCAATTTAGTGGGCAATCGTCCCCAATTCAACCCGCACATGACTATCTTCAAGATGAGGCGAGAAGAAGCTGATGATTTTGACGGCACGCCATTACGCTCTTATCTATATGAGCGATTTTCGCAAGCATTTCTTGGGGTGCAGCCCATAGAGGCCGTCCACCTGTGCTCTATGGACGACCCCCATAGGGCCGATGGGTTCTACTATTGCCTTGCTAGTATGGACATTCAATCTGAACATTGAGCCGCAACTTAAGGGATCATGAAATTTGTGCTGGAACATGTTTTGAGCAAATTTCCATTCCTCTGAAATATTGGGAAAAATTGTGAGACATCCCTTTTTGATTTTGATAACAGCTTTTGTTAAGTGCACTTTCTGTAAAATTCAAGAGGTTCCATGCTTTTCCTAACAACTGAGGGCGCTGTTGCTGCGATGTCATTTTAGCCACACACTCTTCGGTTTTCTGCCCCACAATTTCTCTAATTGGGACAAAAGTTGTATGGAAAACAACAGTGAATCACCAAAACGGTACATGGACGACACCAAAATTGTTTTTAAAAATTGGCAACTTTTGGTGCCAGGGCCCCAATGGAAGCCAATTTTGAACTGTTTGGGCATACCCTGGGTAAAGAAATGTGATAAAAAAAATAATAAGTACACAATACATTTTAAACTCACCATTTTAAACTTATCTAGAAATTGGCAATTACAATGTATCTGTTAGCATCAGCTTAATTTCTTCTTATTCCATTTCTATGCAGTGAACAAACATTTTAATTGAATGTCTATCTTGACTAGATTTTGGTCTGAAGTACCTTACTGTTAAACTTCATTATATTACCTAAATGTTTAACTTCATTATATTACTTATGTTTTGTTTAATGCATTCAGACTTTTTAGCACTAAAAAGTTACTGTATAAATTGAATAGTGTTAAATTCTATAAATCAAAGTGCAGTTAGCTTAATATTTATGTATTTTTTAATTTTCTACAATTTATACACACCTCAGATCAATTATATTCATGTACTTGTAAGTTAAATGTATAGAGTTGGAGCAAGTTTAAAAAAATATATGTTCACAATCCAAAAACAAATCTAATTAAAATTTGTTTTTTACGGAAAACCTTTATTTTTGCTCAATAAATTTGAATATAAGTCAGTTACAAGTAATTACAAGTTAATTTCAAAAATGTTGAGGGCATCCAAGAAACACCTCACTAGTGTCTTAATTTCTTTTCCCTAACATTTTAATAAATTGATTTCTGTGTTTGGGAATTAACTGTTTAAGAGGTTAAGAAATGGAAAAAGGCTGTTTTTGTTATTGAATGACAGTGGACCAAATTTCAAGAAAATCAAAGTTGAAATAAATTTGCAGTATTTTTTCATATACATTTTAAATAAAATGAAAAATGATATAATAACCCTCACAATAAAGTAAATCGTTTGTCTCTACGAAACTCGTTGTAAAATTCAGGGTTGTTTGTATGTTTTTATGTTTCCCAACAATCATTCTCACAAAATTCCTCAACAATCGTGAAGTAGGAGGTCCGTAAATCCGAATTTTTTCGGTACCTAGCCGTAGCTTGGAAAACCCAGGGATTAGGCTCGTGACATGGGAAATTCCAGTACAGTAGCGAATTACCCATGCCATGAGTAAAGCTGGGTTTTGATAGCTGTTCGGAACCTTACCTTAAAAACTATTGCCAGTAAATTGTCCTTGCTACTGAGTACTGGTATGGGCCGAATTTACAAATTTCGAATTACAAATGCGTGTATTTGCGAGTTTTTTTGTGCAGTTATGTTTGTTGAAGCGCGAAAGCAACCCACAATAAGATACCTTTTCGGTGGTTTGAAGACGTTCAAATTAAAAGGAGAAACTTTTTTTTCGTTAAAATTTATATTTGCTTGTTTGTTTTTGTAGCCTAATTAGGCCTATACAGTTTTAAATATTGGTTTTAAATGGCGCGCTCCAGTTCAGAAATTGCGCCCACTATACTACTAGAACGAATTAGGAGCTTGCGCTGTCAATTCAAAAGTTGAAATTAATTAATTGATTACTTGTGGGCGGAATTTTTTTTCTCATTTTCTCATTGGAAAGCTCAACTAATGTAAATGCTAGAAAATAATCAATTCAATTTGAAAATCTCTTTGTTCAAGGTTACTGTAAAGTACACAAATTGAAAATTCCTTAGAATAAAAAAAAATATTCAATTTATGGAAAGCAGGCGCGTACGTGCACCACGTGCTAGAATAATACACTTAAAACTAAAACACATCGTTGAGGGCGCTCTTGAATCAAAACAGTGCAGAAGTTTCACGGATAAAGATCTGCAACTAAAGTAAGTGCAAACTTGATCAGAAATTTCTTCTAATTTCAGCTCGGTCTAGGTAACAGCGTGGCCGTATGTTTTTGTTCATAAATGCATGTGCCTTCTGTCGCCTTTTCGCCTGGCACAATTTTGGTCAAATGGGGACAGTGGCGCACCCAGGATTTCAAAAATGTTGCCCATTTTTTGGGGGCTGCATGCAGAGACAAGGGGGTTTTTTGGACCGTTTTTTTTTTGGGGGGGGAACCAACTATTTTGATGTTGGTGGCGCCATTTACTGATTTAGGCCTACTACTCGAAAATAGGCCTATGCATACATATTAGCATGGTCAAATCGTGGGACTAAAAAAAAAATGTATCCCCCCTAAAAAAAATATATAATTGACAACCTCTTGAATTGGGGAGGGGAGGGGGGCTCAAGCCCCTCGATAGCCCCACTAGTGTGTACTCCTAGAACTATGAGGCTCCACGTAGTGGAGCCTCATAGGTTCAGAAGCCCGCAAAATTGTTGTCAGCACAAAACACTAATTAAGTACAAAAACGTCCATCCCAAGCAGGCCGTTTTCCACAGAACCGCTGCACAGTTTGCCCCTAAACTCCATACAATACCTCATGACATACTCACGTTATGTGCACCCAACAAACATCGGTGGATTCTGTCTGTTTTTCGGCAAAAATGATGAAAAATATGCCCTTTCCGCACTGAGCCAACCTAACACTTGAAACGAGCACGCGTGCAGAATGATCGCAGTTATTTTCGGTTCGATCGCTCGGAGCGCGCCGCGGGGGGTACGTACGTGCACTTGTACGCATGTGCATACTATCGTTCCGCTCCTACACCATACCCCCGCGGCGCGCTCCGAGCGATCGAACCGAAAATAACTGCGATCATTCTGCACGCGTGCTCGTTTCAAGTGTTAGGTTGGCTCAGTGCAGAAAGGGCATATTTTTCATCATTTTTGCCGAAAAACAGACAGAATCCACCGATGTTTGTTGGGTGCACATAACGTGAGTATGTCATGAGGTATTGTATGGAGTTTAGGGGCAAACTGTGCAGCGGTTCTGTGGAAAACGGCCTGCTTGGGATGGACGTTTTTGTACTTAATTAGTGTTTTGTGCTGACAACAATTTTGCGGGCTTCTGAACCTATGAGGCTCCACTACGTGGAGCCTCATAGTTCTAGGAGTAACTAGTGTGGCCGTCGGTATGCTGCGCTGAACCTCTGCGCAGCATACCGACGGCCACACTAGTTGGGCTAGCCCCCCGAGTGCCCCCCCCCCCTCCACCTGGCCCTTGGGTGCGCCACTGAACGGGGATTCAAAAGATGGAAAAAATTCCGTACTCGGACGTCACTTTTTTCAATTAATTTTCTAGTGCCAAAAGTTAAATCTCAGAATCTCAGAATCTCAGAAACTTGACTGGATATCGCCGCTAGGCATCATCATCCAGTTTATGGTTATTCCTCCACTTTCCCTCCTCTACTCTCACCCTCTCCTTTCCTTAATTTCTATTTATTAATCAGTCAGTTACTTCATCGGGATTCGAACCTCTGACGCTTGCTTGATACACGAGACTCTTAACCGCTAGGCCGCGCACGATCGCTGTTGCAATAATCAATCTTTGGACGTATTTGAAGTATCCATTGAAATAAACTAAATATTCATGAGAAAATAAATATTCATAATGACGTATTGCACTATCATTGGCAGGCTCATGCGACGTCATGGTTGTTGATGTCACGTGTATAACGTACCGCTGTCTTTCAGCCACTACAATCAGTTTTGACCGGCTGCTTCAAGTTAGTTCTGCACGACGTATGCATCCAAAATGTGCTCTAAAAAACACATTTTGAGTAAATTTTTTTCACCTTTACACAGCTTCCTGGCTTTCTCTTGGTTCAAATGACAAGGTGAGGTGACAATTAATATGTTTGGCAGCAGATAAATTGACGTCCGAGTACGGAACTTTTCCCCAAAAGATAATGGAAAAAATAAAAGTTGATACATTCAACATGTTCAATGTCGGTACCGGGCATTCAGATATATTGTGTGAACAGCTGGGAAGCAGCGGCGTCATTAGCAACTATGACCGCACAGCGTCGGGGGGGGGGGGGGGGGGGGGGGGGGGGGGGGGGGGGGGGGGGGGGGGGGGGGGGGGGGGGGGGACAACTACCGTAAAAAAAATACAGAAATACACACATGTACGGCTTTTGCTGTGGGGAGGGGGAAATTGCTCGTCAAGGGGGAGCCCGGCCCCACCAGGCCCCACCCTCCTTGACGATGGGCCTGCTGCACCTGCTCATCATCAATGCTACACGACTTGCACAAGAGTCCACTCAAGGCCAGACATCTCCAAAGCCATCTAGGGATTAAAAAGCACATTCTTTCTCTCTGTGGAGCAAATATGGAAGAAAAGTCGGCTTTAAAATGTGAATTGAGACCTCAAACTTTGTTAAAATCTTCCAGACCTCTTCTCTGCCTCATGGAAATTTTCAAGAAATTTTTCGAACAAAAGGATAGTCCTTCTAGCCTCTATGATCTTTTTGCTTTGTAATTTTGTGTATTTGTTTGAATGAGTTTTTTTTTGCCCTCAGGGTTTTGGCCCGATTCATGAGAAGACATCATGGCGGCTAGCTCTGACTCAACATCACCACCGGACTGGGATGTGATCATTGTAGGGGCCGGCATTGCCGGGCTAACCGCTGCCTACCGACTGCAGAAACAGAAGCCGGGAATAAAGGTGCTGGTTTTAGAGGCAAAAGGTTTGTGCAAATGAGTATGTAAGTATGTGAAGAAGAATTGGTATCATTGCAAGGCCAAATAAAAAAAACACATGTTAAGCGTCCTGCCTTTTTGAAAAAAAAAGGAAGGAGGAGGCCCTTTTTTTTCCAAAAATGGCGGCCCGACCCATTTTTCCAAAATGTCTGGTTGGGCTATTTTTCGAGATGGCCACCAGCTTTTTTTTTTTTTTTGGCTGCCACTTGGACTCAGGAAATGACATACCAGCTTTTTAGATTCTAAAAAGTATGACATTTTTTTCCTAAAAATATCATTAAATTTAACTCTTTTTTTTTTTCAATTAAAAAAAAAAGAAAAAAGAGGCAGCCTCCAAAAAAGGAAGCGGGCGGGGACACTAAACCTTTTTTTTTTTTTAAATTTCAAATAAAGGTCCCGGAAAGACATTTACAATGATATAAGGTCACTACGGATCATCTTCCCGTGACATAAAATAAGAAAGTTGTGACGTTTTGAACCAGCAATTTCAGGCCCGTATCGTAATTTTTTTGTAAGGATCGTATAGTTGGGGCAAATGATGTACATGTAGTTGATGCGCAACAACTTAATTGAAGATTAATTGAAATGGTGCTTATTGAAGTGTTAACAAGCCATTTTCATCTGCAAGTCAAGCCTGTAGTTTTGCACACGAGATGAATTGCATGAGCTCAGGAATCTGAAATGTAAAAAATTGGCGAAACGGAATGCATCCTTAAAACTAAGGAAACATTTTGAATATCCTTATTCAGACCGTGTTGGGGGTCGGACATACACAACTGAGCTCGAGGGTGCTCATGGGAAGGATATCTGGGACTTGGGAGGCCAGTGGGTCGGAAGGTAATATTTAATTAATGCATTTATTAATATTAAAGGGAAAATACAACATTTGCAAACATCAAAAAATAAAACTACCAAATCATTTTGAAATACCTTGCTGGACTGTTAGTGAATGACAGTGTAAAGCATCCTGTAAAATCATGGCACCTGGTATACTGTCATTTTCAAGAAAAGTGGTATTTTTGTATCAATTTCCAACGCTGATCAGCCGACCAGCGTTGGAAAAAACTGGCTATTTTTTCAAATACTGGCCCCAGTTGACCATCGCACTTGTTTGCAATCGATTACACACCTATGAACGGGTACAAGCCAGCTAGACTGGTTCCCTGACCTTACAATTCCCCAATGTATGTAAACTGCTCTGTTTCTTTTTAAATGGAGTCAGGGAACCAGACTACAGGAAAATGAAAATAGCATTTTTGAACCCAAAACCTAAAAAAAGTCAGTGTAACTATATTTGCTATATATTTCCAACCCCCCAATTCCATCCATTTCTGAAAATTACAGCAAAAGCAAATGATGTATATTCCCTTTAAAAGAGATGTTAAATTGTAGTCCGGATCTATAAAAAAAACCTTTCCTGAGAATTTGTTCTGTTCCATTTAATTAACACAGAGTTTAGGTAGGGTGGATCATTTGTCATTATTAAGCTATGACAGGAGCTTTTACTTGTCACTTGGTGGTCGGTCGGTCGGATGGTCTGTCTGTCTGTCTCTCCCCAGAAAATTGATCAAAAATATGGTGTTCCATATGTGCCATCGGCGTAGCATTTTTCGACGTGGCATGTTTAAGCTCTAGGTTTAAGGGATCGTTTTGATCAATTTCATGCAAGACTTCTTGCAACACGGCCAGGGCTTATTGTGCAATCGTACTTGTTTAGCTCTATGAATGCTGTATATTCCGAGAAAAACAATATTCTAGGATCTCGTTTTCGATTAAAAATTTGCCGAGTCATGTTTTGAGATGCTCCCGAAATCAGCGTCTGGGACACGTTCTCATTACTGCTTCTTTCATTGTTTTCTTGAAATTGAAAGAATATTTTCACAGGGAGTTTAGTGCCATTATTATTTTTAAACTATATAAGCTTTTCGACAATAATTTTGTCAGTTAATTTTTGGATAGCTGCAAATGATCTACTCTACCTTAAATTTCAGATTTAACAAGTTTTCAGTACTGAATTACATATGAGACTGGTATATCCTGGATGCAGAATTTGCAAGCTGAAAAATCAAAAAATTCGATTTTACTTCTCTCATCCTTTAGCTCCCAGTATCACATCATATGGCTGCTGAACGAGTTGGGCCTGGAGAAGTACCCACAATACACCACGGGCAAGAAGATGATGTTGCTAGGCAACAAGGGCATCCGGACCTACGAGGCCAGCATCCCGTCCATGTCGTACCTGTCGTTGATTGATCTGCAGCGCTTCATGACAGCCGTACGTTCCCCCCTCCCCCCCCCCCCCCGAAAAAAACCCAAATATTGAAATAATTTCGCACTGTAACCCTAACCCTTCCAGATGTAACACAGTGCAGAAGGTGTGAAACTCTGTGGAACTTTGTTGCATTGGGCCATCAATATTAGTACACACATGTAATCTGCCAATTCTGAGACAGTGTAAGCTATGAGCAATGCCTAAAAATGTATCACATAGCAGTGGGCAACCAGAGATTGAAAATAACACAGGTACCTAGGCACCCGTTAAAGAAACCCGACGCCATTGCAATCATGTCAAAATTCAAATCTCGGAAGTTGCTGTTGAGATTGTTTACAAAGGTCCGCACGATAATACTACTGCATCAGCGCATCAATACAGCAAGATACAAGTGTGTACAGTGAGCTTCATAGCTTTACGGTGTAAACTGCAGCTTTCGCAAGCGTCATAAATATGTGCAATATGTTCTGTTTTCCAATGTGGCCTGGTTTTTATTTTGAAAATTCCCCACAAATGACTTCAAAACCTTTCTTTTTCATTGTCTGAGAAGTAACAAAGTGATTTGCAAAGTTGGTTGCGGGTACCCGATCCCATAATCTAGGTTTCGATGCACAGTCCTACCTCTGACCCTCTGGTCATAAGTCATGAACCCTAACCACTAAGCCACACTCCCACAACTGTATCGTTAAGCGCACGTTGAATTTAGAGCTCATCATGCTTAGCAAGTTTGTCTGCTATACGCAAAACTCAGCTGAGAACCAGTGACAGCCTGACAAGCAAAATACTTTGCATGATATTGTTTGGCTGGTAACCTGTACTTGCTCAGCACATGTACTCGGTGCTAAGCACATTTCTGTGTTACCCCTTTGTGCAGACGGACAAAACAGCGGCAAGTCTTCCTGTACACAACCCGATGGATGCGCCTGACGCTGATATCTTGGACAGCATGACGCTGGAAACACTCGTACGGCAAACAACGTATACACTGGGTAATATGTACAAGCCACTCAATAGACCATTATCATGTTGCGGCCATTTGGATTTTTCCCATTTAAATCAATATAACCAAAATGAAAACGTTGGGATCCTAGACAAAGAGGAGCACTGTCATAAAAGAGAGTTCAAGGAAACCATCTGGTAAAGAATAGAACAGCCGTCCCTCATCAAAAAGGGCGGGCTACATTTTAACTTATCTCATGCATGGGACTGAGCCATTCAAGGCATTTCTTGCCGTCTAATCACACGGCCAGCCCACCGGGTCATCAGTTGCCTGATGAAGTCTGGATGGTTTCGGACGAAACGTTGCAAGTTGCAAAAACGCAAGTTCCAGAATTGGATTCGTCTAATATTTCATCTTACGACTAGTCTTAATCCTGCATTCAAATTCATTTTGTAATGCTGGAGATTTGATGTCACTGTTTGTGAATGCTGGTGCCCTTTTGGCCTGCAAACTTAGTAAGCTCAGGTCCCACTGATATTCAGATTTCTGAACGTCGAGAAAAAATTGAGGCCAAATGTCTTGCTCAAGAACACAAGCACCATTCTTCCCTGCCTTGGTTTTTTTCCAAACCTTGAGTTCTGGGAGGCCTGACACAAGCCATATCGCTGTGTGACTGAGACTTTTTGCTAGACAATTTTGAAAATAACTTTTTTTGCCCTGAAATTTCTCATCAGAGGCTCGCGATGCCATTGATATTGCCATCAACCAGATCTTTGGTGCTCAGCCCCGCATGTTGTCCGCCTTGTTCTACTATTATTACGTCAGCTCCGCTCGTGATATGAGAACGCTGAATGAGACCACGGACGGAGCCAACCAGGAGTTCAGAATAAAGGTACCTTTGACCTTTCACTTTTGACCTGGCTGTTGTCGGCCCAATTTATGCAGGTATTTTCAAGATGGGTGGTGTTAGATCAGATCCCCAAAATGACCTTGAGGATATTTTCTTTTAGCGGATGTAATTAGAGACCAGATTGTGCTGATCTCAAGCTGCTGTAGAAAACTGGTCTCATGGCCTGATGAACAGGGCTAACAATTGTGAAGCACTTTGAGACCTTTGGTATAAAAAGTGCAATATTAGCACCTCTTTGGTCGTAGAATTATGTCTCGTTCAGAGCCAACACAGTTAAATTCTATTCATAAGCTGAGTTTGATTGGGTGAGGGGAAAAACCTAATTAAACCGTTGGTGAAGGGCAAAACCTAATATTGAGTTAATTTCTAATCAAAGCAGTTAATTGCTAATGCAGTACCAATCCTAACTGCCCACATAATCCCATTGTGAAAGGATTACAGGATTAGGAGCTTAATCCTCTTACTGCACCAATCCTAACTGCCCACATAATCCCATTATGAAAGGATTACAGGATTAGGAGCTTAATCCTCTTACTGCATTAACTGTGGACAGTTATCCCCACTGTGTCATGGTCACTGTTGCGTACATTGACTTGACCTCAAAAGATCACGTTTTTGGATTCCTAAATGTCAGTTCTGTAAAAATGACTCAAATTAGACCAGTTGTAAGATGCAGCGCTAGACACAATGAATGGCGCCCTCTGTGATCCAGAATATGGATGTTCGTTACTTTTCCCTTATATTTAGGGCGGTGCCCAGCAAATATCAACCATCTTAACAGACAGGATAGGCCAGGAGCGGGTGTTACTAGACCATCCTGTAGAACACATAGACCAGCGGGATGCCCACAAGGTCACCGTGGTGACGGAAGCGGGTCAACAGTTCACCGGTCGCTATGTGATTGTCGCAACTCCTCTCCATTGCTCCAGTAAGAAACCACTAGATTTATTATAAAATGTAAAATATTAGTCCATTACTACCTCATCATCAAAAACTGATTCTGTTGTTTTCCCCTGAAGTGAAAAACATGTCTTGTAGAGTGATGTGATTATCGTTGATTTCATGCTTCAGTTCTTCTTTATCTACAGCCAACATTGAATACGTCCCTACGCTGCCCCTTGAGAGGATCAGTCTGGCCCGCCACTCACCCATGGCTCATCTCTTCAAGTTCATTGTCACCTACCAAACAGTAAGGTTTACGTTTCGCTGATCCCTTCTGTCAGCTACTCATTTTGTTAAACCCTAGCTCCCTAGGCCTTTTTGCTAGGATGTAGTCTCAATCCTGCAAAATCCTCTAATTGGCCTCATGGAAAATAGCATAAAGCCTCAATCCTGCAAATTCCTACATTATTTCTTGAATATGGTCCGTGGAGGGGTGACCACAGCCTGAATCCTGCAAAATCCTGCGGCAGTGACTGTCAATATGTTGAGGCTTGGCCAGTGACATCCTGGAACAGTACGGAGGATTTCAAGCATAATCCAGGCCTATATTTATGCATGGCTGAGCAAAAACAACACAAGGTCCGGCCCAAGACCTTGACAAAGGGCATCCTTCGAACTCAGTAACACACTTTTGCCATGTAACCTCAATCCTCCAAATTCCTCCACTTTGGCAAAGAGGATTTTGAAGGATTCAGGGCGGTTAGGGTTAAATATTTCATTTCTACCTGATGGGCTTTGTGCACATAAGTCCCCCCTCAATGATAAGCAAGGGCGAGTTGGGGGAGGCATTGGGACGCATTGCTGACAACGCATATAGTCCTCACACAAAGACCGTACAGCTTTGTTCACATTCACAATAAAATCAGCTGTGCCTACTTTGCGCAATTGCCGCGTGAACCAGTACGCGTACATGATGTGTCGTATCCATTTGAATCCCGAAAAGTGGTCCAAAAAAGCACCCTCTCTTTTTTTGCCCATAACCATTTTGGGCAAATTACAAAAAAATCTGCCTTTAACTCCTTGATGATTTTCATATGTAGTAACAAGCCACATATTTGTTTAGGCTTTTTGGAGAGAGGATGGTTTTTCCGGCGAGATTTTCAGCAACGGGGTAAGCCGACCATCGAAGGCCTCAGCACAGGCCCACTGCAGTTGACGTTTGACTGTACAACTCCCAACGGCAGCCCAGCTCTTGTGGGATTCTACTGCAATGGTAGAGAGTGGAGCCAGATTGAAGTAAGTCAAACCAGTAATCCCTGTACCGCCCCTCGCCGCCCTGCCTGTTACTTTCTGTACACCCCTCACCTGCCCTGCGTGTAACGCCCTGTAGCACCTCAAGCTGCCCTAGCACTGTATGGTATTTGTAGATTCATCAGAGAATAAACAAATAGAAAGTATCACAATGCAGTCCAGCAGACGATTTCACGAAAAAAAGCACAGCTTGCACCATGTGTAAGACTTACGCAGCACAGCTGCGCAATAAACTTACGATCAATTTCACAAAACTTGGCGTAGCTGCGCAACATTTTAAATAATCAAAACATCGTGGACGAGGCTAACTACAGCATTTTCGACTGTTGTTTGTGTATGAATTTGTTCGTTCACGAAACAGTGGTTAAATAACCTCAGCCTGCCAAGAACAAATTTGTTGCGCAGCTGCGCAATAAATGTACGATCGATTTCACAAAACTTGGCGTATCTGCGCAGCGTTTTAAATAATCTAAACATCTTGGAGGAGGATAATAACAGCATTTACGACGGCTGTTTGTGTATGAATTGTTCGTTCTCGAAACAGTCGTTGAATCACATCAGTCTACCATTTTGAAAATTATTTTGTCCGACTTTCTTCGGAATCGTGTGGCAACTCTAAAAAAAAATTGTCACTAGTAAAATAGAAACTCATTTACTTCAAACAAAAAGATATGAGTGTCCTGTATCAACCTTGATAAGTTGTGCAATAACAGACTCCATGACGATCACGATTTGCTGGTAAAATTTGTCATTTTCATTTGCTACGCCACAACTTATGCCGCCTACAAATGATTGCGCAAATTATCTATAATTTATCGTGCAAGTCGCGGACTTACGCACTGAGATTTTCTTGAAAAGTGTCATATTAAAGTGAAATGTTGCGCAGCGTGAAATGTTGCGCAGCTTACGCAATAAACTGTGGCGCAAGCGGAGTTGCGCCATTGCGTAGTTTTGTGAAATCGGCTGCAGGTGTTAGTGCGTTACACCCTTACTCCCCTAACATTAACTCTGCCAGATCCTTCCAAATCGGCACGAGGGTTGTTTGGAAAATGTTGCAGGATTGAGGAAGGTAGAGCCCAAGCACTGTTATTTGATATGGGGCTTCAAGCCACTTCATGCCCCTTGAACGTTGTGTGCAAAGCCTTGTTTTGTCGGATCTGATCAACTTAGCATGTGGCAGTGGGTACAAGTAAACTGTTGGTTGAGCACCGGAACAGCGTTCTAGAGGTCCAACATTCACATCCCACTCCAGAGAACTTCTTTGTTTCAACCTTAAAATGAACCAAGTCAATTTTCCTCCGTTTCAATTTTGTTTCATATAAGCCCGCGGTGCGGCAGGCTGCCATACTGGATGCCCTGGCTGAGTTCTTTGGGCCCAAGGCCAAGGAGCCACTGGACTATAGGGAGAAGGTGAGTCTGACTGGCAGAAACATTTGTGAGGCGTTCTTTTTAATAACTGTTTCATCTAAGCTTTAAAAACAAACATGAAACAGCTTTCAAATGGGTAAGTTTGATGCGTCGTTCTTACGATGCAGTTGGTAAAATGGGTCTTAGGATGCGTCTTAGCTAAGATCGTAAGATCAGACCAGTTCCGTGAAATCTGCCCCAGGGGTAGCCCATAAAGTTCTTGGATTCATATTGCATGGTCCCAAGAAAAACGTTGGCAATGCTAACTATTCATTTCTGTACTTTTCTGTTTGTTAGGACTGGGCATTAGAGCCTTATAACGGTGGCTGTCCTGTCAACGTCATGACCCCAGGAGCAATGACCTACTTCCATGGAGGCCTCCGAACGCCATTTGACAGGTAAAGCAGTTAACCCATCAGCACTTGTATTACATTGTAAACACCGCAAAAAAAGAAAGTCCACACTCATTGGAGGAATTACTCAACTACGAGTACCAAGTACGAGTACTGAGGACGAGTACTACAACACTGCCTTTAAGTACGTATCAAAGTTCAGAGTATTTCCATTTGGTTTGGAAATTAACAAATAATAGTTGAGTCCATGGCAAGTCCATCACAAGTCCATCACAAGTCCAACACAAGTCCAACACAAGTCCATCACAAGTCCAACACAAGTCCATCACAAGTCCATCACAAGTCCATCACAAGTCCATCACAAGTCCATCAAAAGTCCATCCCAAGTCCATCACAAGTCCATCCCAAGTCCATCCCAAGTCCATCCCAAGTCTAACACAAGTCCATCCCAAGTCCATCCCAAGTCCATCACAAGTCCATCACAAGTCCATCACAAGTCCATCACAAGTCCATCACAAGTCTAAAACAAGTCCATCACAAGTCCAACACAAGTCCAACACAAGTCCATCACAAGTCCATCACAAGTCTAACACAAGTCCATCACAAGTCCATCACAAGTCCATCACAAGTCCAACACAAGTCCATTACAAGTCCATCAGAAGTCCTCCAGTCTCAAGTCAAGTCACAAGCTATTCAAATGAACAGAGAGTGTGACTAAAGCATTCCTTTCTCATTGCTCGTCCCCTGGTTCTTGTGAAATTGTGATTTAGTTGTGAGACTGGCGTTTTAGATGGACTCGACATCACCACTGTCATGATACTTTGAAATGATTCTGATGTCAGAGATGAAGCCTGGAGCAAGTTCGGGCAAGACCAATTAGTCGACTAGTGGTTGATTTGTGACGTAACTTACACTTGCCCATTAATAGCAACGTGCGAAAGTCTCTAGTCAAACGCTGGTCAAAATGTCATCGCAAAACTTCTGGGTCCTGGCTCCCTGCCTGGCTTCATAGCACGGCTATTGGTTACCAGCGAAGCAACCATGCCCAGTAGGCTGGTTCCAAATAGTCAAGCAACTATCGTCGACTAGACAGAGTTCGGGCTAACTTAAGTCGAACTATGGTTAACCATTGGTCAACAATAGTTCTTGTGCAAACTTGCCCCAAAGTGCAGACAGAGCCAAGATTTCAAAAACATCTTTTGGTCTTTTCCCAGAGTGCACTGGGCCGGCACCGAGTCGGCCACTCACCACTGCGGCTACCTGAGCGGGGCGGTGCAGTCGGGGATGCGCGCCGCCAGCGAGGTACTGGGCCGACTGGAACCCGCCCACATCAGGGATGAGATCATGACCGCGCTGGACGGCCGGCGCGATTACAAAGACGATGAGGAGAAGGAGACGTGGGGTTGGGCCCTCGGCGGCCTGATCGGCGTAGCTGCCGTGGCAGCGCTGGTGGTCCGGAAACTCTGGTATTACTGATGACGTTGGACTAAAATATGGGCGGAGCTTCAGGTGTCAAGGGAAGGGGGGAGTGGTGTCAGAGAATTTTTGAGGGGATATTTTATGGACAGTAGGGATTTTGAAAATTAGTGTTGATAAATTGACCCTCGTCTTTTGAGGATCAACCTTCCAATTCACTAATCTTGAGAGGCTGTGCACCAGAATCGTATACAGGAATCTAGTATTGGTACTAAAACACATGAGGTCACCAGACTATTTTCGGGGACTGTTGTGTACCCAGTCGATATTGTGTATCTGTATCACACACAATGCGGGATGTTCACCAAAATTTCTATAGTTATTTTGGTATATATTACACAACCGATACTGACAGCAAGGAAAAAGGGACACTTTTCCTGATCTTCAAGTTTTTAACATTTTAAAGGAATGTCAACATTTGCGATGTGATCAGGCTATTAAATGAGTCGTTTGTCGGGAATTTTCATTTGGAGAGTCGGGCCAAAACAGGACCACTTCATCACATTTCCTGGCGTTCCGACTTCCATAATTTTTGAACTATAGATGGTACCAGCATGCAGTTGTCACAGCAGTAATGCTGAGATTGTGCTCTTTTCAAATATGTAAAAAAATTTGATCAGGGTCAACAAATGACTCACTTAGCTTGATCGCATCACATTTGCCTTTGCAATTTTCAAAAATGGATGTATTTGGGGTTATTATTTTATAGCCAACAGTGTCACACTGACTTGTTTGAAGTTTTTTGTTCATAGATGCTGGAAAACCAAGAAAAACAATCATGTTTCTGTATTTCCTGATTCCCTGTCCCCACTTACGATGAAACGGGGCAGTTTATAGACGTCGGGGAATTGTAAGGTCAAAGAACAAGTCTAGCCGGGCTTGTACCAGTTCATAGGTGTGTATGATTGCAAACAAATTGTGGTCTAACTAAATTTGGGGGGCATTATTTGAAAAAAGCCAGAAATTGATACAAAAATATAATTTTTCTTGAAATGACAGCGCACTAGGTGCCATGATTTTACAGGATGCTTTAGACAGTCATTCACTAACAGTCCAGTGAGGTATTTCATAATCATTTTTAGTTTTGTTTTTTGATGTTTTCAAATGCTTTTTTTTATAGTGACCTTACTGAGTTTTTTTTTTGTTTTGGGGTTTTTTATTTGCAACAACTTAAAACAAAATAAGGTTTTTAGAAAGAATGTAGTAGGCCGTCTATCTACGAAATCGAAAAAGATGAAATGGTGCATTAACTACTTGCAAATTTAGCAATCGATCCTTTTTAAAAAAACAAAACAATTATATTCAATTTAAAATAAAGAGATTCTTGCCGTAATTTAGTTGCGGGCGATAACTTTCCCCAAAAAAGGATAATGTGACCACTGAATTGCATAATACATTCAATTTATTCACCACCTTAAAATAATTTCTCTTCTTTTTATATTATTCTCGTACATTTGATCCTCAATGTACTTGTACATCATTTGTATGTAAGATGTTACATAATAAAAAGCAACTATGAAATCGTGTTGTTATTCTTTATAGATTATTTAATGTTATGTTTACAAAAAAAGAGGCAGTTTATGTGACAATTATTGTTGACGTCTATTGAAGTCGTTTGTGATTCTGTTTGTGAAAAATGTCATAATTGAACCTCATTGTTACTAAGTAACACAAATAAATGCAGTCTCTGAAATGAATTTTGTGAAAAAGATTTGTTCTTCGTCTTTCCCTGGTTTTGAGAAAAGCCTGAATAAATTTAAGGTAGACGGGGCAATGCAACCAATGAAGGACTCGAGCAGCAATTGCTTCAAGAGTCATCAACTTTACTGAAGTTGTTCCAATGTGGAAACCAGATTCGAATGATAAGATATTGGTTTTGAAGTTTATAGGCATTTGATGCATTTTATTATCAGTGGAAAATATGGGGGGGGGGGGGTGTATACAAAAAGAAAACATGCCTTTGTTTTCAATAAAAGAATTATCTCTAAAGCAGTCATGTTTTAAAATACAGTAACAGTCATGTTGGATTTAAGTAAAACTTGAACAACTGAATGAACTTAAAACAAGCAACTGAAGAAAAAAATTAAATCAAACTTTGCTCATTTCAAGATGTGTTCTGTGAATTTCTGTCCATTGTTTACTTTTGAAGTAACATTCATTACAGCTACTTCAGACAGCCAATAACAAAATGCACCAAGTAATTTTGTTTTGAAAAAAAACTCCACATTATATTTTTACAATTAATCATACAATAAGTTTTGAATAGCTTGTATTTTTATGTATAATGCTGATAAGAAAATTACAATTTCGTATAATTTTTTTAAATAAAATAGTCTAGGCGATATTTAAAAAAAAGGGCTCATTTAGGGGGGGGGGCATTTTTTTAGGAGAAGTTGGTAACAGCTTTTTTACCTAATTTCGGGGTGCTGAATCCGAAAATGATGGTTACTAAGCTGGATTTTAAGTGGAAATATGCCTAATTTGCATACATCTTAATACTTGTCGTGTTATATATTTGTTCCCATATTTTGGTACTCTTTATTATTTCTAAAGGTTTGTTTTGGTAATTCTACTTACACTTCCTAGCTTACTTCAATAACATTTTCTAAATTTGGTAAAATAGCTATGTTACCAACTTCTACTCGAAAATGCCTCTTCATGTAACATTTTCAAGAAATATCGCCTAGACTAAAAACGCTTCATGTCACAAAGACATCACAAAAGAAAAGATATTTTTTGGAGGGGAGGGGGTCACGGTGGGGCCGGGAAATTGTTCATATACCACCATCTGCAGATGAATCCTGTTTTACAGCCAGCTCATTCGCAGCAATACTGTACAGTCAATTTCAAATAAGGCACTCAGGCATTTTCCCCTGAAGCACCGTATACTAAATCAGAAAATAAATTGATTTAAAATGTTACATGTCTCAATGATTTACTACAGAAACAATGTATATCTTAATATGCGTTTTGATTTGGGGCACAATATCATTTTTACCTATCAGAAACGTGGTGGCGCCCTCCCCCATGAGCGCCTGAAGCTAGCTAGCTGTTCCTAGCTCCTGTTTCACTTTTTCAGCGGAGTGACCTATCTTCTTTGGTGTCGAGTAGTCCGTCATAGACGTACAAAAAATGACACAACTTGTACTTCGGAGTTCGGACAGCAAAGTTCATATAATAATAATCTCAACCTTGGAAAACAATGGAATTGGAATGAACTGAAACTTTCTGAAATTTTCTCGTCCACATAAGGTGAGTTCTAGTTGATGAATTGCCACATTGGGAAGAAGAAAGTCAAATTTAGCAGGGAAATATTGAAGCATTTTTAGGCCTGCTTAGAAAACACTTGGAATTTTTGCGCAGGTTGAAACCATGGAGGAATAAGCCCTCCATGGTGCACTATAGAGTAATGGTTATAACTACAGTTTTGTGTAACTTAGCTGAAGGCGAGTGCGTAGAAATAGGATTGCGTAGTTTTAACCCTAAATCTGCCCCCCCCAACTTTTACCGCAACCCAAGCTGTCCTGACTTATTAGCCTCGAGTCTTGTGCATCTTTTGACACAATGACCAAAAACATAATTAAAAAGTTCGGACCACGGGTTTCTGCGCAGCGAAATGTTTTTCGGCACTATGCACGCCGTGTAAACTGTATTTCCCCATATAATATCACATGTAGTATTCAAAAGAAAGTCTCAACATAATCAAATCGGGGTCCATGAATAATTGTAGACAAATAGGGTTAGTTTTTTTTTTTTTTTTTAAATTATTAATTTTATAATTATCGTCAGTCCACCTAAAACGACGAGGATATGTTTTGATGCACTAGCATTCAATTTGCGTTGGACAACGCGCGCGTTGCAAGCGTTACCTGCGTCAGTTATGGTGACTCGAGGATATACATTTCTTTATTTGTATTATTTTGTAAATTTTTGTCCAGAAGTCTTTACTTCACGCAGCTCAGAGTCAGACTGGACTTGAGAACTTACAAGGATGGAGCACGGTTCTCCGCCCGATCTGACTGGACGTCACAGTCCAGCAGACTGGGATGTGATTGTCATCGGGGCTGGCGTGGCTGGACTGACCACTGCCTACAGACTGCGGCAGGAGAAACCTGACTGTAGGGTACTCGTCCTGGAGGCAAAAGGTGAAGAAATGTTATTGAAATTCCTGTCCATAATGTATGCAATTTGAGGCTTTGCTTTGGCGAAGAATACTTTAGAAGAGTTAATACACTCCGCTGAAGTTCAACCCAGCATTGTGACACTTCACTTTCTTGACAGTGTAGTAAGTCGAGGTACCTATGGCGGATTATAAGTCATCACAAAGTCTGTTACAAATCAATTGCAAGTCATCTAGTCCAAAGGTGACTCTCAAGCTATTGAAATTGTTGTGACAAAGGCTCTGGTTTTGGTTCTGGTTCTGGTTGAGTCAGTAAAATACACTTCAGAATATCACACCAACTTCAGACCTGTCTTTCCTCCCTTCCTTGCAGCCTTTGTTATTGTTCATCCCCTGTTAAAAATACTTGTGACCAGACAGTTGAATTGGCTTGTGATTTACTTGTGACAGGCATAAACTGCCTCTGGCAGTATAACATTGTTGTAATGAAGTCCGTCACAAGTCTAGTCTCAAGTAAATCACAAGTCCTGTCACAAGTAAATCACAAGTCCAGTCCCAAGTAAATCACAAGTCAAGTCACGAGTAAATCACAAGTCCAGTCACGAGTAAATCACAAGTCCAGTCACGACTAAATCACAAGTCCAGTCACAAGTCCAGTCACAAGTAAATCACAAGTCTAGTCACAAGTAAATCACAAGTCTAGTCACAAGTGAATCACAAGACCAGATCACAAGTGCGGTCACAAGCAACGGTGGATAAACAATAACAAAGGAATGCTTTAGTTTGTCACAGCTCATTTGAAAAGCTTGTACGTGAGCTGAAGTGGGACTGGATCGAGGCCTTGTGGAAGACTTGTTAAAGCTATAGTCCATCATTTGCAGCCATCCGAAAAGTAACTGGCGTAATTACTGTTGAAAAACAAACTTGGTTGAAAGATAGTAAGGGAACTAAACTCCCTGTGAAATTATTCTTTCTGGGAAGCTCTCATTTTGAAGTAATCAACGAAAGAAGGCATTTCCAACGGTGATTCTTAAGAAGCACCGTAGGAAAATTTAAATTAGTAGTTCGTTTTGTTATTCAGCGCAGCGCGCACAAGTATTGGAACGACGCACACGCGCGCGCGGTTGTTATAATTCGTCGGATCAGTGCGCGACGCCGCGTATAGCTGCAATTCAAAACAATTCAAAACATGATTCAGTAACTTTTGATTTGAAATTGAGATCTTAGAATGCTGCTTTTCTCGGAATGTACAGCTGAAGCTTAGCTGAAACTTCATCAGGTTAGTTGTTCAGTATCCTTCATTAGATTTTGAACACTTTTGTTGCTTCAAACGAACAAAATGCACTAATTACAAATGATGGACTATAGCTTTAAGTCCTTGCATGGACTTGTGAGGTACTTGACTTTATCACTGTAGTATACATTATAATTATCTGATGGATGTCTCTGTCAGACAGAACTTGTTAAAGTTAACTTTTTCTTCAGTGACCAGTCCTGATAGTGACGATGATGCATTGATTCTTTGTTCCAGACAGAGTCGGAGGCCGTACGTTGTCCACTGAAATGCAAGGTGCTCACGGGAAAGACGTATGGGACTTGGGTGGCCAGTGGCTTGGAAGGTAGGTCATTCACTGACAAAAGTGAGGGTGATGTCAGGCACCCCCCCCCCCCAAAAAGTTAGTCTCTGGTCAGTGTGCGCGGCGATTTGGATCGTACGCGTCAATGTTTGTTTTTCTGGAAATTTTCAGCGCTAGCTACAACAGTGCCCTCCATTGCCGCACCACCTCAAATGTTCGTGGGCGGCTCGTACCTAGTGATAGATCCGGTACGAGTTTGATGTTGAACGAATGATAGTAGACCATGGGTACGAAGTTGCTGCCAGCTGATCAACAACAATGGCGGCTAATCACGTATCAACATGATGACATGCGATTTGGGCAATTGTGATTGTTAATTTAATAAATACATGAAGTATGCCACTTATTTCCGTGTCTGTTCTTTGTGGAGTGAAAACTTTTAGACTGTTCCGTTTGACGTCATGTGACAGCTGGACAATCCAAGCATGAAAAAAAAATTACAAATCGGTATGCACATTATGTTGAATAACTTGTCATCCAGTTGTAACACCAATGTGATTCCAACTAAGGATACATTGATAAATATCTTTTAAAATAATATATATCGCTATTGATTTTATCTGCGACAGCACACAGCATCACCTCCACTGGCTCATGGAGGAGCTAGGCCTAGAGAAATACCCACAATACAGCACGGGCAAGAAGCTGATGTTGCTAGGCAACCGAGGCATCCGTTCCTACAACTCCAGCATCCCGTCCATGTCTCTGGCGGCACTGGTGGACGTCCATCGCTTCTTAACTCTGGTGAGTGTCGTTTACTTTTTCATGCATTTTCTTCTTTTCCAGTAAAAACACACCACTCAAAATCCAAAGAAGAATGCTCAAGAATGTTGAAGTTTCAGCTCAATGGATATTACACTGTTTGAGAAAACAGTGAAAAAACACACACAACTTTTATTCAAAAAAATCAAGTCAATTGACGTATCCTTGGATATTACCTACATTTTTTTAAATTTCCGCTAAATGACAGCAAGCCAGACAGAATAATTTCATGGGGTGTTTAATACCGGTTCAATCTCTAATCCGAGTAAGCTTTTTTAACCCTAACCGAACTCAACCCATCAAAGTCCAACAGCAGGTGTTGTTGAAATTTGTTGGGATGGGTGCAGTACCCCTAAACTGATGGTCTTTTACACTGGGGTTGGCATACCTCTAGAAACTAAGTCCAACAGTGTGTGTGTACAATTTCCCATGTGGGTATTGGAATTTGTGAGGTTGGGTGCAGTTCCTAGTAAATTTTGCTAGGGAGTTAGGGTTAATGATGATTTGGTAGGATATTTTTGGGATATTATGCAAATGATCGACTACAAGTTGTGGTTGCGTCGGGCTCGATGACCTTTTTCGTCATTAGTGTCTTGAGTTCATCAGCAGTCACGGTGCCACTGTCCTTCATCAGGATCTTGACCATGGTTTTGGGAGGGCGCTCACGATTCATCCTCCCATGGGTCGGTTTCCTAGATGATGACTTGGCTGGCGGGCAACTCTTGATGTTGCAGAAAGTGCCCAGCGAGTTGCATCCGTCTCCCTGCTATCTTGCTGGTCATCTTAGGGAGGTTGCCTAAGAGTTGCTCATTGGTCACCTTCTGTATCCAGCTGACGTTGAAGGCCATCCGGAGCATCCGAGTGTAGCAACCATCATGGAACTTGGCCATGGACTTGCTCCTATGAAGATTATGTTCTGGAGTCCTCTGTAAATGATCCTATATGCCATTAAAATGATTTCTTGGTGATTTGTCTGCCAAAAAAAAGTCGGAGCTGAATCTAAGTCATCAGAAGTGAAGTTGCCTCTACGTCCACACCAAGACGCTTGCAATTTTAATTCATCCATGAAATGTGGTATTTTATTGACAGACGGACAGACTAGCAGCAAGTGTTCCCCTGGACGACCCAATGAAGTCACCGTATGCTAAGGTGTACGATGGGACAACTATGGACAGCCTTGTCCGACAAACAACTTGGACACAGGGTAGGTACTAACTGAACTGGTAATCCTTTAAGGCGTCAAGAATTTCTGTCTCTGGCTTTGTGTTTTAACAGATTTGTGTTGTCCTCGTAGGATTTTGACTCAGTGTTTTTAAAAGTTCAATATAGTTCAAAGTTCAAGAGGTCATTTTGTTTTGTTGAAGCTCAAAGGTCAGGATTTCATTGACTACATTTCTAAAGCAGCACTGCTTTTTGATGTATTAAAGTTGGGCTTCTACAGTTATTGCCGTTATTGTAATTCGAAGCATATTTCGTAGATTATGGAAAATGTTGCCTTAACCAGTTAACGTTGGATGACGTGTATATACATGCAAAGGTTTTGCGGTATTCAGAACGAGCGAGGCTGGAAATATCTGTCTGCGACCCGCTCACAGCAAGTGAGGCCGGAAATATCAGGGCGTGCTACCTGCAGATGACGGCCTGACCCCGTCTGACATCGAGGTTCGCGAAAAACAATCCCACACCTGGGTCCGGTCAATGTAAAAAAATCCCTGCGCAAAGTGGTCAAGTGTCTTCTGTTAAAGGAATTGTTTGTTTTGGGTTTTTTTTTTATTTGCCAAAATGCAATTTTTGCCCAGGAGGAAATCAAGTCGAATTTGAAATCAAATTTGAAATTGATCAACCTTAATTTTGAAAAGATGACAGGAAGCCAATACCTACAGATTTTTAGTTGTTGTCTAAACGTTCTTTCTTTTTCTTAGAGGCTAGGGATGCTATTGAGGTATCTGCAGACATTATCAATGGAGCCCCACCCCGTATGATGTCAGTGCTTTACTTCATGCATTACGTCGCCAGCGCAGGAGGGATCAGAAATTTGGTGGAGGCGGAAGGGGATGCCAATAACGGCTTCAGAATAAAGGTATTGCTTCTCCTTGATCCCACTCATGCGCCCTCTGTACCCCCATGTCCCCACCCCAGCTCCCAATCCCACCTCATCACATCTACTCCACCCCCCTAAACCCTCCCCCCCCTATCTGCACCAACCCCTGCCCCAAACAAAACCTCTCTTCCCCCCCCCCCCCCCCCCCCCAACAAAGGGGATGCCAATAATAGTTTCAGGATAAAAGTATTATTTCTCCTTGATCCCATTCTTGTGCCTTCTCTACCCTATGTCCCCACCCTGACTCCCAATCCCACCTCTTCACATCCCCACCAACTCCCCGCCCCAAACAAAACCTCTCCCCCCCCACAAAGGGGATGCCAATAACGACTTTGGGATAAAGGTATTGCTTCTCCTTGATCCCACTCGTTTGCCTTGTGTACCTCGATGTCCCTACCCAATTGGCCCTCCCAATCTCTTCCAATCTCCACCTCCTCACTTCCGCACAACCCCACCCCCCCCATCCCCACCCCCCACCCTCACCCCCCATGAAGGTTTCAGGATAAAAGTATTGCTTGTTGATCCCACTCTTGCCTTCTCTAGCCCCATGTCCCTACCCCCAACTCCCAATCGCACTTCCTCACATCTGCTCCACCCTCCCCCAAAAAGAACCTTCTGCCCCCAAAAAACCTCCCCCAAAAAACCTCCCCTCCCCCCCCCCAAGGGGATGCCAATAATGGCTTCAGGATAAAGGTAGTGCTTCTTGATCCCACCCTTGCGCCTTATCTTGCTCCATATCCACACCCCCTCCCAATTCCACCTCACAACCGCTCCACCCCCCCCCCCCCACAAAAAAATAACCTCCCCCCCCCACAAAAATATTCCTCCCCCCCTAAGGGGATGCCAATAATGGCGTCAGTGTAAAGGTATTGTTTTTTCCTTACATCCCACTGTCATGCCATCTCTATCCCCAGACCCTCCCCTCTTCCCTCCCCCAACCCTCCACCTACCTGCCTTTTCCTCGGTCCCATTACTTTCAATCTAAACCCTAACAGTCCTGAATCCTCCAATTTCAATACGATTTTGCACACCCCATAGGGAGTTAGGGTTAGCATCCTGGTGTTTTTTTTTTGAAAGATGTAATATTCAACTTGCATTTTGATTAAGGCCGAGTAAAAAACAAAGGCAGGCCCTGTTGTTTTTTCTTCTAATTTGTGGATTTTCCAAGATGGATTCTTCCATTTTCTTGATTCTTTTGCTGATGCTTTTGTGTTCAAAGGAGCCGCTACCTTTTCTACCATGATTTTGAACTTGAAAACATCGCTACAGTTTGCTAGAAACACGTAAAAGGCAAAATATATTCGCAGATGTATGATAAAAAAAATAAGATAGCAGGCGGTACGAGAAATTCATTTTTATTTTGTTTTGCCTAAAATTGTTATAGGGGGGAGCTCAACAAATCTCTAAACTTCTGGTAGAAAGGATAGGCCAGGAGCAGGTTCTATTGGGCCAGCCTGTAGATCACATAGACCAGCAGGAGGCTGACAGTGTCACCGTGGTAACTGCTGCAGGCAAAGCATTCACCTGTCGCTATGTGGTTGTTGCTGCTCCCATTCATTGCTCCAGTAAGTTTTGCAGAAATTAAGTTCTTTGTTCTGTCAAAAAAAAACCCCAGAATCCTTGGGGCAGCTGGTGCAAAAACTTTTTAAAAATTGTTAAAATATTTATTTTCCTCTTAGAAAGAACATATTTTAAATTTTTAAAATCCTTTCTTGCCGAAAATATGCTCATTTGAAATTCCTAAAATTACAGAGGTTAAAACAGAAAGTTTTGGGTAATGCTTTTTGCCATTATTCGAGTGCAATATAGAATCTATGTTGCTTTTTAAAAACTTAGTAACAAGCATAGATATGTTCAGGGATCGACAACATAATTAAAGAAACTCCCCTACATTGTTTTTGGTCGTATTTCAATTTGAAGCACTTCCCAGAAGCTTATGGTTTTGACACAATATGTCACATTAACGGTTTGGAAAGTTAAGAAAATGTCTGCTGAATATATTAGATTTGTTGTAAATGCGGAGCTTGCAAAACTAAAATTTGAGCAAGTTCGATCAAGAACTACAACCATACTTAGATGAATTTTGATCAAGCATGCTCTAGTCAATGATGTTTTAGCCCAGTCGATTATTGGGGACTGGCCGACCAAGGTTAATGATCCCAGGACCAGGAAATTCTCGTGATTACGTGAAACCAGTCGCTCAAGTTTAACACATTCCCTCAAATTATGTGGTTTATGTTGGTTGCAGCTGACATCAAGTACACACCCGTCAAGCCGTTGGACAGGATCAATCTGGCAAGGCTGTCACCAGTGGGACATCTCATCAAGTTTATTGTCACCTATCCAACGGTAAATAAATGTCCTCTTTCCTACTTCCTGTTCTTCTTTCCTAACCCTCTAAGATACTTCAGTATCCATGTGGGGGTTTTGGAGGACTTTGCAGGATTGAGAAAGTTCAAGCCCAGTGACTACTACTTTATATGGTCATAGAAGGTAGAGCAGTCGGTTGAGTACACATCTCACTCCTATGTAGAGAGAATCAACTGTTGCAAAGTATTTTGCTCAAGGACACAAACACTTCAATCCTCTTACAGAGAGCACAAACCCATATTAAAGGGAATATACATCATTTGCTTTTTCTGTAATTTTCAGAAATGGATGGAATTGGGGGGTTGGAAATATATAGCAAAAATAGTTACACTGACTTTTTTGAGGTTTTGGGTTTGAAAATGCTATAAAAACCAAGAAAAACAATCATTTTCCTGTAGTCTGGTTCCCTGACTCCATATAAGAAGAAACAGAGCAGTTTACATACATTGGGGAATTGTAAGGTCAGGGCACCAGTCTAGCTGGCTCGTACCCGTTCATAGGTTTGTAATCGATTGCAAACAAGTGCGATGGTCAATTGGGGCCAGTATTTGAAAAAAAGCCAGTTTTTTCCAACGCTGATCGGCCGATCAGCGTTGGAAATTGATACAAAAATACCACTTTTCTTGAAAATGACAGTATATCAGGTGCCATGATTTTACAGGATGCTTTACACTGTCATTCACTAACAGTCCAGCAAGGTATTTCAAAATGATTTGGTAGTTTTATTTTTTGATGTTTGCAAATGTTCTATTTTCCCTTTAAAAGAAGAAACTTTTATTTTAAATCAATGACCTAAAACCAATCGGGTGTCGTTCTTCCTTTTTGTGTCTGAAAATCCTGTTTAAATTATTTATAAACTGTTACATCGTTGAAATGCCCATATAAAAAAGCTTGTCTTGTTTATTGATTTTTATTTTAATTGCTGCAACTTTGGAATGATGATGTTCGTATGAATTTGGATGCGGGGTTTTGCCTCTGACACAAAACAGTGGATTGTTCCGGATTTCCCCTGTCCACCTTTGGTTTGTTCATTTCTCACAGCTCTTCTGACCAAGTTCGACGGAGCTGTTATTGTCCTCTGACCAACAGTCGTCATGGAAATGATCAGTGGGCACTGTTTGATATGGGCAGGGAGGGTCCATTGTTCATTTGATTATATTGCTGAGCAAATCTTGGTCAAACGATCCGCTCATTTTTCTGTACAGGCGTTTTGGAGAGAGGATGGTTTTTCCGGTGAGATCGTCAGCAACGGCGGTAAGCCGATTATCGAAGGTCCCAGCTCAGGCCCACTACACCTCACCTACGACTGCACGACGTCTAACGGCAACCCGGGCATCGTGGGATTCTACGCCAATGGCCGAGAGTGGAGCCATATTGATGTGAGTCACACTACGAAAATGTGGTTTTGCGGGGAATTTCTGCTTGTAATTGTTAGTGAAAGATGCTGCAAAAGTGAGACAGGGAGGCAATGCCTTGACTCAACAAATCATCAGTTTTGGTTTCCTGAAAATTTGTGTTATTTTCCTAAAACAATTTAAAGCATATATTTAAAGTATATTTGATAAAAACAGTGACATATTTTACATTTAGTTTTGAAAATTTCAAGCCCCTATTTACTTTTTACAAATTAACATGTATGGTTTACCAAAGGTATCAGTAAATCTCTTTTTTGTTTATTCCTTTCATAAATAGCCTGACATCAGAAAGCAAGCTGTCTTGGACTCCCTAGCAGAGTTCTTTGGGTCAAAGGCAAGAGACCCCTTAGACTACTGTGAAAAGGTCAGTAGGGGTTATTGCAGCCAATAAGAATATTACTAAGGGCATAAAATGTGTGCTTGGCCTTTTTAAACAAGTACGTTTAAAACCGGCCAGAGGCCTGGATGCAGATAATGGTCCGAGCCAAAGGCGAGGGTCATTGTCAGCGACCAGGCCCCTAGCCGGTTTTAATTGTACTTGTTTAATTCCGGCCAGGCACATATTTATTCCCATCCATAAATACCTTTCTTTCAAAAAATCAAAACAAGTCAAAAGTCACAAATTTCCGACGATTTTGTTCAACAATTTACTTCATGTTTTGTGAAACACCCCTCTGGCCATGGTTATGGTATGTTCCTCGCGCGCATAGTGCTAAAAATCACCTTATTTGGAAATTGTGCGCACGCGGCGAGTACTGCGCGATGCGGCGCTGAAGGCAGTGTTGTTTTGCCGGCATTTTAAAACCACCCATGTGACGGGCTCTCGACTAATAGGAATGGTAAATTGTCTCAGGTATTTATGAATAATTATCCCTTTCAAACAGTGTTGGAGTTGATAAAGGCGCACCAAAGAGTTAAATGCCAAAGGGATAAGACTGTACTTCAGGTCTTTGGACCTTATTAACGAGGAAGCCATTTTGGTCGTGTTCCCTGAATGTGTTTTATAAATTGTGAACTGTTGAATTGGATGGGTGCCAGACTAATTCATTCTAGCCTCACTTTAAATTTATTTTTTAAATGTGGCTTAAAACATTAGGCCGTGGTTAATCACACATTTTAAAGTATTCATCAGAGTGGACTGGTATTAATTTGTAATTAACTTTATGTCATTGCTTTCATTTCTCTTCACAATTCCAAAAAATGAAGATTTTACCTTGCCTTCAATTTAATATGGCTGAATAAGGTCCATAGTGGAATTCGGCGACCAGAATTAGAACCTTTTACTGCCCTGGTTTCACATGCATGCTGCATGCGTTCTTAAAGACGAGGCGCACGCGCATTTTGGTATTCTCATTGGTCGAAGGAGCTGGAGTGCATGCATACTACCTGAGCGCGACTCGCACGAGGCTTGCGCCACAACAGAAAATGGCTGTCGTCGATTTGTCTATTGGCTTCTAAACTAAGGTGCCCGTGCACTCTTCAAGAAGCTTGCTTTCATTGCCAATTTGAATTTAAATTTTTTGAGTTTCAACCCGAAAAACAAATTCCTATTTTTCTAGCAATACAAACATTGTTCACTTTTGAATGAGACGTTGACAAAAAAAAATCAGCCCATGTTTAGTGATTGAATTATTACTTTACAATATTCAAATTATTGACTGCCAGACAATAGTTCATGTTCTTGTGCCTGGTTCCCGCCCCACAATCAGTATCGATAATGCACGGACCGGGAGCCAGTCTGCTTGCAAGTGTATCTGTTTGTGCCTAAAACAAAGAGCTTTTTTTTAGAGGTTTGCAGATGTGAAAAAAATTTCAAAACGATTTTTTTTTTTTGGTTGGAATAAAACATACAAGTTGAAAATTTATTAACAGAGAGACAATCGAAATTGTTGAAGACCACGGGGAAGACAAATTTAACCATCAAAGCAATTTAATAATTCTCTCTCGATGAATTTTTTCAGGACTGGGCTTTGGAGTCTTACAACGGTGGCTGTCCTGTCAACATAATGACCCCCGGAGCAATGACATTTCACAAAGGGCTCAGGACACCATTTGACAGGTAGCGCTGCTATAGACCTTTATTATGCAGCCACCATTTCAGTCATGTTCCCCTTATCAAATAACAGTTCTGAATGATAATGTTTTTTTGTGCAAAAAAGGAACCAGACTATTTTGCGTTCCAGCCTCTCTTTTGTTACATCGATTTGAATGTGAAAAAAAAATCAAATGGCTTGCAACCTGACAATCTATTACTAGGAACCCCCCCCCCCAAAAAAAAACTATTTAAAAAAGGAACCAGACTATTTTTCGTTCCAGCCTCTCTTTTGTTACATCGATTTGAATGTGAAAAAAAAATCAAATGGCTTGCAACCTGATAATCTATTACTAGGACCCCCCCCCCCAAAAAAAAACTATTTAAAAAAGGAACCAGACTATTTTCCTTCCAGCCTCGTTTTGGTTACATTAATGTGAATTGGAAAAAAAATTTAATGGTTTATTTACTAAAATCATAGTTTACTCGAATGTTTCATTTGCATGAAACAAATATTTCTACTCCCCCTGGATGGGATGCTAGTCCATCGCAGGTTACTCCCCAGCTAATGCCGGTACCCATTTATACATGTACTCCTGGGTGGAGAGGGGCAAGTGGGGGTGCAGTGGCTTGCCCAAGGACACAACATATATGACCAGCAGCTGGAACCAAACCCCTGACCATCTGATCATGAGTCATGAACCCTAACCACTAGGCCACACTCACCACTACCTCGTACAGAAAGTGTCGTTATATTTCATTTCTCAGAGTGCACTGGGCCGGCACAGAAACAGCCACACACCACGTGGGCTTCATCAGCGGTGCGGTGCAGTCTGGGATGCGGGCAGCGGACGAGGTTCTTCGACGTCTGGAACCCGAGCGGCCACCGGACCAAGTCCTGACCAGTCTAGACGACAAGCGAGACACCGGCCAGGGTAATCGGATGTGGGGTCGATTGTTATTGGTGGGCGGTGCAGTAGGGGCAGTGCTTGTTACAGCACTTTTCGTCAAAAAGTTTGGCCTTAAATGGACTCCCTCCTTTGTTCGGAGGATGTCCAAACCTTGGAATATCTAGGGCACAATGGAATTTCAATTTTGTGACCACCCGCCAGGCTTAAAGTCACACGTTGATTGAGTAATTCAAAAGAAAAGCTTCAAAAATATCAGTCAGTACATGGCCATTTTTTTTATTTCTTCGGAAAATAGAGTAGTTTGGAAAATTGAATAGTTTGTAGCATTATCCTTCAGGTCTGAAAACTTGGAATGATCGACAATTTCAAAAACTGGCTTTCAGTAGGTCATCGTTAACCAGTTCGCGTCGGAGGACGTGATAACACGCACTGACTGTTTTTATACACAGGCACGGCTGATGGGTTAAGGCATCAAAATTGCCTAGACTCGCCTCCGGGTGATGTCTAAACACGCTAATCCCTTATGTCTTTTGTACACACACAAAGTCTGTGAAGTCTGTGGAGCGGGCCATGTGTTGATCTTGAATTGGCCGTTTTGCACGGCCTACAATTTACGCTCCGGTGCTTACCCCGGAGTATTGGAACATATGAGGTTGTGGCAAAAAAAACCACTCAAATACTGTTGAAGTGTCTCATGCGAATCAGTATTTGTGGCGTTTGGCTGTACATCAGAAGTTGGCTAGAAAGTTTTGCCTTTTGCGAAAATCAAATTTTTTGTCAAAGAAAATCCCGGCGCAAAGTGGTTAACTTGAAAGTGGTAATGTGCCCCACCCCCAATCAGACTTTAGTACATGTAGAAGCTTTGTCTTACCTTACATTGAAACTACCTGTGTATATCCAGTGATTGGTGGTCTCAGGAAAGAAATTCTCAGCGGAATCACAAGGAAACTCCACATCAAATGAAGAATTTTTGTATTTTTTTATCATAATAATTATTTCGACTGAATGAGATATAATTTATATTTTTTTTAAATGTCAGTCTGATTATGTCTTCAGATTGTAAAAAAATTTTTCATAATTTATTTTGTTGTTACAGATTTATCACAATGCCAGTAGGATAGTAATTTGAAACATTTAACTCAACTCTTGCCTAATTATGCTGGATAATTTATATTAAGGAGGTTTTTGTTATCAAATAATCAGCCGTTCGATGGTGCAATTGCGTACAAAAATCTAGAAAGCACTCATCAGAGAGCGCACACCTCCGCCAAGGCTAAACAATTCATTGCCATAATAGTACACCCATACAGCCTTGCATGCCCATTGGACTTCCATATTTTATTGCACATTTAGAACATCCCTTAATATCAAAACATTTTGTATGTATATGCCTGTGTTGGTCTACTTTTCCACTCCCCCGTTGTAAAAAATGGTATAGTCCATTGACTTGTGTGTTTAGATTAGGTGGGTTACAAGTAATACATGGTCACTGGGTCAGTGCCACCATGGAGGAAGGAACACACACACGAACCTGTGCACACACTCTTGTTTTACTATACTCCCGAGGACAATGCTTTGTGTTTTCCTTTGTCCCTGTAATTTAACGTTAACACTCTCCCATAGACTAAGCACTACAGAGGACGGTTTTGAACAAAAGACCCAACTCCCGAGGACTGAAAGGATCTGTTGTTCTCCCTTTGTGTGTCTGTCCTCGAGGGTTATGGAGAACAAGTACACAGAGCGATCTGGTGAAAGTTTTACATGCATATGGGTGAAAAATTCTTTACAAAAATCCTGCATCCAGACGCAGATTCCGATCACTTCCAAAATCTTATCGATTTGTACTTGTACCAAGGATCAACCCCCCCCCCCCCAAAAAAAAATTAATGAAAATCCGTCCAGAACTTTTTGAGTTATCCTGTTCACAGACAAACACACTAACCAACCAACCAACACACAAACCAATGCCGGTGAAAAGATAACCTCCTCGGCCCAGGTAATAAATAAGCATGTATTGTATTCATGGAATTCGTTTGTAGATGAATTATATTCGCAAAGATGTAGACATTCCTAAGACCAGTCTTAATTTATCTTGTAGTATGTTTATAAAGTAATTTATCAGTAAAACCCAAAACAAATGGTTGAATGGTTGCATCCATTTCAATTTTGTAATTCAGGACATTTCTTGAGATACCAAAGATCTGCAAAACGAGTACATGTATGTTGTTTTTTATTCCATTAGAAGTTGACTTTTTATTAAGTGGACTTCATTTTTTTTGCGCTCACCATTCTCTATTGGTTCTTGTTTTAAAGTTGTTTGACATTTTGCTACTGAAAATTAAAGGCATTGTTTAAAATATCACTCCGGCTAAATAGTAGTAGAACATTTATTTCAGGACAATTTGACTACAGGCTTGCTTTTTGAGCAGTTTAGATAATCTTAATTACTCTGCAATTCTGATGACATGTATAAAATAATATGTGGTTTAATAAATGAGTTTTTTTTATGAAGTATGTAAAATAGATTTTTCAAAACAAAAGAAAGTGCTCTATAAAAAATAAATCGTCATTTCAAATGTCAAATCGATGACTTTTTTGTCAATTTTTCATTTAATATCCAACTTTAAAGAATATTCAATTATTTTTGAAAAAAAACCAGGATAAATTATATGTCCTTAGAATTATTTTTCTTTGCCCCAAATTTTTCTCCATCTCTCATAAGAGTAAAAAAGATGCCCCCATCACAAAAAAAACTGTTTGACTTTGGAGAAAAAAAAAAAAATCCAGACATCCGTCGACAATTTCAAATAAATATTTGTGTTTTCAAAAACAAAGTGAGGGGCATAGCTGGGATTCGAACCTGGGTCGCTTGATTGGGAGTCTCGTGCCGTAACCAGATAGGCAACGCCATTCTTGCTCGATACCTTGTTTTGCAAGTATATATCTGTAAGGGTAGGCTTCTCTCTAGCTTTACACGTTGCTCACATGTACGCTTAGACGTAACGTACAGTCTGATAATGTTTGATTCCGAGATTTTTGTCAATAAAAACGGATTCAATTGATCAGAATTAGATTGCAAAAGGGTAGAGGGTGTAAATTGAATTAAAATCGTGAAAGTCTACGCATTCAAACAGGTTCAATACGTGTTTTCTACCCGAAACACACGTGTTCAACGGATGCAGGGAAGCCTATTTCTTTTGTTAATTTCTTTTGTTGAATCTGGCGTTAACAATAAAATGTTTCCATTGAGGCGAAAGGATTAAACGCCGCGATCTTTTTTCACCCTTGAGTGCCTCTGAATGGGGAATATTGAAGCGGAAAATCACGAAATACAGCACTTAGGCAGCGTTTTATCCCACATAATGATACTTTTTGAAGAGGAAATTGCATACTGAAAACAACCATAGTTTCAAAATGCAAAAATTCGCCGTATTTAAAAAGTCGAGGTAAATTTTTTGGAAAAATTTGACCCAAACTTTCCTCTTTCTAACGTAGGTGGCGCTATTTAAAATTTATTTCACATACTGCATGCACTAGTACGATCGACCGGCCGGCCACAAGGGATCGGAGGCGGGACACTTCTTTTTTTGGGGGGGGGGGGGGGGGGGCAGAGGCGGTGTTAAGCCCCAGACATTAATTCATATTTTAATACAATATGATAATATATGCCTGGGGCAAACAAATAATTGGCTGTCCTTGTCTGTGATTATAATAGTGGCTGATGGACATGCTCATGGCGGGGGATGTTTATCATTTGTTGTATTGGCATGGTATGTAGCCCCCTTCAAAATAACAATAAGTACCACTGATTATTTGTTTTCCCCAGGCGTATATTATTATATTGCATTAAATTATGAATTAATATCTTCAGTTCCTTATCCCCCCTCCCCCTTTGTTCCCGACAGAAAAAAAAAACCCGCCTCCCCTTTGACAATTACGGTCGCCCCCAGCGGTACAAGCGTTATACCGCTAGGGGCGACAATAGTGGTCGCCCCCAGCGGTACGCGCGTTAATATATACCGCTAGGGGCGACAAGAAAGGTCGCCCCTAGCGGAAGTTCCTCTGGGGGCGATCAATATCGGTCGCCCCCAGCGGTATACCGCTAGGGGCGACAATAACGGTCGCCCCCAGCCGTACAAGCATTAATATATACCGCTATGGGCGACAATATCGGTCGCCCCCAGCGGTATACCGCTAGGGGCGACAATAGTGGTCGCCCCCAGCGGTACGCGCGTTAATATATACCGCTAGAGGCGACAAAGGGCGCCCCCAGCGGTACAAGCGTTATACCGCTAGGGGCGACAATAGTGGTCGCCCCCAGCGGTACGCGCGTTAATATATACCGCTAGGGGCGACAAGAAAGGTCGCCCCTAGCGGAAGTTCCTCTGGGGGCGATCAATATCGGTCGCCCCCAGCGGTATACCGCTAGGGGCGACAATAGTGGTCGCCCCCAGCGGTACGCGCGTTAATATATACCGCTAGGGGCGACAAGAAAGGTCGCCCCTAGCGGAAGCTCCTCTGGGGGCGATCAATATCGCATGTTTTGTTCCGTTAAAGTTGACTTCTATTCGGATCGCATTTTCTCGCTGACCTCATGCTTTTGTTTTAGTTGAAGACCCATTCAACTTATTCTTAAGTTTTCTTTATAAAATATGCTTGGAAATAAGATCAGGCGGCTAGCACGCACTGAGAAATAAAATCATATATAGCGCCATGGCGCTAACCAACGGCACATGCGAGAATGAAATATATATAGCGCCACCTACGTTGGAAAGAGGAAAGTTTGGGCCAAATTTTTCCAAAAAAATTTCCTCGACTTTTTTAATACGGCGAATTTTTGCATTTTGAAACTACAGTTAGATTCAGTATGCAATTTCCTCTTCAAAAAGTATCATTATGTGGGTTAAAATGCTTTCTAAGTGCTGTATTTCGTGATTTTCCGCTTCAATATTCCCCTTTCAGAGGCACTCAAGGGTGAAAAAAGATAGCGGCGTTTAATCCTTTCGCCTCAATGGAAACATTTTATTGTTAACGCCAGATTCCACAAAGGAAATTGACAAAAGAAATGGGCTTCCCTGCATCCGTTGAACACGTGTGTTCGGTGTAGAAAACACGTATTGAATCTGTTTGAGTGCCTAGAATGTTACGATTTTAATTCACTTGACACCCTCTACCCTTTTGCAATCAAATTCCGATCAAGTAAATCAGTTTTTATTTACTGAAATCTCGGAATCAAACTCGTGTTAACATTGTCAGACTGTACGTTGCGTCTAAGCGTACATAATGGCAACGCGTAAAGCTAGAGAAGCCTATATCTTACAGTTATAATGCACAACAACGACATAACTAATGAGAGTGGTTTTGCTTGAGTGGTACGGCACCGGATTTTCAATCCAGCGACTGTGGTTCGATTCCCAGCTAGGACATTTATTTTTCTTTCTTAAAAAAACCAAAACAAACCACACACATTATAATTTTGAAATTGTCTAAGGATGCCTACATTTGTTTTGCTCCCGAAATCAAAGAATATCCCCCCCCCGGGGGAGTCGAAAAGGAGAGAAATGTTGGGCTATAAACAGGACACCAAAAGTTACTCAAAGTACATGTCAAATGGTTTCTCATTGCATAATTTATTATTTACATAAATGACGGATACTTTACAGACAAGCAGTAAATAAACCTCCTAATGCAAACAAAGAGTTTTTGTCTAGGAAAAAAAGGCGAAATTGCCATCGCACATTTCACAAAAATTCAAGCAATACATTAACATATCCATCCATTAATTTGTGTGTTTTGAGTAGACATGATACAGAATAAAGCATGTTGGATATGTAATCAGGAGTTATGTCATCAGACCCAAAAGATTTTTTTCCATCGCCGCCAATTTAAAGCAACATATATATACATTTTGATCGTAGATCTATTTTTATTAACATGATGGGTGTGTAATGTTCACTTTTTGTTTGCAACCAAAACTCACAGCACCCTCTTTTTGTCAGGCAAAAATGCAATTACCCCAACATGATGTAAATGTTACCAAACAAACAGGATCATAAAGACAAGCATGCAGCTTCTTAATACATGTAGTATAATAGAATTCCAGATGAATATTCATGACATATATCCTTCCAATTAAGAGCTCAATGTAATACTGAACAATGCATTGAGTACAAAATACTAGCAGACGTACTATATAAATACACATTAGTTTTACAATTCTTCCCGTACTTATGACACGGTGATAAATATGTTATAAGAGGTTTTACAGCGGTCATTAATTAGGGAAAACACAACATCTGCAACAACCAAAGACAGAAGTAAGCTCAATATGTACAGCTGAAATTACACCGCATCGAACAAGTATCAAAAATTGACAAATTTCAAATTCAGAAATCAAGTTTTTCATTTTTTGTGGTGACAGTTTTCAAAATAACAAAATATGGATCTTTTATCACTTTTGTCTCGTGGAAGGCGACAATTAGTATGCGACACGAACATGCATATACCTCTAATGATTCGCGGTTAACGCATCACTGGATTGTTCGGGCCATAATATTTTTATTGTTTGACAATTTCTCTCAACATTCAACAGACTTGTGTTATATATCACAAACAAATAACCAGACCGAATTTCACCTCAATACATTAAACATTTCTCAAGTTATCGCTCGGAAAACGAGTGTATTTTATTTCTCCACAAAAGTTGACTTTCAATTTGGATTGTATTTTCCGCGGTAAACACGCTGGATTGTTCGGGCTATAATATGTTTTATTGTTTGACAATTTCTCTCAACATTCAACAGACTTGTGTGATATATCACAAACAAACAACCAGACCGAATTTCAACTCAATACATTAAACATTTCTCAAGTTATCGTTCGGAAAACGAGTGTATTGTTTTTCCCCCATAAAAAGTTGACTTTCGTTCGGATTGTATTTTTCGCGGTAAACACGCTGGATTGTTCGGGCTATAATGTTTTTATTGTTTGACAATTTCTCTCAACATTCAACAGACTTGTGTGATATATAATAAACAAACAACCAGACCGAATTTCAACTCAATACATCAAAAATTTCTCAAGTTATCGTTCGGAAAACGAGTGTATTGTTTTTCCCCCATAAAAAGTTGACTTTCGTTTGGATTGTACTTTTCGCGGTGTACACACTGGATTGTTCGGGCTATATTATTTTTGTTTGACAATTTCTCTCAACAATCAACAGACTTGTGTTACATATAAGCAGACAACCAGACCGAATTTCAACTCAATACATCAAACATTTCTCAAGTTATCGTTCGGAAACCGAGAGTATTGTTTTTGTCCCCGTAAAAGTTCACTTTCGTTCGGAATTTGATTTCTTTTCGCGCTGAAAACACTGGATTGTTTGGGCTGTATCTCCGCGCGACTTTTGTTCAGTTGCCAAAAAACCAAATTGTATAAGCTCGATGTTTTGGCCAAAATAAAAAAAAAATCAGTTAGCCTCACTTTTTTCAATTAAATTTGGCCAAAAATAGACTTCTCTCCAAACTCGTATAATTATATCACTACTAATACTAATCACTAAACCAAATTTCAATTCAATACACAAGGTATTTCTGGAGCTACCATAAGGAAACGAAGTATGCCGTTTTTATTTTCATGACAGAATATTCGGTGTTGACAATAATCATTTACGGTGGTGACACTTATTATTCAATCAACATGGTTTGGTTATTTACAGAAATAATCTCTCCTGCATAGAAGTATACACTATACCAAATATATACAAATACTTAAGTTGTCCACACGATCGCCATGGTTATTTACAAAAAAAGGTGTGTTTTCTAAATTTTTAACAGAAATTTAAACACTAAAGCTGTAACTAAATGTGCATCTAGTAAAATCTGGCTAAGGAAACCTGACCCAAAAGAACCGATGTGTAACACCTACATTGCACAGAAATATTTTTCTTTCAGAAGTCGTTTCTCTATATTGACGGAAAGAATGTAGTATCCAGACGCCACTTCTTTGTTTGTGTACAAAGTCTATGGAGAGTGGAGTGAATTTTTCAAAGTATTTTTTAACAAACTTGGAAATGTTTCTCAGTCCCAGATTCATGTCTTTTCAACATTTTTGCAATAACCGACCTTCATTGAGATAATATGTGATGAAAAAAGTGGCGTCGGGATGCAACATTCTTTCCGTGTTGACTACAGAGGATGTACACTACATGTACACTGTAACTATTTACCAAAAGACGCAAAAATATAACTACATAAAATGTACATGCAACAAGTTCTGCAATCTGAAGTCAACTACTGGACCCTTGTCAACTTTGCATTGTTTTCATCAGCTCCTGAGGCAAGTACCATATTGCAACATGAAAAGTTATGATTTAACGGACCAAACTGGGGAAAAAACAAAAAAAACCAATGCATTCTTTTGTCAACTGAAACCATTATTGTGGAAAATGCATAAAGCATTTTGAATATTGTCTATGAACAAATTCATCTCTTCAACTGAAAACCATTATTGTGGGAAATGCATAAAGCATTTTGAATATTGTCTATGAACAAATTCATCTTTGTCCACACACAGCCCAGACTGAATAGGTCCTGCCATTTTTATTAGAGAAAATAAAGAAAAAGTCAAGCGGGATCTGAACTTATGACCTTCCGTATACTGTACAGGAGTTCTACGAACTGAACAATCGATCTTCATTCTTTGAAAATTGGTCATAAGTCCTTATCCCAGTACTACTTGTAATACAATTTATCAAATTTTGTTTACTTGATGAATCCAGAATACTACAGAGCGCTGGGGCGGTACAGGGAGTAACAGGTACAGATGGGTTACACCCTGTGGTCGTACCTTGCAAAGTGGTCATCTTTAAAGGAACTGTTTGTATATCTGCAAAGTTCCTTTCAAGGTAGAGTAGATCATTTGCAGCAATCCAGAAAGTAACTGACAAAATGATTGTTGAAAAGCTTACTTGGTTTAAAGATGGTAATGGGAGTAAACTCCCTGTGACATTATTCTTTCTGGCATGCTGTCATTTTGAAGAAAACAATAAAAGAAGGCCATTTTCCAAAGATGCGTCAAGTGACACATTTTTGAAAATTTTTCGTTAGTATGTATGTAATTCAGCAAATCCGTGAATGGGTCCGTGCAAGCGTTGACACGACACACTTGTACGCACACACAGTTGCTATTGTCTGTCAGTTCAGTGCGTGACATCGCATAGCTGCAATGGGCTGAATGATAACATGTCCCTGATGTGGATTTCGGGCGCAAGATCAAAACGTGACTCGGCAACTTTTGAAATGAAATCGAGATCCTAGAATATTGTTTTCTCAGAATATACAGCATTCACTGAGCTAAAACTTGATCCAGTTAGTTGCCAAGCGCCCATCTTTAGATTTTGAGCACTTTCTGTTGCTTCAAACGAAAAAAAAAAATGCACAAGTGACAAACGATCTACTCTACCCTTAACACACTTATTCTCTGAACAAATTCTTTACCCATTATCCTCCGAGATCCTTCCTAATCCACCAGGGAGTTTTAGAGGATTTTGCCGAGCCATTTCTGCGGTATTTGTTGTAACACTGAGGTGGATATAGGAGGATCAGGAGGTTCCTTGCAAAAAATGCTCTTGGAGTTGGAGGCAATTTGAAGAAAGTCAAGACATATTTCTTTACATACAAAATTTCAATTTTCCTCAAATCAATTTTCCCCTTTCCTTTCGCTTTCAATTCCACCCGACGTCCTTTCCGTTCAATTCCACACCAGCCGACAACAAGAAACAAGGCATCTTATCAAAAGTTTGGTCGTCTAATCCTTCTTTTTGGTCTGTTTGAGCAAGTTCACGACCACTTGCAGGGAGGCTGCGTAGGCCTGGGCCAACAAGCCCCGCTGCTGTAAGCCGGGCAGGAGCACCAGGAACACGGCTGAAAATGAAATCAACGAAGCCACAATGTAAGCCACTCGTACTCAATTCAGGCAATGCAACAATGCAGTGCGCCACCAAGAGTTTGCCATGGAGAGTCCATTTCTCAAGTTAACGGTCGACAAAACACGGCCCGTTTGAATGAGTATCAGTAGACAACTTGAGCTAATTTGTTATAGATTGGGTCATAGCGTTCTGCCGCCTTACAAAAAACACCATATTGATAAAAAGAAAAGGACAAACATATACTTGAATCTCGCGCTTACGAAACTACTGACCGGAAAAACTATCAATTTCAAATACAAATTTTGTCGACCATCTCGCACAATGCACTGGGAAAATGGGGCAAAATCTTGATGGCGCACTGCTTTGTGAAACACTCAAATTGTGATCAAATTATAAAAAAACCTGGTTAAATGGAAACTGTACAAAGTTGTCCTTTCAGTCAAAATCAACCAAGTGACTGTTTTCAACAGTTAAGAACTCCCAGCCTACATAAAGCAGGATTGACTGGCTGTGACTGTTTACTGTTTGATACAGCTATGCTTTGGCTGTAGCTGATTGATAAGCCAGCTGTGCCTACCGCTTGCCTGCTTTTGTCTGTTGACTGAATTTGACTAGTCACAGTGCTCGCTTGAAATATGATCTGATTGTTGTTGACTAGCCCGTGTAAAAGGCATGGCAGGAGTAGAGGATTAACTAAATTATGAAGTGAATCTGTACTGCAAGCATTTTCACACTGTATTGATTTCAACTTGATGTACAGCTATTTATTGCATATTTTAGTTTCAACAACGCCATTGTTTGAAGGAGTTCGTTTTACCTAGGAAATATGCCAGGCACAGATTGGGGATGAGGTTACCAATGAAAGCGATGACCGCCAGCACAACCACCACCAGAATGAAGTACTGTCAACGAAGCAAGAAAGAAAGACATAATAACAAAGGCCTCTGTTAGAAGAGAATATGTGATGCATTCTGGCAAAATGAGACAGAACTGGGTATAGGCCGTAACATTGCAAACAAACAAATGGGGGTAACTTTTTTTCTATTTTCAGATGTGTTGATATTTTTGACTTTGATATGACTACTACACATATTCTAAAGATCTAGTATAAAAAAAAAATGTGGTATAAGGCCAAACCAAAAAAGGCTCCAGTTTCTGGTCTGCGCGTGCGTCGCCGTAGCCATGCCTGTCGGCAAACTTAAAAAGTTTTTTTTTCAATGTAAGATGATGTCTCAAAACCGCCAAACTCAATGGTTTGACTGGAATCCTGCTGCTGCACAATTTTAACGGGTTTTTGGATGGGGTTACGATTGAGTATAAGGTTTATGTAGCCTCTCTTGGCTCCCATACATTTTGCACTAAATTTAGTCAGGCACCATTTGCAATCATCAGCCGACATTTGAAGAAAAAAAAAGAAAAAAAAAAACATTTTGGGGGCAAGCTCCATACCAGAAACCGAAGACCTTTTTTTGGCTTAAAGGTGTTTTTTTTTTAAAGAAAAATACAATTGGCATCTTTCATTTCACAAATACAAAACTCGTAACTTTAAAGGCCTTTTTGTCAGTATTTAACTTTTTTAACATGTCGATAAATACAAACTTTAAACAGCCATAACTTGTCAACGGAATGTCCGATCGAAGTGCCACAAATAGTATTGTAAGGAGCATTTTATTCTCTTTCCTAATACCAACAAACCCTCATTTCGACACCTTCCAAGTTCTGTCTAATTTTTCCAGAACGCCTCACAGATATCATTTGCAACAGTCAGTCAGAGCTTTGATAAAATGTCTGCTTCCGTTTACAAAGGCTCCTTTGTGGTATTATCAGACTCTTGATCTTGTGGCAGGTGACCATGATGCTTGCGTCCTTGGGCAAGACACTTTACTACAGTTGCTTCTCCTCAACCAGGGTATTTGCAGGCCAGAACCCGCTTCCACTTTTTGTATTCATTACACCCCAAGTATAAGTATTCAATGCAGTTTTTCTAATATGAATTGTTTTTCTAATGTTTAGGCCAGAAGTTGATCCAAAAATGGCTATATTATTATTATTATTATTATTTATTCGACCAAAACAATACACAATTAACAAACACGGTATGAAGCACAAAAACTAAACAAAAATGTATGAAAGCTACGAAATACAAAATAAAACAAAATAAACACAAAAAAACGACACTGTATAAGTGTAAGTGTAAGTGTAGGGGCCACAAAAACAACGCATAATATGAAATGAAATGAAAACATCCGAAGACAATATATAAAAAGACGATATGTGGGTCAGGGGTCACAAAAGTAAATTTAATTACTATTACCCACAGGTATGTAACCCCGCACATATTAAGCAGACAAACGCAGACAAGAACAAAACAAGGTACAAGAAAATAATGAAAATATTAAACAGCAACAAAAAAACTGGCCCCTGTTACAAATTACACGCAAGCAAGAAGACTAATGCAACGAAGCCCAAATCATGTGAAAGTCATGTGAAAGTCCCCACCAATTAAATGCAGCAAGTACATGTATATGAAAACACTAATGAGGATAATGAAATCAGTTGTCTGAGAAAAGTAATTGCCGAAGATTCCTAAGGAAAACAGGTAGAGTGTCCAGTACTGCAGAATCCCTAATATGGGGTGGAAATTGGTTCCAAAGTCTGGGAAGATAACGAGTAGGAGAATGATATAAAGCTTGTGTACGAGAAGGCAGATGACGGAAGGTAAGGGATTCTGGATGACGTGGATTTATGAAAACATTGTCGTTGATCGACTCGCACCTGCAAACACCAGATAAACATTTGAAAGCAAAAGAGCAAAGTAAATAATCTCTTCTAGATGAAAGAGAAGACCAGTTTAACTGACCCAACCTATCCTCATATGACATTTCACCGCGTCTTTGTTTCAAAGCAATGCGGGTGGCAGTGCGTTGTACGCGCTCAATCTTTTGCTGTTGAGAGAGAGTGTGAGTACCCCACGCTGGAATGCCATATTCCAGGATAGGCAGGATCAGAGATTTGTAAAGGCAGAATATGGCTTGAGTTGATGCTCCGCCAGCAATAGTACGGATGAAACCCAGGAGGCGATTTGCACGTGAGACAAGTGAGTCAATATGGGAATTCCATTGAAGATTGGAGCTAATAGTGACACCTAAATATTGAATAGAGGTAACTGTGGACAGGGCAGCATCACCAAGTGTGTAAACTGGAGGATGGATATTTTTGCTTCTGGTGACGTGCATAACCTTAGTTTTGGTTGTATTGAAGAGCATGTCATGATTTAAACACCAGTCTTGCATATTATTTAAGTCGTTCTGCAGCTGGAACTCATCCTCAACCGACCGGATGACTCGGAAGAGCAAAGCATCGTCAGCGAACAGAACACAGCTAGAGGAGACACAGTCGGGAATGCTATTGACAAACAGGTTGAATAAGCTCACTGGTCAGGTGTAATAATATCACGTGAAATGGCACTGCTACATTACAATATTGGGAGAGTGTGGCCTAGTGGTTAGGGTTCGTGACTGATGATCAGAGGGTCAGGGGTTCGAATCCAGCTGCTGGCCATATGTTGTGTCCTTGGGCAAGCCACTTCATCCCAACTTGCCTCTCTCCACCCAGGAGTATAAATGGGTACTGGCATTAGCTGGGGAGTAACATGCCATGGATTAGCATCCCATCCAGGGGGAATAGAAATATTCTCAGTCATTTCATGCTACTGAAATCAGAGATTGGCTCGTGACAGGCTTTATTTTATTTTTACATTACAATATTATCAATCTGGGATTAAATCTGTTGTACCTGCTTTGGTTTTTCCTCCTTCATGTTCTTCAGCCACTGGTAACCGTTCACCACTGAGTCCTTAGTTCTGAGGAGACTAATACACACTTGCTGGTACTGTCGCTGGTGCTCAGCTGTCCTAAAAAATTGAAACAAAAATTTCAAGATAAACATCACGACATCCACTGGTACAAAAAGGCAAATTAGAAGTAAGAAAACGCTCACTCAATGTATGCTTAACTCTTAACACTTGCAGCATTTTTCAGAAACATCCTTTAAAACAGCCATGGTCCACTTATAGACGTCAGGGAATTGTCAGGTCACGGACGCAGACTAGCTGCAATCCTGGCCAAATCTCGCTGGGTACCCAACCCCCGGCTCCCACTCAATGTTGCCTCTCATTGCGCGGTGTGTGCTCCATCAGCTGGAGAGAACAACATTGACCGGGGGAGCGGGGGAGTGGGTGACCGTGGCAGGCTCAGGAAGTGTCCCAACCGTTTTGGCCGGGACTGTGGCTTGCACGCATTCACGGATGTGGACTAACTAACTTTGGTGAATTACCGGCAGGGCAGCATTTGAAAAAAAAAAAAATCATTATTTTTTCAACGATGGTCAGCTGACCATCATTGGAAACTGATAAAAAAATTTCCACTTTTTTTTAAACTGACAGCAGTTCCATGATTTTTAGCCTCAGCTCATACCCGCTTGCAGATAAGTTACTCGCCAAATACTAATATCAGTTTGTCTAGGAGGAAAAGCCGAGTTATGAATAGAACTGACCATTCTGTAGGTGGGCACAGGTACGAGTGGAAGACGGTGGGACCGAGGTAGTCAGCCAGGCAGATCAGCATGACTAGCAGGGAGAGTGTCGTCAGCACGGAGGGCTCTAACCACCAAAGCATACTAACAACAAAAATGTTAAACAAGAAGAAAATCTTGCATGAAACTACAAAATACACAAGTGTAGTGAAACTTTAAAATACTTAAAGGGAATGTACACCATTGGCTTCTGCTGTAATTTTCAGAAATGAACTATTTGGGGGTTAGTATAACAGATCAAATTTTGTTACACTGACCATGCTGACATGTTTGAAGTTTCTTGTTCGAAAATTCTTGAAAAACCAAGAAAAACAAAAATGTTCAAGTAGTCTGGTTCCCTGACTCCACCAAAGATAAAATGGATGAATTTCCAGATGCCGGAAAATTGTAAGGTAAGGGAACAAGTCTAGCTGGCCTACACCCGTTCATGAATATGTAACCAATAGCAAACAAAATTTGAACTGAATAAAAAATGGTAAATTTGGAGCAGTAGTTGCAAAATAGTTAGGTTTTTCCAACGGTGGTCGGCCGACCACCGCTGGAAATGTATACAAAAATACCATTTTCTTGAAAATGGCTTCACACCAGGTGCCATAATTTTGCAGGATGCTTTAGACTGTCATTTACCAACATCCTAGTAAGGTATTTCGTAAAAACTTGGTAGTTTTATTTTTCAATGTTTGCAAATGTTGTATATTCCCTTTAACTGCAGATGGCATTTAAAACCTTTCTTTTTCATTGTCTGAGAAGTTACTAGGTAAATTGTAAAGCTGGTTACGGTACCCAATCTCATAATCTGGAACTGGTTCCTGACATCGGCGGTCCAGTACCCGGGTACACCCCTACTTAACCATTACAGATCCTTCAAAATCTAGCAGGTTTTAGAGGTTAAAATGTACCTGGATTAAGAATTGTTTGTGAAAAAGTGGGATGCTTGGCTAAGGAAACCACATACCGAGTATCAGGTCGAATGATTTCCAGGAAAAAATGCCATAATTTCCCTTTTTTTTATAGCTCATGTGGGTATGGCCTTGAGCACGGAGTGTACTCAAGTGCGTGGCCATAGAATGGGGCTAATGTAGTGGAGAAAGCCTGCATGGTCATATTCTCAAGATCAAAGATGGAAGGACTAACGTGAAGAAGACAGTGACAGCAGCCGCCATGATGAGAGGCTGATTCTCTCGCTCCCATCTCAGCCAGCCATCAGCATGGAGTAAGATGTAACGCCACTCATGCAGCGACTGCTCCAAGGAGGTGATCTCTTCATCCTGAACAGGAACAAGAAATTCATCACATTGGTTAAGTTTCACAGAGGTTACACTGAATGACTACTATTAACAGACCAAGTCTTCAGCATGGTCTTGCAAAAGTTTAGGATACTATTTTGCATCCTAAACTATTGTTCAAGATTCTGAGCAAACACCGTCATCTGATCATGCAGGTTAATAGTTTCACAGAATGCAGAAAAGTGCAAGTTTTATAAAATTGTTGACAGTATCTGAATCACACACTGACACAGGCATCTTTGGGTGCTGGATACACAAGAAATTACAAATTACATTTTTTTGCAAATTCATTGTAAAACTGGTAGTTGTATATAGTTTCATAAAGAGAATGAAAAGACACTGTTAGTACGCCTAGAACTATGAGTCTCGTGGCTCCACAAGCCTCATAGTTCTAGGACTAGGAGTACACTGTTAGTGCTACCTTTTGGTATTTATTCAAATTGTTACCAGCAGGAAAAGAAACTTGACATTGTTTAGTTCATTAAAAATACCATATTTATTTATGAGGAAAATTATGGGGTAATTGATGAAAGTGCCTGAACTGCTGTGACTCGCATGTCTGTAAGTGCTAAAACAGGTTAGAACGTAGCTTGTGCATGGAGCTATAGGAACTCCAGCTGCAATGATCAGGAATTCGTAAAATGTGGAAGTCCAGCTGGAGTTTAATAATACTCAAGCTAGTCAGAACGTTGCATTTTTTGAAAAGAACAAAACCTACAGTTAATCTAGCTTATATAAAAATGATTGCTTGGGGCTGCATAACTCATTTTAGAAAATTTGGCACAATGGCAGTCATTTACAAGTAAAAAATACAATTGATTTTTCTTTCTTAATTTGTACAATATAACTCGCACTCACAGTGTACTCCTAGAACTATGAGGCTCCACGGGCTCCACTACGTGGAGCCTCATATTTCTAGGAGTACTCACAGTGCACTCAAAAATACACACATCTTCAGTCTATCATAGTACAAAATCTAATGAAGTCAAATGACCAAATGAATATGAGCAAACATGACAAAGTGAAAAATGCCAACACAAAGATTTGACAGTCCATTTCATTTTGTCACTGTCTGTCAGTTGACAGTGACACACAAACAGAGTTAGTATTCGTTTTACTTTCATGTTTCAGCCATGAGAAAGGTTAGCATGTTATGCTGTATCTTTTAAAAGTTTTTGTATCAATCAGCACCTAAAATACAAATATTGTAAAGTAAAAAGGTCTCACTTTAGACTCGGAATTGGCAGCCCCAACCTGCGCCATTTTCAGTTGAAATTGGTGTTGTTATTATGATTGACCCATTTCCAACGTTGAGGGCAGGCTAACAAACCGTCTGTGACCCCGACGCTTTCCATGCACAGTTTGAAAACTTTGAAGGGCATCTGACTAATCTCTTTTATTTACACGATCTGTCGTATGACTTCGCGCTCGATCGATCGGTCGAGACTTTCTCTACGAAATTCTGAAGTAATGGTCATTTTACATCCGTCAGTCACACATAACCACAAGCCTTAGTAAAATGGAAACAACACCTTGTGGAAGTAGAATTAGGTGAAGGGTGGTTTAAAACACGAGGGAGGAGATCGATTTTTCTTGGCACATCACGGTAACTCCGAAAGTCCGAGGATCATCATGAGCGGCGAGTGTGTTGAGGATGTCATCAGCGGGGTTGTCGGCCCGGGCGACGGTGGGGCTGCCGCGGTGGTCGCGCCCCGAGTGGATCGCGCCGGTGACACGTTCCTGAAAAATGTCAACCCGAACAGCTTTGCTTTTAAATATTTCTTGTCGGCCTGTGCAGCTACAGTTGCAGAAACAGGTGATGCATCGGCCGTCCGCTGGTTTGGTTTTAATGATTTTTCTTTCAAATTTCATTTTTAATTGAACCTTTGAAGAATCATTTTTCAGTCATGTCAGTAGGCGCAGTCTAACTTTTTTTTTATGTTTTGTACAATTGATTTCATAATTTCGATGTATATCTATTCTTACAAACAAAGGCAATTGACATCAAATTACAAATCAAATCAAAGTATTGCACTAAAAATAAAAAGGGTATTTTGTTGTTAAAAATATAAAAAGAGTAGTTTAACATAAAATAGTTTAAAAAGCAACTGTATTTGAACCGAACTGTAATTAGGCCAACCCCCACATTCTTTGCACAATTTCCCTTAATTGTTTGTATTATTTTTTGTGTTGCATAATTGCCGTATCCTTAGGCAAATTTTGGGTATCAATGTATTGATAATAATAGACGCACAGTGTAAACAGTAATTTTGACCTTTGGTCTTGTCCAGTTTTCATGTATCAGCATTAGTACTTTAAGTTACTGCAACTACTTCTGTTGATAAACCAGTAACTATTTTTAAGCCAGTGTGCCTGTCTAAATATAAAACCATTTGAGGTGGTGTAACTAAATTTACTTCTGTCAAACTCAAATGTTAACATTTGTGCCACGATCGACCTTTGACAATGGAAAAATGACGAAAAAGCATTTATATATTTTATGAAATGAGAGTAATAGTTGAATATTCCCTTTTAAAGAGAATATACAATATTTGCAAACATCGAAAAACAAAACTACCAATTTTTTACAAAATACCTTACTAGTACTAATACTAGGATGGTAAATGACAGTTTAAAGCATCCTGTAAAATTATGGCACCTGGTGTGAAGTCATTTTCAAGAAAAGTTGTATTTTTGTATTAATTTCCAACGGTGGTCGGCTGACCACCGTTGGAAAACCTCACTATTTTTCAACTAATGCTCCAAATTTACCATTTTTTTTTTTCAGTCCAAATTTTGTTTGCTATTGGTTACATGCTCATGAATGGGTGGAGGCCAGCTAGACTGGTTCCCTTACCTTACAATTTTCCGGCATCTATAAATTGATCCATTTCATCTTTAGTGGAGTCGGGGAACCAGACCTCTTGAACATTTTTGTTTTTCTTGGTTTTTCCATTATTATCAAACAAAAAACTTCAAACATGTCAGTGTAACAATATTTGATCTATTATACTTACCCCTCAATTAGTTCATTTCTGAAAATTACAGCAAAAGCCAATGATGTACATTCCCTTTAATAATTTCCTTCATTGCCCAGATTAACATGCATAATTCGGAGTGGAGTTATGTCGTCACCACTGTTCATCAGTTGCTATCTGTTACCATTCAGCACTCCAGAATCAAGAACCATTGGGTTTCAGGAAGGTCATAGGTCTGGGATTTAGTTAAGCCAATGTAAAAAAATTCCCGGATGTCCCCGCCCACCTATTCCCACATGAAAAAAGTTGTGGTTTTCAAAACTTTTGTGAGACTTGTAGCCTTTATTCCCTGGCCTTTTTGTCAGAAACCATTCCGAATCTCCCTGAGCAGAGAATTCAATAAACAAGTGGCGCGTTCATTCACACAGGTTTTACATGACAAAATATGGTATGTGTTTTGAATAAATTTTGTTAATCCTTAAATTTGTACCTTGCTTTAGTAACTTACCCATTGGACCTGACAAAGACCAGATTGCAGCTGCAGGGAGAGCATGCAGCAGCAAGGCATTATGGGGCCACGGCGGAAGCCGTTCCGTACAGGGGGATGGTCAGGACAGCCATGGGTGTCGGTAAGAAACTAGTATTTGGGCCATTTACCAAACCTGGGCTGCGTCTCCAGCTTCAACTTTATCCAGAATAATTTAACAGCCTAGGGCAATTTTGACCTAGAAGTTGAGATTTGTGAGGGGTTCAAATTCGGATACTGGCTGTATTTTGTGTCCATGGGCAAGCCACTTTACCTCTTCCACCCAGGAGCATAAATGAGTGGTTGAACTCTTTCACCTTGAAGATTTCTTCATCCATTGATTTCATTTGCTATCCGGTTCGTTAGTGTGACGTCATCTCAATTCAACACGGTGTAGCACAGCACGAATGGAACCGGAAGTTAACGCAATTCGAGTGTTTATCCAATGGGCGCTAGTTATAAGTGGTGTGCGCGCGTGTATGACATTTTTACTAACAAATCGGATAAAGTACTAGAAATAGAAATGATACGTAGTTTTTTTTTTAAATCTGTTCTTTTTTGACAGCCCTTACTTAAATTCTAAGTTTTCAGCTTCCTTGGCTTAGATGCTGCAGATTCTAAAATAGCTCAAATGTGTCAGTTCTTTCTAATTAAATAAAGTTAAAGACATATTTGTGTTTACTTTAAGAATTCCCTATTGTTCATGATAATGTTGGAGACGGATTTCACTGGGGAAACGATAATCCTAGTTTACAAAATTGTTTCTTTCAGTGCAAGAAGAAGGTCTGTTAAAGCTGTGGCAAGGAGTAACTCCAGCGATATACAGACATATCGGTAAGAGTAAAAAAACAGTTTTTGTATCTCAAATTTTTTTTTTTTTAGCCCAAAATGGTATGTACCCCACAATAATGGAAATATTTCATTGTATATAAAGCCATGACTATATTTTATAGTCATGGCTTCGTTATCGTGAAATATGCCGGTACGCACATTAGAATCGATAATGTATGGCATGACCATTCAGCATTTTATGTTGCATGTGTCTAGGTTAGGCACTAAAGCACAAATTCTTGTATAAAAGAAGAGGGTACCCTTAAAAACTAATGCATTATTTCCGGCTTGTAATATTCGGTGGCGTGATTGCATAAGGATTTCTGTTCTTGCTCAGAATGATCCTAATTTTCCAAATAGAAAAATTCTCTGAGCATTTTTGCCACAATGCTGCAAACACTTCTGGCAGAGTTTTAAGGATGTCGAAGGTTTAGGGAAATTAAAGATTAATGGTGACAGTTAATAAAGGCAGTGAAAATTTAAGCAACTGAGTATTTAAATGAACAGCCAGTGCCATGAAAATAAGACTAGTTCAATCAATGGATATCAAAATGGCTGTGTAGTGTAATTTTTTTCATGCATCTGGTCTGTACAGTGGGCTGGATTTAGCCCATTCACTTGTGTCAAGGGGTGATCCTATAAGATAGCACTGCCCAGTTCAGTGTTCTCCTACTTTGAAAATTAAAGGTCTGTGCTCCATCAAAAAGTGGAGGAGGGTGGCGCTATATACTAGGAGTATAATTTGTAGACATACATTTTTTTATGCCAGGGGGCGCTATCTGCAGATGAACATGTAATTTACGTATGGATAACAGCTTTCTAACAGATTTCTAACAGTTAAGTACAATACTGGCTCAGCAACATTATTTCCCTTAATGCATCAGTGACCAGGGACTCTGAGGCAGTTTGGCCTTGAGACTTTTGACCTAATTGATTGCTACAATGGGCAGGCTTGTCAGTTTGACAAGTGTTGCATGTTTTTGCTTTTGGCAGAGTTTCTGGCCAAAATATACCCTGGAGGGTAAGGGTAGTCCCACTAGTTTGTCTTTTTTAGTATATTTTAATTTTTTTGAAAGCATGGCAGCAACTTTTGAAGCATGGCGGTTGCCTCAGAAAGCATGGGGGGCACTGGGGTATTTTTACAGGTTGGAGAACACTGCCAGTTCACAATTGAGAGTTACATGTATATGTGTTGAGTGAATCTTTCATTGAGTCAGTCCATCAGTACTAACAGTACTTGGGCACAAAGAGGACACTAGGAAAGAAAAAAACTGTGATAACAGTCTTAACGTTTAAGGACCAATCACAATAACAGTTAATGCCATCAATTAATCAATATGCTAATTCTCTGGTCTCGATACAGTTTGAGTGAAATATTTATGATGATGGATTATGACGGATGTTTTCGCAGTGTATACGGGGTGCAGGATGGGTGCCTATGAATACATCAGGGAAAATGTGCTCCACAGAAACGCAGATGGAAACTTTGCAGTTTGGTGAGTGCATGATGCTTTGCTGTCGAAATCATAATTGACCAAGTATCTCGAATTTGATGTGGTTCCCTTTAACCATTAACCTTAACCCTAATCCTCCTCAATCCTTCAGGCAGAAACGTATTGAGTGAAAGTGGTGTATTTTCAAATGTATTTTTCCAGGAAAGCTGCATTGGCTGGGATGCTTGCTGGGGTCATAGGTCAATTCATCGCCAGCCCTACTGACCTGGTCAAAGTTCAGATGCAGATGGAAGGACGGAGGGTACTGGAGGGCAAACCCCCTAGGTTAGTAAAAAAAATAATTATCCGAATTTAACCTCCCCTTCTGTTCTTTTCCAAGCTTACCCCTACCCTTACCCCTTCCCCACCCCTACCCCATCCCTACCCCACCCCTACCCCACCCCTACCCCTACCCCACCCCTACCCCTACCCTAACCCTACTCCTACCCCTATACCCTACTCCTACCAGGTAGGGGTAATGTTTTGTAAATACTGAAATAAAATATTAATCCTTTAGTCACTGTAGCACCCGAAACCCCCCTGCTTATTACTCACTGTAGCGCCCAAAACTGCCCGAGCACTCTATGGGTTTTTATCGATTCTTCAGTGAAAAAAAAAACAATGTAATAAATGGGTTAATAAATAATAGCATTAATGCCAAGTAAAAACAATTAACCAGTTGTTCGTGTCTGCTCACTTCCTTTTTTCCTGCCTCCCTTTTGTTCCAGTTTTTTTTTTTAAATCACACATTTGCAGTATTTTGTCTTTTTATTTGTTTCCATCAAATCTGTAGCTATGTATACAAGTGCAAAATCTGGTAGAAAGGGTGATGGCTCCTTTGGACACAAAAGAATCAGCACAAGATTGGAGAAAATGGACAAATCCATTCACCATCTTAAAAATTCTGCCATCTTGGTTGGGGGGGGGGGGTGTGGGGAGGCCACCGCCTCCTTTTTTTCTCTCAAAAAGTTCAGATATGAAACTAGGTACTTTAACAGGTTGATATAGACAGATCAATGTGCAAAAAGTGTATAGGGATCCCATTATTACCCCTGCTCATAATGCCAATTTATCTCACCAATGATAGCAGCCGATTTATCATCTTTTAGTTCCACAATCCACATTGGCCAAAGTACCTGTGTTCTGCCACAATAGCTCTTTGGAAAAAAATCTGTGTTTTTTTTTTACTGGACATAATGAAATCATGATAAAAGTAATGAAACCATGATTTTTTAATTTTTTTAATGTTAGAGTGAAGAGTGCCTTTCGTGCATTTTCCAACATTCTGAGGGAAGGTGGGGTTCCTGGGCTCTGGAAAGGCTGGGCCCCAAACGTCCAGAGAGCAGCACTAGTCAACATGGGAGGTCAGTCAGTAAAGATTTGATTAATATTTTTTTTGGGGGGGGGGTCTGAATAGGCCTATACATGAAACGGAATTGTGTACACTATGCGGTAGAGGATTAAATATTGATCCCTGTACAATACCAGTGGAGCGTTGTAACAAACAACATTAGATATTTGCATTTCAGTGTTGTTAGCTGAAAGAGGGAGAATAAGTAAACATCGTATGTTAAATTATCATTATACATTAACTCTATGCCATCCTTTGTATTAGTTCATTGTTTGTTCCCATTCCGTTGTGTAAATACTCTCTATCTAGCCGAGTAATTTTATCGATGCTTAAAAACAAGTTATGATAACCGCAAATGTTTGTGACATCGAACAGGCTGCCTGGGTCAAAGTGCCAATTGGCACTTTGAATGCTGTCATGAATCAAAACATAGTTCTGATTTCTATCTGAGAAAATATGATTTTCTGTGATTTAGCTTGTTTTATTTTCTGCTTACTTTATTTGAGTGAGTTTGTCCTAATCAATTTTCTTTTCTTTCCAGATTTGGCCACGTATGACTTATCCAAACATTTCCTACTCAGGCACACCAAACTCACCGACAACTGGCTCACGCACAGCCTAGCGAGGTAAAGCCTGCCATCGGTTGTCCACTACTTTTTACTGAACTAGAGCCAAGGATTTCCTTGTGAACGACATTTGCAGAATTAAAACCCTGGATAACCAGTGGCATTTACTCACAAAATTACTGACAATGATTTACATAATAGCATCAACTTTTTTGAGTTTTGTCGCACAGTTGGCAAACAAAACTGCAGATAATTTGTGGGATTTTTTTTCCAAATTCTTTTGAAACAACATAACTTTTTGTGTCGCCGTTTTCAGAATTTGATGTTTTTAGCAACACAAAAATGGGGGAAAAAGCTTGGGTATTATTGAAGAACCAGCTCTTTTTTGGTGAGAGCTGAAAGGCCTATGTATAGTGTCAAGCGTGGGAGAAGCATAGAAGCAAAAGGATCAAAGATTTTCCATGTATGTCAAATAATTAGATCTTGCAGGAGTCAAGATAAATCACATTTTCTAGACTTCATAAGGCCAGTCCACAGTTCACCGAAATGAGAAGTAATTTCTCACGATGAAATTCACTTCATTTAAACGTGTGTTAACATGAATATTAACAGTCAATGTCACAAATGAAACCAGCCTTCTTATGTTTCCCAACCAGTTGCTGCTCCGGTCTGGTTGCAGCCTCTCTGAGCACCCCGGCCGATGTGATCAAGACGCGGGTCATGAACCAGCCTACGGACCCCAGTGGGCGGGGCCTGCTGTACAGGTCTTCCATAGACTGCCTGCTCAAGTGTGTGCACAACGAGGGCTTCTGGACGTTGTATAAGGGATTCTTCCCTATCTGGGCGAGGATGGTACGTAAAAGTTTTCATAAGATGGAAGTCGAGTTTTCCGGGTAACAATTACTTCCGAGTGCAATTTCAGGTCTCCAAGTACGAGTACTTGTGCTTCCGAGTACGAGTACTTGTATTCCGAGTGCGAGTACGAGTACTTCTATTTCGGAATACGGCCATATGGCAAATGGTTCATTGAGCATAACTGGCCCAGGCCCAGGCCCAGTCAGACTGATATACAGACCCACTCACGACTAGCTGTTAAATGTGTTTGTCTGGACTTGCACAGAGGAAAATCAGGAAACTTTGATTTCTCTGCAAGCCAATCAACCATTTCCAACTGAAAATGTCGATAGTAAAATAAGGCTGCGGTAAGTCAAGCTATACCATTTTTTCGAGTACTATTCGAGTACGAGTACTTTGATGATCGAATACAATTTGGACCTGTTGAGTACGAGTACTTTGCTGCCCAAGTATGAGTACGCCATTTCGAGTACAAGTACTTTGACATTCGAGTACGAGTATGAGTACTCTAAAAAAAAGTACTCGAGCACTTAATGAGTACCAAGTATGGATACTACAACACCGAGTGTTGCTGAGGAAGATTGTGAGATAAAATTCTTTCTCTTTTTTTCTCCAAATCTTTCCAGGCGCCCTGGTCTCTGACGTTCTGGGTCTCCTACGAGGAAGTGAGGCGACTGACAGGAGTTACTTCCTTTTGATTGTTGAGCAAAACAAAATTCCCAACAAATTTTTCTGACTGGTTTCATGGCAGTATTCAGGGCCGTGTTTTATAAGCTGGTGCCTTAATACCCGTTATGGCATGACATTATGCAGCTGGATGTGCGAACTACCAACCGTGAGGCCAGTCCCGATGACAAGCGTGAATCAGTGATATCAGTTATTGTGTGGCATTGTGTAAGAAGCCGTCCTCAGTTCGGTCAGCGACTGACTTTTCAGGTTCAATCTGCACCTGAGCTATGGTCGTCGGGAGACATATCAGTTGCCGATTTTTTGCAACCCGAGTGTAACTGTGACGATCGGCATCAGTCGGCGCTAAACAAAACAGTCAACAGTCGCAAGAGTAGAAAAAGTTCAACTTCTGCGCCTTGACGGAAGTTACGAACGCCGCGTGAAGTTACGAACGTCGTGCGCGCACCCGAATCATCTTATTTCATTGTGTAGCCAATCAGCATGCCGCAAAAATGGTCGAATGAACAGATGTGGCCATGGAAGATCGCTTGATTGTTATCAACATTTTAAGCATTTTGAAAAAGTCACATGATCGCTAATGTATTAACCCAAGTTGGAAACTTGAGGTTTTTTTTTTCAACCAGGGGTAAGTTCGATCAAGGACGAATGGTTAACTATAGTGGTTGGTTCATGACGTACATAGCACTGAAGTTGAAGTGCGAATGACTCTAGTCGAACTATTGTCACGTCAACGACCGTGAGAAAATGGCGGTCGCACATTGGCTAAAGAATTTTTTCAACATTTGAGGTTCTGCTAATTTACACAAATAACAGTGATTGTGTATAATGGGACACCTTACACAAGCGTGACAAAGTGACAGAATTTTAAACTAACATGGACAAACAATGCAATGAAAATGAAATTTTAACACTCACAGTTTTCGTTTTGCCGCCATTTGATAGTTGGTCCCCTCTGCACTATGTTGCCAACATCCAGCTCTAAGTTGTGGTGCGACCAGCCGCAGTAAGCTTGTCCTGAATAGTCGACTAGCATGCGTTCGGTCAGAGTTAGTCGAACTATGATTAACTAAGGTCCTTGATCAAACTTACCCCAGTCTAATGCAGTAATCTGAACCAGATTGATGATTGTAAGAGTGTTTAAAAGTGTGACCTGTGACTGCAACCATGCCTAGTTGTAGTATCTGCTGCCCTCTAGTGGTGAAATACAATCCCATTGCAGCTGAGATATGACCCCGGTAGCCTTTGTTTGTGTCATAACCTTCGGAAACGCCTTCCAGCAGCTGAGTTAGTTCAAAATTTCTGTCCATGTTGAGGAAAAAAAATATGATGTTTGGAGGACAAAATTTCCAGCTGTCGGCACCCAAACATTTGCCTCACAATTCAGAATCCGTCCTTTTCTGTGTGTGTAGTACCATATATAAAAAAAAAATTATGGACAAGTTTTTTTTTCAGCAGGTAAAAGCTCGTTGTCTCCTGTTAAATTGCATCTACTCGAACCACAAAGAACCGTGTATCAACATTTTCACTGCCAATTTTGTGTTGAGTTTTTTTCTCCTCTTTTATTTGAAAGTGCCCCAGTTGCACAACACATAGCTGGACCCCTAGGTGGTTCGGCTTTGCCTCCGACTTCTAAATCAATGAGAGGCAAACTAAACAAAAACATTCCAACTTTTGGCTTCATGTCAACTGATTGAATGTTCCTGGAGCATAACAGGCACGAAAATGTAGCTGAAGTTCCAGAAGTTGGGGGCCTAAAATCACCCTAAGACGAAGCCAAAGCTAGTCGTTTCGAAAATGCTGCTAGTTACATATGGGTCATAGGATTTGGGGTCCCAAGTGACTCTGTCCCAATTACTTCTGAACTTCGTAATTTGCCACTCAAGTATCATTAAGAGTGACTTCAAACGATTGTTTATTTGTTGGGTATCAAGACAGTTAACTATTCATAATCACTCTTGGAGGACGACTGCATTAAAGAGTGCATCAGAATTATACAATCGTAGATGCCAGATGCAAAAAGGACAGGAAAATCTTGGACCCCAGATTTATAAAATGACCTATATCTCAATTTCATTCCCCGGTTGAAGTGATGTTAAATACGCTGTCTCTATTCGAAAAATAATTTCAAATTTTGGACACTGTACAGCAGAATATTTGTAAAATAAACTGTGAATTTTATACATGAGGTCTTGGTGCACACGAGGACACTTTTTTCCCTTAACCCCAACTCCCTAGCGTCTTTTACTAGGAACTGGACCAAGTCCATCAAAATCCATCAAACACTGTGCGTCCAATACAAAACTGTACATGACATAATGGAATCCACCACTGAGGCACTGGTTGACATTCATGGACTTGCTACACATGGCTTTTATCACAATAGCAGTACAGGAAGCTAGGCAAAATCAATCGGATACCCCTAGCACTGCTAAAGGTCATTAGGCCAAGGTCCATCATATTCCATCAATATTTAGTCACGCCAGGCCTTCTGGACCAAGTCCCCCAAAATCCACCAAAATGGGAGATGGATTTTGATGGAGTTGGGGTGGTTAAGGGTTAAATTGTTATTAATGGAAGATAATATAGATCATATGTAATGTTTGGTTGTCAAACCAAAGTCAACGCACAAAAAGTTGTAAAAATTAAATATTTCTTGTATGCAGCAACACATTTATTTAGTTCCTATGAATCACCAGGTATGTGAAATGAAGAAAATCTTTTTAAAAGAGACAACTTTGTGGAAGTTCGTCTTTTAAACATGTCCTATATCTGAACTGATACCTCAACAAATCAATATGGAATTTGAAAATGTAAATAATTCCGAATCGTTTTAATTTTTAAGAAAAAATTATGAGAAAGCAATAAAAATATTTTTTGTTTTCAAAAACGTGTTTTGTAGTCCATCCATGATTTTACATGTTATACTCAATACCTTAAAAGAACAAATATATCAGCTTACATTAACCCTAACTCCCTAGGCATTTTTGCTAGGATGCAACCTCAATCCAACCTGCAAACTCCTTCAACTGCCTCCATGTAAAAATTGCATACAGCCTCATCTTGCAAAATTCGCTGTTATTTCTTGAATGAGGTCTTTGGAGGGGTGACCACTGCCTCAATTCTGCAAAATCCTCCAGCAATCACTGTCAATATGTTGAGGCAGAGCCAGTGATATCCTGGAGCAGTGCGGAGGATTTCAAGTAAATTATGTAAATTAAGGTTGATCGTGATGGGCAAAAATACTGCTTTGAATCCACCTTAAGATCGAAGCGACATGGACAACCCGGCCACTTTTGCTTTCTTGGCCGACTTGACAGAGGACGGCGTCTTTCCGAGTCTCTTCTTTGCAGCACCGGGAGATTTCTTGGACGTCTTTGCTGTGGAAGGTCTTGTATCCCTGCTTCTAGTTCTGCATGACAATCCACCTTCTTCCTCATGGTCGCTCGGTCCTTCGTCCGTCGTCCCGTCGCTTCCAATCGAATCCTTCTTTGGCATCTTGGCAGTTTTCTTGAGTTTGCTGCGGAGGAGTTTCGGCGTCAGTTTTGGTGAGGTTACGGTTTCCGTGTCGCTGTTGGTCTTGGTTTTCCTTCGTTTGGAGGACTTCTCTTTTGGAGTTTTTGGCTTCTTAGTTGCCTTGGATGCGTCTGTTCTCTCTACATGAGGAAGGTCAGTTTCATCATTTTCATTGGTGACTTCCTTCAAATGCCTTTCGTTAATGACTTCCTCATCATTGATGTCATCTTCATCAACATGAGTTGCTTCTTCATCATCATCGCTCATGTGACCTGTGCTATCCCCACTCTTGCCCTTTGAACTTTGACCCAGGTCGTGACCTCCCAAGACACTTGGGCTCAGTACTGCTGGTGTTGTATCGATGACGAATGATGCACTGCCCTCAGCAAGTTCAACGCTGTTCTTGGCTACAAAGCTGTAAGATTACAATAAAAGTAAATACTTAATATCTTCAATAACAGTTTCACCAAAACACACGCCAAAATTGCAGTTGAATGCAGACATTTTAAATGTTTTGTGTTAAAACTTATCAGACATTGTGAAAAATCAATGTTAATTTCCAAATGATGCAAACATACACTTGCACTCCCCAGTTTTCTCAACTTACAATTTTGATATCTTTAAAACTTGACAAATGTAGAATAAAGCCACCATTAGTGCGTTTTCAGTCCACTGTGTCTCTTCAATGATGTAATGAAATTAGTATCTTTGTGCTCAATCCAGGAGTCTTAAGCTTTCAATGTGACTATACCTTCACCAGGGTAGTTTAGTGATGGAATAGTCCGATAATTTAGCAAGAATAGTGCATTGCTATGAACAATCTTTTTGTGTCCATATATTAAAAGACCAAAGCATGCAATAGACACATACAGACTGCAAAGGTGCTAAAAGAAAGCAGAGCTTATAATTACTCAGTGTTCGCCAGCCGGGCTACTGAAACCGACTCTTAACTTGCCTGCAGGCATTTTCACTAGCCTGCACTTTTCTTTCTTTTATAGAGTGTCTCATAAACAACGATGTGCATGTTTTATAGGTTTGCTTTCTGAATTTAATGATTTATTTCTTCCTGTCCTTTCATCTTTGCCGTAGCCCAATAATTTTTGACTCGCCAGCCGGGCTACATAAGGAATAGTTTGACTAGCCCGCCACTGTTTTGACTAGCATTTGGCTAGCGGGCTACCGCTAAAGTTGAACCCTGGCTTACTTTAAGTATGGAAAGGCAGAAAACATTTTTTTGGGGTAAATTATTCCAACATCCCTTCTTGTGACTCACCCAGTCTCAACAGGCCCAGTGGCCCGACGCATTCGCTGCCAGGTGTACTCCACAAACATTGCCTGCTGCAGAAGACGATTCATCCGCTCAAAGTGACGCTCTGTCAAGAAAGACACAAAAGTCATATTAATACCAAGAAATTTCCCCAAAGCAAGTATAGAACTTAATCCGTTTCCAGTTGTAGGGCCCACAATACCGACAAATGGGCCATCTTGTTTTTAGTGAATGAGGGCCCTAACGAAGCTATTTTCTGAGTGCAAACATATCATGTTTACTGATGCAAATTTAGTGGCTTTCCTTCATTATCTGAAAACTGAAGACTTTAGGAACATAATTTTTTTTTTAAATTATAGCAGGATGTTAACTTAGGCCATTAACTTGGGGATCATGCTTTGTACACAATATTAGTAGCTCACCCGGATGGACTTGGGTACAGACAGACAGGTTAGCCACGACAGCCGGGCTTATCGAACGCTCAACCGCAGGCCATCATGATCCTCACATGACGTCCTTAGCCACCACTGACAAAACGCCAGTTTCTTGCTGGGTCTTAGTTCGAGACTTACTGCTTTTTCAGTCAATTGCAAAACTTTAAAAAGTTGGGCTGGACTTATAGCCTCTAAAGTCGCCATGAACTCAATAAATAATGATATTTAGACTTCAAATAAAGATGCTTTTAGGGTCCAATTGAGATTTCCGCTGTCCGGCCGCCATATTTGTCGGTATCTTGGAATGAACAACGCATGCGTGTGACGTATTTCCACCACTGACTCCGCTCCACGAGCAGGGTCTGTGGTGGCTGACTCGGGTGAGCCCCGAGAATGACGTCAGAGCTAATCGAACGGCACGGGGCTAACCTGAGTCAATCCGGATGAGCTAATCGAATGCACTCAATGCAATGTACTTTGCTTTAAAATAAAGCCTGTTGGCATTAGTCTTTCAGTCCGAGACAGGCTTCCAGAGCTACGTCTACGTCTACTGCCAGCATGTTTCCAAGCAGTTGTAATGGGCAGAAGACCCTGACAGCAGCTCTAAACTAGAGATTCGGATGCAGCCTAACCTGTGTACGGAATCAGTCCCTCCAGCGTCTGCTGCATTGTGGTAAAGGTCATGAGGTCATCTGGGGTCACGTGCCTGAGTATGATCGCGATGACCGTCTGCGCCGTGTGGCAGTGCTTGGAGTTGGTGTTCCAGTGTTTGCAGAAACCTAGCACAGACTCTGTGCATGTACAAAACAACGAAGTTTGTCAAACAGTGTCACACAGGGTGAGTAAAAAAAGCGGAACACATACCCATAAATTATAATTCACATTCAAAAAAAATATGTAGCACCAAAAATAATGACTTGAAAGCCAATTTCGTATGCTACTTTTAGATGAAAAAAATTACTCTAATTGCTCAATCCGTTCAAAGAATATCACCATTTAAACACAATGGCCCTAAAACCTCTTTCGTCCAAAAATGCGATTTCAAGAATCGTCGTCACAATTGTCTTCAAACATCACCAGCGATAAAACCTCAGTTTAAAAGTTAAAAATATTCAACAAAGTCCTCTTGAAGGCCTGTCTTTAAAAAAAAAAAAGTGGATTTTATAAATCATATTGTTTGCCTAACCAGGGTTGTTAATAAAGATATTGTGTACAGCAGTTGTTGAAACAAGTATTGTGTCATTTTCTTTGTTGTTCCAAACAATCAGAATACACAATAAATTGCTTTTTTTTTGGACGAAAGAGGTTTTAGGGTCATTGCGTTTAAATGGTGATATTCTTTGAACGGATTGAGCAATTTCAGTGTTTTTTCATCTAAACGTAGCTTATGAAATTGGCTTTCCAGTCATTATTATTTTTGGTGTTACTTATATTTTTTTAAATATGAAATATATTTTTGGGGTTTGGGTTCCACTTTTTTGACTCACCCTGTAGCTTGTGTCCTTGGGCTGGACAATGTACTACAATTTTTGAAGTTGATCCATTAAGCCCAATGTTTGTTGCCACACAGCGTATATCTTACACATTAAGTGTATGGATTTTTTCAAATAACCTTGACAGTGAGGGACTTCCTTGCAGATTGAATGATTAAGATTTAGCATTTGAGATTACCCTAATATTGGCAGTTACTGGACTTTCCACAAATTACATGAATTCTGCCAGCTCACCTATTTGATCTGGCCTCATTTTCTTCATCGTTTTCTCCAGCTTCTGCTCCCCGTCAGGCTCATCCAGAAGGCCTGCAGGAAAAAAAAATTGTGATTATCTTTAAAAGAAACCAAGAATCTTTGCTAACACCTCAAAAGACCCAAACTCAAAACAAATGCCAAAGTTATTCACTTAAACAATAACCACAGATGAAACAAATTGTACAAAAAGGCACAACTACAACCATTACCATACTCAGTACTCAGGACTTTAACCCAAATCTATACAAAGCAAACAAGACTAAACCTTTAACAAGCCAAAACCAGAATTAAGACCTTAACCTAAACAAAGTTAACTTCAACTATAAACTCCACTGGCCTTAATCCTTGACCTTATCCAAAGCCATAATAAAACAGTAACAAAAATGAACATTACATGCAATACATTAACCTGAAACTAAAAAAAACCCCAAATTGTTCAAAAATTCTAGTTTGGTACATTAAATTAAACTAAACCCAAACTAAACTAAACGGCAACCAAACTTAACTTAACTAGATTAAACTGAAATAAAACCACACCAAAACCAACATTAAACTGAAATAAAACCACACCAAAACCAACATTAAACTGAAATAAAACCACACCAAAACCAACTTAACTATTTTCAGCACTTACTCTTCATGATTGTGAGCACTCGGTACGGTTGATTAAGGGTAATGGCTAGTCCAATCGCCTTCAGGTACTTCTTCTCATGAAGCAAATTTGATAATTCTTGTTCCCTGTAATGAAACAAAAATTCCAATTAAGCAAATTCACCACAAATTAAAAGTACAGAAGTTTCATAAAATAAAGCAAATCACATCAAGTACAAAGACCATGCAGACAACTGGACAAAAGTGACTTGCACATTAAAAAGTTGAAAGAGCACAACAGTATACAAAACACCAACCTCAAAAGTCCTATTTAAAGATTTCACGGACAGAATTTCCCTTTTCACAAAACAAAAACCCAGAAAAATGAATCAACTTACTTTAAAATCTGTTCTTCCTCTTTTTCAATCTCTTCTTCTTGTTCAATCTCTGTGATGTCCTTTAAAGAAAAGAACAGAAAATAAACAAAATGGGAAAGAAGTTGATACTAATAAACCAAACTTTGGTATTGCAGCTTCAAGAACACCTTAAATGGTCAATGAGATAAATTGTACTTAGGAACATATTTTGTGCAACTTTCTACTCCTCTTAAATGTATAAAAACTATTTGAAACCCCTTTTTAAATGCTTTTCTGGACAACTGAGGGCACTGTTGCTGTGATGTCATTTCAAGAAGGCACTGTTCAGTTTGGGGGTTTTCTGTTCAAACTGCAAGCCCTAAAATGTGTGCATTGAAAACAGTTGTGAGAAAAGTTTGATCATGGGCTTACTGCCACGTACTGACACAATAACGAATCACCAAAGAAAAGACATTTTACGACAGCAAAATATCCATAATTCTGGCAACTTTAGGTGCTAAAATAGCTGTAACATTGACAGACATGCAACTAAGAATTTAGGAAAAACGAGGAAACTCCAAACCACACCAGACTTTGAACAGTGTTTTTCAATTTGTAATGGCATTCATTAGAAGTAAAAACGATGAAATCAGCAGATCCGAGGAAAAGTTGCATGGCTTCTGTTGAGGTTTCTGACTGAAATGACATCACACTTTTGCTCATGAGTATGGAAATTCACATAAACATAAAAACCAAAAAGGCACCAAAATAGCCTTGAAAATGGCAAAATGAAAACTGAAAATAAGGTTAAAGGGAAAACAAAAGTGCATTTTCAAGGATTGCATAAAAAGTTAAACTGCATAGCCCTTTAAGGAAAATATTTTTGTGACTTAAAAGTCATCATTATTTTTTTATCCAGCATAATCATTCTTTTAAAATGAAATCTTGTCTCAATTGTGTGAGCTGTTAACTGGCGGTCTGATTTTCACAATCGGAGCCATTTTGTTGTAATTCTTCAACAAATTTCTACCTTCCAGACGAGGATGTTGGAGTCTCCACCGCCACTGACCAGCGAATCCTGCCCTCTATTGGCCGCCAGGGCCCAGACTTTCTGGGTGTGCTCGTCGAACGTCTTGACGCATTCGTTGCTCTTGATCGTCCACAGTTTGAGCAATCCATCTGAACCACTTTAAGAGCAGACCAAAAAAAAAAAAAAAAAAGGTATGAAGAAAAAAGTAGAGTAGTTTGGGGCAGTAATCCTTTCCCTGCCTCCATCCCTGTGGCTCAGGCTCGAATCCCGCCTGGGCCGTTATGCAGATTGGGTTTTCAGTCCCTACCTGATTCTGTGAGTTTTCCCCAGAATATTTATCTGGGGTTTTTCTCCCACCCCTAAAACTGTAATAATTTCTTCATTGCCTTTTCTCTACAAGTTTCTTCAGGCTTGCAAGCTACAGTTTCCATAAAACACTTTTGAGAAATCTTTGGTTTCATTACCAGAAATGAAATAATATTGTGTTTAGTTATATTAACCCTGTACTTGCAACAGTTGGAGTCACTGCAAAAGTAATTAACCAACTTTCTTTTAATTTTTTTCAGTTTGGGGTTAAAAGAAATTAGAGTGGAAGATGCCTCTCTTAAACCCAAAACAATAATTACACATTTATCAGAGATTTCGAATTGTTTCATTTCGTTTTTGTAATTGATTAGGCTGTACAGGGTGACCCCAAAAAACATTTGACTTAAAAAAAAAAGGATTGGTGGAATTTTTTTTGGGGGGGGGGTATCAGATTAAAGCTGAGAGCTTTTTCTTTCAAATAATGAAAAAAATCATGAAAAAAGCACTGTGGGTTGCTGAGAAAATGCCAATTATGTAAAAGTAGTCATTTTTCATCCTGTACACAAATACTTGGAACAGTGAAACATTTTACTGTACTAGCCTACTGTGCAATTATCCTTCATTTGTGCAATGTCTTTAATATTTTGACATATTTATGATGCTGAAAAGGTTTCAAATAGGACTAAAAAGGATAACATACCTGTTCAGGTGGACAATAAAAGGTATTATTTCCATGAAATTCATGTGTACTCTTGTCATATTATTATTAATCTGATACCCAAAACATAAAAATCCACCGATCCCTTTTTTTTTTATAGGCAAATGTTTTTTAGGGTTGCATTTTTTTGGGGTCACCCTGTACATTGGGTTTTCCCCTCCCCCATTTTCTGTGACCCCGGCTCCGCCTTTCCGATAAACTCACCATGAAACCAACTGCATTCCTCTGGAAAGGAAAGTGACTTTTAAGACAGACGCATCGTGCCCCTCAAACGTCTGAGGAAAAATAAACACAGAGTAGTAACGGTTGACGCACGAAGTACAGAAATGGATTGTAGTCTGCACATTTTCATTGCATGAAGCATGCCAAAATTATCAACAGAAAAAGTACAGAGTGAAAATTTACATCTCCCATCCCCCAAGACAAAACAAATTGCATCATAACTCAGTCATTGCAGTACCCACTGCTACGTATATAAGAATATGACTGGTTAGCCAAACTTGGCAAGCTAGGTGGTCGAGTGGTTAAGACGTCTGCACGAGTAAGCACGAGGTTGTGGATAAAGCCTGTGAATATATTTTTTTCTGTCTAGCTCTTGAATAGCTATGATTATACAGTGCTTACAAAAATAGCCAGGTGGAGGGCCGGAGCTAATATAGAATTATCCCCTAGGTCTGTCCATTTTCGAACAATTTCTGATTATCTGATTATTCAAAACTGTGTTTGACCGAATATTCAAAACTTGTGATCAAGTTCGACACGAGCCAGCTGCAACTATGTGCCTCACATGCAGAGCAGGGTGTTCAAATGTGCATGGGCTAATCCTGCTAAAATGATGGGAACAATGAAAATTGTTACTGTCAACCAAAAAGTGGTACCTGACAAAAAGGCGCCACAACTTTACACTGAAATAACATCACAGTCGAGTGTGTACATGCATATATATTTTTTGTAATTTGGAACCGGCAACCGGTGAAAAGCTATTCCAATGTTCGATTGATTATCGAATATTCAAATATTCGGTTTATTCAGGAAAGCCCTAATCTCCCCCAGCAAAAGTTCCACAATTAACCGCAAATGACTGTACCTTGACACAGCTGAAATCTGACAGGGCCCAGATTCTGATGGTCCCATCCGCTGAACTTGTCGCTAAGGCCTGCCAAAACATAATCAGTCAAGTTATGTACCAACTTACACTTAAAAGGGCTTATACCAGACAGTTCTGTAACGGAAGTGTGAAACTAACTTCAAGACCCCTTTAAGAGATCAAAAACAAACCATAATATCCTTTTTTCCCCCAAAAATAGTCATGATGCATATTTGGCTCAGGTGTGCTCAATTCAATCTGAATTTCTCAAAATCTATTTTTTTTTTTTAAGAATCGTGACTGATTTTAAAACACAGACCTGATCTGTAGGGGAGAACTGCACACACCATATCCCCCGTCGGTGACCCCTGAATGACCCCAGACTAGTCTCCTTCTCCAGGTGCCAGAGTCTGGCCGTCCGGTCCTGGGAGCCCGTGGCCAGCAGTTTGTCGTTTGGCGATACGGCAACAGAATTGATATCCTGTAAAAAACAGAAAGACAAAAAAAGTGTTTTTTTTTCCACATTATTTGTTTCAAATTTAATATATAAATATATAAACACTATGTTTGCATAATCTCAAGCTTCAGCTTTTCTTTCACAACTTGTTGATCGTATTATACAGGACTATCTGGCAATCACACCAATGGTTCGCATATTTCAAACGCTAACGAGGATTTTGGCTTACGTGCATGCATTTTTCCAATAACCATTCCGTGCTTACGCTGCAGAATATCTGCACTAGTCGAGTAAGAATAGGGCAGTGATTGTTATGGAAGTGTTCCGTGGCTTTCGCAGCCAAGAAACTGGGCGAGAAAGATTAACCCTAACAGTCCTGAATCCTCCAATTTTAATACAACTTTGCACATCCCCTAGGGAGTTATTAAGCCAATCACTAACCTTCTCATGAGCACGCTCCGTGAACCTGACGTGAAGCGGAGCAGGCGTTGCAGTTTTCTCGGCGGATAGGTTTGATGGAATGGTCCAGACTTTGATGGTACAATCTTCACTGCCACTCACAAAGAATGAACTGGATAACCTATAAAAAAAGGATAAATCGAACATTTTTTACTTCTTAATGAGCCATTTTATTTAAAATTAAGTTGAAATTTGCACAGTAAGGTAACAGGAAGTATATATTTCCGGAACCTTATATTTTGCTTGAATTACAATTGAAATAGTGTTTCTATGTTTCAGAATTGTAAAATGAAAAAAAAATGGGGGGGGGGGGGAGAGGTTAGGGGATGCGGAGGTTAGGGGAGGTGGGGGTGGGGTGGGATGGGACAGGGGTGGGGTGGGGTGCCACGAGGTTGGGGTGGGGTAAGAGTGAGGGGGGGGGGGGGGATGGGGTCGGGGTGGAATTACCTCCCAAACATTGCCTTTTAAGAGTTGGGACTAATACCTACACTAAATATAAAAGTAACTTTGTGCAGGTAACTTAATCACTGACTCAATTTTTTCCTTCATGGCACACGTTTTACTACTCTACCAACTGTTTATCATGTTTGAAATTTTAAGAAGAGCACCCATTCATAAATTAAACTTAAGTCTCATAAAATATTTATTATAAAATTCACAAGTTTTTTTTTTCAAATCACATGTTGTAAGTAGCACATTAAACTATAACAAACATAAATAATTCCTTACAAAATGAGTGCAAAGAACACATATGTAGAGATAAAAAATAACAAACATAAATAATTCCTTACAAAATGAGTGCAAAGAACACATATGTAGAGATAAAAAATAATTACAAAAAGAGCAATTAAATGTAAGTATATAACGAAGACATTTTCACAGGAGACAAACGATTACCTTGCAGTGGCCACAGCCCCCACTGAATGGGTGTGTCCCTTGCCAACTGCGACACAGTGCACTGAGCCCGATGTCGGATCCATGCACCACACACGAACTGTGTTATCCTGCAAACAAGAGCCATGCCAAAGAAGATTAAGAACTTTGTGCAGCACGGACAAATGTGAAAAATCCTCCAAAGGAGTTAAAAATATGAGATTTAAAAGGAAAATGTGTCATCTTACCTTTGAACTGCTCACTAACATTGATCCATTTTTGAAAACTTGCAGGGCTAGGACGATATCTATGATAACAGAAATGGGAAAACAAACTTTTTACTACATGTACAACAATTTAAAGCTCATCAACAAAGAGGTTTGGCAGGGGAAAGACACAGAGCAACACGTTAGGGAACTTAACCAGTTCGCGCCGGGACTATTTTGACAAGAACGGAACGAGGCGCGGGATTACTTTTCACTCGACCTCAAGCCAGGCGGGTTGAAGCCATCACCCTCGGGCAGCACACTCATTTTCCGGCCTCGCTCGCTGCGAGCGGGTCGCTGACAGATATTTCCGGCCTCGCTCACTGCGAGTGAGTCGCTGAAAGATATTTATCTGTCATCTGTTCCGAATACTGCAAATCCAGCGCGAACTGGTAAACTATTAAATTTCCTCAAAGATAGTGATAAATGTTCCACTGCAACTGACCTGTGTGACCGGGAAGGATCTGGCAGCTGAGCGATGAAAGCTCAAACACACGAATCTGCTCGCTGTTACTGGCCACGGCGATGTGCGAGTCTTTCTCACCCATAAAGCACAGGTCCAAAATCTCCTCGTTGTACCCAACAAACTGAGAAAACCATGGAAAAAGCAGCCAAAAAAATGTAAACTTTTTAATAAAGGCACATTTTAAGTCGGGCTAAATACAGTAAATGATCAACATTTCGATTTGTTTGTTTTGATAATGCAATGTCATATTTTAACACAAACAGCCAGGAAAAGCCAAGTTGTCAGGTTTTTCAATTTGATTTTATTACAGCAGAAAAGTTGACACGTACCTGCTTTTCCAATTCAAACTCCTTCAATCCAAATAATAAGATGTTGTGATCATAAGTCACCACGGCGATGACCCCCAATGCGCTGCAAAGTATCGCCTGGTTGATGTGTGTTTGTAACTGCTGCTCTTGACCCTTGACCCCGGCTTGACCTTTGACTTCAGCTTGAGCTTGGACTTGCTCTTGACCTTCTTGATGGGTGTGGCTGAGAAGCTGCTGTTGTTGGGTGAATACACATTTTGCAGTGGAGGCGTCCCAAACCTTAAGTACACCTGAGTTTAGCAAACAAGTTGTAGTCAGTAAATATTTGGTTTTATTTGGTTTGGTTCGGTTTGGGTCATGTGGGTTGGGTGTGGTTTTGTTTTGTTGGGTTGGATTGGGTTGGGTTGGGTTGCATTGGGTTGGGATGGGTTGGGCTAGTTTAGGTTGGGTTGGGTTGGGTTGAGTTGGGTTCGGTTGGGATGGGTTAAGTTGGGTTGGGATGGGTTAAGTTGGGTCGGGTTGGGATGGGTTAAGCTGGGTTGAGTTGGGTTGGGTTGGGACGGGTTAAGTTGGGTTCGGTTGGGATGGGTTAAGTTGAGTTGGGTCGGGTTGGGCTTGGTTGGGTTGGGTTGAGTTGGATTGGGTGTGGTTGTGTTTGGTTGGGTGGTGTTTTGTTGGGTTGAGTTGGATTTGGTTGAGTTGGGTTGGATTGGGTTTAGTAGGAATTTGCTGAGTTGGGTTGGGCTGATTTGGGTTGGGTCGAATTTGTTTCTGCATTCAATAGGGGACGTTGAACAATAGAGGACAATAGGGTCCCCAATTCCCAAAGGTCCCCAATTTGGCAATCCTGTCCAAAAAAATATGGAAGGTCTTCCCAAAAAGTACAAACAAAAGAGGGACAATAGGGGGTCCCCGATTGCAGGCAAATACACACTTATGTGGGTTGGGTTGGGCTGGGTTGGGTTGAGTTGGGTTGGGTTGGATTGGGTTGGGTTGGGTTGGGTTGGGTTGGGTTGGGTTGGGTTGGGTTGGGTTGGGTTGAGTTGAGTTGGGTTGGGTTGGGTTGGGTTGAGTTGAGTTGGGTTGCATTGGGTTGGGGGCTGCGTTGGGTTGGGTTAAGTTGGGTACTTGGGATGCATTGGATTTTATGTTGGAAAAGGAGGATTTAGCTTGCTTGAGTTAACAACGTGTATTTAGAGTTTTCATGAAATGTTTACACTGGAGACTGCCATTACCTTGAGATCCTGCTGTGATGAAAAATGCATTCTTGCCTGCAATCCCGATCTTACTACAGTCAACGTCAGATGGGGGCACAATAACAGACTCCAATGGCTGCACAAAAATATATATATCAAGTTTTTCTCATTTAAAAAAAAATCTTCTACAACAGTCCTTCGCTCATTTAAAAGAAAAAGAGTACAAAAAAATCCAGTCAGAATGTCTCTGGTATTAAAACCAACTTCAACAATAATATACCTCGTACACTGGAACTGTTTTCCGGACCGTGTAGGAGTCCAGGTCCCAGACTGTGACAATATTATCCCTGCCAGCGCTGTACATAGTCTGGCCATCCTCTGTGAAGGCAAAGCTGGTAACCCCGCTGTAGTGGCTCTCTAATACAGCTTTACACCTAGGAAGGGAAAGGGGACCAGTTGTTTTGTAACAGCTCGTGGCATCTACCAAGTTTCGTGGACCTGCTCAGCCCAATGTTTTGCTCAGTACAGAAAATATTTGCTAAGCGAAAACAGGTAACCAGCCAAAATATCATGCAATGCATCCTGCCTCAGACTGGTACCCAGCTTATTTTTGCTTAGAATTAACATTTAAAGCACTAATTGCTTAGCTGCTTTGTAAACTTTGGCCATGGTACACAAGATGATAAAATCACAACTAATGAATGAAAGGTTTGCGGAAACACCATGTGCGAATAATTTCCCAACTAAGAGAATGGTTCTGAAAAGAACCAGAGGTATAAACTCGACGTTCCAGTCAGTATGCTTTGACAGAAGATAGTCAGAGCATACCGTCTGGAACATTAATATCTCCACCATGCAAAGCCTCAAATCTTACTTAAAATCACAACTCAAGAAATTATCAAATAATTTTGCTGCCTACTTCAAACTCTTCGTTACCTGCTTGTTTTGAGATCCCATACTCTGATTTTGCAGTCATCTGCGGCAGAAAAGAGCAGAAGCTTCTCTGACTCTGGGTGAAATTCAACCACACTGCACGGAGTGGAAGGATTAAAATATAACAAAGAGTAGAGATTTGTTATTGTAAAGATGTACCAAAACTACACACATGAGGTTAAAATTATAGTCAACAGACATAATCAACTAGAAAGCACTCAGAGAACGCAAACCTCTGCCAAGGCTGAACAATTCCCACGTCATATTGTCAGTACACCAAAAAGAAATGCTCGCATAAATGGTGAAACATTCCTGGATCCAGACCCAGATCCGGATCACTTCCAAAATCTAATCGATTAGTACTTGTACCAAGGACCACCCCGAAACAAAATTTCACGCAAATCCATCCATAACTTTTTAAAGTTATCTTGTTAACAGACAAACCAACCAGCCAACCAACCAACATAATCCGATGAAAACATAACCTCCTTGGCGGAGGTAATAAAAGCTCAGTATGATTTCAGAATAAAATTCAAGAAGTCAGGTTGATCTGACAAGCCAAACTAGCCAAAATTTGATACCAAGTAGGTCTATGGTCAACATGTTGATACCAAGTAGGTCTATGGTCAGACCCCAACAAATCAGTGCAGGCATCATGTCAACAGAACACTCACAAGTGAAATGTACGCCAACCATTCAACAACAGTCAAGGCTAAGGCTAAGTCTAGAGCTACGGAAATGGTACTGAACTGTTTGCAAGTTACAAAAGTGTACCTCGCTATTCCCTGGGGCCTGGTCAGCACTGTGGCTAAGTCTCAGTGACTTGCAAAGTCTTGGGCTATGCTATGGCCATGCCATTGAATTGTTATGCTACATTTAACCCTTACCCTGCCAGATGCAAAACAGTGCATCAGGTGGAAAAGAACTGGTGCACTTTGATGCATTCAGCTACCAACACCAGTGCATGGATTGCCAGCTCTGAAACAATGCGAGCTAAGTCCCATTGAACAATGCCTCAGTTGCACACTGCTGTGCGCGGTGACCACAGACTCTGTGGCAGTTTGGCCTTGAAACTTTTCCCCTGATGGATCTTGCTACACTGGGCAGGCTTGTCACTTAGTCAAGTGTTGCATGTTGCTACGTTTGGCAGGGTTCTAGCAAACATACCCTGGAAGGTTAGGGTTAAGGATAAGGCTATGGTATTGAATGGATTAAAAGGAGTCACAAAATTGTTACCTGACTACTCCCTGAGAGCCCTTGAGATTGTGGGTGCAGTACTGCCGTACAATGTCCCACAACTTGATGGTGCCGTCACTGCTCCCCGTGGCTAGAAGGGTGGAGGTCGGGTCAAAGGTCATACTGACAACGGGACCAATGTGGATAGCCTGTGAGAATAGAAAATATTCCAGTTACACGTTTTAAGAGTTGTCTCCTTTGAACATTTGACTATTCACTTTAGAATTGCTTATGAATCCCAATAATCTAGACGTGCAAGCTTACTCCGGTAATTCATGTTCCCCCACAAACGATCTCAGAAGGCAAATTCTTACGTTCAATTTCAACGACTAAGTTCAGGTATGCAACTGGGAATTTTGAGAAGAAAAAAAACCGAGGAAACTCCAAACTACACAAGACTTTGTACATTGTTTTCAATTGGTAATGGCATTCATGAGAAGTAGAAAACGAGGAAATCAGCGGATCTGATAAAAAGTTGCATGCCTGTAAGTTAAAAAGAAACTTACGGATAAGGCCAAAAAAAAAAAGTCTCCGGTTTCTGGTATGCGCGCGCGTCGCCTTAGCCATGTGCGTCGGCAAAATTTTAAAAAAAATTTTCAATGTAAGATGATGTCTCAATACTGTCAAACTCAATGGTTTGACTGGAATCCTGCTGCTGCACAATTTTAACGTGTTTTTAGATGGGGTAACGATCGAGTATAAGCTTTATGTGGCCTCTCTGCACTCCCATATATTTTGCACTAAATTTAGTTGGGCACCATTTGCAGACAGTGTTGTAATTTTGTAATTGTGCGTCTGGAAGCCAGACTGACAGAGCGATGGTCGTGTATCTGGAACCTGTAAACGCTTTTTAATTAGCTCAATATACTTCTCAAGCCTTATGGCCTTACTGAGGTCACCTCAAGCTGCACTCTGAAGGATATTTAAGAGTTTTAAGGGGATCGAAGTGTCATCTGCAACATCAGCCGACATTTGAAGAGAAAAAAAAAGTTGGGTAAAAAAAAAAAACACGCGTCGCCGCACCACTTTTGGGGCAAGCTCCATACCAGAAACTGGAGACTTTTTTGGGGGGCCTAACAATGAAAACTACAAAATAAATGAACAAATACATGAACCTGAAAGAAAAAGGAAAGTAATGGTTACAAATTTCCTCCCACCTTCCATGTTCGGACACACCTCTCCTCCTTCCAGTCCCATTGCTTCAATAACAGGTTTCTGTGGGCAACCACTAAAAACTAGGAAGACAAAAAAAAAATGTGACAGTCAGTGGTTAGGTATGGCATATTCAAAGGGGACATGGAATGTGATTGTTTTAACTGTAATTTTTTTAAAATGCACCTTTGTGTCCCATTAAACCTTGTTTCGGAAAGATTTCCATATATACGAAGTTCACTCAACACCCTGTGTACAAACCCTATGCGATTGGACTGAAAAATTCTAAGCGTTTTCTAAGAAAATGCTTGTATTTTCTCACTGCTCAAATTGACTTTGATGACATGAAATTGCTATCTGGGGCTTGTTAGTCAATACAGAGGAAAATTAGTGAACTTCTTATATGGAAATCTTTCCCCTTGTTTCAGCACAAAAGGTTGATAGAACTCTGGATATTTTGCTGTCGTAAATTTTCCTTTCTTTGGTGATTCGTTGTTGTTTCGGAACATGGCAGTAAGCCTATGATTAAACATTTCTCACAAATGTTTTCAATGAGTACATTTTGGGTTCACAAACAGAAAACCTCTTAAACTCAATTCAACGGCGTCTTCCTGAAATTACATCACAGCAACAGTGCCTCAGTTGTCCGGGAAGGCATGGAAAATGTTAATGTTTAAAGAAGTGCACTTTTCAATAAAATTAACCAGAAATATGTATTTTTCATACATTGAAGTAGAAGTTGAACAAAATGTGTTCCTAAGAAAAAGTCGTCGCATGGACCCTTTATGCAAAACGATTGATGCTATGTTAGAATATCTGAGGACATAATTTGAAATCATGGCTTATGAGTATTCTTTACAAACACAGTCAGAATTACAGTTGCAAGTCAGGTTTTTTAACCAGTTCACGCCGGATGACGGGTATACACCCAACGAGCGTGGCCGGAAATATCCGTCTGCGACCTGCTCACAGCGAGCGAGGCCGGAAATATCAGGGTGTGCTACCCTCAGATGACGGCCTGACCCCGTCTGGCATTGAGGTTCGTGAAAAAAACAATCCCGCGCGTGGGTCCGGTCAATGTCAAAATAATCCCAGCGCAAACTGGTTAAACAAACTTAACATTGAAAGTCTGCTCAATGTATAGAGTATATTTCAAAAGAAATGTTTTGCAAAAATTGTTTCATTCATTTAGCACATTTTGTTCTACATAGGAATATTCAAGCATACTGGAACTGTTGTTTTTAGCATCATTTGTACAGAACATGCAATGCTAATAACCATTTGGCTGTGATAAAAAGAACTTACTTCATCATCAGGTGTTACTGCAAAGCAAGTCACATCATCACAGTCCTCCTATAAAAATCAATATAAGAAACTACAGATGTAAAACAAAAATGCATCTTATTTCCATTATTTCTTGAATATGGTCTGTGGAGGGGTGACCACTGCCTGAATCCTGCAAAATCCTGCAGCAGGAAAAATAGCATATAGCCTCAATCCTGCAAATTCCTCCATTATTTCTTGAATATGGTCCGTGGAGGGGTGACCACTGCCTGAATCCTGCAAAATCCTGCGGCAGTGACTGTCAATATGTTGAGGCTTGGCCAGTGACATCCTGGAGCAGTAGGGAGGGTTTCAAGCATAATCCAGGCCTATATTTATGCACGGCTGAGCAAAAACAACACAAGGTCTAGCCCATTGGCCAAGACCTTGACAAAATGCAATGAGTACTGAATCAGTAACACACTTTTGCCATGTAACCTCAATCCTCCAAATTCCTTAACTTTGGCAAAGAGGATTTTGAAGGATTCAGGGCGGTTAGGGTTAAACTACTTCTGCAAAGCTGCATTGCAATCATGAATGAAGTAAATGACACCTAGACTTCACGTGAAATACTTGTCTCAAATTCTACTAAATGCTAACATTTTACCCATTTTTGTTTTTTCTTTTATTTATATACTCACCGCTTTGATGGAATGTACCACTTTACCAGAGGTGGTTTCGATGACATTAATATTGGCTCCATGCACACAGAATACATGGTTGCCATCTCTAGAGAGATGGACTTTCCCTCCGGTGTAAAATGCTGAGATCCTGTTCTCCACACGGAAACTGTTACAAATAAATAAAAACACAGAATGAGTTTGGTTCAACCTTGCATGCGTATACAATACATTTCTCTGCAAGCTCTTTCAGTGCAATGTGGGAAAGAATGTTGCATCCTGATGCCACTTTTTTTCATCATATGATATAGGCCTATTTAGTATTACCTCAATTGCGGTCAGTCATCGCAAACATTTTGAAAAGACATGAATCTGGGACTGAGAAATATTTCCAATTTTGTTGACTCTCCATTACTCCATAGACTTTGTACACAACTGCTGAAGTGGCGTCTGGATCATTCGGGTCCTACTAAAGTGCGTCAACAAGCGTCAACAAGCGTCAACAAGTGCCAACAAGCCTCAACGGTCGTCAATGAGCATCAACAAATTTTGTATATATATGCTTTTGAACATTAAAAGTAGCTTGATATGGTAGATAAAGCAACAAAGAACATTTTCTGCATATCAATTAAAGTTAAAATTATTTAAAAACTTGTTTTTTTTTTAACGCGAAATCAGTGTTCTCCAACATGTAGAACAAACCTGGCACCCCGCCATGCTTTCATCGGCGCCCGCCATGTTTAAAAAGTCCCCGCCAAGCTTTAAAATCCTGCCGCTAGGTTTAATTTTTTTGACTCTACAGTGTACATTTACAACTAAAATAATTGATTTCAGTTGTTTTTCCACACATTAACAATGTTTTTCGATGTCATCCCAGCCCGATCGGGGTTGTCTTAAAATCTCGCTGAATTAATCACACGCACGGCCGGCCGTGTAAACACCAGCGATTCCCCATGCACCCGGCCGTCCGTACGTACTATACTATAGTACGCGCGATGTACACACACACTGACAACTGAATCCCCAGTTCCGGAGTGTGCCGATACTTCAAGTAGCGACAACCCCGCCGCAAAAATATATATCTGTATTAGTACACACACACACCAGCAGGAGTACGTACGGCAGATCTTACGTGCAGCCAACCGACTTTCTTTTTCTCAGTGCTTGCACGCGCGGTACACAATATAATACGCATTGATGTGTACGAGGCAAATGAGCTCGAGGCCAAAACACGCGTGCCGATTGTCAAAAGTTATAAATGGCGATCGTGTATGGGCCCGGTTCCCTAAGAGAACAAAATCCACTTTTAATTTATTTGACTTACCAAACTAGTTGGCGACATTTAAGAACATACAGGTAGGTCATAAATAGAGGGAAATTTGGGGGGAAAATGACGATGACAACGACAAACCAAACATGAAAATAAAGATGACAATCGCATGGCACCGGCACCACCCATAAAATCGCGTTAAAAAAAACGTAATTTGTATCCCATTTTGTTTTTCAAAATTACAAAAAGGTGTCATTTGATCTGAGAGAAGTCTGTTTTAGGTTGAAAAGGAAATTTTTGAATGCTAAAAAAATCGGGGGAACTGGCCTGGAGAATCGCCTCAGATTGCACCACAGAGCATCTAGAATCCAAAATTTTCTCGGGGCCCTTAAGCGGGCCCCGGACCCCACGCCGTAAGGGCTTCGCGCTCCGCGCTCGCAGGAGTCCCCGCCAACCCCAGCGCCAACCTTTGATTTTCAAAGTTGGAGAACACTGCGAAATGTACGACAAATTTGTCGATTAGTGTTGGCCACCATCTTGTTTACATATGGCTTAGCCCTACTACGCATGCGTGAAGTGTACAGAGCCATACTACGCATGCCCGAAGTGTACAGCGCCATCCAAACAAGATGGTGGCCAACACCAATCGACAAATTCTTTGTAAGTTTCGCGTAAAAAAAACCAAGTTTTTGAATAATTTTAACTATTGATATGCAGAAGATGTTCTTTATTGCTTTTTTTTTACCATATATTAAAGCTACTTTTAATGTTCAAAAGCATGTACAAAATTTGTTGATGCTCGTTGATGACTGTTGAGGCTTGTTGACGCTTGTTGACGCACTTTAGTAGGACCGGATCATTCACCACTTTCTTTGCCATATCGCTCATCATTCAAATTCAATCATGTCCATGTTGCACGTTGGGCATGTTGGGCGCGTTTCGTCATTCGTGGATCTGCACCATCTGTCGATCGCGTTGCGCTATCGGTTGATCATGAAAATATCGGTCGATCCCGTTGCAACCAGTCGAACATGCTCTGGAGGAATTTTCAAAAGGTAGGCGCTAAGTAAAGTCATGAAAGTCTGAGGTAAATTACCCATCATGTGACATGTCCATCATTGCAAAACTCAATCGACCGATCGCACAATCAAAACGCAATCGACCAATTGCACAGATCGACCAATTGGGCTCAAAAATATTAAAGTTTTTTGCAATGAAACCACCAACTAAATTTAAAGAATGTCGGACACTTCGCCCCATTTCCACGTCGCCCCATGTCACTTCGCCCCTAACCACTTCGCCCCATCCCCACTTCGCCCCATCCCCACTTCGCCCCATTCCCACTTCGCCCCATTCCCACTTCGCCCCATCCCCACTTCGCCCCATCCCCACTTCGCCCCAGCTGTTACATGTAAAAAAAAAAATCCTCATCTATTTTATTGGCTTAAGAACAATTCCAACAGATTCACTAATTGCTAACCAACGGAAAGAATTAGCCCACCAACATTGACCAAATAAACAATTCATAACCAACCTCTCAAGCTATCACTCTCCCCTACCGAGAAAAAAAGCTTGAAGTAATAAAAGATCCAACTTTGTTCCCAACCCGGCTATACCAACCCGTCTCCCACTTATCTGAGAACGACAATACCTTTGACATCCTCATTTCACTCTTGGAGGAACCAATCTACATGGGGCGAAGTGGGGATGGGGCGAAGTGGGGATGGGGCGAAGCGGGGATGGGGCGAAGTGGGGATGGGGCGAAGCAGGGATGGGGCGAAGTGCGGATGGGGCGAAGTGGGGATGGGGCGAAGTGGTTAGGGGCGAAGTGACATGGGGCGACGTGGAAATGGGGCGAAGCGTCCGACACCCAATTTAAATACAACTGTCGAAAATACACGGCCATAGGCTAACTTAGTGCAGTGTGATGAACTCAATTCTGAAAGCAAACTGTCAAACGTAACCAGATAACGTTACATTTTCTGTCAATCCTTCTATTTGTTCTTATAAAAATTAATCCTTGTTGTGTTCATTTTTTCAAGGTTAAGTTCACAGATCGGAAGCCAGGAAATTGGAGAAAGACAAAAATAACTCACTTGGTTTTCAGTTTTATCGCTGCCATGCTGTCCTCCGCGTGCGCATGCAAGTGAAATTAAAATCCATGCCACTAAAGCTCAGTTTCAAGCTTCGGTCAACTACTAGCTCCTGTTGCACTATGGATTCTAGAGGTGCTTACCAAATGATCGGTTCCCTGCTTCAATGTTGCAAATTTGCATAGTTGGACGGGACTTTTTTTACAAAAAAATACAGGCAACCGACTAAAAATCTTTGCCATTTTTAAAATCTCGGCTTCAATTCTAGTACGGCTTATTTTGAATTAAAAGTGATTTTTTTTTTTGCCTCAAATAAGATGTTTTGTGTTTCTGAAGCAGAAAATGGAGCTTTTCTTTGTGAAATCTGTATCAAAATTTAGGTTCCAATGTTCTTGCAACTTTATTAATTATACAAACACATGCACACTTGTTCTGCTGAGAGGTTGTAATAAATAGATGTTATTGTTACAAAAATTTGCAGGTATATATGTCTCATTTGAACTTCTCATTTTTTGAAGAAAAATCCCTTATTCAGCTTAAAACCAATTATATAACTTCTGACACAAATTCAAACGTCAACATTTTGCTGTTTAGCGTTAAGTTTATTCTACAACAAATGGATGTATCAGCCTTTATACGTGTACATTTCATTTTTCTAAGATTAAAAAGTGCATTTATATAACTTACATTTTTTATACACTACACGTGATAAAATTGAAAGAATTAACTAAGTAATTAATTGATTGCCCAAATATGTACTAATCAATTTAAAAAGAACAAGATAACCAACATCAACCCTATTTTAAACTTCACATCTAGTTTTCCTTTGGTTAAATATCATTTGTCTTATTAGAGGAAGCATGTAATAAGTACTGGTTGAAGAATCTGACGAAAAATCAGTTACTTAACTTACGGCAAAACCTAATTTGATTTATATCACCCCGACGCAAAATTCCATCTTATAATAACTTAGCTCTTCCTAATAAAATTGGAAAGAGAACAGAGGCAGTTTCAGTAAAATATAATAATAAAACAACTGTTACATTATAAGACAAAATCTTTTTGCACTGTCTTGACACATTTTGAAAACTACACAATTGTCCACGTTTTGATGATTAACTTCCAGCAGATACATTTCATAAAACCTCCACCATTTAACTAAACTTTTCACATACAATTATGAATAAAGACATTAAAAGTAATATAAAACATTTGGAAACATCAAAAAAGAAATTTAAAAAACCAAAAAATTATTATGAAAAACCATTCTTACTTGACTGTAAGTGAATAATAGTCTCAAGCATCCTGCGAAATCATGGCACCTGGTATGCTGTCATTTTCAAGATAATTGGAATTTTTGTATCAATTTCCAACGATGGTCGGCCGTCCATCTTTGGCACAAAAACTGACTTTTTTTTCAAATACTGCCCCCAATTTACCAAATTTAGCTCAGCAACAATTTGTTTTGCAGTTGGTTACACATCCGTGAACAGGTGCAAGCCAGCTAGTCTGGTTCCCTGTCCCTGACAATTCCCTGATGTCTATACAATGTAAGTTACTGTTTTGTCTGTCATTGCACAAAAACATCGTGGGACAGAGGTAATGGATCGGTCCATTGCAAAGGGTGTGGCTCTATGATAATGGAATCATCCAAAATATTTCCCGATAGTTTTGGATTGGTTAGGTTAAAACACGTAAAATGATTAATCAATTATCACTGACAAAATCATCACTGGCAAAACTTTACTCTTTGAATCAAGACTATTCACAAAGCCAAATAGATACGGAATTCATTGGTCACCTTTCATGCAAAAAATTGCAAAACGTTCATACTACAATATAAAAGACGAGTTTAAGCATAGTAAGACATAACCTTTAGATTACTGAGAACTAGCATGTGTTAACAAAAATATTTCAACTGTTATAAAACACACATTAAAGGCAATCTACACAATAGCTACATCTACGTGGCTGTAAGTGACTAGCAAGTTTAATAAACATAAAACCTACAGACCCAATCACCCAATATATACTTAGAATCCTGAATGAATGAAAAATACAGTTCAAATTACAAAACTATTGAAACAGGGTATGTCATCATATTAAAAAAAAAAAACCTTTGAAGAATACACATGGAGAGACTTAGATTAAGAATAAAAGAGAAGCTACATAGAAGAGCTCAACCTGAAGATTTAAATACAAACAGTTAAATACATGGTTTTTGTTTTGTTTTCTTTTATTGTCTAAGTTAAAAACGTAGACATTTTGTACCCACTGACATATCATATAATACACTTAAAATATACATTAACACACAAATAAAATATACATTAACACACAAATAAAATAATTTAATAACAAACTAAAGTACCACATGTTTCCAAATTAACATTACACAGTATACATAAATCTGAATAAAAAAAAGTTATCTATTTCAGGACAGATTATAACAAGTACCAAGTGGTACAACCCACAGCAGTTCCACGAACCATACAACCGCAAATTTTGCAATGCAATGGGGTGTGATCTAATATGCAAATTATATGCAAGTTAAAAGTTAGAATACTTTGAATCAAAGATTGATTAAACAGAACAAGGATCTTGTTGTCTACACAAAACCCTCTCAGTTTCCCAAGGATGTGCATGCAGTTTGATGTTCCCGTGCCGTCTAGTGAGCTTTGAATACCCTGTTTTTGAAAAATCACGGTTTGCGAAAACTGTATCTGAAAGTTTGGCAAGCAGTGGAAATAATTGAAAAAAGAACATCGTCTTTGCACTTAAATCAGGCATGCAACTGGAAATTTTGAGAAAAAAAACGAAGAAATTTCAAAGCACACAAGACTTTGTATAGTGTTTTCAAAGCACACAAGACTTTGTATAGTGTTTTTCTATTGTAATGGCATTCATGAGAAGTAAACAAAATGAGGAAATCAGCGGATCCGAGGAAAAGTCGCATGCCTGCAATTCTAATGCAGTTTTCACTTACATCCGATGGATCCAGTTTAAGGCCAAACAAAAAAAATAGTCAGTCTCTGGTCAGCACGCGCATCGATTTTAATCATGTGCGTAAACTTTTTTTTTCTTCAAAATATTCTCTATTGCCACACCTCCTCAAATTTTTGTACCAAGGAATGGGGAAATTGCACCAAAGCAAATGATGGCGGGCACAAAGGCAAATTATGGAGGACACCAATGTATACGAGGACACAAAAAAGCAAAAACTAGTACCAACCTTCTCTGTACAATCCAAGCTTGGAAAAAAAAAAAAAAAAAAAAAAAAAAAAAATGCGTCGCCGCATCAATTCCGGAACTTTGGTCTGACCAGAGACTGGTTATTTTTGTTTTGCCTAAGCAATAATGACTTTTGATTTACACACAAATCCTCTTTCATGTAAAACAAACAAAACCCTTAACAAAATAACAGTATTACAATTAATGCCCTTTGGTGATATCAAAGTTGCTTTATAAATACTAATGAACAGTATGACCACACTGACTGGCCCTGTTTGAAATCTGCCACAATTCGCCTTAAGTAGTAATTACTTTAATAAGTTCACTTTTTGTTCATTTGTTTCGTTTGAAGCAACAATACTGCTCAAAATCTGAAGTAGGACACATAAATAACAACAAAGCCATGGAAGTTTTAGTTTAATGGCTACTAGACATTTTGAGAAAACAGAGAAAACACATGCACAATATGGTCTCCTAACATGAGTCTATTGCTAATAAAACTTTAAAAAGTGTGCCCGTTGGCACACTTTTTTAAAAACCTCTTTCAATTAGTTTCTTCCACACGATATCTTTTCAGGTGGATTAATTTCACAGGGTATTTGGTACCATCCCTATCTTCACTTTGAGTAAGTTTTTATCTCACTAAATCGGCAGGTCTGTTTCCGACTTTCTGGGTAGCTACCAATGTTCTTTCATACCTTTAAGATAACGTGTAAGATAAGCTGATTCTCCTCACTGCTATTCTTTGTACTGTCATGTCCGGCTGAACAAATCTGGAGTTTACAGGTGAGAGTGTTTCCCCACAATGAATTTGCAGTTGGGACAGGTGTGAATGGTGTCCTTCAGAGCTGGGATGCAGAATGCGATCAAACCGAGCGGGCAAAGGAGACACGCCAAACTGAAAAAAAGAAAAAGAAAATACAACAATCTGTTTTTTTTTATTTCCAAATGTTTAGGATTTCAGTTAATATCATATGGACTGCTTGCACAAGTAGTCCCATCGGAAGTGACAGAGAGAGAGTTGAATAGACTCTGGAACATCTATGGGCCTTTTCATACTAGAGCCTCTCAACCCGGGTTGAACTCAACCCTAGGTGAACCCGGGGACGCTTTCAACCCAGCGTTCAACCCCACAACTCAACTCGACAACTCGTTTGCCCTAAGGCGGGCTCGAGTATGGCTTTTCCAAGTAATTCCGTCCTGCATGAGGGCTGCCTGTTCGCATGCCGATTCTACACCAGTGTCCTTTCGCAGCACCCCAGTGTAAGACATCTTCTGTCTTCCATGCCTCCTGGGTTGCTTGCCAGAAAAAGACTTTGTGTGCCTCCAGCTCCGGGTGCCGGATACAGTTGCCTGCTGTGATTTTGTCTCCGATCCTAAGGCGGTCGCCAGATGGGACATCATTGGTTTCCCACTTGTTTCGTGCAAAACTACTGTGTTGGACCCGGGACGAGGGTTGAAACCAGGGTTGAAAATCTCAACACCCTGGTCTGGAGTCTCAGAGTTGACGCAGGGTTGGCGCGGGGCTGAAAGTGTTGAAGTGTGAAACTCGGCCTGTTTTCAACCCTGCATCATTTCTGCGTCAACCCTGCGCCAACCCCGATATATAAAAAGGGACTTGTGATGTCTTGTAATCCAACACTAGTATTTCGAATAAAACACTGATTTGGATAAAAACTTGTTGCAAAGTACATTCGAATCTCCTTAGTACAAACTCTGTTAATACAAAATTCTGGTTATAACATAAAGCCTTAGTCCCAACTGTGCATGATGTGCACAATGAATGGGACTGATGTTCCTCTTAATACAAAATTCTGATATAACAAACAATTCGGCTCGGTCCGAACGAGTTCGTATTAACGAGACTCGACTGTACTTCGAGCCATACAAGCGCAAACCAGCATGTGCACGCGACATGTTCAGCACACGGAACCCTCGTGTGTGATCACTAAGTCCTGTCTACTGTGCGTAACCTCTTAGAGATACTTACAAAAACAGGCACATTGCTCCGGCCGTCAGCCACGTCACATTGCCCACTTGCTTCTCCGTCAACGTGGTCACCGAGTTGCCGCAGTTGGGGCACTGCAAGTTCATGGGCAAGGCGGTGAATCTGACTGGCATGTTGATGACCACAGCCTGCTGCTGCGGCTGCCACTGCACGCCTTGCTGCATCATGGGCTGTTGCTGCTGCATCATGGGCTGTGGCTGCTGCGCCGTGGGCTGGGCAGTGACGGGGGCTGGCTGGGGGTACGCCGTCGGGGCCGGTTGGGGGTAGGGGGCCGGGGCTTGTTCAGGATATGCTGAAATTGTCAACAAGGTTTTATTGTTAATAACTACACAGTCCATAAACTCAAATAATAAAATCAATGTTCAGTTTTGTTGACAAATGGTCATGTGTTGGAATGTTTGTTACGCATTAGAGAGATATGATTTATTTTCGCAGTTCCAAGTGCTTTCACATAAACATATACCTGGTTGCGGCTGTTGCTGCTGCTGTTGACCAGCATCATAAGCAGGGGGTCCATCCGGACTTTTCTCGTCTGCCATGTTCATTCAGTTACTGTGTGCTCTCTATAATACACAGGACAAATGGAGAAATTTACTGTAACATCCTTTTACAAGTATACGATCGTGCCTAAGACAAAGAGCAACATACTAGCTTACGGGTACACATGTGATAAAGACAGAACAGGGACACACAAGTGAAAGAGGCAATGTACGTGTAGCAAAGCCATTTTCGCCTTGGACTGATTTTAAGATTTTAACGAGACGATGGTAAAACCTGAAAAGGGTAACATTTTACCAATGTCAGTGCTAAGATTTTTGCCATTGGGAAAATGTTTACCAAGACCATGGCTTAAGGAAACAATCTGAAAATAAACACTTGTCCATCCGATCCGAATATCCTTGATTGTCATATCATGTGACATTGTGGAACATTGTTTGCTAAAATCAATGAATAATGCTTTCAGTGAATAAATGTTTCTGAGTATATTCTATTTCTAAGTATTTATGTTTCAGAAAGTGGAATTTCAGACAAAGGTGTTTCGTCTATCAAAGGGCATTTCCAAAAGCCATAGAGTGCTGACCCCCGAAAAAAGAGCATGCCAGAAGGCTGACGGAGAGAAGCCTTCCGATTCCAGAATTAATTCCGATGGTGCAAAAATATGATGAAAAACAGTCCAATTTCCGTACCGAACATGCCGAAGCCCAAAAACTCACTTCCAGTTCCAGGTTGATTGTATATTATTTGTAGAGTATATAGCATGTTCGCATTGATATGCCTACCTATGGGTATTACGTGTAATACCCGTAGTTCTAGGGGTATCCATTATGAGTACCGGGGGGGGGGGGGGGGGGGGCCAAGGGGAGGGGGACCGCCTCCCTCATTTATAAAAAAAAAAAAAACAGACAAGAATTTGTTTCCTTATTAATATTAGGGCCTATAAACTTTATCATCAGAACAGAAGCAACAATATTGATTAACTTGGGAACATGTGTTAGGCCTGGTAAGGGCTCCCTGGTTAGTATATAGTACGACTCCGCCAAGCAGCTAGTTGGCTGCAATAATGGCGAATGGTGGGACGAGTTGACATCAATTGAAATTGCAAACGTGCGCATGGTGTACGCTATCGTTGTCCCAATTAATGATAATCTAAAGATTCCCATTCTTTTTCAAAGATGGGGTGTTTGTTTTAGCATGTTCATAACTGAACAAGCTAAATCATTTTGGTGACTTGCTAGGGAAGAAAATTGAAATCACCGTTTCGGCTTACCGTATACCGCGCCGTCCAACTTTCCCTTTCGGCTACTGCATGCACATATGCACGCGCACTGCATGCATGCTAGACTGATTTCAAGTTATTCAAGTATTGTTTTGTCCGTGGTCTTAGTTCAAGACGCTAGTGACGCGCCACACCCTTCATGCATCAACCGCACACTGCACGTTAATTGTGACGCCGGTAAAACATGGTAAAAATGAGTCACATTCGCTTGTACAAATTTGAGACGTGATCGTTTTAAACTTATGAAATTATGTATTATCTTGGGCGTGGTTTAGGTTGAAGTGACGTCACACTACGAATTGGATCCATTAGGCCCCGCCCACTGGTATGTGGGTGACAACATGTGAACCTCTCAACCCATCGCTAGAATCACGTCAAGGCAGCTTGTGAAATATTGTCCAATTACAATGATATACAAATGGACGCGGAATGCGCACAATCTGAGATAAACAAAACTTAACTTACACAATTCCATAGGGTTGTCTAAGGGGAGTGGCTTACTCGCAAACGGCGATAGGCGCGCGTCATGCGCCAGTGTGCCCGCATTGTCGGACTTCTATTTTGTGGGTGCATGGCCTACTTTTAATCAGGGCTGTGATTGGTCAAAGTACTATGGGTGGGGACTTATTGGGGTGGGGCTTATTTGGATGGCTATATTGACGTACACATGCTAAAGCGTAGGGTACCAACAGATTTGCAGCATAGTAAAAACAAAATTCCCTCTGGACCAACTTACTTTCATCTGCCTGCCGATTGCCGATTTTGTACTTGATCTTTTGTGTTTATACCTGGGCCCAATTTCATAGAGCTGCTTAAGCAGAAAATTTGCTTAAGCACGGAAAAAAATTGCTTCGTAAAATTAGGTTACCGGCCAAACCTCCATGTGATGTAAATTGGTTGTGACCTGTATTTAGCTGTTAGTGTTGTTTACTTAGCATAACAATTGCATGGAGTTTTGGCCGGTAACCTGATTTCATTAAGCAAGACGTTTTTGTGCTTAAGCAAATTTTGTGCTTAAGCAGCTCTATGAAATTGGCCCCACTGCTCGTTAAAATCGTCGATTCTGCATGTTCGTTTGGAATACCGCGCCAACTATACTGTGAACTTACGTGAACAGTTTCAGCCTCACAAAAAAATCTTCAACACGATAAATTTTCCATGCCTGAAAATGTGTGGTTTAAAGGGAATATACAACATTTGCAAACATCGAAAAATAAAACTACCAAGTTTTTGCGAAATACCTTAATAGGATGTTGGTAAATGACAGTCTAAAGCATCCTGTAAAATTATGGCACCTGGTATACTGTCATTTTCAAGAAAAGTGGTATTTTTGTATCAATTTCCAACGCTGATCGGCCGATCAGCGTTGGAAACAACTGGCTTTTTTTTCAAATACTGGCCCCAATTGACCATTGCGCTTGTTTGCAATCGATTACAAACCTATGAACGGGTACGAGCCAGCTAGACTGGTTCCCTGACCTTACAATTCCCCAATGTATGTAAACTGCTCAATTTCTTCTTATATGGAGTCAGGGAACCAGACTACAGGAAAATGATCGTTTTTCTTGGTTTTTATAGCATTTTCGAACCCAAAACCTCCAAAAAGTCAGTGTAACTATATTTGCTTTATATTTCCAACCCCCCAATTCCCTCCATTTCTGAAAATTACAGCAAAAGCAAATGATGTATATTCCCTTTAAGTGCTAACATACAACAAACATCTAAAAAGTTAATCCATACACAACAATTTCTGAAGTTTGAATACTTTATGTCAAACAATACAAGTGCTAATATACAACAAGCATCTAAAAAGTTAATCCATACACAATGATTTTTGAAGTTTGAATACTTTAAGCAATATGTTTCCTTTACACTTCCAATATTTAAAAAGAATAACTACACATTAAAAAAATAAGTTCAAATACACACATCTTAAATTGAAGTAATCTCTTAGACAATTCGCTCTTTGCAGGCCCTGCCATAAGCATACAGAGCCTCGATCTGGCATCTTTACACAAATATCTGGTAAAAATAGCCGGTTTAGTGATTCCTGTGTATACACGGGAATCACTGAACCTCGACACGGGAATCACTGAACCGGCTATATTTATTGTGTAAAGTTGCCAGATTGAGGCTCTGCCTGCTTATGGCGGGAGTGTGCAAAGAGCGAATAGTGATGTCTTACTTTGAGGAATCGTGAATGTATAATATACCTCTTACAACCATTTTTTACAATATACCTTTAATATCTTCAATTCATAAGAAATTTCTAAACTTTTCTTTTTCAGGGCCGGCCAATTTAGAATTTTGAAGATGCATATAAAACTGGCCTCCCATCAAAAGTCCATTCCATTAAAAGGCAACATTAATAAGAAATTCATGCTTTTTTCAAAAAGTGGAATTTTAAGGCTAAAATGGAAGTAAAAATGCGACCCTGTTATCAACGAAGTACCCAAACTTGGTCACAATTGCATCAAAAAATCATTATACAGTATAATATCTATATTAGTAAAGTTTAATAAAAATAACAAACTAATAAGAAATTAATTCTTTTTCCAAAAAGTGAAATTTTAAGGCTAGAGTGCAAGTAAAAATGCGACTCTGTTATCAATGAAGTACCCAAACTTGGTCACAATTGTATCAAAAATCATTATACAGTATAATATCTAGATTAGTAAAGTTTAATAAAAATAACAATCTGTTGAATTTTTTCCTCTCGCTTCCTCATAACTACCCTGCCCTTTCCTTGAGACCGAAACTAAACTTCTTTGAACATCGTGAAAATTCTATTTGAAATTACACAATCAGAAACTCAAAAGAACAAACATGTCATATTCTGCTCATGCGTGGATCAATGGCTCTGGAGCATCGAGACATTACGATGGTGGAAAATAAAAACTATTAAAAATCAACCAAAAAAATTGATATCATAATTCATTGCAAAATGTATACATTGTACACCGTTTACGAGGTGCGTGCATAACTATTGAACATTGGGCTGTTGACAACATAGAGCTATATTAAATTACTAGAGCGCTAACTCCTCATTCTTTCGCGTGGAGACGCTTTGAAGCTGCTCTGGGCGCAGACATTTTGAATTTATGTGCGTGTTTGTAGAACACAATCAAAAATAGATGGATTGAATTTTAAAATTGTACTCTAAATGCAACGCGCAAAAGAAGATACGCAAACAACTTAAGAACGTCATGATGGTTCAAAAACGTCACGGCGAAAAGCATCTGCAGCGGAGGGACGCGCACACGTTGCGCTGTTTGCGTAGAGCAAAATGACATGCTCATTTGCTGATCGTGCGTTTCGGTTTTGGGCATATCGGCTTCGATGACGCACTGGTATGGAATACAAACGCAGATATGCAAATAGCCGTACAAAAGCCGTACAAAATTTGTAGGTCTCCACAGGTTTGTGCACAGACATGGATGTGCCCATCAGGCATTACTTTATACATCGAGTTAGCGCTCTAGTAATTTAATATAGCTCTATGGCTGACACAGACTAAATTAATGATATAATACACAATTTTTTTAGTACTGTAGTACCAGATCTGTCAAATAATTACCCCATGTAACACTTCTCAAGGCTATATTTGGTGAACGAGGGTTATTACGAGCGCCATTTTTCGGGTACAAACGTTTAAAAAAAGGTAGCTTTATACTTCAATCTAAGAAACACAGGTTGTCAAAATGTAATATTTGAATTATGGGAAAAATGGCATCTGTATAGCGCCCTCAGCTGCTCAGTTATTGTAAATGGCAATTTAATGCCTCCGTTCGACACCTGTTTAGATACCGCCCCCTGCTGTTGAGTGTTTTCCCAGCGTGAACTTGCATTCGGGGCAGGTGTGAACGGTGTCCTTCAGTGAAGGGATGCAGAACGGGATGAAGGCCAAGAAACAAAAACAAAACCAAACCCTGAAAGAAAAAAAAAACACCATAATGCTCTTATAAAGGAATGCTCTTAAATTATACTTAGAGTCTTAACATTTCTTTAAAGGTAGAGTACATCATTTGTCATTTGTGCATTTTTATCATTTGAAGCAACAAAAGTGTTCACAATCTAAAGAAGGAGGCTTAACAACTGATCTGATGAAGTTTCAGCTCAGGGAATGCTGTGTTCTCCGAGAAAACAATATTCGAGGACCTCAATTTCCATTTGAAAGTTGCCTAGTCATGTTTTGAATTGCCGGATGCATTAAGTTGGTTGCAGCTACGTGATGTCAAGCACTGACCTGAGGAATAAAAGCAACCGCGCACATGTGTGCGTCGTGTCAACACTCATTGACGGCTTAGTTCACCGAACTAAAAACGAACTACTAAATGAAATTTCCAAAAATGCATCTTTAGACGCATCGTTGGAAAAGGACTTGTTTCATTGTTTTCTTCAAACTGACAGCATGCCAGAAAGAATCATTTCACAGGGAGTTTAGTACCATTACCATCTTTCGTCAGTTAATTTTTAGATAGCTGCAAATGATGTACTCTACCTTTAAATTCAAGGATTTCTCATTCAAAGATTTTTAGTCTTCTCTGAATTCTTGTTTAAAGATTTTTAAAACAGTTAATTTCCGTGTTCGAAGTTCAAAGATTCGTGGTTAAAGATTTTACGTTTAAAGATTTCTTGTTCAAAGAGTTTCAGTCAAGAGATGATTTCCTCTTCGATTTCTAGTCCTCGTTCAAAGATGTCAATCAAATGTTTTGATTAAAGTTCAAGTTTCTTGTCCAAGTTTTTGAGTTAACAGATCAGGTTCATAGATGTTCAAAACTGACTTGTTCAAATAATATTTGTTAAGTTCACCGGTCTCTTGTTCCCTTTGAGGTTTATATCTAGAAGTTTCTTGATCAAAGACTATGTATTCAAACGTTTAGAATCACTTACGTGACGAGGCATATCCAGCCGACGATCACCCATACGGCAGCGCCGATCTCTTTGGGCGTTTCAGTGGTGACGGTCTTGTGGCAGTTGGTGCACTGCATGATCTGTGGTAAGGAGGTGAACCGCTGCGTGGGCACCGTGACAAACGTGGTGGCCGCGGGCTGAGTGATCACGACAGTGCCTTGGGGTTGACCAGCTTGTCCTGGACCCAACGGTTGGGGCTGGGCCTGGACTGGGTAGCCAACCGGCTGGGGTCCGGGTTGGGCTGGGTAGCCCCCCGGCTGAGGTCCAGGTTGGGCCGGGTAGCCGACCGGCTGGGGTCCGGGTTGGACTGGGTAGCCAGCGGGTTGGGGTTGCACTGGGTAGCCTGCCGGCTGGGGTTGGGTTGGGTAGCCTGCAGGCTGGGGTTGGGTTGGGTAGCCAGCCGGCTGGGGTTGGGTTGGATAGCTTGGAGGCGCTTCAGTCGGGTACCCTGCCGAAAAAAAATAATTGTAGAAATAAAAGTGGCACTGGTTTCTGACTAACGGCAACTGACTACTTGGGAGACCGCAAGCAATCATAGGACTGAAAACCTCATTGGCAGAGCGCCGGTGGAGTGTTCCGATGATCGCCGGTTCAAATGTAGTCTGAGAATCTCTGGTCAAATAATGTCTGATATATCTAAGCATGCGTGACGTCATTTCATTCCGAAATCTGGACTAAGATTTTGATTGGTCCATTTCAATGCCACGTTTTTGTAACACAACGGCCTGTACAAAATGCTACTCATCAAGGGCGTGATGTTTATCCACGCGGGAAGCTCGCGCCAGCGTATAGAAGGCGCCCGCTGATTGGTTGTTTAGTTTACTGTTTTTGTTAATTCAGCTACTGGTGGCAGATAGAAACAGTGCTGTTTTTGTGGTATGGGTAAAAAAATGTTGTGCTGACATAAAAATCCATCATTACATGTATTATTTATACAAAATTCCCAAAAAAACTCCCAAAATGATGAACTATTCTTTAAATAGACCATCTGGTATGTTAAACGGTGTACGTTGCCTCCCCCCCCCCCCCAAAGATGTAGAATAAGATCTTGCCCATCAATAAATAGAAGTTAACTTAACATTACGTATTTCCCCAGCATGTTCTACTCTGAAAGCAAGTGTACACTCTTGTCATAAGCAACTTTTTAGCTCAAAACTGGAGAAGCCTAGCCTACCTGGAGGTGCCTGTTGTTGGTCACCGCCGGCGGGCGGGTTGTTAGGATCATTCATGGTCTGTAGTTCCATCGTGATTCAATGTTTACCTACAATTCAAAAGAATAGCATCATGGAAATGTATTAGGGTACGAAGGAAAACTGGCACTGCCCAGATAAGGCCAAACAAAATAATAGTTCTGCTCCCGGTTTCCCTACTTACCCTGACAGCCCCTACCCTAATTTTTTTATTGAAAAAATGAAGAAAAAACACCCCAAACCATAACTTTATACCATTTACCCTTGACTACATGCAGACGCCTCCATATGATTGTACACAAAACAAATTGGCAAAAAAAACCAAAACATTTCCCTACCTACATGTACCTACCCTATTTTTGATTGCCATGTAATCGGAAGCAGAACTATTCTTTTTTGGCCTAAGAGTGAGATCTTATTCTTAACTGTTATCAATCAGGACACGATCATGCTACTTTGCAACTAAGAATTTAGAAAAAAAGAGGAAATTCCAAACCACACAAGACTTTTTACAGTACATGTATTTTTCAATTTGTAGGGGCATTCTTGAGAAGTAAACAACGAGGAAATCAGCGGATCCAAGGAAAAGTTGCATGCAATACTATGTTTACAACAGTATCAAACCTAATCAGACCCAAGTTTTTGCTTAGGCCCAAAACAAAATACTTCTGCTTCCGATAACATGGCATTTGGAAATAGGGCGGGTAGGTAGGGATTTTTTTAAGGGGTAATTTTTTTTCCCTGGATGATAAGGAGGCGTCTGCGTGTAGTCACGGGTAAAAGGTAGTAATTGTTGGTTTCAGGTGTTTTTTACCAATTTTCTGATAAAAAAGTAAGGTAGAGGTGTAGCCCTATTCTATGGCCACGCACCAGAGTAGACTCTGTGCTATACTGCCTAAACTGCGAGAAGTTACTGAACAATTTTGATTTTTCATGGAAACCAATGGGCCTCAAAGTTGGCTTTCAGGTTCCCTTACCCAGGTGTGTTCAGATTTTACCAAAATTAGGACTTTTTCGTGGTTCCTTCCAGTGTAATTTGTCTGCAAATGTGCGGCACGAAGTGCCACTTCATACTACTCAATCAAGACTTATGGCGGACAAACCTACTCAGGTGTGCACAGCAATATCACATAGAACTTAGATTATAAGGGTGGCCAGGAAAAAGTCTGGTAAATATCAGAGACGCCAAGCTTTTTCAAAACCATCCGAATATTTTGCCGATCATGATTTTTTGATATCTAGACCTCTGAAGGTACCGAATTTAACGATTTTGTACTATTTAGCACTCATAGTTCATTCATTCATTCATTCATTCTTTATTATTTTTACCACATCTCATTTCAAAGTGACAAGGCATAAATACATACATGTAGTTTTGGGTAATATAAAGTTCGAGCTTGTTTTACAAAATATATTTATACACTTTGGGCGCATTATTTTCTAATTGGAGATGGCAGAAGGGGATCCCCAAAAAGCAGAGCTTGTCGAGTAGAGATCCCCTTTAACATGGATTAATACAAACATTTAATGAGAAACAAATGAAAAACAATTGAACGTATAAATTTTAAATTGTACATAACACACGGAAAAACAATATTGCTGATCGGAAAAAAAAGAAATACAGAGTAGTAATACAGATTTTCTGCTGACAAAATAATTTCGATCTTTAATTGATTTTTGGCTCCCGGGCCCTAGCAACAGGACCTTCCGCGCACAGGCCCGTATGTGGCACTGTCATGACTGTCAGTGTCATGACTGTGGCGTCTAGCCTAAGTAAAAATGTTCTTGACTCTACTATTTTACTGTCTCGTCTGACTCTGTACACAACCGCAGTAGCGTCTGGATGCTACATTCTTTCCTATATTCATAAATGAACAAGCTAATCATTCTAGAGACTTGACTGGGAAAAAAATGTTTTTTAAACAAATGAAACATTTCGGCTTACCGCACTGAGTTTAATAGTAGCACTTTCCCTTTCTGATCTGCATCTGCGCTGCAGCTTGCCGGCCACACCTAGCCGCGCCGCGCGCGGGCGCCCTTCCCAATGGTTAGACTTGATTTCAAGTCTTTCAAGCTCCGTTTTTGTCCGTGGTCTTTCACATTTCCATTTCACGGTTCATAAAATACAACTAAATATTCAGTATTAACTTGAAAGAGTGTTTGGAAGTGGGTGGGGAGTTGCTTTTTGTTAAAGCATAAATTGTACATCAAGATATTCTGAGTGATACATAATAATGTTTGTTCAAGACCTACCGATCCAAATATGCGGCACGATACGAACGATACGAGATTTCTTAATACGTGTGCTCCGAGTTCCATTAATTTTCGGAAGTGAGATGTCAGTGTTTGGCACGATTTTTCTCTTTCACGTCAAGCGATTTTCAGTTTTCATAAATGGAGATATGCTAGTTACAATTACGCAAAGGCCTTTTAATTTTCTGAGGATGATTTTCTTAAGAAATCAATGTACCCAATATAATTTAAAAACTCTTATAAGACTTTCATTTTTACGCGCTAATATTCCTATTCGAGGGTACGTCCGGAAGCGCGCCACCAAGGTCAACTTTCAGGCTCTAGTGTCACATGCGTGCAAAATAGCGTACATTTTGAAGTACAGTGAAATACAAAATTCCCACGTACCAGCATAGATTTGGTACTTACGTGAAAATCGTCGATTCGTACAATGCACCTACGCAGCTCGAATACCGCGGACCAACTACATGAGAATTACATAAACATTTTCAGCCTCACAAAAAGCTTCAACATTTAATTTTGTTTATTGTCTTGGCAAACAATACAAGTGATAATATACAATTAGTATCTCAAAGTCATCCGAATAAAATATACGAAATTTGAAGTAATCGTTTAGAAAACTAGAAAGCACTCAGAGAGCACTAACCTCCGCTAAGGCTAATCAATTCCCCGGCATATTGTCAGTGCAGTACACCCAAAAGAAATACCGTCACATAAATGGTGAAGAATCCTTTAAAGAAAATCCTGGATCCAGACCCAGATCCGGATCACGACCCGTAAAACCATATAATCCATCCATAACCGTTCTTGCAGACAACCAACCAAACCAACCAACCAACCAACAAAATCCGATGAAAACATAACCTCCTTTTGGCGGAGAAAATGATGTCTTACTTTGAGTTATTGTGCATACCTCGTACCTTTTACAACCGTGTTTTCCCTTTAATAATAAACTTCTTAAGAAATTTAAACAGATGTTTTTTTCACGGCCATTTTAAAATTTGAAGATGCATATATAAAACTGGCCTCCCATCAAAAGTCCATTCCATAAAAACTAAGGCAACAACAGAAATTCATTTCTTAATTCCTTTTACAAAAACGTGAAATTTAAAGGTTAAAATGGAGGAAGAAATGCGATTCAGTTGCAACGAATTGCCCAACTTTTTGTTACACTTGTATCAAAAATAATGTTAAAAGTAAATATATAAATACACTCAACCAAAAACGACAGTACCCCCAATACTATTTCGTCTAACTCAAAAACTACTGAGCATCTTTTGCTCAAATAACGACTAATCAGTACAGAAATTCCCTAGCAATCCAGCCATATTCTTTATTTGGCACAAAATAGCGATAATGTGTACAAAATTATGCAATTTATGACAAACGATACCGAAAAAAAGGTGCAATTTTGTATGGGTGCAAGTTGAGTGCGATCATTTAGTCTTTAACGCAATTTTCCAACAAACATTTCTTAAAATTAATTTCAAATTGTGTTGGTTATCTTTTCATCATTTCCTTCACTGCATACTTTTCGTGTTTTTCGAGGTTCAGTAAAGTAAAGGGTAAAAATATAACCAACAAATTTGAAATATTTTTTTTTAAAGATGTTTTTTTTTGTTGGGAAGATGTTCATTGTTGAGTGTGAACATTTCGTCTCCAAAAACAATCTTCCAACAAAAAATTCTCAAAAAATTCTCTCAAGTTTTGTTGGTTACGTTTTTACCTTTCCTTTACAGAACCCCGGAGAACGTAAAAAAGTATGCAGTAAAAGAAAGGGTGAAAACATTTTTTTAAAATCAATTTAAGACATTTTTATCTTTGATTGCGCTAGATACGAAATGTTTACACTCAACTTGCACGTATACAAAAGTGCATTTTTTTGTCGGTATCATTTGTCATAAATTGCATAATTTTGTACACATTATCACTGTTTTGGGGCCAAATAAAGAGCATGGCTGGATTGCTAAGGAATTTCTGTACTGATTAGTCGTTATTTGAGCGAATGATGCCCAGTAGTTTTTGAGTTAGAGGACCTTTGTTTTGATTGAGTGTATCTGAATTAGTAAAGTTAAAAAAATAACAAATTGTTAGTTTTTCTCTAGCTTCTTCATAACTACTCTGCCCTTTCTATGAAACCAAAACTATATTAAAACTTCTTCTAACATCGTAAAGTTTGAAATTACCCAATCAGAAACTGAACAGAACAAAGATATCATGTACTGCGCATGCGTGGATCAATGGCTCCAGCGCATGGAGTACGGAGGAAAATATATGATATTGAAAATCAACTTAAAATTAATATCATTACAATTCATTACATACTTTGTACACCTTTTACGAGGTGTGTATAACGATTAAACATTGGGCTGTTGACACAGATTAAATTAATGGATATAAAACAAAATTGTTAAAAACATATTTAAGTAACCCAGCGCCAAATCCGCCAAAAAATGACCCTTGGTATAGCACTGCTTAAGGCTGTACAGCTATAGGGTGAGTAAAAAAAGAAAGAAACCCAAATGACATGACCAATTTTTAAATGAACTTTTGCCTGTAGCACTTTCAAAATCTAGGATATGAAAGCCCAGTCATTAAGCTTTCTTTTAGTACAAGAATCATTCAAATCACTCATGTGCTTTGAAGTGGAGGAATTTTGAACACAAACACCGTTTTCAAGTTCTGTCCACGGATCACAAAAAAGGTAAGTGTTCTTTCAGCAAAACGAAAACAATTCTCATAGGGATGCGTGTGAATTGTTTTCGTTTTGCCGAAAGAATACATACTTTTTTTGTAATCCGTGGACAGAACTTGAAAACGGTGTTTATGTTTTTAAAAAAAATCCGTAACTTGAAAAGTACATGAGTGATTTGAATGATTCTTGTACTAAAAGAAAGCTTAATGACTGGGCTTTCTTATCCTAGATTTTGAAAGTGATACAGGCAAAAGTTCATTCGAAAATTGGTCGTGTCATTTGGGTTTCGTTTTTTTTTTACTCACCCTGAATTTGCTCAAACTGTACGTCAAAGTTAAATGCCCAACATGTTTAAAGACTGTTCCCTGCTGGCGAGCACCTCCCCAGCGTGAACTTGCATTCGGGGCAGGTGTGAACGGTGTCCTTCAGTGAAGGGATGCAGAACGGGATAAAGGCCAAGGGCCAAAAGCAAAACCAAACCCTGAAAAAAAGAACAGCATGATGACAAATTCAAAATATATATAAAATTACATGATGATGTCATGATGACGTCACCTCAATTTCATCTTTAACACGTCCCGGTCTATACCTACATCAAGTTTCAACCCAATCGGCCTTACGGTTCTGTAGATATAGGATTTTAAAATATGCACTTTTCAGATGACGTCACGTGACCCATGATGATGTCATCAGGACGTCATTCTTCGTTCCTCTTCTTTGGTATAAGGCCTTTGGTTTTGCAAATTTTCATTAAGATCTAAGCTTTAGAAGTGAACACAGTGGCTTTCAGAAAAATGTGTACAAAGTCTATGGGATGTGAGATAGAACAAGAAAAAAATAGAAGAAAAAATCAACACAAAAAAGAGGCTTTTCCGAAATTTAAGGGAAAACGCTCTTACTTCATATTTAAAGGCAATTTTATTTTTCTGATTGAAGGATTTCCTGTTTATAGATTTTAAGTCCGCTCTGAATCCTTGTTTACAGATTTTCAGAACAACTGTGTTCGAGGTTCAAAGATTTGAAGTTACAAGATTCGTTGCCCAAAGTTTCACGTTTGAGGATTTCTTGTTCAAAGATGTTTAGTCCAAAGACGAACATCAAATTAGATGTCAGATGTTAAAATATTTTAAGTTCGCTAATTTCTTTTTCAAATGGTTTTTATGGTTTTTATATAGGCCTAATATTATAGGGGTTTCTTGTTCAGCCTTGTTCAAATGTTTAGAACCACTTACGTGATGAGGCATATCCAGCCGAAGAGCACCCACACGGCAGCGCCGACATGCTTGCTCGTCTGCGTAGTGACGGTCTTGCTGCAGTTGGTGCACTGCATGATCTGCGGCAGGGAGGTGAACCGCTGCATGGGCACCGTGACGTACGTGGTGGCCGCGGGCTGCGCGGTCACGACGGTGCCTGGAGGTTGTCCCGGACCCAGCGGTTGGGGCTGGGCCGGATAGCCGGGCTGGGCCGGATAGCCGGGCTGGGCCGCATAGCCGACCGGCTGGGGTCCGGGTTGGGCCTGGGGATAGCCAACCGGCTGAGGTCCGGGTTGGGCTGGGTAGCCGACCGGCTGGGGTCCGGGTTGGGCTGGGTAGCCGACCGGCTGGGGTCCGGGTTGGGCTGGGTAGCCCTCTGGTTGGGGTTGGTCTGGGTAGCTTGGAGGCGCTTGGGTCGGGTACCCCGCTGAAAAAAAATGCAGAAATAATAGTGACTTAGAAAGATCTAATTTTGGTATCTGACTACTGGCATTGACTACTTGGGAGACCGCATGCATAGGACCGAATAGCTCTTCGGTAGAGCGCCGGTGCAGTGTTCCGATGGTCGCCGGTTCAAATGCCGCTCTCCATGTCACTGTTTTTTCTTTGTTCAACTTTAGTACTCATGAATTCACCTAGTCGATTTCCTGTCGCAGTTTATTTGATTAATTCAGTTACTGGTTGCAGATAGGAAAGTGCCCTTTTCTTGGTAGTGAAATGTTCTTACACAGAAATCCACGGTCTATCATAACAGTTGGTGAAAATCTCCCGAACATTGATTACTATTATTTTTTTGGTAGACCGTCTTGTATACGCTGAACGACGTACGATGATCACATAATGATAAAGGATGCAGACAAAATTCTGGCCCATCGACAAAATTTAATTTAACAAAACTTATTATTATGTACATGAATTTCCCTAGTCTATAGCCTACCTGGGGGCGCCCCTTGTTGGTCACCGCTGTAGGGGGGCGGGTTGTTAGGATCCTTGGTCTCTAGTTCCATCCTGATTCAATATTTACCTACAATACGAAAGAATATGGCATCATGGAGATGTACATGAATTATGAAACGTAATCCAGCAGTGCACTGTTTCAGTCCGGGGTAGTGCGTCATAATACATAAATGGCAATAGAGCAGTATGCCGGACTTAGGTTCACATTGGTGAGTACGTATTTGCTCATGTATACATCGTCAGTTTCGTCACCGACACCACGAATAACAGTACATCCAAGTCCACTTCAGTGTTACTTCGTGAAACCCTCAAAATGACAAATGTTGGTGAGTCACGAAGTAACACTCAAGTGTGCGCGTTCACATTGGACACTGGCGGGAACGATTTTCGTTTTCACACTGTTAAATACTATTTTGATTAAAAGCGTTTTAAAACGTTTGACAGGAATGTAATTGATACCTTTTCTTGTAGGATTAGGCCTATACAGAAAACTTTAATAACAAGCTTTCAAACTGGTGAAGTAAAGATGAGTGTACTTAATTCGTGAAACGAAAATGACCGATTCAGCGCACAGTGTAGTGTTTATATTAAGGCCTACTTTGTGAAAACGGTAATTGCTCGGTTCTGTAAAATACGCGCGCGTAGCGAGCACTCACTCAAGTCCAATTGGGTGTTACTTCGTGCTGTCACTGACAACATGCACATACCAGCTTATCATCTAAAGCCTTATCAATAAATTGTTAAATCCGGCTTGATATCAATTCTACCACAAAAGGCCCCTTCAATGGCGAAAACATTGTTCTAGCTGTTGTTCAGATAACCCGTCACTGGGCAGTTGCAAAAGCGAGTACAAAGTACAATCCGCCATTAAAAAGTGGCCCCGTTTGTGTAGGGGGGGGGGGGCGTGCTGAAAGAAGGAAACCCACTTTTGACAGAAATTTTAACCAACTTACTTTACATACTTGAACTGGTTCTTATTTATAATATAGTGAAGTATACATCTATTTCAACCATACATGGTGAACAATAAGTCAATAGTTCTACCTGTACTTCGGTTTGTGATTCGTTTCCTTTTTAGTCGTACTGAGTTGTTTATTATTACATGTGCTCAGTGAAATTTTTCAGCGAGTCAGTTGTTCTTTTATTTAGCTTCTATTGATTTATTAGCGTATGTCCGGTTTTTAATAAAGTTACATAGTGTTGGAACCGGAATCTCGATACAGATTCTCGTGTGAGTGTTCAGTTTAGTCATCTGAATATTATATTAAATGCGATTCATACAATCGGCCAAATGAAAACGTGACCACGTTAATTCGGGCGCACCTCAAAACACGACTTCAAATACATGTACAGGGTGGTGCCAAAAAAACAAGGAAACCCACTTTTGACAGCAACTTTAACCTATACTTACTTTACTTATTTGAACTTTCAATTTTTTTAAACGTAGTGAAGTATATATCTCTTCAATGATGAAAAAATAAGTCAAAATTTGCAGTGACATTTCTGTAATATGTACAGTAGGGCCTACAATAATTGAAGGCAAAAATCTTACCTCAATCCTATCGGCCTATAGTCCGTTGAGATAATGTGTACTGCAGGCGAATTCTCAACCCACCTATTACAGTTTCTATATGCTTAATTTCCTCTTCAGTTCATGTTTACTTATGCTGATGTTACGTAAGTCAGTACAAAGGCACAAGCCTCACAGTCACAACATGCAATACGTTTTAGACTTGTGTAAATCCTTTCAGTGTTCCAGCACCCTGAGTAACGCTAAATGTATCGTAATAATTATGGTCATATTTTTGTTTGTATAACATTATACTGTCCTAGAATGGTCACTGGCCGGAATGAAGTCGCAGGTCATCATTATCGGCTATTTGTTAACTTTGTTGTATTACCAATATGTGTTCCTAGCTCCATGCCGATACATATACAAAAATGGAATTAAATATCAGTCGCTACATCGAAAGAAAAAACTGCGCAGTATGGCCGCCACTCAATCAGCATGAGAAAATAATGAATAACATTAATCACTGAGCTTGTTTTATCCTTTAAATTATTCACCATAACGCCTCTATAGTTTACGATGCCAATACAAATATAGACTTTCACCCCTGCTCACACCCATACATTTACATGGCATGCTTAACAAGAGTTCAAAATTCCCCGGCCCCGGGCCCCACCTAGGAATCACTGCCTCCCCTTTTCTCCAAAATTACGTAACTACATGTGTATACGTAGCTTATCATGTAAAACTCAAAAAGGTGCTGATGCATCAGCCGTCGCGCGGTTGAAATTGTCTCCTACCTGCAAAAAATTAAAGTTATAATAACGAATGTTTGACGGACACAGCCGGTTTGGTCTCGATGAATCTTTATAGCTCTGATAGGCCGAGTGCTAGTGATGCAAAAAAAAACTGCATGGTTGATTTCCATGCTATTAAAAGTACACATACAATAACCATTGAGGTGTGTTGTTATGCTATATTATCCAATGATTGTGACATGCCTACCTTAAGTGCTCCCTAAGTTAGCGTATCCAGGTCGTCTGTAAAAAAGAATACAGTGCTGTCCTCGATGTAGAATCCCGTAGCAATTTTGAGATGTTTGTACTATTCGCGCGATCGAGTATAGCTCCGTCCGCACGATCGCAAATTATGTCTAATATTGAATTCGTCAACGGGCCAGTTTTTTTTACACTGTGGTGAACAATATGCGTGTTTTTTACACACAAAAATTATGGATAGTAAACTTGATACACTGCCGTTCTGCAGCATTAGATCATGTGAATGGTGTGTCACGCAAAGTGACCCCCCTAAAAGAGACCTGGTTTCTTTCAATAATGATTGGTTGAGTGAGTTCAACCGTACTGCTATGCTGGGAGCAACATTGACATTAATGGACTCCAACATGTTGTACCTTGGCGACTTCCGCATGAAGTTCGACAAAGCGGCGACTTGTGCAAGTCTATGCATGATACCATACAACAATTGCGGGCGGGACGACAGCCCGTTTCACATGACGGTGACTGCCGGGTGACACGGAATTCCCATGACGTCACGAAATTCCCATGACGACATATCAATGATTTACTCTTGGCGTTGACTTATGTATAATTATTTACAGAATAGGCCGATATCAACCTTTTTGTTTGGCCACAACAACAGTGCATGATAAAAAAAATGACAAGGACATTTTAGGACTACGCAAGCATTGCTGCAACCCGGCATTAAAATTCCTATAGACACTAGTGCTAAATGCCCAAACTTATTCTTTAAAAAAATACTCAGAACTCTCACAGGTATTTAAGCTGCACATAAAAATGATGATCAACGTGTCATCTTTTTTTTTTTTTTTTTTTTTTGGTGGGTTGACCATTGATTTTTCGAGAAATTCTCACCCAAAGAAGACGACCCCTATTTTTCTTAAAGCGGAAAAGTACCCCTTGAAAAAAGATCCCTCCACAACATGGCAAGATAGTGCAACCTTCGAGCCCAATTGCATCCACAATGCTCAGAATTGGAAGCCCCAAGTCCGGGCCAGAGGTTCATTGCCACATCTCTTCAATTCCCCAATGTTATGGCTCTCAGAACTCTCTAATATAGAATGTTTTGAGTGCATAACTTTCAGGAGCTCGGAGGATGGTTTAGGCCTATTTACAGGTGTGCAAGGCTTAACAAGAACGATATTCGTTCCATACCTGCACTGGGCATCAAAATGGGTTTTCCTGTCTGTTGCTTTAATCTGACATGACAACACAAGTGTTGTCACACATGGATATGTACTTTAGTGGTGGATCTAGAGGGAAGTGCAACACCTGGCCCCTCCCCCCTTTTCATCCGCTGATTAATGTTGATATTCAATGCTAAAGTTCTCTGTCAAATTGCCTCAGAATGCTGGAGAAAGCATTGTAGATTACATTTTTTTGCATTTGTGTTAAAAATAAAATGGAAAAAATACGACTAACTCAGCTCGAGAACTTCGAGGACAAAGTTAAAATATTATCATAATTACTTATTACTGACAGTTGCCTATAAATATTATTGCTTCAAAGATTCAGACGTAAGTTTTGAAACTAGGTGTGGCTTATAAAAAGACCCGGTCAAGTGGTTTTGATCCACTTTTACAAGATCGTGACCGACTGGTCCAAAGCACCTAAATATCGTGATGTTATCACTGTTAATATTCTTCGTCACTTGTAAGTTGTAGATTAGATCTACCTGTATTTGCCTGTGTGAGTAAGCGTAGTTGCTATGTATGCACTTATTTGCCTCTCGCCATGTTTACACAGAACCAGTTCACAATGAGTGCAAGCAGTATTACAATCAATAGGCCTACACTCGTCTTTCCTAAAGATATCCACTAAAGAAGGGGTGTCCTTGTAACTTCTGACAGGCTCGTGCTTAGAATGAACACTAAATATACTGATGAGCAGTACCAGGACAGAATGGCAAAATGTAAGGCACCAATCTACATGCAGATCCACTTCTTTGCAAATACATGTATTCGGAATGTAAGACCTGACAAGGAGTCAGTATTGTAGTACCGAGTACTTAGGCTACCGAGTACGAGTACGAGTACGACTAAATGTACATGTACTCCCGAGTACAAGTACAGTTCTCCGAGTATGAGTGAGAGTCACTTCCGAGTACGAGTGCGAGTACTTGTTGATATTGGCCCAGACCCAGTCAGTACCGACTTTGTAGCCCGAGTACGAGTACCGTCATTTCGAGTACGAGTACTTTGACATTCGAGTACGATAGCACTCTAAAAGAAAAAGTACTGTTGCCTGTCATCGATGTAATTTATGCTCTGTTTAATATTCCATGTTTTTCGAGATCTTGGGAATCGAACCCACGACCTTCCAGGAGTTGGTTTTCACGGCGAGGTTCTCATTGTTTTCTCCCTCGAAGGAAACACATCATCGGAAACAAAATGAATTTTACTCCTGTAGTTTATATTGTTTACATGTATATTGTACTGCTGAATTAATTCAGCCTCATGGAACAGTGGAAGTAGCAAAATAAACCTAAATAATAAAACAGTACTATAATGTTTCCAATAATGAAATGTTTCATCTGCACAACGTAATATGATATGTACGCATTGCCATTTTCTTTATAATGACCATGGCTTAATACCAGAGGGATGGGCTTTAATCACGAGTTAGCCATTTTTGTCGAGTTCTCTGAATTTATATCAGTTATTGTTAACTGTTGAATGGGATGGCCCTAGACTATTTATGCAGGCACAATGCAGCCTTATTTTACTGTCATTTTGGAATGTTTCATTACAAATGTTAAATTATTCATTGAAGTAGACTGGAATTCATAAGTACATTAACTTGCTTTCATTTCTCTTCGCAAGTTTCAAAAATTAAGATTTTACCTAACTTTCAATTCAATATGGCCGACTCGTGAATAAAGCCCATATAGAACTGTATAATGATATTTTCACAATTGAATAATGTGGTGCACACATTAAAACAATGGTTTTTCTAAATATTTACGACAGCTTTACAAAAAAAATAGAATGAAACAAACATGACTTTAATTTGACGAAGATATTTACACAACACTATGGTGTGACATGTCGATTTACGTATTTTTAATATTATAAAGATGAAAAGATATATACAATGAAAGACATTTGAGTGATGTAATTTGCTGTTGAGTACTTCGAGCATGTGAGGAAGCATGGAAATTGAAACAATGCATCAGCAACTTTTGATACAAAAATCGCAGTTGAAGAATTTACAATGGTTGACTGCTGTGATGTGGGATATGACGTTTTGAACACCCGAGGGGCGCATAGCACCCGAGGCGAAGCCGAGCCTGGTGCTGTTCGCCCGAGGGTGTTCAAACCGCTATATCCCACATCACAGCAGTCAACAATTATTTTGTTATACCTCTGTCTTGGATTCTTTGAATTTTGATGTAAAATAAAACAGCTGATCGTCTGCTAGTTCGCTGCTCCCAAGGCCCACTCATGTGTGAAAACATGGTGAAAGAAGCGCGGGTAGCAACGATAGAAGCGTTTCACACTGCACCGCACGTGCTGTAATTAGTGTACCTACAAAGTCATAGCACACTCCCTGTTGGACATCACGTATACAGGATGTCCCAAAGGGAGTGTGCCATGACTTTTTATAAACCTAACACGTGATCGTTCAAGACTAATGAAAATACAGTATTCAAGACAGAGGTAGTTACAAAATTAAACATATTTCCAAACTACCAAAAAGGCAGGACCAAGATTTCACTGCAAAACAGTATACTTGTCGGCAAGTATACTTGTCGGCACAGCATTACATTTTTTTTTATATAGCCACAATATGATGTTCACGTGAAATCTTTAAATGAGAAGTTTAAAGTCAAGAGAGAGCTTATACTCGATCGTAACCCCATCTAAAACACGTTAAAATTGTGCAGCAGCAGGATCCCAGTCAAACCAGTGAGTTTGGCGGTTTTGAGACATCATCTAACATTGAAAAAATAAATTTCATTTTGCCGAAGTGCATGGCTTCCGCGACGAGCGCGCATACCAGAAACCGGAGACTTTTGGGGGCCTTAGTGGGGTTGTTTTTAGATTACGGTGGGCACAGTATTGTACAATTTTACAATCGTAAACATCAGCACATTGGTGCGATTTAGTATGCACCTATTATCATCATATCTGAGCATGTTTTCCGACAGTGAATTTGCAGACGGGACAGACGTGCACGGTGTCCTTCAAAGCCGGAATGCAGAACGGAATGAGGCAGCAGCCTAGCCAGAGACTGGAGAAAAGAAAGACAAACAAACAAATTCAACTTTGGCGCCATATTTTTTCGAGTCGTTGACCATAAAGAACTAGGACATTTTGTGATTAGCCTCATATTTTGGAGCTTATGTCCTATAACAAGCGAATACATGGACATTGAGTACTCACCCCATCATCAAAAGCACCCCCGCAGCCAACCACACCGCGCCCCCATTCTCCTGGTACGTGACTGTGGTGACGCTGTTGTGGCAGCTCGGACACTGGACATGGGCGGGGTAAGGTGTCATTCTCATCGGCATGGCCACGGTGGTGATGACCGTCGGCGGCTGGGGTACGGGTGGGGGCTGCTGCTGTACTACGACGGTAGTCTGACCGGGCTGAGCTATCACCGGGGGCGGTGGAACGGCGGCCGGCGGGACGGCGGCCTGCTGCTGCTGTTGCTGCCATTGCCAGGCCGTTGAAGGTTGGCCTGTCGTTAGTGAACACATTATAGTGATGGTAAATCAAAGCTGATTTTCCCCGACATTTTTAAGTGTTTGAACGCGACTTAGCGAGCTAGCCCCGAACGTTTGAGAACAGTTTAGGCAGTCCGTTTCTTCGGTCTTGCTAGAAAAATTACATTATAAGTAAAAGAAGGTTTTTTTGGGGGGGGGGGAATAAAAGCCAAAGATAGCAGGGACATATCTCTTACTTTACGTACACGCAACAATTTTGTTACTGGCACTTTTGGGTAACTTAATTTCAGGACGAGTTTCATTTTTTTGTCGAACGCTCTAAATCACGACACAATTATTAACACCAAGGTTGTCACACTGTTTGTTACGCTCGATTCGTCCATTCCTCAAATATCCATCAAGAATCGCCTACTGGTTTCGACTTCATAAGTTGGCTTCAGACTCTCACAGGCCATGATATGGCTTGAGAACACCAAAGCTCATAGGCTGCTTCATGGCAATGTAAGCCAGAGATTTGGACGACTAAATTTGGGCAGCGTCGAACCAAAACATTTATTCGTACAATAACTTACCTGGTTGTGCTTGGTATGCAACATAGGGAGGAGGCCCGTCAGATGGAGCTGCCATGCCTAAACACGCCAAAAGAAGATAAATGTTCATACGGGACGGTGGACAAAAGTTGACTTACGCTATGATCATGATGATACATTCGATGACCAATGATTTTGTTGGCCCAGTACTGAGTCGATTATGCTTTCATAATATACACGTCTCGTTTATTGCATGACCGACATCTGTGAGTCGAAATCTCTTTGAATAACTCGTTACCATTAATAAATGTATTCTTACCTTAAGCTGAGTGTTCTGTCGAAACTCGATGGAGCTTGTGAAATAACCTGGAGTACTCGTATATACCACTTTATCCGCATATACATATACATGTATACGTATTTTTCGCACAGAAGCCGTCTTTCTGTTTCGTATCCGAAATAGGTCCAATGAAAGTAAACTTCGTTTAGTCGCTCATGCAGGATCGATTTATTGATCCGGCCCATGGTCCAAAAGAAACCATTGTATTCATCATTGAACCATACACTGCTGAATGTGGCAAGCCCATTGTTCATTCGTTTTCTCTCCACTGGCCAAAGTATAGGCGACAACATCAATATGTGCAAATAATGGCTGAGGCTAATAATAATAAGCCAACATTCGACAAGCATATTTTGGTCTCGATGGACGTGGTCAAGTCTATTGCAGGCTGACCGTTGCTGTGACGCCGATCGATCCACACATTAGAAACCGTATACATGCCTGTAGAGAGAGTGCATTCATGCATATATACATGTACAACGTCCGTCCTTGATACATCATTGTAAGACTTTTTGGGTATGAAAAGATAAGTGTTAAAGTATAGTCCTGTGATAAGGACGTGCCCTTTTTACGACATGTACATTGGCAACGCCACAATTTTCATTGACATATTTTGTTTGAAAACCAGAGAGGTCAGTTAATATTGTTTGGACTTCACCGATGAATTCATGCTGGACCCAAAGTGCTAGCCTAATGTCATCCGCCCAAGAGAGACTCTGACGGACTGACCGGCCGACCGACTGAATGACCGAATGATGACTCGGACTGACTGACTCCTCCAACTCCCCGACTGACTGACTCCCCGATTGACTCCCCGACCTACCGACTGACTGACTCCCCCACTTAATCCAGCTCAACTTAGCAAGCCTGGTCTTGTTTTTTCCTACTTTTTTGGTGGAAGGATTTACATATTCATTTTCTATCTACATTGTATTTATTTTATTGTACAAAATCGAGGAGAATTATCTCGAGATATCGTAACTCGGCGTCCGATTAGTGTGAACAAAATAATAGCTTCAAACCGTCCTATTTTTAGAACCATTTTATTTTCTTTATAGTCTTGGGTAATATATTATACAAAACTACAATTATGATGGTCAGTTAAAAAGATTATTTTAATTTCATTTCAATCTACGAGACATATATTATGTGGTAAAAGCAAACCAAAAGTACATAATATGTTATGGTCATGTAAGACCATAATTATACACAACTAGTCGAAAAGGAGACGTTATAATAGATCTGAGACCTAATGGCGTAATGGCTTTGTTTATCATATGCGCTTTCCTATGGTAGGGAAGTCGGGATGCCAGACGAAGTAGGGACCGTCTACCACGTAGGAAAGCGCAGGTGCACAATCATCAAAATGTGCATGACGTCATTACGCCAATTCCAAAGAAGAGAACACGAAGTTTAGAGGTGGTTTTTTTTAGTTGGGTTTAGGAAGTATTGTTCCATTTTAAAATCTTAAGCATCACAGCTGAGAATGAGCCGGTCACAGCTGAGAATGTTTCCCGATGGTGAATTTGCAGATGGGGCAGACGTGCACGGTGTCCTTCAAAGCTGGAATGCAGAACGGAATGAGGCAGCAGCCTAGCCAGAGACTGGAGAAAAGAAAGACAAACAAACCAATTCAACTTTGGCGCCATATTGTCTCAAGTTGACCTTAAAGAACAGCAATGTCGCGATTATACCTAGCTTCCCAAGACTGATATAATAGCGGTGTTCCATGAACCGCGGCGCAATTCGTCGTTTACCCCGACTTTCCCCATGTAGTGTTGCCCAACTTCTTTGTTGACAAACTTCAAACTCAATCAGAGAATACATGGTACTTATTTAACCTCTGTGAACAATTTTGGTGTCATGGAATTAAGAAATTCGGGCGGTGGTGTCCGGAAATTGGGCACAAAATCGATCAGTGTTCCCTGACGTGGCGCACTTGAACAAATCTCGGAAAATTCCAAATAAACATTTTTGAATTCCTGTAAAGTTGCTTACTGTGAAATTTCAGTTAAAACTTTTGCTCTAGCTAGGCGTTACAGGCGAAAATTCAAAGTGCGCCACGTTAGGGGCCACGAAATGTTAGGGCACATCAACAATATTGGAGCTATAACGTACGAGAGACATCGACTTACCCGAACAGCAAAAGTACCGCCGCAGACAACCACACCGCGCCCCCAATCTCCTTGTGCGTGACTGTGGTGACGCTGTTGTGGCAGCTCGGACACTGGAGCTGGGAGGGGTAAGGTGTCATTTTCATCGGCATTGCCACGGTAGTGATGACCGTCTGCTGCTGGGGTACGGGTGGGGGTTGATGCTGAACCACGACGGTAGTCTGACCGGGTTGAGCCACTGTGGGCGGTGGGACGGCCCCCGGCTGCTGGTGCCAGGCCGGTGCTGGTTGGCCTGTCATCAGTGTGAACATAAAGTGTTAAATCAAGTTGTTCGGGGACACTGACATAATAGTCGAGATGGACGAAGGTTTGATCTTAAAATTTTAGCATTTTACAACTTTTTGTATTGCTAGAAAAGAGCGAAATGTTTGTTTGCGGTCGCCGGTATACACTATTGGAATTTTGAAGAGGAGTTCTACTTGTTTTTCAAACTTGCCACGAATCTTTTGATATCGCTCTAATTTACAACACAGTTAACATAAACATACTGCTAGCTACGGCCGATGTGTTGAAGATAATGCAATGACCCATTGGCGTTTTCCAAATTTCGGGATCGTTCGGGTTCGGATTGGCTTCAGAAATTCCAAGCCCTCTGCAGGAATTATGAGCCAAAGGTTTGAAACTAAGAGTACAGGTATTTCGATCTAAAAGCCTTAGGTGAACGCTGAAAAAGAAGACTTTTATGAGCTCTACTCCACTTTGCACATGCATTGACTCACGGCCAATATCGCTAACTGCATTTTTTTTTGGAAGGAGACTAAATTTGGGCAGCGTCGAACCAGCAATAAATGTATTCGTACAATAACTTACCAGGTTGTGCATGGTTTGGATCGTAGGGAGGGGGCCCCTCTGACTGAGCTGGTTTCGCTTCCATTATGTAACCTAAGTCGTACAAAAAGAAATGAAAAAGGAGATGACAGTGGACGTGAGTCGTCCCTTAAAGGGAATGCACATCATTGGCTGTTGCTGTAATTTTCAGAAATGAACTATTTGACGGGTTAGTATAATAGATCAAATATTGTTTAACTGACATGTTTGAAGTTTGGTGTTCGAAAATGTTGGAAAAACCAAGAAAAACAAAAATGTTCAAGTAGTCTGGTTCCCTGACTCCACAAAAGATAAAATGGATCAATTTATAGATGATGGAAAATTGTAAGGCAAGGGAACCAGTCTAGCTGGCCTGCACCCGTTCATGAACATGTAACCAATAGCCAACCAAATTTGGACTGAAAAAATGGTAAATTTGGAGCAGTAGTTGAAAAATAGTTAGGTTTTTCCAACGCTGGTCGGCCGACCACCGTTGAAAATGTTTACAAAAATACCATTTTCTTGAAAATGACTTCACACCAGGTGCCATAATTTTACAAGTTGCTTGAGACTGTCATTTACCAACACCCTAGTAAGGTATTTCGTAAAAACTTGGTAGTTTTATTTTTCGATGTTTGCAAATGTTGTATATTCCCTTTAATCAGACGGGCAACTCACGCCCAAAACACCACAAAAGGGACAGTTGTAGGCCTGTCGTGTAAACTGATATCACGAGACGTACACGGGCCTACATAAATGTGTTCGTCAAATAGTTTTTTTTTTTTCATTCTGCCATATCTGATGTTAACATGATCTTTTTCTTACCTTGGTATACTATCTGAAACGTTGTTCTGTCGAAATCGGTGGCGTTTGTGTGCGTGAGTCGAGTGCACCTACCAAGTTAATTCCTGAATGATGTAACTATCACTCGCACTTCAAAGGTTGTTGTCTTTGCGCAGTCGCCGGAATAATGAAATAAACTTTCCTACTAGTCGCTCAGTGATGCCTAAACATGTATCAATCCCAAGGCCCTAACAAATCAACATATAATAACCGTTTTAAGACAGAGACTGCTGAATGTGGCAAGCCCATAATTCTTTTTCTTTGTTTCCCCGGAATAAAGTAGGTGACAGTATTAAAGGCAATTGGTGGCAGAGGCTGATAAGCAAGTCTCGATGCACATGGTCAAGTCTAGTAGGCTAGCCGCGTTGCTGTGACGCCCAAATCCACCACGTTGGAAACTGTTTACCTGCAAATAGAGAGTGTTAGTACATGTGCATACACCACTTGTCTGCACACCATTGTTAACCTGTATTTGTAAAAAGGATAAGTGCTTGTGTGGGTCCTGTGATGTCTCACTGTTTTTATTACTTTGTGCATAAAATTCCATCACTTCTATTTGTTTGAAGTAGCTTAGAGAGGTCAGCTAATATTGTTTGCATTTCACGGGCGAAGTTTTGCACGAAGTGAAGCAGTAGCCTTTGAGTAACTGATTGACTGACTGACTGCACGACTGAGTCACTGAGCAATATGATATAGCCTAAAAATGCTTTAAATTGAGACTTTCGATGCCAACTGGACCGATCAAGCCCCGTTTTCTTACTTCTGTTGCTTGAGTAGGCCTACACGTTTTCATAATTGTTAGGATTCGCACAATTTTTGTTTGTAGAAAGTCGAGTGAATTTACTTATAGTGCCCATCTAGTCTCGAGATATCCTGTAACTTTGCGCCGGATTAGTAGTCCGTGTAATGTACCATGCCATGGTCAATGATATGGAAGCAGATTCGCTAATTATTAGGCAAGACAACCACAAGCACTTTCTTTATCGGGTCTTCAGTCATTCACCCGTTGCGTGTCATAGGCCTATACAATGGATAAAAAAACTGTGTCACGCGCTCTGTATCATGTTACGCAATATGCGCCCGGCTTATATTGTATTACAAAACGCTGTGTTCGAATTGACCAATCAAACCGTTTACTCTCCTGATTTAGGAATGAAATGACGTCACGATTTCGTAAAGTCCACTCCGATTGGCTGGCCGCGCGGCTTGCATATATACTTGCATGTCTAGACATATTGGACATTATACAGGAGACTTGGCTCAGTGGCTAACAAGTAATACTCAGACTACCCGATTAGTGTGAGCGAATAAAAACCAGAGCAACACAAATCAACAAACAACAAGTGTTCTGGAAGACAAATCGGGACTAACTTCGTCCCAGGAGAATTTTTTATTTGGCTGCAAACCGCCTTTCTTAAAACCATGCATGGAGATTTTCTCTTTGTAGCTAGCTCCATGCAGAGCATGTACTTCTGGATATCAATCGACACATCACCCGATTTGCGGTGACAAAATAAAGCAAAAATTATTGTTCTTTTATTGGTGCACTCAAGCGCGATGTGGAAGTGCGGAATGGAGTCTCTGTCTCATTAAAAGACCATTCTTGTGGGAGAATAACAAAATAAAACTTCTGACTTTTTTTCAGTATTTAAATTAAAATAATAAAACCGTATATAGAATGTTGCAAATATAAGTGTAGGCTACCTCTGACGTGTATGAATCAGGTACTGATGTGTACGTTTAGGGCTACTCACTGCCATAAGCGGATAGCCATAAGCGGATAGCAAGAACTGCAGCTATTGCAGTAGCCGTAAAATACCCAATTTGGAGCAAGTTCGAGCAACGACCATTAGTCGCCTTGTGGTTGATTTGTGACGTAATACGCCTGCGCACTAAAAGCAACGTGCGAATGTCTCTAGTCAATCGCTGGTCAAAATGTCATCGGAAATCTTCTGGGTCCTGGCTCGCTGCTGAACGTTATGAATGCATGCAGCTATTGGTAACCAGCGAAGCAATCAGGCCCAATAGGCTGGCTCCAAATAGTCGATCGGCGTAGTCCAACCATCGTCGACTAGACAGAGTTCGGGCTAACTAAGTCGAAGTATGGTTAACTATAAGACAACACTAGTTCTTGCGCGAACTTGCCCTTGAACTCGACCCTACGATACGAAACGGTCCTCAAAACAGTGCCCTCCAGTTCTGGCGGCTTTTAAGTAAAAAATAATGATTACCATGTAAAGCAAATTTTGTCTTAGTATACACATTTCAGTACTTTGTTTCAAACTGTAGCTTAATCTTCAGTGTCATCTACTTTCTCCATATCACCCAGCGCGATATGCGAGTCAATCACTTGCAACTGGGAATTCGCTGTCTGTTTGCGAATGTTCCTACGGATGAAGTAGTAAGCAGGACACGTGCCTGCGACCCCCACGACGCCAGCGATCATGGACACGCCCATGATGAGGTTGCGATACCGTTCGATGTCGTAGATCTGGCAGGAGCCGTACTCCCCACATTCGGACTGCCAGACGAGGCACGATTGATCGACAAATGAGGCGTACAACATCGGTCCAACCAAGGCACCTTTAACAGAATGAGTCGGCTAGTTTATTGGTTTTTCTACATGAAACTTGGTATGTGCATAGAATATGTCGCTCGAGGATAAATATAAAGTAACACCATACTAACTACAGTTATAACTTACCAAGACCGGTAAAAATGCGATTGAATCCCAGGGCTGCTGTCTTGTCTGCAAGATCTACACACCTGAAATGAACATCATTTGCAACTACCTTTTTATTGTCAAAATCATTCTAAATTTAAAAATGTGTCACATCTATTGTTTCAATGGAAGACTTTGAAACACCTGGTGGCAGCAAACACACCGGTCCTTTTCTATTGCGTCGTTTTGAACTTGCACACATAATTTTGCTGTTTCATCAGGACCGTATTCAGTTTACTGACATATATAATTGTTACAGTCATCATGCTTTGGAAAGTTAACTTAATAAACCACATCATGTCACGATTGTATTGATATCGAGCGTACTTAAGAACCAGAATCAGCTGTGGTGCTCCGGCCATGGTGATCGCAATCGTCTGAAGGACCTGCATGACTATGAAAGGTACCAGGGTACCGCAGTGGAATTCACACAGCCCCGCGAGAGCGGTGTCGGTCGAACTGGCAAGACATGAGCAGTTGTTGTACAAAACCTGCAAAGAAACAAAACGGGGACATGAGTCATTTTTCTCCAAATCTGGGCTTTGCTCGACTTTGGTTTAGGCCTTAACCAAGTACACTAGAGCTCCCTCACTGTACTTAAATTCCGTACTACGTCTTGCAATGTGTAATAAAAGCTATTGTCATGCTGAAGACAATTATGTATGGATAAAACTTAACTCTCCTCTCAAAAGAAGTCACCATGATCATGCAGTGGTTGTGTCGAACCTCTGCAAAAAAATATATATTTAAACAGGCTATACCACGTCATGCAATGTATTTACAATATCATTTTTATCAACGCTGTCATCTTAAAGGTGTATAGGATAATTTAACCATTATTGACTGCTGTGATGTGGGTTTTGACGTTTTGAACATCCGTGGGGCGCATAGCACCCGAAGCCTATGCGCCCCTCGGGTGTTTAAAACGTCATAACCCACATCACAGGAGTCAACAATTGTTTTGTTATACCTCCCTCTTGGATTCTTTGGATTTTGATATAAAAATCACGAAAACAAACAGCAGTAAACACAACAATCATGATATTCGAACGTCAACTCACATGCATGTCGCTTGCTCGAAACAGCTGATCGTCTGCTAGTTCGCTGCTCCCACTCATGTGTGAAAACATGGTGAAAATAGTGTGGGTACCAACGATACAAGCGTTTCACACCGTACGTACCGTACGTACAAAATGTGCATTGCCTTTTTATAAACTTAACACGTGATCGTTTTTGGCCAATGAAAATACAGTATTCAAGACAGAGGTGTAACCGTTTGCTCTTTTTTTTCGTTTGAAGCAATAAAATTGCTCAATATCAAGTAAGATTCACAGCAACGAACATATGTTGCAGTTTAAAATTTAAATTTTACCCCAGTGGCTTCTAGATTTTTTGGGGAAAAACAAATGCAGAGAAAATGCTTGTTTTGGGGGTCTTGTGACCGGTGTAACATGTAACGAAGTGTTAACAAACCTTTTATAATAATTTTCTTTCAATGAAAACCATTTTTCTCATTCGTTTGGTAGATTTGTTTCCGGGTAACTTTAAAATGCCTTTAAATATTGTGGTTTTTTTCACTCACGTCGTCGCCCGTGCTGTTGCAGCCTGCAAAGCACGGGGAGAAGTATATGACGTCACCAACTGCGTCACATACCGGCTGGTAGGTCGAAGCCGTGCAGCTACAGTTGGCGTTGCAGTCGGCAAGCAGCGAAATTTCGGTCAAGCTATAGATCAAGTTGGTGAGACTACCGCAATTTATATTATGACGACCATTGGTAACGTTTCGATTATCTATTATGGTAACCGTAAATTTATAACACAAGTAAACCTATACAGAAAGGGAATGAGGGGCCCAATTCCGTGGAACTACTAAGTATAGCAATTTGCTAAAAAAAAGTATTTGGCAAGGAGAAACAGGTTACCAGCGCATATCATGCAATGTACTGCTCAAGACTGATGCTCTGCGGACTTTTGCTTAACACATATTTTTAAGCAACATTATTTTCTGCTTAATATGAAATTGGACGCAGGTTGCAGACTCGTATATAGATCTGTGCCCAAAACTGTCCAGACCGATTTATGCATGTCTATATCGGTTCTTGGACGAAGGTCGTTGGGGCGAAAAACTGGGTCAAAAGCTTAGTCAAATTCGTGTTTTCGGGTAATCGATAAAACATAGAAATATTTTTCATTTTGTATACATTTTGCCTTATGGTGATACGTCAGAATGACAGAATACAAAAGACAGAAGGAGGTTTTTCATTATTTTTCCCCGGCAAAAGGATGTTAGCGCGTATGTACTAATGTGACAAACATGTTCCCAGTGCGCTAACGTCGCACTGAAGTGGGAGCTATAAAAGCAAAGTTTCGTCCCGACAGAATTTCTTTATGATTTGATATGCCGCTTAAGCGCACGTTAAGGCGGGAGGAGTTCCCGGTAAAAGGTTGTTAACATGAAAAAAAATACACATAACTTTAAAATTAAGTAATAGTATTTGGACATAAAAATGCACAATATTATTCGAATTATATCAATACACTTCATAAGTAAGAATTTCAGCCTCATATTGTGATTTTTAGTTTAGAAATGGGAGCACAAAACCTTTGAACTCGAGTATCTCCAAAAGTGATTTTTGCGTGCCTGGCTAGTATAACGCCCTTTACCACGGCCACACGACGATCCTCAGTTCTAAAACTGACTTTTAGCGTGTATTTCTGAAAAAGTAATAATTGAATGAAATTTCGGAGCAGTGAGGGGATTAGATGAAAATCCTGAGCTTTCTCAGGTTTGCATGGGGTCAGTTCTTTGAAGACTCTTGTGCTTAAGGAGACATTTTCTCATACAGCATAAAATAGTAAGCACGGAGTAATCCAGCGCAGCCAAGACATAAGACTATACATTATAAGATAACGTTTCACCTCTGACCCTCGTATCCAACAGTCACCCCTGCTATCTGAGGGTTACTGCAACCAAGGAAGAAATTTGGGATGAAGCTGGCTAGGCCAACTACGACTGCTGCCATGGCGAACAGGAACATCTTGGGGTAACCCATCCGTGTCTTACGGACGATGTAGCCTCCCAGGATATATCCTATACCGTAGGGAGGTAAGAGAGCCACGCCTACAATTGAGAACAAATGATTGGATAGCACAGTGTGAGTAAAAAAAACCCCACCGAAACCCAAATGTCGGGACTATTGTTTTAGTGAAGTTCTACATGTAGCACTTTCAAAAACTGGAATATAACAGCCCAAGCTTTCTTAAGAATCATTCGAATCACTTATATATACTTTTTAAATTACGGAAGTTTAAACACATCCACTGTGTTTAAGTTCTGTCCACGGATCACAAAAAAAGTACGTGTTCTTTCAGCAAAACGAAAAGAATTCACACACACCCCTATGTGATTTGCTTTCGTTTTGCTGAAAGAACACTTACTTTTTTTTGTGATCCGTGGACAGAACTTTAAAACGGTGGTTGTGTTGAAAATTCCGTAACTTAAAAAGTACATGCGTGATTTCAATGATTCCTGTACTAAAAGAAAGCTTATGAATTGGGCTTTTATGTCCTATATTTTGAAAGTGCTACATGTAGAACTTCACTAAGACATTGGTCCCGACATTTGGGTTTCGTGTTTTTTTTTACTCACCCCGTATGACCTTTGTCTTAAATTTAGCTTATGGTACGTAGGCCTATACCGTTTTTAAATGTCATCCAACGTTGTGTCAGTAAACTAGGCTAATACATGTATTACCAAAAGTCTAGTTTGTGCTATCCATGCATTGCAGACGGCACAAAATCCTAGAAAACGATCGACCTATTCCCCTTTTGGCAACTAGGATGGCTGAGTTTACAAACGAAATTGTCAGAAATGATCCTCAGGTTTTGCATTTTGTCTGTGATAATTGATCGATTAGCAAGTGAACCGATCAACTTTCCTTGATACATCCCCTACAGTTTCCCAAATTTAAGTCACTGTTTCAGAATACCGACTTGATCTGACCTTAGGCCATCAGCCTGGGGGTTTGGCCGGTATCAAATCGGGGCATAAATGATTGTAGTGCGCATGCGTAAGGTATACCGCCCCTAGAGTGGTAACAAGCATTTTGCTGGAAATTTTTAAAAAAGGGATTATAACACCCAAAAAGCTGCCACCGCTGCAATGCTATCACATATTTTCCAACTCTGGAGGTGTATACCTTTCCAAAAATCGCTTTGACGATCATTCCCCTCATTTGATACCGATGGCCAAAATTTTGGACCGAGGCTAATGGCCTACCTGAGAATCGATTATTAAGTAGTTTTCTAAATTCGGGCGTTTTACAATGCAGTACGCCACCAAGAGTTTGTTACGGAGACTTCATTTTTCCCCCAGTGCATTGTGGGAGATGGTCGACAAATCCGCAGCGCGGCATATTTGAAATTGTTAGAAATTGACTCTCCGTGGCAAACTCTTGGTGGCACACTACATTGTGAATCGCCCGAAACGGCAGCCACTTCTGCAGTAGACCTATCCCGATTCAACAGTACTGACCAGCTCATCGAATAGATCCGTGAAAATCGACTATCATTAAGGCTTCCGTCCCGAATCAAGACTAACCTGTTAGTAGATCGGCAAAGGATGCAGTGACTTCGAATTGCGATTCCAGGTACTTATTGAAGAAGGTACCAAATCCATACACGACGATGGCCTGACAGGCCGTTCCCAGGGTGATACACATCAGCACGGGATTGCGCATCAGGCGGAAATAGGTTTTCAAAAGACCTGTAATTGGAAGGGGGAACGAGGTTGTCCACTGCATTGGGTGTGCGCATAAGTAAATTGAGGTTGCACAATGAGTACAATAATAGCATAAACACATACTCTCGATAGCAAATTGGTAATGTCCAGAATAATTTCAATCTTGAAACAAACATCTTACCCTTTACTAGCCCTTCCTCTGTATCACTATCCAACTTTTGGTCGGTTGTATCTTTGTCATGTAATTCTTGGGCTGTTTCGTATAAAAATACATATACAAGGTGTTATGTCCTCATCTTTATTTTCAAACATTATTTAAACATATAAGGAAAAGCCCGAGTAAGCCTTCTTATATGCAATGTGCATTCACTTAGTCCTAGGCCTATCACATCGTCATGTCCGTGCAACAAGGACAAGGTCGTATCTCCTAAAATTGGCCGCACGTGAAACGCGAGTTTCAGATTTCAAAAGGTCGTATCTCACTAATAATAACCCGAATGTACACCAAAAAAAGTCAATGGACGTCGAGATACGACCTTGTTGCACGAAGCGTATCCCGCGAGATACGACGACCTTGTTAGACTGACACGAATCTTAACTGTCTTGTTCAAAGTTTAGGCCTGCATTATGGTGGAGATGACATTAAAACCCGGACTTTGTTAAATTCTACAGGGTAAAATGTTACAAAGGTAAGAAGAGTTTAATGTCATAACTCCTCACAAGTCACGCGGTCTCGAGTCTCAGGTTATTTCAAATTGGAGAGTGTGGCCTAGTAAGGTTCCGAATTTCGTTACTCGCGATCAGAGGTTAAGTGGTTCAAATCCCAGATGCTGGTCATATGTTGCTACAAAATGACCAAGACGTCAGTGAGAGATCGTAAAACATCAATTATGCAAGGGCGCTACAGAACATGGCAAATATCGCTCTCGATCACTGAAGTTTTGGGCCAAGACTATAGGGAGTAAGCGGCGATGGACTAGCATCCCGTCCAGGGGTAAAAGATATATTCTCAGTCGTTTCATGCTACTGAAAACGGAGATAAACGCCGGCCTGTTGGGCCACATTGGCTCGTGACAGACTTCACTTGATTACTTACTTCGATCCGTACAATGAACTCAAACCATTGTTACTGTTCATCCCCTGTTACTGATTTGACTTATGAATTAACTTGAAATCACTTGTGACAGTCTTCAGACGGAGCCTACTACAACACCGAAAGATACATCACCCTTTTGTTCGGTTTCGGAATCAACTTCCTCGCAGTCGCTCCCTTCAGACAGACTGGCCCGTCGTCTCGATTTCCTCTCCCGTGATTTCGCATCGCTACCCCGTCTGTAGCGCTCGGGTAGCCGCTTGGGGAAACCAAACAGTGGCAGGCAGCTCAGCACGAAGAACACGCTGCAGACCAGCAATCCCAGCCACCAGGCCCCGACCCAGGCCGGGTGGTCCGGGGAAGGAATGGTGGTGTCCGGGTCCAGGCGGTAGAAATCCACCCAGAACGTCAGGGAGTAGGAGCTGATGAAGAAACCGATCATGCTGCCCACGCCGTACATGCTCTCAATAATACCTACAGACATAAAAAAACAACAACCCGGAACAACTACAATCAAACCTTTCTCGGGCTTCAATCGCTTCTCAAAACCTTGATCATAACTAATGCGAGAGCGAAGCACGAAGCCCTAACAGCATGGGGTTTGGGGCCCGCCTAAGGACCCCAAAACATCTTGGATTCTAGATGCTCTGTGGGGCAATCTGAGGCAATTTCTGACCTCTAAAAACAAGGGCTTTTTTTTAGCAAAAGATCATGTTTTAAACATCATGTACGAGTTTGGAGTCATCGAATCAGCTATTCTGAGCTACAGGAATCATTATAGTAGGCTACAATTTTTATTCGGGGACGAAAAAGTTGTTGCAAGTTGTTGCATTTAGCAGTCTCCTGATCTGATGCATTGCACTCCTGTATTCTGTTGCTTTTGGCAGGGTGGGCACTTGGTACAAAGGCTGGCATGTATTAGCTCACTGCATTCTGTTGCATATAGCAGGGTTCTCATTTGGTTGTGTTGCATTCGGTTGCATTTTGCAGGGTACTATAGAACACGTTGTGGAGGTTAGGTTGCAAGTTGTTGCATTTAGCAGTCTCCTGATCTGATGCATTGCACCCCTGCATTGCGTTGCATTTAGCAGGGTATGGGTACGTGGTACCAAGGCTGACACGTAATAGCTCACTGCATTCTGTTGCATTTAGCAGGGTTCTCATTTTGGGTGTGTTGCATTCTGTTGCATTTGGCAGGGTGCTTGAAGAATACCTTGTGGGGTTTATAAGAGAGCTGAGTTGATAGTGCAGTGGAATGTAACTCCGGTTGCTGGAGGTTCAACTTTATTAATTGTGTTTGACTCCACAAACATTTACATACCTACATACACGGCAGTGGTTTCTGTTCTGCAGTTGTCATCGATGTACGACAAGGCGAGCGTCGGGATGGCAGCGTAGCCAGCACCGCTAAGCACTGAGCCGGCGATCATGATCCAAAAGGCAGCGTCGTTCTGTGCACCGACCGCGTAGTATGAGTTGCACCAGTCGGTGGAATTAGCAGCCGTGCAAACTAGGGGATCGACCTGGATCAACGAAATGGCCATTCAGACCAAGGAAAAGGCTATGTAAAACAAACACTTCTACGTGTGATTAATGCTGCTTCGTCTCCTTAATTTTTCAACTAAAAAAAGTGAAGCTTGCACAGTGTGACGACAATCGCTAATAAAATATCCACCTTTAAAGCTAATCATTTTTAGCCAGATTTAAGTTTACTTCTTTTATTTGAGCAACTGGGTATTTTGTTGTTGTTCAGGTTTCTTACATTGAGAGAGTCGAGGCTTTGAATTTTTAGAGTTTAAAATTGTGGAATGCAGCTCCATAATACAACTTCATCTCTGTTCTAGTTTTTGTTCACTAGTTTCATTGCTCCAAACGTCCACGAAGTATCATAGTTTCAAATGAGAAATGTTTTCATTAATATATAAATTATCTGGATCCCAGTTTTATTCTTTTTAGAATTTGCTTCATTTTAACATAAGTATGATATGAGCCGGTGTTTATGAAATTTGGACTCCTATGAAATCCATTCCCTTCTACCTTGGGACTCTATCATTGTTCTGGCCGCTGCAGCGGCCATGCACGATACAGTCCATGAGTCCGTGTTTCAATGGAGTCCAAAAGTCCATACTACACCTGCCGTACCTGGCCACTCGAGGGTACGGCGTCGTACTTGCCGAACACGAACTGCGGCAGGGCGTTCAGAAACGTCCCCAGCGCTATCAGCAGGGCCCCCGAGGCGATCCAGCGCGGGCGACTGGTGCCGCGACGCCCGCCGAAGTACGACACGAACGGCAGGGCCACCATGGTGCCCGCGCTGTACATCGTGACCAGCACGCCCAGGTTGGACGCCGACAGGCGGTAGCGGGTCTCGATGGAAGTGGTGATGCCCGTGAAGGCTCCCAGGGCCACGGCGTCTCCGAAGACGACCAGGCAGACGCAGACGAGGAAGAACACCGGGGAGAGGAGCCTCTGGGCCCACTGGGGCTTCCAGAAGCAACAGCAGGTGTAACTCTCGTCCTTTTCCTGGGGGTACCAAACACCGGACGATGTCTCCGAGGCAGTCAGTGATGACCTTCTCGGCCGGTAGACATCACCAACCATCTTGTCGTCATTGGGGTTGTTGTTGTCTTCATCTTTTTCGCATTTTGGAACTTCCTGGCTGGCTGGGCCTGGGGTCAGCTGATGTTCATTCTCCATATTTTTTTTTCACCCATCGGTTATCGAATCCTTAGGTTAGAAAATTCTAAAGGAAAAAGTAAAATATAATTTGTCCAATGCACTTATACGAATTGGCACAATAATGCAGAATACCCCGCCACTTTAATAGCTATCCCACCTCGTATAGCTGACTACGGATACGGGGTCACGCTTGACTGCTCTACCACAACATACGCACGTGTGCACTTCCCACTCCGTATATCCCATAATATCTGCGTACACTGCGTTTAAAAGGTCACAAAATGGTCAAAGTTTTGGGGTGGGGGTGGGGCTGGGGTCTGGAAGTAATTTTGCTGACTGAGAAGTCTTTTCGGTGTGGGGTGTGGGGCCCGCTTAAGGGCCCGGGAAAATTTTGGATTGTAGATGCTCTGTGGTGCAATCTGAGACATTTCCTGGCCAATTTCACCCGACTTTTCAACTTAAATTTGCTCTATTTTGGTGGTCAGTTTTTATATTTATTTGTTATTTTTTTTCCGAGCGGAACTCATCACTGTGAACTCGTCACCGAAGGGGCACGGGGAGGGTGGAAGGGATGACTGGCATCATAACATGATGATTAACCCAAGACATTATCATCGCCTCCCGTGAACAATTCACGGCATCTCGCGCTTTTTGTTCCACAGTTCAGGTCAGTGTTCACTTTCAAGTAAAATTCCAATGTTTTAGGTCAGGGCAAGGCTAAGATTTCAGATTTACAGGTCTGTGGGAACTTGAACAGATGCAAGGACCATACGATTTACTGTTCTGTGGCAACTTTGAACTCAGTGACCTGAATGGGTCACTAATAATTCTCAAATCTACAAGAACTTAGGGTCAACTGAGGTCAATGTACAACATAATAAACGATTACTAAGAAGTGTTTTGCTCTTAAAGCCATCTTCTTTGTTAAATTTGGCTGCCCTTAATGCCGATTCAGGCCCTAAATGCCGACTGAGGAAAATTATTGGGGAGGTGTCACACCCCCACACCCCCTGTTTGCTACACCACTGGAGGTGAATTTTGACTGTCTGTTTCAATGGCAGGAGGGTTAACGAATAAAATCAGAACAAACGAATAAAATACTCGTACTCGTGGCAAAGTACTCGTACTGTACTCTTATGAAATAGTACTCGACTACAGAACTGCCACAATGGCGTATATATCGAAGTACTTTGAGACATGTGAAGTCAGATTTTCATACTTTCTAGCCTTCAGCCTAGCTTGAGTAACTCCAGCTCCAATGCTTCTCAGGATTGACATATAGAGCTGGAGGTAAAACTATGTTGTAGACACTAGATTCTAAGAGGCCCTAAAAACGGGACTCTGTATCTGTATCACAAAAATGGTGATTTCTCCCTTTATTAATGCCAACTCAGTTCCATAAAATATGTTTAAGTTGGGACAGGACAGTGACACTTGAGGGGAAAGGGACCATTTTGTGATACAGATACAGAGAGTCCCGTTTGAAGGGCCTCTTATTACAATCCAGGATATGGATCTACCGTTGAACATGGTTTTTGCCTCCAGCTCTATTATGTCGAATTCCAAATGAGCATTGGAGCTGGAGTTACTCAAGTCAAGCCACCTTCAGCCTTACTTCGTGATGGGAAACGATGCCGACTCGCACCGTAATCAAAATTGAGAAATTGTCTTCGATGTCTCAGAAAACATTCATAAAAGCATTTGAAACTCTTGTGAGTCTTCTATTACAACCAAAACAAGCGAGAAGAGTATATTACTACACCTCATTGATATTCATGATCAAGTTGGAGCGTGTCATTGGCCAATTCCGCCGCGCGTCCGGGAAGTAAAAATGCATACGCGCCCAGGTGACGTCATCATGGTGAGTATCCAGCTCGCTGTCGTGCGAGTGAGGCTACTAAAAAGACAGTGAGGCTATACTACTAAATATTTATGAAGTATAGTAAAACAAATACAGTATGGTTTATTTTTTTGGAAAGTAGTTGGAATTACTGGTCCCGAGGTGTAGGTCAGCTAGTCAAGCCGTCTACACCTCGAGACCAGTAATGCCCATTACTTCACCTCAAACCATGGTGTACACGTAATTGTATATTACCCAAACCCGGCAATCACGCACACAAGTACAAGTGTGTCGATTCCCAATGCTTCATATACCCAGATGCATGCAGGCAACTCAGATAAAACTGTGCCCAGAAATTTACTGCTCCATGCAACAATAGCTACAATCGTGGATAATAAGTGCTTTATGATCGGGAAACAAGACCGTTATAGTGAAGCCGCTATAAAATAAATGTTCACTTACCGACAGTTGTTGAATAACAAGTATAATGGCCACCTAGCACGCACCAGAGCCTTGAGCGCAGTAATAAAACCGTTACACAATAGTATATGTCAAATCACACTATGGCAAAACTCAAAGTGCGACAATGCGAAGCATTTTCTTTCATACGTGTACACGCCGTCCCGTTTTATATATAAATATGTAATCGCGAGGTCATTTGGCAAGCTCGTTCTTTTCAATCCTTGGCAATGATTACTTAAGCCGGGGTGACAATAGTATGGCATCGGGTATTGTCCTCACTACAATACTCTGTATCCCCAAAATTGCAAAAAGTATTCACAAGCGTATGGGCTATTTACATTGCAGGTCAGTTGCCAGGCAAAAAAAGTATTAAACCCGCACACCAAATCCTCTGTAGTAATTTTGTTACGGAGCAAAAGATTCTTGGGGAAAAAAAAGAGTTAGAAAATACGATGAAGTGGGACTAGGAGAGACAATTCTTGCGTTCAGGTAAAATTTGTACACGTTTATTAGAACCAGTATCAAGTTCCTGATCAGAACTCTTAATACAATAAGCCTTTATACCGCTGTCAGGCTTACTGCTTTAAAAATTATAACAAAACAGCAATACATGTATACGTGTTATTTGAAGTACTGTTGATATGAACTTATCAAGCGACACATATTTGAAGGGCAAAACTGTTTGCACTGTGCATAAATCCAAATGAAAATCGCAGCCATTAAACGTACAGCTACATGTACATATAACTTTTATCAAAGTCATATATGTACATGTACATTATTTATTATGTAAAAAAAACCCAATAGGAGCTAGACATACCATGCCATGAGAAGACACTAACTGTTGAATGACAATCATGTCCACAGTTATGGTGCTGTGTTAGCTCCTATACATTTTAGAAAACAAATGTAATATCTGTCCCGATAATGTCCCGATAAGCCTCTGTACTGATGACATCACACTTTGTTTACACGTGTGCTTTCTTATGGGAGCCTGGTTGGGACATCACGCGCACGTAAAGAGTGTGTGACGTCATCAGTACAGAGGTTCATTGGTCAACATGGTTATTGAAACAACTTTACTGTCAGTGAAAACATTCAACAAGTGGGATCAACTTTTATCGAAATATAGGGGAAATTAGCCCGATATAGGCATATTATGTGATACACACTCGGCTGGGTACAAGGGCATGAATCTGCGGTTTGCCCAAACTTCAGAAGGGATACCTCGGCACTGTCAAAAGCACAGCCATTACCGCCTCCAGCTCCGTACCTGCCCTAGCGCCGGTGATCACCAATCGTGATGTAGAATTAACCAACAATTGTCGGTTGCTTATCGCACAGGCGTATATAATCATCATTTTTACCACAAAAGAACAATCTAGGGTTAGGATTATCAGTAGCACCAGGGTTGTCGCAGGCCTTACTAGCCTAAGGCATCAGAAACAATGTTTTGTTGATGTTAAGGACTAAGCAAGCCATGGTCAGGTCACACTATGGTATTTTTGTAGGCCCCCGGTTTTTAGGCCCTAGGCACAGTGCCCACTGGATAATCCTGGCCTTGACCAAGCTAAAGCAGCGTACATTCAAGGGAATCAAAACACAGTCTGTGCCGCAGCAGGGTTTTACAACGTGGAGACCGAGTTTCCTGCAGTGCATTATGGGAAGAATTCGGCATCCACATGCCAAATGGTTAATCCTTTTGAACAAGAACATTTTTTTAACGCGCAGTTTTACACTGAAATTTATGTGAGGGCACACCAAGGCTCTAAAATGCAGCGTTTGTTTGGTATCGCACGTAAACAATGAAAGACGAATGATAAACCACAGGAAACACAATGTTGCCCGTGAACTTGAGAACGGGCCTCTTCGAGGAAAACACATGGTGGCGACATAGCGCGTTCCGTGGGCGCGGACGTGATTTGCGCATGCGGATCGTGTTGACTAAAGGTCAGGGGTCAAATAAACTCTAACCAATGAGAGCTCAGAAATATAGTGGTCATCCTTGCTTCTCATGGGCTGAATAGGTAATTTGTGGGTTAAAAAAATGCTTATACATTATGGCAACAAACAATACGACGCCCCTTTTATACCAGCGTGGAACGTATCCAAATATTAAAAGCACCACCATATTTTCTTTTTCAAAATCTCAAGACTGGTTTTCAGTAGTGTGCAAAAAAATATTTACATTGATGAATATACATGTATTATGTATTCATAGAATTTTTTGGCACAGATCTCGACGCCTTTTCTACCCTGTTCACAAATACTTTATACGCAAATAGACTCATGAAGTGAATTAGCTTTTCTGCTGTTTGGGAAATTTAACGGTGGGGAGAATGATTGTGGCGTACGATTTCAAAGTGCATGCATAAGCTTATCAGTTCTATGTATGCCAGTACGAAACAAATTAAGTTTGGTCCACATAGATATTTAGATCTTTATATTTAGTTCACCGGACAATAGACACGCATTCATGCACCAAAATAATGATTTACAATCTTAAATCAACAAAAGGTATAATAACATAATTTATAGAAGCTTATGAAGATATATTAATAGATCCATTGGATTTTTAGGCCCCCGTGTAACCCCTGGAGTTCTTAACTTCACCTATATGGAAGGATTCCTAATTAATTGCTTAATAATAATATCCATGTTAAACAGGAAAAAATGGAACCTGTGGAAGTTATAGAGCATTGTTTGCCGAACTAATTTGTTCCATAAGACACATAAGAAAAAACAGCGCCATCTATTGACATAGCCAGAAACATTTCGCACGCAATGATGAGTGCAGGCTATGATACTTCTTTCCGTGATGTTCTGCACCAACAATTTTTGTGTTCGAAATTTTTTGTTTGTTGAAACAACAATTGGCCATCTAGTGAGGTTGTTAACAGAGTTTCCTCCATTTCAATATCAGTGAGAAGGAATTTAAAAGGGGAATATAGCTGACAGGTTGAAACATCTGATATATAGGTGTCGTATAGCCCGACTGCGTCTGGCCGTACAGTACTATCGCAAGCTCTGTAGTACGGCCAGACGCCCGATGCTTCCACAGAGACTGAATTTTTTTGGCCGCTGATGTAGCGATTTTGCTTCATCTTTCGATCGAGATTATCTTTTCATCCAGGACACAAATTTCCAAAGTTAAGGTTCTTAGTCGTAGAGCAACTCATACCTTTTCGAAAAAAACGTTCTTTCAGTCATCATCTTTCACAAATATCGTCCCAAAAATGCTCCCCATGCGATTTCAAAATGGCGGCCGCGCTATAATGTATGCATTATGCGAGCGCGCTTGGGCAAGATGATGAATATGCATCATAGTTTATGACGTTGGTCGGACACTCGGCGCGGCTGGCCATACAAACACGAGGTCATGAACTAAATAATGCATATTCATTATCTTGCCCAAGCGCGCTCGCATAATGCATACATTACAGCGCGGCCGCCATTTTGAAATCGCATGGGGAGCATTTTCGGGACGATATTTGTGGAAGATGATGACTGAAAGTCGTCTTTTGGCCAGATGGATGAAAATATTGAGACCAAAGAACGTTTTTTTCGAAAAGGTATGAGTTGCTCTACGACTAAGAACCTTAACTTTGGAAATTTGTGTCCTGGATGAAAAGATAATCTCGATCGAAAGATGTAGCAAAATCGCTACATCAGCGGCCAAAAAAATTCAGTCTCTGTGGAAGCATCGGGCGTCTGGCCGTACTACAGAGCTTGCGATAGTACTGTACGGCCAGACGCAGTCGGGCTAGGTGTCGTATAGAACTAAAGGGGTAACACGGGGGTCTAAAATCCGATTGTTTAAAAGTGCGTCTTTTAAAGTGTCTGGTAGAGTTAAGAAGATTGTAAGTACAACACTAAGTTACAACTCGGGTATTTATCAGCATTCCAAACTCCAACCAGTCTTAATCATAGCGTTTATCACATCCCAAACACACATTTATTCCCTTAAATCGTCTCAAAGGAATCTGGGTGCCTACTCTATGAGCAAAGTGGTTTTGCAAAAACTTTAAGGGTTTTGAAGTGCAGAAGACTAGGACTGAATATCAAGTACTTTATATCATGATGATACATTCGATGACCAATGATTTTGTCAGTTAGCCCATAATAATACCAATATACTGAGTCGATTATGCTTTCAATTTTTTCAAATATACACGTCGCATGACCGACATCCGTGAGTCGAAATCTCTTCGAATAACTCGTTACCGTTAATATATGTATTCTTACCTTAAGCTGAGTGTTCTGTCGACGATAAAGCTTGTGAAATAACCTGGAGTACTAGCTCGTATATACCACTTTATCCGCATATACATGTATACGTATATTTCGCAAAGAAGCTGTCTTTCTGTTTCGTATCCGAAATAGGTCCAATGAAAGTAAACTTCGTTTAGTCGCTCATGCAGGATCGATTTATTGATCCGGCCCATGGTCCAAAAGAAACCATTGTATTCATCATTGAAACATACACTGCTGAATGTGGCAAGCTCATTGTTCATTCGTTTTCTCTCCACTGGCCAAAGTATAGGCGACAACATCAATGCATGTACAAATAATGGTTGAGGATAAAAAGGCCAACATTCGACAAGCATTTTGGTAACGATGGACGTGGTCAAGTCTATTGGAGGCTGTTGTGTTCGTACGTCAATAATACCCGATTAAGGAGAGACTGAGATTAGGGATACTTCTCCGGTTGCTTCGTATTGTATTCACGTTCCATGTCACACTAGAGTACACACGTACTAGAATGTACAGACGATTAACAAATGACGTCATACACTGGTTGCACTATAAATAGACCACTGCAGTCTGCATACACTACATCCTCTCCCCCCTTAATATGGAAGCTGTACACACAAAAAATATCATTTTCAACCCTATGAAAATGTCCTCGACTGAAAATTCTGTCTATAAAGCAATGTCACACCACACAAAAAAATGCTAATCCTACAAACACTTGTTGCAAGAAAATCAAAGCTCAAAAACAAAGAAAATCCTTTTTTTTTCATAATTAAATCCAAGTCCCTAGACAAGGTAGCAATGGCTTTTTTCTCTTCCTGCCCTTAATTTGAATAAATGGAACTTCCCTTAGGATTCCCTACTTGTTTGCTTATTTTTTTTTTTTTTTAACCCATGAACTTCCAATACCGTACAATTTCAACTGCAACCTTTTTTTTGTTTCAAAACTGCAACTCTAAACACTTGTTTAAACAACTTGAGTAACAAGATAACCATTAACACAACTGTAACAACTGAAAGTGCAGTACATGCACATTTTAACTCTCATGCCGGCCACTGCGAACAATAGTTAGGTTATTCCATAGTCTCAATGAGTCTGTCTGGGGGTTTGCTGACCCTTGACGAGCGACGTAGGGGTTTGGGTGAAGCACTGGAATCTGCGGTTACGGTCGGTGTCGCCGATTGTGAAGTCTGCTCACCACTTGTGATGTTTGAGGGTGGCGCGTGTGTACATTCTGTCTGAGGAATTTGCGAGCCAACGACTGGAGCTGTCTCAGCGGTAGGGATAAACACCGGAATGGATGCTAGGTCAGACCTATCAGTATCTTGGTGAGCTGAGGTGAGCTGAGCTGAGAATGACTGGTTGTAGACCGTTCTGCTCTTCTCATCTGATCCACGTGTCTTTTCCACACTCGACCATCCTGCAAAATTACTACATAAGACTTTGGGGCTGTGCGCTCTGCGACTGTGGCCAGCCACCAAGTCTCTTTTCGGCGGAAATCCTTAACCAACACATCCTCCCCCGCATAGAACTCGCGGAGTTGGGTCTGTTTGTCGTGGTGCAACTTTTGGTTGCTCTGCATGTTGACCACCTTGCGTTCAACGTCCGGGCGTAGCAAGGACAAACGAGTACGCAGTTCGCGTCCTAGGAACAAACTCGCAGGAGTACGACCGATTGTTGCATGTGTCGTAGTGCGATATTTCAACAGGAAACTGTCGATGCGTTGTTGCAAACTCCGACCACTCGATTTGCTCGAGCTGAGAGCGCGTTTGAAGGATTGAACCATTCGTTCTGCTGCACCATTACTTGTGGCGTGGTACGGTGCAACTCTTACGTGTTTTACGCCATTCACCTTGAGGAACCGTTGGAACTCCTCACTTGTGAATTGCGGTCCATTGTCACTGACAAGTTGGTAGGGGATGCCATACCTGCTGAATAAGTCTCGCAGCACCGTGATGGTTGCATTCGCGGTGGTGCTACTCATGTGGAAGATCTCTGGCCATTTTGCGTATGCGTCAATGACGATCAGGAAATCGTGACCATCTTTCTGCGCGAAATCGATGTGAATTCTGTGCCACGAAGAGCTAGGCCACACCCATGGTATTAGGGGTGCCACAGCTGGAAGGTGTCTAGTCTGTTGACAGCTAGCACAGAGACGAACAGTCTGTTCGATGTCGCGATCGATGTTAGGCCACCAAACGTAGCTTCGTGCAATTTCTTTCATCCTGACAATTCCTGGATGCGCATCATGTAACTCACCCAGAATGAACTTCTCGTACTTGTAGGGTATCACAACTCTTAATCCCCACAACGAACAGTCCTGTTCCGTGGATAGTTCGTGTCTGCGATTGAAGAAAGGTTTGAGGCGTTCGTCCCTTACCTCTGCTGGCCATCCACTTTTAGTGAACTCTAACACGCGCGAAAGCACAGGATCAGTTCTTGTAGCGTGTGAAATCTCCTTACTGGTTACAGGTAGGCTATCTCAAGATACCCTGTAACTTTGCGCCGGATTAGTAGTCCATGTAATAGACCATGCCATGGTCAATGATATGTGAGCAGATTCGCTGATAAATTAGGCAAGACAACCACGGGCACTTTCTTTATCGGGTCTTCGGTCATTCACCCATTGCGTGTCATATACAATGGATAAAGAAACTGTGTCACGCGCTCTGTATCATGTTACGCAATATGCGCCCGGCTTTTATTTTATTACCAAACGCTGCGTTCGAATTGACCAATCAAACAATTTACTCTCCTGTTTAGGAATGAAATGACGTCACGATTAGTAAAGTCGACTCCGATTGGCTGGCCGCGCGGCTTGCATATATCTGCATGTCTAGACATTATACAGGAGACTTGGCTCCGTGGATAACAAGTGATACTCAGACCACCCGATAAGTGTGAGCGAATAAAAACCCAGAGCAACACAAATCAAAAACAACAAGTGTTCTGGAAGACAAATCGGGACTAACTGTGTCCAAGGAGAATTTTTTTATTTGGCTGCAAACCGCCTTTCTTAAAACCATGCATGGAGCTTTTCTCTTTGTAGCTAGCTCCATGCAGAGCATGTACTTCTGGATATCAATCGACACATCACCCGATTTGCGGTGACAAAATAAAGCAACAATTATTATTCTTTTATTGGTGCACTCAAGCGCGATGTAGTGCGGAATGGAGTCTCTGTCTCATTAAAAAGACCATTCTTGTGGGACAATAACAAAATAAAACTTCTGACTTTTTTCAGTATTTAAATTAAAATAATAAAATTGTGTATAGAATGCTGCAAATATATTAATAAGTGTAGGCTACCTAGCTCTGACGTGTATAAATCTTGGAACTGATGTGCTACTCACTGCCATAAGCGGATAGCCATAAGCGGACTGCCATAAGCGCACAGCCATAAGCGGACAGCCATAAGCGGACAGCCATAAGCGGACAGCCATAAGCGGACAGCCATAAGCGGACAGCCATAAGCGGACAGCCATAAGCGGACAGCCATAAGCGGACAGCCATAAGCGGACAGCCATAAGCGGACAGCCATAAGCGGACAGCCATAAGCGGACAGCCATAAGCGGACAGCCATAAGCGGACAGCCATAAGCGGATAGTAGTACAGGCATTATGTGAAAAATTAAGGGGTAACCTCAAACAAATTGCAACAGAAACCATTTAAAAAGGTTTTTACTCAGAAAAATCTCCTCTATAACATATTAAAAGTCTTAAGAAATCCGAGTGGTGGAAAGTAGTTTTCTAATGTGTTTCTTAACCACACCCAGTACCACTTTTTTGCTACTTTATAATGGAATATTTAGTGATGCTGCAACAATATATTTAATACTAAACACAGAGAGTTGATCTTAATTTATTATTGAGATGCCCATTGACTTCAGAAAAGATTTGTAGATGATTTATATTCATTTATTATGCTGTAATATATATATACTATCTGCAATATGATATATATATATATGAATCTATATATAACATATTGTCTATTCTGCTACCATTGGTTTCACGCACACGCACACTGCGTGGCGATCATCAGGCGAATTTACTCATTATTCTAGACCTTGGTAAGTTTCAATATCCCTATGTTTCCCAAATTTGCGATATGCCGATAATAATTTGCATAAATGCCATTTATTAATTTGCATAGATTAAAGTTAAAATTATGGCTGTCATGTGTGGACATGTCACAATAAAATTTTCCCTGGTAATCCAAGTCCAGTCATGTACATAAATTAGTTTCACACCATGGTGCATTGCTATAAGGTTCCTTAAAAAAGGAAAGAAATCCAAGTGGTGGAAATATGCCTAATTTGCATAAATTCAAAATGGCCACTAATTACATGATTTTTGATTCAGCCATAACTCTTGTCCTGCATTGCTTTTTGGAGTACTTTGAACAACAATTTGTCCTTTGACATTGATTTCATCATCATTCCAGTCCGAGGTACCTTATGAGATCCTATGTTTCCTATGGGGTATAATATTTTATGTTAAGGTTTCTAGCTCTTGTCAAAGTTGGTATAAGTGTTGGAAAATGTGATATCCCTGTGTCGCAGAGCGAACCCTTGTGCCGCTCTACTCTGACCAAAAATCAAGGAATAACTCAAGAGAACAGAGGATTCAACACAGGAGTTACAAATCACAAAAATCATATTATATATACGGAAAGAAATAAACCAAAAAACCGCAAACCTCAATCCGAAAATACGTGGGCGATGGTTTTATACCCCTCTCGCATGGGTGCAAGCCCGGAATTGGTATGCAACAAAGGGAAAAGGAATTACGATTTGCATAATTCACCTAGCACCCACCTCCGAAGTTACATAACACTTTACGGCCGTAAACAATTAGTGATTGATGAATTAACTCAGAAAATAAAAGGAATAATTTTAACACATTTCAGGGACAAAAAAATCCCTACTTTAAATCCACTAGTACACTGCATAGGGATATCACATTTTGCAACGCGTATGCCAACTTTGAGATGAGCCAAAAACCGAACAAAAAATATCTTTCCCAATTTTTTTTATATTTTGTAGCGAACATCTTGGGGTTTAATTTTCATCCAAGTTTGTCTCAATGTCGGAAGATCCACTAGGTCAAATTCAAGGTCAAATTAAAGGTCAAAATGTCATTTTACTTAAAATAACCCCGACATGAAAAAAACAATGGTAAATTTGGATTTCTCATGATGTAACCTTTCAAAAGAAATTAAGATTAACACATGTGGCTCACAGATTATAGAAATATGGTCATTTAAAAATGGCAGCAATGTCCATTTTGACCAAAATTGCCTGGGCGGTAGCGCGAAAACTGTTTGTCCGATGGTGCTAAAACTTAAAATTTCGGCTTTTCAGCCGAAATTACCCCATAAACTAAATATGATCCAATTTGAAGAGGTTGGGGTTTCAAATTTAAAAGTTTTCGGGGTGATTTGACACTGAATGGCCCCAATGTCAAATGACAAAATGTTGTTTAAAGTACCCCGAAAAGCAACTTAGGACGAGAGTACTAGATAGCATATTATGTCATATTTTTGGCCACTGCATTTTTCTTTGCTAAAGAAGGAATTTTTCTCATAATTATTTGGATAGACTTTACCTTCCTAAGCTGGAAATCCATTGGTAAAATTTTTTTCTATCTACCATGTGGCGGTCATCTTGGAATTCAAAATTGCCGCCATTTCGGGCCTAATTTGTATCTAACTTCGGACCTGATTGTCATATGAAGTTCAGTTTGGTGGCAAACCCCATGTTTTTGATACCAATGCACCCACGAAAATCATTGTTGATGGGGTATACTCCCAGTGGAGTACCCCATCAACAATGATTAACTTGGGTTCCTTGGTATCAAGAACATATGCTGTTTGCCACAAAAATAGACTTCATACGACATTCAGGTGCCACCTTATTATTTAAATGAAATCAAAGATTGCCGCTATTTTTGAATATCCAATATGGCTGCCATCCATTTGGGATGCCTAAATGTGCTAATTGGATTCCTTGGTATCAAATTTATGGGCTTTGCCACCACCAATAGTGACTTCATACGACATTGAAGTCCAAATTTATTATGCAAATAGTTCAGAATGGCGGCAATTATGAAATATCAAAGATGGCTGCCATCAACTGTAAGTACCCCATCCACAGTGATTTACTTTAGTTCATTGAAATACATGGATTTCATAAGACATTCAGGTGCAATGTTATTATAACTAAGATCCAAGATTTCGAAAAAAAATCCAAAATGGCTGCCATCCATCTGGGATAGATCATCAGCAATGGGTCATTAAGATTACTTGGTATCAAATGTATGGGGTTTGCCACCGAAATTGACTTCGTACGCCATTCGAGTCCAAATTTATTATGCAAATAAGCCGAAAATGGCGGCCATATATTTGAAATATCCAAGATGGCTACAATCCATTTGGAGTACACCATAAACAATAATGTACTCAGGTTCCTTGGTATCAAAAACATGGGGTTTGCCATCAAAATAAACTTCATGTGACAATCAAGTCCGAAGTTATGATACAAATTAGGCTCGAAATGGCGGCCATTTTAAAATCCAAGATGGCCGCCAAACGGTAGCTGGGAAAAAATGTCTTCAATGCATTTCCGGCTTAGGGAGGTAAACTCTTTCCAAATATGGCAAAAAAAAATTCTTAAACAAAAAAAAGCAAAAGTACATAACGGCCTATATACTATTATGGCCGCGCCAAATCATATGAAAATCATGTAATTAGCGGCCTTTTGAATTTATGCAAATTAGGCATATTTCCACCACTTGGATTTTTAACAACTTTTTTAGGGACCTTATAGCAATGCACTGTGGTGTGAAATTTGACTTGGATTATCAGGGAACACTCAATTGGTACATGTCCACACATGGCATCCATTATTTTAACTTTAATTAGGCAAATTGATATACGGCATTTATGCAAATTATACGGCATTTGAATAATTTCGGAAACATAGGGATCTTGGAATTTACCTAGGACTTAAATAATGAGTAAATCAATGTAAAAGGACTAAAACTGTTGTTTAAAGTACCTCTAAAATCCACCTAGCATGAGAAATATGACCAAATTAATGCGAAAGTCCTAACATATGCGGCCATTTTGGATTTATGCAAATTAGGCATATTTCCACCACCTCGATTTTTTAAGACTTTTAGTATGTCATTTTAGGGACCTTATAGAAATGCACTGTGGTGAAAAAAATTCTGTTGCAATTTGTTTGAGGTCAAACCTTATATTGCCTGTACTATAGCAAGAACTGGAACTATTGCAGTAGCCGTAAAATACCCACTTTGGAGCAAGTTCGAGCAACGACCATTAATAAGTCGCATAGAGGTTGATTTGTGACGTAATACGCCTGCGCACTAAAAGCAACGTGCAAATGTCTCTAGTCAATCGCTGGTACGGTCAAAATGCCATCGCAAATCTTCTGGGTCCCTGGCTCGCTGCTGTACGTTATGAATGCACGCAGCTATTGTTAACCAGCGAAGCAATCAGGCCCAATAGGCTGGCTCCAAATAGTCAACCAGCGTAGTCCAACTATCGTCGACTAGACAGAGTTCGGGCTAACTAAGTCGAACTATGATTAACTATAAGAAAACACTAGTTCTTGCGCGAACTTGCCCTTGAACTCGACCCTACGATACGAAACGGTCCTCAAAACTGTGCCCTCCTGTTCTGGCAACTTTTAAGTAAAAAATAATGATTACCATGTAAAGCAAGTTTTGTCTTAGTATACATATTTATGGTGGCCCTGAAGGGACATCGCATATCGCAAACGTGTGCGCATACGTATGCGATGTCGCGAAATTTATCGCGAATGTGTGCGCACACGTGCAAATTTCAAAGTTGCGCAAGTAGCAAGTTTGCGCTCGACAGTACCAGTAGTAACGATTGCACGAGGAACAGCGTGCGCGCGAAGGTTTATTAGTCAGACCCTATTTATATCTAACAGTACGTCTAGATTCCAGACTAGCTGCTACAACTCCCCAGTTCATTAGGAATTTTACTGAAAGGTATGCGACAAGGTATGCAATAAAATTCACGACATTGCAAACAAATTCGCATACGTGTGCGCACATATTCGCGAATTGTTTCACGACATCGCATACGTGTACGCACATATTCGCGATTAATTTCACGACATCGCATACGTGTGCGCACACGTTTGCGATATGCGATGTCCCTTCAGGGCCACCATACATATTGCAGTACTTTGTTTCCAACTGGAGCTTAATCTTCAGTGTCATCTACTTTCTCCATATCACTCATCGAGATAGGCGAGTCAATCCCTTGCAACTGGGAACTCTCTGCCTGTTTGCGATTGGTCCTACGGATGAAGAAGTAAGCAGGACACGTGCCTGCGACCCCCACGACGCCAGTGATCAGGGTCACGGCCATGATGAGGTTGCGATACCGTTCGATGTCGTAGATCTGGCAGGAACCGTACTCCCCACATTCGGACTGCCAGACGAGGCATGATTGATCGACAAATAAGGCGTACAACATCGGTCCAACCAAGGCACCTTTAACAGAATGAGTCGGCTAGTTTATTGGTTTTTCTACATAAAACGTGGTATGTGCATAGAATATGTCGCTCTAGGCTTAATATAAAGTGACACCATACTAACTGTTATAACTTACCAAGACCGGTAAAAAAGCGATTGAATCCCACGGCTGCCGTCTTGTCTGCAAGATCTACACACCTGAAATGAACATCATCTGCAACTACCATTTTATTGTCAAAATTATTTTACATTTAAATATGTGTCACATCTATTGTTTCAATGGAAGACTTTGAAACACTTGGTGGCAGAAAATACACCGGTCCTTTTCTATTGCGTCGTTTTGAACATGCGTACATCATTTTGCTGTTTCATCAGGACCGTATTCTGTTTACCGACAAATAATTGTCACAATCATCATGCATTGGAAAGTTAACCACATCATATCATAATTGTATTGATATCGAGCGTACTTAAGAACCAGAATCATCTGTGGTGCTCCGGCCATGGTGATCGCAATCGTCTGAAAGACCTGCATGACTAAGAAAGGTACCAGGGTACCGCAGTGGAATTCACACAGCCCCGCGAGAGCGGTGTCGGTCGAACTGGCAAGACATGAGCAGTTGTTGTACAAAACCTGCAAAGAAAAGCGGGGATATGAGAAATTTTTCTCCAAAACTGGGCTTTGCTCGACTTTGGTTTAGGCCAAGTTATCCAAGTACACTAGAGCTCCCTCAGTGCACTTAAATTCCGTACTACGTCTTGCAATGTATAATAAAAGCTATTGTCATGCTGAAGATAATTATGTGTGGATAAAACTTAACTCTCCTTTCAAAAGAAATCATGCAGTGGCTGTGTCGAACTGCAAGAATATATTTTTAAACAGGCTTATCTTTACATGTAATGTATTTACAAATCATGGTTTTTTTTATCAACCCTGTCATTTTAAATGTACATAGGATTATTGAACAATTATTGACTGCTGTGGTGTGGGTTTTGACGTTTAGAACACCCGTGGGGCGCATAGCACCCGAGGCCTATGCGCCCCTCGGGTGTTTATAACGTTATATCCCACATCACAGGAGTCAACAATTGTTTTGTTATACCTCTCTCTTGGATTCTTTGGATTTTGATGTAAAAATCACGACTGAATCAAACAGCAGTGAACACAACAATCATGATATTCGAACGTCAAGTCACATGCCTGTCGCTTGCTCGAAACAGCTGATCGTCTGCTAGTTCGCTGCTCCCACTCATGTGTGAAAACATGGTGAAAATAGCGTGGGTACCAACGATACAAGCGTTTCACACCGTACGAACCGTACGTACAAAATGTGCATTGCCTTTTTATAAACTTAACACGTGATCGTTTTTGGCTAATGAAAATACAGTATTCAAGACAGAGGTGTAACCGTTTGCTCTTTTTTTCCGTTTGAAGCAATAAAATTGCTCAATATCAAGTAAGATTCACAACAACTAACATATGTTGCAGTTTAAAATTTAAAATTTACCCCAGTGGCTTCTAGATTTTTTGGGGAAAAACAAATGCAGAGAAAATGCTCGTTTTGGGGGTCTTGTGACCGGTGTAATATGTAACAAAGTGTTAAAAAACCTTTTATAATTATTTTCTTTCAATCAAAACCATTTTTCTCATTCGTTTGGTAGGTTCGTTTCCGGGTAACTTTAAAATGCCTTTAAAATATTGGTTTTTCCACTCACGTTGTCGCTCGTGCCGTTGCAGCCTGCAAAGCACGGGGAAAAGTATATGACGTCACCAACTGCGTCACATACCGGCCGGTAGGTCGAAGCCGTGCAGCTACAGTTGGCGTTGCAGTCGGCAAGCAGCGAAATTTCGGTCAAGCTATAGATAAAGTTGGTGAGACTATCACAATTTATATTCTGACGACCATTGGTAACGTTTCGATTATCTATTATAGTAACCGTAAATTTATAACACAAGTAAACCTATACAGAAAGGGAATGAGGGGCCCAATTCCGTGGAACTACTAAGTATAAACATTTGCTAAAAAAAAGTATTTGGCAAGGAGAAACAGGTTACCAGCGCATATCATGTAATGTACTGCCCAAGAGTCAAGACTGGTGCTCTGCGGACTTTTGCTTAACACATATTTTCAAGCAACATTATTTTCTGCTAAATATGAAATTGGACGCAGGTTGCAGACTCGTATATAGATCTGAGCCCAAAACTGTCCAGACCGATTTATGCATGTCTATATCGGTGCTTGGACGAAGGTCGTTAGGGCGAAAAACTGGGTCAAAAGCTTGGTCAAATTCGTGTTTTCGGGTAATCGATAAAGCATTGAAGTGTTTTTCATTTTGTATACATTTTGCCTTATAGAGATAGTCAGAATGACAGAATACAAAAGACAGAAGGAGGTTTTCATTATTTTTCCCCGGCAAAAGGATGTTAGCGCGTATGTACTAATGTAACAAACATGTTCCCAGTGCGCTAACGTCCTTCTGAAGTGAGAGGTATAAAGCAAAGTTTTGTCCCGACAGAATTTCTTTATGATTTGATATGCCGCTTAAGCGCACGTTAAAGCAGGATTAGTTCCCTGCAAAATTTTAAGATGCACATAACTTTAAAATCATGTAATAATATTTGGACATAAAAATAATGCACAATATTACTTGAGTTTTTAACAAATTATTTCATCAGTAAGAATTTCAGCCTTATATTGTAATTTGTAATTTAGAAATGGGAGCACAAAACCTTTGAACTCGATTATCTCCAAAAGTGATTTGTGCGCCTGGCTAGTATAACGCCCTTTACCACGGCCACACGACGATCCTCGGTTATATCTAAACTTTTGTGGCCATTGCACAGAACGGTTGGTAAAAACTATAGGAATTAGGGTCCGAGTTCTAATGACTTTTAGCGTGTATTTCTGAAAAAGTAATAATTGAATGAAATTTCGGAGCAGGGAGAGGATGAGATGAAAATACTGAGCTTTCTCGGGTTTGCAGGGGCTCTGTTCTTTGAAGACTCTTGTGCTTAAGGAGACATTTCTCGTACAGCATAGTAAGCACTAAGCACGGATCAATCCAGTGCAGCCACGAAATAAGACTATACATTATAGGATAACCTTTCACCTCTGACCCTCGTATCCAACAGTCACCCCTGCTATCTGCGGGTTACTGCAACCAAGGAAGAAATTGGGGATGAAGCTGGCTAGGCCAACTACGAGTGCTGCCATGGCGAACAGGAACATATTGGGGTAACCCATCCGTGTCTTACGGACGATGTAGCCTCCCAGGATATATCCTATACCGTAGGGAGGTAAGAGAGCCACGCCTACAATTGAGAACAAATTATTGGATAGCACAGTGTGAGTAAAAAAAAATCAGCCTGGGGGTTTGGCCGGTGTCACGGTCTCACTTCTCCGGCGTGCTAGCTTCTCCGGGTGGATTCGGCGGATAATTGAGCACGTTATAGTGCACGTTACATGAGCACGATTCATGCTCATGTGTCCACTGTGCTTACTTTTCCTAGGGCTGTTGAAGTCTACCAAGCCCATTAATAACACAGTGAAGGACACCTAAGAATGTGTTATGTAACACTTCCTGTGGGTCAAGTCATTCCATGGTCTTGCAAGCATTCTGATTGGTGTTCCCAGCGTCATGCATGTGTGTGTGTTCATGGAGGAATAATTAAGAACGAACTCCTTGGTCCGTGTTCCTTGCTCGTTCGTGGTCCATTTTGTCTTTATTATTGCAACCATGGCTTAAAATAAATGTGCATTTCAAGTCTTTTTTTGTTATTGGGAGTTAAAAGTGCGTGCCACGAAAATTCTGGATTCGACTGATACCCTGTAACCATTCATACAAATAAGATCTTACGTGCACAAGTACAACCCCGAGGAACTCGGCACACTAATACAGTGACGAAAATGTACACTACTGCGCAATTTTGTGCATGCGTGTTGAAGCGAAATTTTCCTTTTGGAGAAGCTAGCACGCCGGAGAAGCGAGACCGTGACACCGGTATCAAATCGGGGCATAAATGATTGTAGTGCGCATGCGTAAGGTATACCGCCCCTAGAGTGGTAACAAGCATTTTGCTGGACATTTTTAAAAAAGGGATGATAACACCCAAAAAGCTGCCACCGCTGCAATGCTACCACATATTTTCCAACTCTGGAGGTGTATACCTTGCCAAAAAATCGCTTTGACGACAGTATTCCCCTCATTTGATACCGATGGCCAAAATTTTGGACCGAGGCTGATATGGCCTACCTGAGAATCGATTATTAAGTAGTTTTCTAAATTCGGGCGTTTCACAATGCAGTACGCCACCAAGAGTTTGTTACGGAGAGTTCATTTTTTTCCCAGTGCATTGTGGGAGATGGCCGACAAATCCGCAGCGCGGCATATTTGAAATTGTTAGAAATTGACTCTCCGTAGCAAGCTCTTGGTGGCACACTACATTATGAATCGCCCGAAACGGCAGCCACCTCTGCAGTTGACCTATCCCTATTCAACGGTACTGACCTGCTCATCGAATCGATCCGTGAAAATCGACTATCAAAGGCTTCCGTCCCGAATCAAGACTAACCTGTTAGTAGATCGGCAAAGGATGCAGTGACTTCGAATTGCGATTCGAGGTACTTATTGAAGAAGGTAGCAAATCCATACTCGACGATGGCCTGACAGGCCGTCCCCAGGGTGATACACATCAGCACGGGATTGCGCATCAGGCGGAAATAGGTTTTCAAAAGACCTGTGATTGGAAGGGGGAACGAGGTTGTCCACTGCATTGAGTGTGCGCATAAGTAAATTGGGATCGCTCAATGACTACAATTTTGTTACAATGTGCAAGTATAAACTGATACTCTCAATGGCAAATGTGTAGTGTCCAGAATGATTTAATTCTTAAAACAAACATCTTACCCTTTACTAGCCCTTCCTTTGTACCGCTGTCCAAGTTTTGGTCGGTTGTTTCTTTGCCAGGTAATTCTTGGGCTGTTTCGTATAAAAAATTACATATACAATGTGTTATGTCCTCATCTTTATTTCCAAACATATTAAGCATATAAGGAAAAGCCCGAGTAAGCCTTCTGAGATGCAATGTGCATTCACTTAGTCCTAGGCCTATCACATCGTCGTGTCCGTGCAACAAATACTACAAGGTCGTATCTCCTAAAATTGGCCGTACGAGAAACGCGAGTTTCAGGATTTCAAAAGGTCGTAAAGTCAATGGACGTCGAGATACGACCTTGTTGCACGTATCGCGCGAGATACGACGACCTTAGTAGACTGACACGAATCTTAACTGACTTTTTCAAAGTTTAGGCCTGCATTATGGTGGAGATGACATTAAAACCCGGACTTTGTTAAATTCTACAGGGTAAGATGTCAAAAAGGTAAGACGAGTTTACTCCTCACAAGTCACGCGGTCTCGGGTCTGAGGTTATTACAAATTGGAGAGTGTGGCCTAGTGGTAAGGATTCCGAATTTCGTTACTCGTGATCAGAGGTTCAGTGGTGCAAATCCCAGCAGCTGGTTATATGTTGTGTCTTTGGGCAAGCAACTTCACCACCACTTGCTTTTGAGCTTCTCCACCCACGAGAGTTAGCTGGGAGTAACTAGTCTTGGCCCAAAACGCTAGTGATCGATAGCGGATGATGCATATGCGCCCTGGCACAACATTAGACCAGTGGGGCTACTCGCACTAACGTCTTGGCTATTTCGAATCAGCGGTTTAATTTGTTCATTATTTTCTCCGTATAGGCTTTCCTACGGAACCAATCAGCGATCGAGAAATAGTTTCAAGGCTCGCCCGACGCTTCAAAACATTCGCAACGTAGTGGTATGTGGCGTGAAGGCGCGACTACTGCGGCAAATGGGAACTGCCGGTTTTTTCCCCAAATTTTTACAGATAGTCCAATTTACATAAAATGGCCACGCCCCTATTGATACGAAATGACCAAGACGTCAGCGAGAGATCGTAAAACATCAATTATGCAAGGGCGCTACAGAACATTGCAAATATCGCTCTCGATCACTGACGTCTTGGGCTTAGACTATAGGGAGTAAGCGGCGATGGACTAGCATCACGTCCAGGGATAAAAGATATATTCTAATTAGTTACATGCTATTGAAACCGGAGATAAACGCCGGCCTGATGGGCCACGTACATTGGCTCGTGACAGATTTTACTTTTTTTTTTACTTACTTCCGTACAATGAACTCAAACCATTGTTACTGTTCATCCCTGTTACTGATATGACTTATGAATTAACTGATATGACTTATGAATTAACTCATTTGTGATGGTCTCCTGACAGAGCCTACTACAACACCGAAAGATACATCACCCTTTTGTTCGGCTTCGGAATCGACGTCCTCGCAGTCGCCCTCTTCAGACAGCCTGGCCCGTCGTCTCGATTTCCTCTCCCGTGATTTGGCATCGCTACCCCAACTGTAGCGCTTGGGTAGCTGCTTGGGGAAACCAAACAGTGGCAGGCAGCTCAGCCCGAAGAACACGCTGCAGACCAGCAATCCCAGCCACCAGGCCCCGACCCAGGCCGGGTGGTCCGGGGAAGGAATGGTGGTGTCCGGGTCTAGGCGGTAGAAATCCACCCAGAACGTCAGGGAGTAGGAGCTGATGAAGAAACCGATCATGGTGCCCACGCCGTACATGCTCTGAATAATACCTATAGACATAAAAGAAAACCCGGAACAACTACAACCAATTCTTTCTCGGGCTTCAATCACTTCTCAAAACGGAAGGGGGGGAGAGACACACCTTGATCATAACTAATGCGAGAGCGAAGCACGAAGCCCTAACAGCATGGGGTTTGGGGGCCGCCTAAGGACCCCAAAACATCTTGGATTCTAGATGCTCTGTGGTGCAATCTGAGGCAATTTCTGACCTCCAAAAACAAGGGTTTTTTTAGCAAAAGATCATGTTTTAAACATCATGTACAAGTTTGGAGTCATCAAATCAGCTATATTCTGAGCTACAGGAATCATTATAGTAGGCTACAATTTTAATTCGGGGACGAAAAAGTTGTTGCAAGTTGTTGCATTTAGCAGTCTCCTGTTCTGATGCATTGCACTCCTGCAATCTGATGCATTTAGCAGGGTATAGATACGTGGTACCAAGGCTGACACGTAATAGCTCACTGCATTCTGTTGCATTTGGCAGGGTTCTCATTTTGGGTGTGTCGCATTCTGTTGCATTTGGCAGGGTGCATTGGGGTTTATAAGAGAGCTGCATTAATAGTGCAGTGGAATGTATAACTCTGGTTGCTGGTTCAACTTCAATTATTGTGTTTGACTCCACAAACTTTTACATACCTACATACACGGCAGTGGTTTCTGTTTTGCAGTTGTCATCGATGTACGACAAGGAGAGCGTCGGGATGGCAGCGTAGCCAGCACCGCTAATCACTGAGCCGGCGACCATGATCCAAAAGGCAGCGTCGTTCTGTGCACCGACCGCGTAGTATGAGTTGCACCAGTCGGTGGAATTAGCAGCCGTGCAAACGAGGGTATCAACCTGAATCAACGAATCGGCAATTTAGATCAAGGAAAAGGCTAGCCTTACACCAAGGCCATCGTGGCTTAACTTGCCCGCATTCAAAGCGGCGAATGGCCTGGGCGAAAGGCTAGGAAAAGGCTTGCAAACAAACGCTTCTACGTGTGATTAATGCTGCTTCGTCTCCTTAATTTTTCATCAACTCAAAAAGTGAAGCTTGTACAGTGTGACGACAATCGCTAATAAAAAATCCACGTTTAAAGCTATAATTTTCAGTCAGATTTAAGTTACTTCTTTAGTGAGCAACTGGGTATTCTTTCTGTTGAGGTTTCTTACATTGAGAGACTCGAGGCCTTGAACTTTTAGAGTTTAAAATTGTGAATTGTTCTAGTTTTTGTTCACCACATTAGGATACTATAGTTTCATCGCTCCAAACGTCCACGAAGTACATGTAATATAGTTTCAAATGAGAAATATTTTCATTAATATATAAATTGTTTGGATCCCAGTTTTATTTTTTTTTGAAAAAAGGGTATATTTTTGGCGTCACGATATTCGTTTTGCCTCATGCACGCATTGCTTCACTTTCACATTAGTATGATATGAGCCGGTGTTTATGAAATTTGGACTCCTATGACATCCATTCCCTTCTACCTTGGGACTCTATCATTGTTCTGTCCGCTGCAGCGGCCATGCACGATACAGTCCATGAGTCCGTGTTTCAATGGAGTCCAAAAAGTCCATACTACACCTTCCGTACCTGGCCACTCGAGGGTACGGCGTCGTACTTGCCGAACACGAACTGCGGCAGGGCGTTCAGAAACGTCCCCAAAGCTATCAGCACGACCCCCGAGGCGATCCAGCGCGGGCGATTGGTGCCGCGACGCCCGCCGAAGTACGACACGAACGGCAGAGCCACCATGTTGCCCGCGCTGTACATCGTAACCAGCACGCCCAGGTTGGACGCCGACAGGCGGTAGCGGGTCTCGATGGAAGTGGTGATGCCCGTGAAGGCTCCCAGGGATACGGCGTCTCCGAAGACGACCAGGCAGACGCAGACGAGGAAGAACACCGGGGAGAGGAGCCTCTGGGCCCATAGGGGCTTCCAGAAGCAACAGCAGGTGTAACTTTCGTCCTGTTCCTGGGGGTACCTAACACCGGATGATGTCTCCGAGGCAGCAAGTGATGACCTTCTCGGCCGGTAGACATCACCAACCATCTTGTCGTCATTGGGGTTGTTGTTGTCTTCATCTTTTTCGCATTTTGGAACTTCCTGGCTGGCTGGGCCTGGGGTCAGCTGATGTTCATTCTCCATATTTTTTTTCACCCACCGGTTATCGAATCCTTAGGTTAGAAAATTCTAAAGGAAAAAGTAAAATATAATTTGTCCAATGCACTTATACGAATTGGCACAATAATGCAGAATACCCCGCCACTTAGTTATCCCACCTCGTATAGGTGACTCCCGGATACGGGGTCACGCTTGATTGCTCTACCACAACATACGCATGTGTGCACTTCCCACTCCGTATAACCCATAATATCTGCGTACACTGCTGTTTAAAAGGTCACAAAATGGTTAAAGTTTCCATCCACTTCCCCTGCTGTCTTTTTAAAAACCAATGGATCACCCAATTGACCAATTGTGACCCAGCAAGGCTCAGAATGCTCGTTACCATTGTAAGACCAAACGAATAAATAAATAAGACCATACGCATAACATATAAACCCTCCAATGTAAACATGCATTCTGTTCCAACTTGTCATTTCAGTCAAAATCAAACAAGTGACTGTTTTCAATAGTTATGAATTCCCAGCCTACATTAAATAGCTAACCCTGCTAAATTGTAAATGCAACAGAATGCACCAGTGGAAAAAAGTTGTTGCAGGTTGTTGCATTTAGCAGTCAACGCTAGTCTCCTAATCTGATGCACTCTGTTGCCGCATTTAGCAGGCGTGGCTTTCGATAAATTACTGGATTCTGTTGCATTTAGCATGGTCAGAGAAAATGTATACAGGTGCATTTTGTTGCACTGGGAAGTGAAGTAGTTATATTTTTATCTTGCTGGTATATACCAATAAGGTAATGGTCATTCAAGTTTGTATTTATTCCCATGAGGTGCTGGCTTGAGGAAAAGGGGTCATGTACTGACTGTTTATTGTTCAAGGCTGGGTAATTCCATTATGTATGTGCAAGGGTAAGTTAAAAAAAAAATAGGATTAAATTGTATACTTGATGGGATATTAACAATATGTATTAGGTAATGTTAGGTAAGTATTAGGTAACATTAGGTAAGTATTTGTGTATGAAAAGGTAAGTAAAATTATTCTTTTCATGGAAACTTTTGCATTTGAATATGAATGATATGAAAAAAGTATATAAGGCCCTGTAAATTGCAAACCTGTGTCACTTTGGTACCAACCGCCGACATGACAAATAGAGAAGTAAAAGATTTGCAGCAAGGCTTGGACAGAGAGGAGAGGGAGATTTTCATGGGGATGGTGAGTAGTGGAAAGAAAAGAAAACGTGCCGAGACAGCTGAGAGTCTACCTACTGTGGCGAGCGAAGGAAAGGGATAGGGAGGAAAGGGCGAGGGAGGAAAGAGCAAAGGAGGAAAGAGCAAGAAAAAGGCTGGAGGAAAAGCAAAGGTCTACTGGATAAGAGATATGATGCCGTCTACCAAGAGAGACAGAAGCAGGAGGAGAGAGAGGTGCTGAAGGAAGCTTTGAGGCGGAGTTGTATCGAGGCAGATGTACCGATGATACTGGGCAACTTCAGGGCAAAAGTTAACGTCTCAGAGTCGGAAGAAGAGGAGTATCTTGACAGAGTTGTCCAGCAGCTGCAGAATGAAGAAGACAGTGCTTGCTGTGGAATCTCTTCATCTCAAAGTCAAGAGATGGATGATCAGAGTGATAGAGGGGAACAACTGCATCCAGAGTCAGGAGAGTTGGACGTTCAGGAGATGGAGGATGGGAGGATGTCCATGCAGTCTGGTGAAGAAGAGGAGGATCAGTTTGAAGAGGAGACGGAGGAGGATGATGATGGGGAGGAACAGGAGATGGAGGCAGAAGGTAGTGCTGCACCAAAGAAGAAGAGAAAGAAGCGTGCAAAGAAGCAGTACACACCGGACACGGACAATGACCCCAGCTCGCCCAGCACAGATGATGAGTTGTATGAGGCAGATGACTATGGATGGCGGCGGACACTACATAAGATTCGAGTTCGCAAATTTCAAGGAGCGAAACCAAGTGGGCTAACTTTCCAACGACACCAAACACCGGTGCAGTATTTCTTGGCATTTTTCCCTGTGGCACTGTTTGTCCAAATTGCTCATTGGACAAACGGTAACATTCGAAAGGCAGGAAGCCAGCTCCTCACGACAGTCGACGAGGTGCGGGCCTGGTTGGGGATACATCTCGTCATGGGATTGGTTCGCATTCCGTACTACCAGGACTACTGGTCTTCAGAGCCAGGCTATTACAACCGTCTGATATCAACAACCATGACAAGGAGCCGGTTTGATTTCCTAACCCAACACTTTGCCTGTTCAGATCCTCCTACCAATCCCGAACGATATCCACATGACAACCCAACAATGTTCACCGACAAGGCACACAAGTATAACTACATGGCGAAGCATCCACTTTACCCTCTCCAGCCTGTTTGGGACACCGTCCTGTCCAAGTGTAGAGCCAATTTCAACCTTGGCAGAAACCTTGCAATAGATGAGGCAATGGTGAAGTACTCCGGCTTCAAGGCCCATGTCCGGAAATTCTTCATGCCACTGAAACCAATCAGAACCGGCTTCAAATTGTACGCACCAGAAAATTAAGCACCAGAAAATCAAGAACCTTAACAAGGTGCCACGAGGCAGCTTTTACAGCAGACAGGCAGGTCAGCTTACTGTTGTCGCCTGGAAGGATTCTAAAGTCATGATGCTGGTGAGCACAGCGCATCAAGGGCACCGGAATCGCCTGATCGACCAGGTTGAGCGTAAGATCGTCGATGGCGGCGGAAGACGGCGGAAGACGGCTGTTCCTGCCCCACGACAGGCCATTGATTACACCATCTCCACGGGAGGTGTGGACAGGGCTGACCAGCTTCGGTCTTACTACACTTGTTCTAGAAAGTCTCAGAAGTGGTGGGAAAAGCTGATGTATTTCCTCGTCGACGTATGCAGAGTAAATGCATGGCTCTCCTATGTCCACCATCACCCTGCCACCCACATCGCATCTTCATCTGCATCTGAGGATGACCTGGAACGGCCTGACATGCAGAGTGGCACCATCAGCCACTCCAAGTTCATCATGGAGGTAGCCAAGGGGCTGATCGATGGGCATTCTAAAGGCAGCGCTCCTCGCCAGTCAAGAACCCAACCACTGTCTTCACACAGCGCTCCACTCTACCAGAGACAACGCATGCCTGGGAAGTACGCGAAGCAGTGCAGGTGGTGCCTGCGCACCAAGAAGTCCACCAAGCGGGTGCCAATGACTCGCCATGACTGCCTCTCCTGCAATGTGAACTTGTGTGAAGGGAGATGCTTTCAGCTGTTCCACGGCGCTCATCAGTAGTCACGCCCTCCAACATGGGCAACCTCCCCCCCCTTCCCAAGAAGTAAATGATAAGAAAGAGAAAAGAACAAAGAAAAAGACAAGAAAAGACAAGAAAAGAAAAGAAGCAAAAAAAAAAACCAAAGCAAAGCATAGCAAAGAAAAGTTGAACACCAAAAAAAGAAAGTACTTTTTGTTTTTTTGTTTATTATAGAAAGAAACCAAAAGAAAATCATATGTACATTTGTAAATAAACCCATTCTGGAAAGACAACAGACAAAGAAAGTTATTATGTTCATTCTCCAAAGCATAGCAAAGAAAAGAAAAGTTGAACACCAAAGAAAGAAAGTACTTTTTGTTTGCTTTTGTTTATTATAGAAAGAAACCTAAAGAAAATCATATGTACTTTTGTAAATAAACCCATTCTGGAAAGACACCAGACAAAGAAAGTTATTATGTTCATTCTTGTTCCTTCTAGAAACACAAAGATACAAGGATCCCTTATGTTTATTTTTTGTTTGCAAAAGTGGCAATGATGGAAAGACATGTACCAGTGAGACACAAAGCAGTGCAGCTAAAAACTAAGCAAAAAAAACCATGATAAACATGTAAGCCACCAGCAAAGTGCCACAGAATCCATCCTGTACATGTGAGCACCCAGCACAGTGCCACAGAATCCACCCCTGCATTCTGTTGCATTCAACAGGGTAGGTACTTGGTACCAGGACTAGCACATATTAGTTCAATGCACAGTGCAACAAAATTAGTCCCTGGGATAGGGCCATTTAATCGCAAAATTTTACGATTTATCTTAATGAAAAAAAGTAAAACTGCTGCAAACTGCTTACTGAATGGATGGACCTGAAATATATCAATCTTAAAATTAATGTGGCCACTCTTCTGTCACTACCCACAGAACCATTGGTAACATCACTTGTAACACCTCTAATGTCATATATCTCATTTCTTGCAGGGTCTGTGGAGTGCAGTATGTAGGTGAGACTAAGAATACGCTCAAGAAGCGTTTCTATGCCCACCGGTCAACGGTCAACACCAAGAAACTAGACACCCCTGTTGGTCATCACTTCAACCTGCCTAACCACTCCATTTCTGATATGATTTTGCAGGGCATTGAATCTCTTGGCCATCGCAAGGACTCAGTTCGCCTCAGCAGAGAGAAAGTGTGGATGAATCGTCTTCGAACTATTCAACCACATGGTCTCAACATCCAACTTGGAAATGATTAATCCTTTTCTTCCTCCATTGTCTTCTGTTACAGATAATCCATCTGGTCTTCCTTGTTTGTGTTTACCCATCTTCCCCCATCTTTCATCCCTTTCCACCTCAATACTGTTCCCCCCCCCCCCCCACATCATCCCTTCACTCTCACACTCTTTTGTCCGTTCCCACTCCCTGTGACCTTTGATCCTTCCCCTTTCTGGTCCCTCCCCTGTTTACACAAGACCCCTTGTGGTTTGCCATCTCCCTTTGTTTCTTTGTTCTCTCATCCACCCTCACCTGCATCTTTCCACACCTTTCCCACCTAATCCTCCTTTTGTGTTTCTTCTTTCAGCCCTGCATGTTTGTGTGCACCCCCATGTTAATGTATGTACCTCTGTCATTTCTGTTTTAGCCTCTGAAGAAGAACTTGCTAAGTTCGCAACGTCAGGCCACATTAATTTTAAGATTGATTTATCTTAATGTTATTTTCTGTTGTAGGGTACATTGGGACGTCCGAAAATGGTGCTCTTAAGTTGCACAGCCGGTCTTTTTGCCTTCCAGCTCCAAAAAACTGATATTTTGGGGGCT